GCCGTAGGATTTGCACCAAAGCTAGCTGGATTTAAACGACATGCAGACTTAGCGCCTTTAGCGTCAACGCATAACTTTTGAACTCGTCCTCCGTAGGTCAGTAATTATTCAGTAGCACCGGGTAGGCGACTTGACTTGGTCGCGGCGCCCACGTGAAACCGCAGCAGATGGACGTCGACTCCGGTCTCCAGTCGTCACCAGCCACCGCTTTCTGTTTCCGTTTGCAGAGAATTGCGTGGGCGATGAAAAGTCTGGTTGCGAAAAGGCGGTGGCTGGGGAGCATAGTGGTCAAGGCGGAGGGACGTGAAGAAATGCCCACTACCGGCCCTGCTAGGCCGCCCAGCCAAAAACGCGCATCCGCCTAACACGGGTGATCTGACCCCCCAAATCACAACATAAACAAGCCAAGCCCCAGTGCACTCACCCACTGTCAACCCCCCGAGAGCCCCCCCAACATCCGCCAGTATCATCGCCATCGTCACCCAGGCTACGATACTATAAAACTTCCCTCTTGCTTGCTCCTGTTCCACACCAGCCACACTCTTATCTGGTACCTGTCGCACTGTCGATCTCTCAGGGAACAGGCATCGTATCTGTACCCTTGACCCTCGAATTCTTCCCTCGCGGATTGCTGAACAAACAATTATACGCTCCAACTTTATTGCGCCCGCGCATCACGTACGTCCAGAGCTTGCTTGACCGCATCGTCACAACAACAACACACAACACAATGGCTACCGCTCCCTCGACAAACAGCTGGCTCAAGGCCCAGCGCAAGGGCGACTTGCAGAACCTTGCGGAGAAACTCAACCTCAAAATGTATGTACACCTCTTTCTTCCTCTTCCTCGTCACTTGCGACGCAGCAATGGAGGCCACCGCCGGCTGGTCGCGCGCGCATCGTCGCGTCGCGCGAACCAAACAAGACAAACCTCGAAGCCTGCCTCAACCCCCCCATCCATCCCCCACACATGGCTCAACCCCTCTCCTCGCCGATCCATACTGACGCGAATGCCATGACAGACCCAATGGCAAGTTGAAGAGTGAAATCGAGGCCACCCTCGACAGCTACCTCGCTGACAACGCCGCCACCTTGTCGTCGCGCTCCGACCTGGCCGGCTACTACAGCAGCCGCTCCAAGGCCCTCGGCTCCCCTCTGAAGCGCGATTCCCAGTCACGCCGCGAATCGATTGGGGAAGACGTCGAGAAGACCCTCAAGGTCGCCAGGAGGAAGGCCTCCAAGGCCGCAGAGGACATGGTCAACGAGTGAGTTCCCCCGACGCGCGCGCACGCGCGACGACCCGGCGAATCCATCGATCGCACAGGCTTGAAGCATCAGTCACTGACAAAAGGAAAAAACAGAGTCGAGACTGGCTCCACCGCCCTCGTCCAGACACCCGGTCGCACGCTGTCGCAACAAGTCGCGCGCATCCCCCTGCCTGCGACGCCGGCCGACGTTGCCCGCGCTGTCGACAACTCGACCGTGGCCGTCCGCAACCACGTCTCGTCCCTGTACCGCGACTCGGGCGTGGGCGAGACCACCGTCGCCGCGCGCGACACCATCTCCAGCGTCCACGCGCTCGTCCTCATCGTCGCCGCGACCGAGCTCTTCTTCATCCGCCCTGCCGTCCTGCCCGACGTCTACGCCTTCACCATCCCCGCCAGCGTCAACATCATCGGCCGCGCAGACTACCCCGTCTACCTGCCCGACATGTTCGCCCTCGTCTCCCAGTTCTTCTGGTCGCCCGCCCTCGTCTGGTTCTTCACCAGCTTCATCGTGCCCACCTTTGCCGGCTTCTTCTTCAACCTGGGCGCCACCGCTCCCCACAGCGCCTCGGCACCTGGCGCGCGCACCCGCGCCCGCGCCGCCGCGCAGGGTCCTGAGTACCGCGTCGACCCCCTGACCTTTAGCATCGCCAAGGCCCTGGTCTCCTTCCTCGTCTACGGACAGGGCGTGACCTTTTGGGGTCTGCTGCCCGAGACCTCCATTGCGAGGCTGAACGGCGCCGTCTACGGCGGCTACCAGGGTATGCTGACCGGCGCCGCCATCACCGGCATCGCCAGCTTCTACGATGCCATCCTCAAGAAATAGGCCACTCGGCCGCGACTGACTGGCTGACTGGGAGATGGAGTGGAAAATGCAGCGAGCATCGCTGGCCGTGAGGAAAAAGATGTGTCTATTTACGAGTTCGTCACGCTATTCTTTTCTCGCTGGTTCTTGGGCGGATGAACGCGGCCCCCCAGGACAGGGGGCTCATGTCTGTGTGGCTTTGCGTCCTTGTTCAAAAGACGGGCGTTTGGGAGGCGTTCTTGACGGGTGTCGCGCGCAAAGGGGTTCGCGCGAAACGGTCCCCCTTCTTTTTTTTTTCGATATGGATACCACAAGCTTTTTTGTAGTACATGCCGTGCTGGAGGTTGGTTGCAGGATTTTGGGTCACCTTATTGTTAATGCCTTGCTGGTGCTTTGCGCTGTCTGCTTGCTTGCTGGGTTGTTCGTTTCGTGGGATTCTCTCACGTTGGGCGGTGGAAGGTCAATGAGTGACGGACGACAGGAACATATATCACTTGCTCTCTTGGTTCAACAGCATGGTTCTGCTCGTGATATCTACATTGAAAGCAACACGTACTATGTAAAATACGTCCACATCCACACCAGCTCTGACGCGACGCGCTCTCAAGCTGAGCATTCCACGCTGCGCCGCCCTCACAAGACACTCATTTCACATTCGGGATTCAGTTGGAGCGCATGTTCATCTCATATCGTCAATTAGATTATGTCTCAGATGCTCTATTCACGTTGTCACACAATCATGGTCGTCCCCATTCAACACAGACAGTCTTTCTGTCTCCATGTCGGACTCTCCTGCTCGTCCGTTCCTCCGCGTCGACTGACCCGTCGCCAACATGATATGTAGTTTAAAAAAAAGGTAAAAAAAAAAAGAAGAAATTTGTCGAATGTGTAGATGCAGTACCGCCCACCAAGCAAGCTATGCCCATCCCCGAGCAGAGACGAAGGAAGCAAGGGGATTTGTAAATGAAAAGTAAAATCATAAACATAACGCCATCCATTTTGCTGTGTACACGGGACGTGGTGGGTGGGCAAGGACTCAGTCAGTCATAAAGTGCTGAGCCACTCTCCCGTCCCCCCTTATATAGCGTCCAACATGGGGTACGTAGTAGTAGTAGTAGTAGTTGTGTACGCCAACCCGAAACGCCTGTTCGTTCGTCGCCTGCCGTAAAAGCGCGGTCATGTCCACCCGTGGTTGTGTGTGTATGTTGCAGCGTGACTGGAGAAAATAAAGCAAGAAAGGCCATCCTGCGTGCCCGATCATCGGGGATCCTTGGGGTGCTCGTGCTTGATGGGATGTAATAGCATGCTGCGGAGGCACAGACGACCGCTACTCGACGCGCCTTCCTCTTCCTCCTTGCCACCGCGCTCGCTGCCTTCGTTGTGGCGGCCTCCAAACTTGCCGCGGCCATCCTTCTGCGCGTAGCCGAGCCACCTGCGCCAGATCATGCCGGAGAACTCGCTGTTAAAGTACCAGCTGGACCCGGCGTGGTTGTGCTCGTTGGCAATGTCGAACGGACTGCCGTGGCCGGATGTCGAGTGGTCGCGGCCACCGTTGAACGCGGCGTCGGGTGCGGAGCCGATGGGGTCCCAGGCGCGGTCCAGGTAGATGGGGTGAGGCGCATTGGTGGCCTTGAAGCCGTGGTGGAAGGCCACACTGGCGGGGAACATCTCCGTGAACATGGTGTGGTGGTGCCTCCAGACCTCCTCGTGCATCGCCATCAAGAGGCGGCGGCTGAGACGAGAGGCCGTGATGATGGAGGCGCGGCGGGGAGGAGGAGTAGACGCATAGCCGGTGGCGTCCAGGCCAAAGAACCAGCCGGACTGATCGGTATCAAAGATGGGGTTCATCGTGATCAGATCAGCCGCCTCGCCAACGCCGCACATGCTGCGGTCCGAGTGCGCACCGCAGTTCTCTGGCATGACGGATTGACCCTTGGCCTCGAAGCGCAGTGACTTTCGGCCAGGGAACTTCAGAGGGCCAAAGGGCGAGGACAGACCGGAGCGGACAGTGTCCTGCTGCACAATCTTGGCGAACTCTTCCCAGGAGCCATGGTAAGAGGGGATGTAGTAGCGAGCGGCGCGCTCCCAGATCAGAGGACGAGGCTCGGTGGCAGCCCACTTGCCCGCCCTGTCAAACAGCTCGTAGTAGCTGCCGACAACACGCATGTCCATCTCCCAGTTCCAAAAGTGCTCGTACTCGGGGTGCTGCATGGCAAAGATCTGAAGAGGGAAGTGGCCACTGCGGTACACGCCGTGAATGTCGCGGCCACTTGGGTTCGAGAAGGTCTCGCCAAACTTGCCAGGGTAGAACAGCCTCATCTGGGGCTCGCTCCACAAGGTGACAATGCCGTGGAACTCGGGGGGCACGTTGGCATCGAGGAGGCGCTGGACGGTCACGTCGTCCGACCACACTGGAATGTCCGTGTCCCTGACATGCAGCAGCATGTGAACGTCGTACTCGCCGCTGGACTTGAGGGACAGTTCGGTGATGAGGGCGCGGAAGTTGAGAATCTCGTGCTCTGTCCACTTGAAGCCCGTGTAGGAGCGCATGACAAGGGCAGTGCGTCCCATCTTCTTGTCGCTCTTCTCAAGCTCGCCGGTCTCCGGGTCAATCTGCTTGAAGCGAGCCTGGTTGTCCTCCAAGCAGCGTTCTTGGGCGGCTTGCCAATTCATGCCCGTGTAGTCAATCTGGCCCGTTGTCTGCCAGACGAATTCGTTGCCCTGGCTCTCCGTGTCCTCGCCGACGCCGGATCCGCCAGCGCTCTTGGAGTAGCCAAGTCCATATGGGCCGTAGCGTCCAAAGCGGTCAAAGCAGATGTCGTCACGCATGCCGAGGATGTCATACGAGCCCAGGACAGGATCAGGGTAGTTCTGAGGGAGACCGTCGTAGGCGTAGATGGCAGGAGCAGGGATTGTCCTGTTGGAATCAAGATAGCAAGTAGCCACCTCACCCTCAAACTGGTAGGGTTCGTAAGGCCGCGGCTTGGGGATCTCTGTGGACATGGGTGGTGGCGGCAGAGGAGCCTGGACGTCCACGTTGGGGTACTCGGAGATGTGGTCGACCTTTGGCACAAGGGTTTTGAGACCGTTGAAGTAACCATCGAGACTAGATGAACGATTAGCAACCATGCAGGGGTGGCGAGCAAGTGGGTGGGCACGAACTGCTTGAAGCGAAGCCACGGCATCTTCTTCAGGTCATCCTGGTATTGTTTCTTAGCCTCTTTATCCTCGGGACTTAAAGGTTCCCCATCATCGCCGAGGTCGCTGTCCGCGTCGTCCTCAGAGACGACGACATTGAGGCTATTAGAGTTTGTGTTGCCCACGCCGGCAGCAGCTGACTTGTCGCCATCACCGGGAGACTTGGCATCGCCCTGATGATGGGTGGCAACATCGTAGAGGCTTACAGGCTTCTTGCTGTACAGGACAATGGACACGAGCAGGATGCTGGCCACTGCCCATATCAAGACTCGTCGCACAATGTTGCGCGAGAGCACAGAGCGCACGCGCATCTTCATTGAAGGCTTGTCGAACTTTGTACCACTTGTCCCAAAGGGAAGCAGGGGGTCATCGTTTCGGTTCATGGACGCATGAGAGCTCGACCGACTGCTAATTGTCATGGCGGTGATGATGCTGAGTGTGCTGGTGGTCGGAGTGCACCCTCACAAGTGCAGCACGTCCCGCGTAGACAGACGTGCGTTGGCTTGAATTTCGCAGCAGCGAGCGTTCGCGTTGAAAAGGGTTTCGCGTCGACGAGCGGGAGGACCGAGGGATGGAACAAGGTTTGAGGGAGAGACAACAAGACGAGGCTAGGCTGGCTTTGGCAAGCGAATGAACCGCAGCACAGCGCAAGGGAGGACTTGCTGGTTGGAGGAGAGGAGGATGAAGAAATCAGGGATGGCGGAGCGTAAGGCTGGAGATGGAGAAGAGGAAGGCCGAAAAGTCCAAGTCGGCGGTTGTGAGCGAGGAAAAAGGAGCGCACGCTGTGCCCCAAGGCTCCAATCTCCGGGTGCAGGTCGCGAGAGGGCGTGGCGCAGGAGAGAAATTGACCAGCCAGGGACCAGGCTTTACCACCAACCGCACGTGGGAAGCCAAGTACCAGAGGGTGCCGCTGGGTGCCAATCCTCAGATATTTCAAGGGGCTGACCGTTGGCGGGGATTTTCTGGCTGCGAACGAGGATAATTTAGGGGGGGCCCTCTTTTCTCGGCGACGACGCGGTTCAGGGGGGCGACGGGGGCTGGCCAATCAGATGGTGGTGGCCGCTGATTGAGTTTGGGGGTCCCGCACGCTACGACACTGGCAGTGTCGACTGGACGTGCTGAGAGGCTGAGACTGCAGGCTGCGTGTCTGCAGTCGTTGCTGAAGAACTCGGGCGGGATAGCAATCGGCTGGTGCTGACGGTCTTCAAGGGTTTTTTTTTTTTTTTTTTGCTGCCTGGTCGATTCGATTGTCTCGTGAGTCGAGTTGTGTTGTCGTCGAGGCCTTGATTGAGCAAGGTGAGATAAGCCGTGCTGAGGTCCAGTCTGCTGTTCGATTGGAGGCTGGTGTCGGTCCAGGGGGGGGTAGTGAAGGTGACGAATACCTAAGATCACAGAACGGCGGGCGTCAACGATCGTATGGACGCACAAGGAACGACGCCGAAAGGCAATTAAGAAGTGGAAGGAAGGAGGAAACACCAGAGTCGACGAGGTGAGATACGTATAGTATATTACGATGATGGAGATCTTGTTAGACTGCCGGACATGGAAAGGAGCAGCATCAAAATCCAATCCCTTGGCAATGTCGCTGGCTATGGCACCCGATCAGGTAGACTGATCACTGATGCGTAAAGTGACAGGGACTGGAGCCCGCTGAGTGCAGCGGCAGCGGCTCCACCGTGGATCCTAGTGCCTGTCAGTCAGCAGCGGACAGCAGGTGCCAATCTCGTGTTTGCTTGAGAAGGGCGGATTCGTTGCTGCTGCGTGCAGTGACCCGAACCGGGCCCGGCAAAGACTGTTTCGGAAGCTATTCGTGATCACAATCTACGGCACTTCTCTTCTAACTAGTGAACACTGGCATTCTGAACCTCGCTGACATCTCTGATCATGCTGACTGCACTACAAGTGTGTGAAGTAATGATGCAGGTTACCAGCCGGCGCCTTCCCGAACGCAAAAGTGGTTCCATGCTAAGGGCAGGCGCTACTGGCACACGTTGGCGCTAATACGAGCAGGAGGGAGACATGGAGACAAGAGAATCTTCACCCTCTTTGCGATTGACTTCTGAAGTTCTGAGGCATGAACCCAATTTTCCAAGGTCAATTCCACTTTGCCCTTGTCGCCAGAAATAAAACATGGCATCTAATCTCTCCGCTACGAGCAATAATAGTCGATGGATCGTCTCCCTAATAAAGTTCCCCCCTAGAGGGGCCCAAGCCCCCCCACTGGCGGAGGCCTACGCATCTCACCTCATCTCGTATGCGAGCCAGGTTGGGATCATCAATGATTGCGCGCGCATCGGCCAACAATGGATTAATTGATCACGGGCATTGTAGCATCCACTCAATCTTATCATTACCATGCCGCCTTTTCTTGATAGTGTTCTTGCTGCACTCTTTGCGCAGCCGTTCGAACTCATCGCCATGCCAGATAAGTAGTCATGATACTTGTAGCTGGCAAGACCATTCATCATCAGTGACGTGCGCAGCCACAGATGGGACACGCGGCCAGCCCCTCCCCTAGGCTCGAGTCGAGCCAGATTGACCATCCACATTCCCATCATCAACGAGACATGCTCGGAAGAGCTGGCGCGGCAGGCGCCTCGAGACGACGCAAAGGCCGGAAACGGTTCGACGCCCTGTGCAGACGGTGCTATCGGCGGCAGCGACCACATCAAGCATTCGACATCCTCACCAGGTCGATAAGGGTTCGACACGTCTTTACACCCACCACCACCTTGCCGCCAGCAGACTGCAATCGGCAGCCTGTGCCGTCCGTCGTCTGCGGCTGACACTAGGCTGATTGCAGTAGAATCTATTCTGGCACCCAGCCCAAGCGCCAAATACGAGCGAAACAATTCGCACGCTGCTTGGCAGCTCGGCCGATTTAACCCAGCACCCCACAGCCCTCCTGGCAGCGAGAAATTGGCACCCGGCAGGCGTTTCTTCGGGGCCAATGGCACCAGTCCACTACGATTCTTCAATGGTCACGATAGTCTTGGAAGTTGGACCCCCTGTCTAGCACCTGGGGGATCACTTGGCGAGCTCGTATCCGTCATGATAGATTCGTGTGGCGAAATCACCAGGCCAGAGGGATTCTGTTGAACTAATGGGCTCGCAGCGCCTCGACTGGTGCCAATCTCGTGGGGGAATACATAGTAGACGGGAAGAGACAAGCTTTTTACAGTCTCACCCGGTCTCCGTGAGGCTGGGAGATCGGTCTCTCGCTCTCGATCACGCAGTGTTATCGACTAACAGCAAGCAGATTGTGATCGTCGACTGCAGTCACTGCAGTCAATATCTTTGATAGAACGAATGTTCTCTCTGCATTCCATACTACGCAAGTATGCTTCGAAACACCCTGTCGTGTTCGGTCAGCGACCGCGTTGCCGACCGGATCAAGCGCATTCCAGCATGAAATACCCGATAGCATTCCGGATGGCTGGGAGTCAACATCATGACACCATGTATGAGACATGCGTTCGTTTCGCCCAGTCTCTACAGGTACCTTGCTGTTTGTGCCCTCCTGGCACTGCTGGCCACACCTTGATCTGAATGGTCGTGAGTGGCTGATCAGTAATGAGAAACACCATGAATCAAGCTGTGATCGAGATCAACGCTGACCCGACGTCGTAATGGGTCCGTCACGTATGTTGGTACTCCATGCAGTCTCATGTCTACATGCGCAGTTTACCATGACGGCTGCCAAGTCTCTCGTTGGTGTGGATTCAGCTACCACTTCTTGCTGCTCAGCGCTCAACGTCGATGGAAGGGTGTTGATCCTGGGCCTGCGGTGGTTTCTTGGAGGCAGCTTGCTGACCGACTTTGAGTGTTCGTGTCCAAGAGTCTCCGCGTCGGATCGCAAGCATCATGCCACCGGCTGAGACAACCATCAGCGCTGCTGAGATGGTCGAGAACCATCCGACGCCCACGGCCTGGATGATAGGCAAGACCACCGCACTGGCGAGGCACCCTGCGAGATATCGCAAGAAAAAGTTGGCCGCGGCGACGTCTGCTCCTTGGCCCGGCACCACATCCAGGCAATATGTGTTCAGGGATGGGAACGCAAAGAGCTGCCCAACGCCTTGCAAGAAGAGCGCAATGACCGGCAAAGGAATACCGCCTTTGGCTTGGTCTACTGACCAGCCATACACGAGGACACAGCCCGGTATCACAATGCCTACGAAAGGCAGTGCGGAACGAAGCCGATCCTCCGGTACACGGGATCCCCGTTTGCGAATCCACCTCTTCACAGTCCAGTCGGCCCAGCGACCACCGCCAAAGGTGCCCAGAAGGTAGCCGCATCCTGGCGCCAGGTAGAACAGACCCGACAGCAGAGGTGTCTCGAGATGGAAGCGAGGATTCAGGACATAGCGTATAGGCGTAAGAAGACTGTACATGTTCCAGACGAGGGCGGAACTGGCCCCTGCCACCAGCAGTAAGTTGAGACAGCGGTACCAGCGGAGTACACGAAGCGGATTGACCATGCCAAGGACGGCGCGGATGCGGTCTTTCCTCCCGTGGTTTGCAAGATCGTCAATCTTCTTGTGATGGATAGTTTCGGGCACCAGGAAGAAGACGCCTATCAATCCAGTGCCAGCCAGCGCCGTCTGCAGCCAGAAGATGGAACGCCACGACGAATACGTTACGATGATGCCACCCAGGAAAGGGCCAAAGGCGGGCCCGATCAGCGTGCCTGACATGAACCAGCCCATAGCGGTCCCCCGCTCCGTGGGACGATATATATCACTGCAACAGTGAGCCAAGCAACTCGAGAGAGACAGGGACAGGGGCTCCGTGCCCAACTCACCCGATACTGGCGGCCCCAATGAGGATGAATGCCGTACCCTCAAAGGCTGTGATGGCACGGAAGACGAAGAACGCCGCGAGGTTCGGTGCGAGTGCGGTGCCAATGCTGAGCGCCAAAAAGGCCGCCGCGGTGATGAGGGTGACCAGTCGTCGCCCGAACACCTGGCTCATGGGACCCCAGACAATGGGCGATAGACCCATGAACACCATGTATGCGGCGTTGCTAATGTTGATGATGGACCCCGTGGTGCCGTATTCTTTGGCGACCTCGGGCGTGGCGGCCAAAACACTTGTGCTCGAGATGGGAGACTGCAGCGCGCAAAAGGACAAGACGGCTACGACGAGGGTCTTGCGTCTTCTACTCAGACGCTCGTAGACCTCGTCACCCGCCTCATGATACTGGTCCTTGGAGTCATGAGGAGGCGGTTCAAGAGCATCAGGACCAGACACGTGGGAGCCAGAACGGAACAGAGCCTCGTCGCGCGCAGGCTTGATAGTTTCTAGCTGGATCTTGTCCCTGTCATCATTGCTGTCTGGGTGACCGGCTGTGTCGCCAGCCGACAATGACCCCGACTGGGGGTCTTTTGATGCACCCATGACTGTCCAAGGCTCGGTCGGTGTTGCTGGACTCGGAGTGTAAAGCGGAGCCCGGCTGCTGGACGCATGAGACCGACGGACTAGAAGGACAGAAAAAGGTACAGCTTGGGAGGCTTGCAAAGGTTGGCAATCAGTTGCCTCGTAGCAAGATAGCAAGAGGAGCTTGAAGCAACGTCATCCTACGGTTCGGATAAGAATCCTGCGTGGCAGGACCGAACCAGGAGATGCCCGGAGTCGTCCATTCGGGGCATGTCCGTCCTATATGGACTCTCAACACCGTCCTGGCCGAGGATCGGTGGTCTTCCCGTTCAGTCCCCACACATGAATGGCGGCCTTAACCGAACCGGGGAGGATGTTGGTTATCTCTCGATCCATCGCCCGCTCTAATCCCGACCGGCTCATTTCACGCCGCAGCGCAAAAGTACTGCCGTTGGTGCTTGTTCTTATTATACGGCAATGACTGCAAAGTTTGACAGTAGAGAATCGTCTCGCAGACGTAGAGGACAATGATGGTATCAGAAGGCCCGCTCAAGACCCGAGTACAGCCAGAGATTAGATTGCTGCGCAGTTCATGTGTTCTCGAGGGCTTTCGGTAAGTTGGAATGATGCCGATGTGCATGGTTCACCCGCCGTGGAAGTCCGAGACCCGTTCGGCGGTCGGTCTTCCTATCGAACGTTCAGCCTGGCACACTTGAACTTGGTGAATTGTTGTTGTCTGGGGTAAGCTTGCCTTCACCAGATAGGCCATGCTGGACGAAAGACATCGATGATTAGACTGTCCTAGTCAACTACATACTACACCAACCGACAAGTGTCGTCAAGTGAAATGAACGCACAGCATATCAACCCATGCTCAACGCCGTCAAATGCTAACAGTGCATGCTCCCATGGTATCCTCGCAAAACATCAAATCCATCCAAAGTCATCCGGCTCCCCATATCCACATGTCCTTCTCTCCGACAAGCAAGAGTATCCTAGCCCAGCAACTTGGCTACGCGTTCGCGGATCACACGTTCCGTAGGCTGTTGGCGCCTCTGTAGCACCACGTTCTCGCGTCCTCCAATGGCCACGACGCGAAGCCACTCGGGGGCCACCTCGGCTGCGATCACTTTGAGCGCGCCAGTCGCCTCGTCCTTGGAGATGGGCGTCCTCAGCGAGTCCCGCAGGCTGTCGAGCACGGCCTGCATGGTGAAGGCCTGTCGCGGCAGCCCAGCAGGCTTGGAGAGGCTCAGCATGGACAGCGTGGTGGCCACGTCGGGCGCTCGGCTCAGCGCAGCTCGTCGCTCGAGCTCGGCCGCCGAGGGAGGCGCTGGGCCCTGCTCCCTGGCGATCTGCTTGGCCCGCAGACGGTCGAGCAGACTCATCTTTGATCCATCCGCGTTAAGCATGGATGCCAGCGTCGCCTTGGTCGCCTCCTCCTGCTGTCGCTGGGCTTCGATGCCGTTCTTGAGCTCTGCCAAGGCGCGCTGACCCTTGCCGAGGGCCGGGTTGGTCATGCCCGTCTCGCGATGCGCCACGGCGGCTTGGGGCAGATCCGCGATGGAGAGCGTGCCGAGGGGAATGTCCACGTCGGCCATCTCGTCCGCCGCCCGGTCGGCAGCGATGCGGCGCAGGTTGTCCTTGAACTGCTGGCAGAGCTGGTCCTGGCGGATGGTGGTCGTGTCCTGGTCGGGCGCCAGCTCGATGCACACCTGGCCGCGCCCATAGTCGGACACGATGAAGGGGGGGGTCTGCCCGTTCTGCGCACACGCCTGGACAGCGATGCAGCGTCGAATGTCCTCCATGGAGACCTGCCGCTTGCCCCAGGCTCGGGTGACGTGTGGTGCCAGCGTGCGGAAGTCAATGGGCGAGGCGGTTCCATTGTGCGCAAATTGCATCAAAATTGTGTTGACAAAGGCCTGGTGCAGACTGACGAGGTCAGCGAGCTCGCCCGTGAACTCATTGTCCTTTTTCGCTTTCTTGCCGAAACCGTCAATCTTGGTCTGGATTGTTCTCTTGGTCTGTCTTGATTTGCCGAGGATGGTTGTCTCGGAGGGGTTGTGCGCCGTCTGTGCCCGTGATGTGCTCGCTCTGGCCGTCTTCTTGCCTTTCGGGGCTGTCTTAGTCGGTGTCGGGGTGGTGGATGCGGCAGATGCAGTAGAGACAGGCGCGACCGGCTTCACGAGTGTGGGTTCCTGCGTCCGTCGACAGGCCCGCTTCTTGGGAAGCTGGACATCGACATCGCCCTCGCTGCTGGTCGTAGTGTGTTGGTGTGGCGCGAGTGTGACTTCGTCGTCAATGTCGATGCAGGAGACCTTGCGTTTCTTGTTCGCAGATGTGGTAGACTCGAGGATCTTCTTGGCTGCCGGCGCGTGCAGCGCGTTGTTCTTGGAGACACGGGCGAATGCGTGCATCGTGGAGGAAGGAGCAGCTGCCGCCTCAGTGGCCGTCCTGGTGCGCTTCGCGGGACGAGGCATCTTGTCTGTGACGGGGCAGGAGCGACGGAAAAGGCGGGGAGGGCAAATGGGAGAATCCAAATTTCAGAAGCTGTGGCAGGCAAGTGCGATGCAGCAGAGACAGACACCGTGCGAGAATTATTCAGAATCCGCTTGCTCAATGTTCAGAAAAGAATTCGATGAGAAGGACGAACAGTTGGAAAGTGGCCTGCTTCCCTTCCTTGTAGTTCAGATGGGGAGTGGAGTAAGGACTGGCTGGCTAGGAAACGGGTCTCGATGCCATCAGGAACGCGTCTTGACGCGTCGCGACATTTTCACCTCGGACGGACCGTGTATAGTGGTGTTTAAGCGGGTCCGGGCCGCGCAGGGCTGGGCTTGGCGCGTCCATGCGCGCCATCGGCGGGCTGAATTGGCTTTGCTACTTATGGATGCTGTATTCTACGTTGAATTTGACATGTGCTAATGAGTTGTAGTTCAGAAGTTTATAGGCTTGACATGGACCCAATCTAGTCAACATAGACTGTTCTCGACTGTAGCGACGACATCGCTAGTGCTGGGCCAGAATCGCCTTTTCACGGCAAACATGCTTGCAAGGGTGGAGCTGGATTCATTCAATATGTATCTGGCTTATTACACAGAGCTGAGAAACCGCTCATGTTGATAATCATGCGACCCGAGTCATACGCATCTGGCGTCACGTCATGCGATTTGGATGCCACACCAGAGAACGATGATCTATCTTGGGTACGTCTTGAATCTGCATGTGAACGCAGGCGTAGATCCGAACAGTGCACGTGAAAAAAAAAAAAAAACGAAATCCTGAAATTGCATTCGAAATTGAGTGTACGCTCCATGTCCGTACATGCTTCGGAAAACCCTTGTAAACGACTTTTAGAAAGAAATAGAAGGCCATAAACTGGCAACTCCGTAACCCAATGTTCTCATATCCCAGAATGAATACAAGCCGCTGTCTATATGCCCAGAAAACAACAACAAAAGTAAAATCACTCAAGGCACAGTATCGTACAGGCCCTCGCCCAAAGCACAGAAGAGTCAAGACTCAAGGGGCAGCTCAGTAGCGCACGCTGGCAGGCCAATGCTCGGCTCGGAAGCCAATGGGACTGGGCGGTGGTGGTGCAGGCACGACATAGTCGCCTTGCTGCGGTGTCGAGGGGCGGCGGGTGGCGGACAGATCAAGCTTGGAAGCGAGGCTGTTGAGTAGGTCGGTTGTGGGCGTGCAGCCGTTGACCAGCGCGTGCTGCTGGTTGGGAGAAATGGGCCGAGGCGCGAGGATCCGAGTAGCATGCATTGTGAGTGTTCTGATGAGGGTCAGTGGTCTGGTCATGTGGAACGAGACGATAGCAAAAGGGTTCGAGGCATACCTGGTGTGTCTGGAATACTCCGTACTGGAAGTCAATAAGGTGTCGGAGGCTGTAGTATGCACAGATAAGCAAGTATCAAGTGTGTGGTTGTGGAGTTGGAGGAGATCTGGGGGAGGAGACGGGACTGAAGCTGGGGAGACAGGCGATACCTTATACTCCTCTGGGGGTCGGGCCGGCAGAGCGGTGTGCCTGCCTGCCTGCCTGCCTACAGGAAAATTATAAATAATGATAACTGGATTTGCTTCTTGTTTGTGTGTCTATCTGTCGTGTCTCGCGACGGCATCCAACGTCTTGATTCCCCGGGGGCCCGTGGGGGAAATACTGTGCACAGGGGGACATGGAGGGTGTGCGCGTAGTGAGGCTCCAGTCGCTTGAAAGGAGAATCCTAGGGAACATGGAGCTGACTGGAGGCTGCTCAGCCGTCCGTTCTACATTCATGTTGTATTACATGTGTACAACACGGCTCGCCAGGTCTCATGTTTGGACTCTCCCGCGTCGCTTCGTTGCTTCTTTGTCGGTGCTGACTGGGCGCCTTGAGGCCAGGGCATCGACATGAGGCGTCAAAGGGCAGCTTTGGCTGGTCTTTGGCTGGCCTTTGAGGTCGTCGCACGTCCATTCGGTTTCATGCACACAGTGCACCCACAGACATGGAGCCAGTCATTCATTCATGCGTGTTGCTGTCACCTCAGCTCAGGGCCAGTCCATGTCCCTCGCGACATTGATCACCGAGCAAGCCGCCCGGAGTGACCACACACCGCAATCCAGCCACCCTTCCGCCCGTCAACATAGCACCAGTGTTGTTTCTGTTGTTCCTGGCGCGATCGTACAGCTTGGTTGTTGACCCAGATTGCTCCCTTGCCTGCCTGTTTGCCTGGCTGGCTGGCTGGCAGCCTGTCTGTCGCGCAAATATTTGATCGCCTGGAAGCTCAGTCAAGGAGGGTGTGACTCTATTCTTGGACACAAATTTGGAACGCTCGCGGGCTTCATTTATTTATTTAGCCTGCAAAGGGCAGCGGCCCCTGCCCAGAAGGAATGAAATTGTTCTGGAAACTCGGGGAACTCGACGGGCCTGTCTTGCCCAGACAAGGCCGAGTGTGAAGCCCGAATCGATCGAGCGTCTTCTCTGGCCTTCCTGTAATTATCCATCCATTTGTTACAGCCTACAAGTAGGTAGCTGTCCGTCGGCACGATCCTTCCCTTCCCCGATGGACGGATGGAGCCGTCAATTCCACGAAATTGCGACTGGATCCCAATGGCTGGTGCCCTGAGTCAAACAGCGCCAGCGAAGAAGAGGTGATTGCTCATCATTGCTGTGAAGCCACCGCGGCGCACTCTGACACAAACCATGCACACCCCCAGGATCGGCGTTCCGACCTTCCCCGGAGCATGCCCAGTCTGGGGTCGGACACTGTGCCTGTGATGCCGCTGATGCGAGGCAAGGCGAGGTGAGGTGAGGTGAGGCGAGCAACGTGGCTCTCAGCCTCTCACTGTCAATGCGCGCGCGCTGTCAGGAATTCCCTTGGAGTTGGGACGGGTCGGCGTCATGCAAGGTTCATGTGTTTGTTGATACTCGCCGAGGCATCCATATGTCCGTCCCCGAAATCACAGCAGCTCTCGCCCACTATCACAAGATGGCACTTGACATCCGTCCGTCCACAGCATCCTCGGGCCAGTCAGCGTCCCTCTGCAGCTCTAATTTAGTCGGCAGTTGGTTTGTTGATCTCACAAGTACACTTTAAGTCTTTGGGTCTACACGCCTTTGGACCGATGCACGGCTGCCGAGACTCGCGTCCCACGTACCGTCCCTTGGTAGATCACCCACATGCTCGCGTCAAGTGCCTGCGAATCACAAGCGGCTTTGCGAAGCGAGTGAAGCCATCGTGGGGTAGCTCTGACTTCATGATGCACACTTTGTCTGCGGAAAGGGTCTCTTTGCGAGAACACCCAGAGGTTTACTGACGAGCCGAGGCCCTGGGTCTCGTGGCTGACGACGTGGTACCTTCTGATAATCACCGTGACTGGTTTATTTGATAAGAGAAAGACACATGATGGCGATCGACTCTTGAGCTGCTGGATCGACCCGAGGAATAGGATTCCCAGTCTCACTTGTGCCGAGGCGGCATTCCGTCACAACACTCAAGCTTTTCCAGCACCTTGGTACCGTCAACGCTGAGATAGGGAGCATCGCGATCAGATCGTCGCTCATGGAATAGTAAGTTCGGACTAATAGCCCTTTCTTCACTTGCCTACGTATTCACTCCATTCCCTCTCCCCCTCGCTGGCCTCCGCCCCAGTCTCCTCAGCGAGCGCCCAGTTCAGTGCTTGCATCGTATCGACATCAAACACCTTGGACCCGCTGAGCGAGGACCATCTCCGGAACCCATGGGGCAGGCCGGTGTAGATGTTGACCCTCGCCCTCACGCCCATGTCCCGGAGTCGCGACGCAAAGAGCAGGCCATCGTCACGCAGCGGATCGCCGCCGGCGATGAGAAACCACGTCTTGGGCCACCCCTTGAGCTCGGCCTCGGGAGCCAGCCCCGGATTCAGCACGCGGTCCGTGGGGCTGCCGTTCAGAAGCGCATTCATGAGCTTCACGCGCTCGAGAGGGATCACGGGTCGATCCGCGCACTGCACCATGGACGTGACCTCGCGCGACGCAAAGAGGTGGAACGGGTAGTTGTCAAAGTGAATCAACCAGGGGATCGACAGCACGACACCATTGATCATGGGTCTTGTCCCTTCCGAGCGGTTCTTCTCCAGATGACGAAGAACGACGCCGGCGGCGAGCAGGGCCCCCGCCGAGACACCGATGAGACCAATGCCCTGTGGCGTGGAGACCTGGAGGCTTTCTCCGTTGGAGCAAATGTACTCAAACGCATCCCAGGCATCATCCGTCTGCGCAGGGTGTGAATGGGTGTTGGTGTGACGATATATAGGGTTCAGCACCACGGCGCCCGTCCCAGCCACCATGTTCGCCATGACAATGTCATCTGTCGTCTCGTCACCAAACAGGAGACCGCCGCCATGGAAGAACAGCAGCGTCTTGTTGCTCTTGGCCTGGGCGCCGTCACGCGGCCTGCACACCCTGATGGGGATCTCGTGAGACCCCTTGGAGGGTATCTTGATCGTCTGGAAAGTGACCTTCTTGTCCAGGCCACTTTCGCTCAGAAGCTGTACCGAGGCCTTGCTTCTCGCTCCATCCACGGCAGCCCGTAGAAAGGAGGCATTGCTTATCTCGTTGCCTTCGAAACCCTCTCGCAGAGCGTCTGGGTTCTCCCCGATGAACCTGGTCCACTCGGGCGTGGCCTCTCCATAATGCGAGAAATCCATCCCCACCCTTTGTTTTGCGGGGGTTGCCGGTACGTAGCTGGTAAGAAGAGGATCTGAGGTATCCGTTCAAGCTGAAGTCAAGGTTCGTGGGAAGCCAGACGCTACTTTGTGTGAGGCAAAGTAGAGTGAACTAGTGCGCTTGTGTTTGGGGTTCTTGTCTCGAGACTCTTAACAGTGTAAGCTCATGACCGAGGAAGCGTGCTGCGTACCCCACGAAAGCGGCCCGACCATAAACAGATCGTCTATTAAATACGTAGGTAGCTGTCCGTACATCGGCCCCCCGCTGTCATCACCTACACGGCTAGACCCGCCGCCGACTCCTCATTGCGGGCTGGCTGGGCGGGCTCTACTATCCCGAAGGTGAGGTTTCTCCGTACCAATAGCGAAAGCACAGCTACGAGCGCTCGCGCATCGCGCCTCCAGCTTCTGGAGGCCTCATCTCGTCAGTCGGGCCTGGTCAAAGTCATATGAAGTGGTCCGGTGGCATGGTCGAAAGGTGTTTTGTCAACTCAATACCAGATACTCTTGTGTCAAATGTAGCGGACGGCGAGAGCATCGAAGTGACGAAAAAGGTCTCACGTGATGTGATGCTGCCAATGCCGGTCGACAACCGGATTTCCCATCGCGACGCCGCACGTCCAAAAATCATCAGTACTAAGATTCACCACCAAATATAACCGCCTCACATTTCGCGCGCCGCTCCCAGTCCTCTAGCGGATTGCCTCAGGCTACACCTCCTGCTCCATTTGAACACGAAAATCTCACTCACGTCCTCGAGCCGCACCGCAACAATGCCCATGCCGCCAGCATATCACGAGTCTCTCCCATGTTCGTTCACCCGCGCCGATTCCACCACTCCTCATCACCCGCTAACATAGCGCAGACATTGACTCGCAGCCGTCGGAATCAGAGCTCGCAGCGGCAAACGACCTCATAGCCGCCGAGATCGCCGTCCTTCCACCCCCGTCGATGACCGCCGCGCCCGCCCCCAACTTCACACCCATCTTCCAGAGCGAACTCGAACGCGTGGCCGCGCAAGCACCGCTACAACCTCTCACACTCTCGCGCTACGAGGCCCAGGAAACCCCTAGTGGCGATGCCGGCGCAGACAGACTGAAAGAGGTCCTGGACAATGCGCACATTACGGACATGTACCTGAGCTCGCGGCGGCAGAACTTGGAGCTGCTCGATCGGTACGGCAAAAACGCGTGGTTGATCGGCAACCACGAGCTCGAGGGCGAGCTCAAGAGGCTAGAGGCTGAGCTGGCGGCGACCAAAAAGGAGGTGGATCTTGTGAACCTGGCGCGGCAACGGAGACAGGAAGACGTCAGGGGCGAACTGACCATGCTGGAGGAAACATGGAAGAAAGGCGTGGGCAGAGTCTTGGAGACGGAGGTCGCTGTGGAGGAGCTAAAAAGCCAAATCCGCGCCGAATTAAGGAACCAAGGGAAGACTGGGCAGGATGAGCAGTGACAGCAGCAGCGGGAGTGAGGTTGATGAATTCATATCAATGGATAAGTAATCTTGAATGCCTAGGTAATCATTGTTCCCCAGGAAGTGAAATACAGATACAGCAAAATCCTCTCAAAACGCCTACAATTGGACGGAAACCCAGGGCCAAGGTCCTCCAGCTTGACACTATTTCCCTTGCCATGGCAACTCCTCCTTCGTGGATGTCGTTCCAAAGCAGATACCATACGAATTATATCATATGCTGCTTTCCATGCTAATGTGACGAAACAATTGGCGGCTGCCTCGGCTAGCCGCGATGCAGGGGGTCCATCTCTTCCACGCCTGACTTGACCCCTTCATATTTGGTGCGTCGCATGATCCCCTCGACTGGCCCCAGGAGCCTTTGGAACGCACTCTTGCCGAGCGAGGCCACTTTGACGTCCGACGAGGCGACGACACTAGCGGCTCGAGGAGCATCGTTGAGGAGCGCCAGTTCGCCGAAAAAGTCGCCCTTCTTGTAGTGCTTCACCGTGTTGCTTGGGTCGCCCTTGTAAGCGTCCGCCTGGCCAGACTCTAGCAAGAAAAATGAGTGGCCCGGATCGCCTTCCTTGATAATGACTTCGCCCGGCGCGAATTTCCGGGTTTCGAGGGCATCGGCGACCTTGGATCGCTCATAAGGCGTGAGTGAAGAGAGCAGAGGGACTTCCTCGAGGAAGCTTTCGTACATGCGACGGCGCGCAAAGGTGGACTCCATCAGGATGCGGCGAAAGGTCACACGGTCGAGTTGCCAGAGCGTCGAGTTCGCCTCAGCCGACACGACGGTAGCCGCACGTGGGGCGTTGTACATGAGAGCAAGCTCACCAAAAGAACCACCAGCCACGATGCTGCCCACTTTTGATCCCATCCCGTCAGGTCCGGGCTGCAGTTGTCCAGTGCTGTTAACATAGACGTCGAAAGAGCCCTTTTCTACCACATAGAAGAAATCTCCGGCGTCGCCTTGGCTGATGACCTTTACCATGTCAGTCAAATCATACGCATAGCGTTTCTGGGGCATGACCAACCTTTATGTCCTTTGCTGGAACTGGCTTCTCGACTAGCGCACCTAGTATTTGTGCACTCTGCTCATCCTCGAGGTGGCTGAACAGGAAGTTGCCCTCGATGGCCTTCTTCAGTCTCGCAATCTGGTCTGGGGTTTTCTCGTGATATGGGGGTGTCCAGTTGTCGTTTTCGTCGGCACTGGGCTTCAATGATTCGGCCGACACCGATGTACGACGGTTGAAGTTGTACTGTGCAGGATAGCTGTCGGGGTTCGGACGATTCCCAGCGTCACCAGGACCACTTTGAGAGCCGTCGACGCCAAAGGACACTGGGGCAGCAGCGCCATTCTCATCTTCCTCCGCTAAGCTCTGCATCTTGGCTCCGAAAGGATTGGCGTTGGCCCCGAAGGGGCTGTTGAAATGACCAGACATGGTAGAGTTCGGAAATGTGGATGGATGTTGGATCGGAGCAAGGCGAGCTGGTAACTTGTCTGGATGCAGGTGTTAGCCGAGGTGCTGGGTCTTGTGAAGTAGAGAAAGGCGGCGCTGAATTGCAGAGAAGTTGTCCAGATGTCCAGGAACAATGTAGGGACTGGAGGTGAGAAGACGTACAACCTGGGCTCCTCACTTATAAGGACCTGGTAGTTGGTTGTTAGCTTCAGATGCCTCTGACTTGGCGCGTTGAGAAGTGTGAGAGAAGTTGATGAAATGGGATATCAGCTTGGTTCCATGCTCTAAATTTCCTGGGCGCTGCGAGTTGAGCTCATGTGAGATGTTGGTCCCCAGCGCATCCCTCTAAAAGAGCCATCATCTTGCAATGGTTCGGCTTTCAGCGCGTGTAAAAGCGCCAAGAGGGATGAACCCAAGGGCATCACTCTAAGCTCGAACGACTCTTGTGGGCACGGACAAAGTCGTCTCGCCTCAAAGGGAAGCTCTTGAGAAAGCGCAGCTGAGGTGCCGATGGGGTTGTTTGCGACAGGCTTCCTTACCTCTTTGTTCAAGTAGGCAGCAAGAAGGTCAAAACACCCTCTGCCAAATGTGACGAAGAGCTGTGGCAATGCCGGCTGAGACTCCAAGCTGAGTGTGCAGGCGTATATAACAAAGCGCAGCTCGACACAATGCGGAATCGGACGGTGACTGTGTGCAGGCGACCGGGGATAGGGCGCGATGGACGAGACGAGGAGAGAATGAAAGAGTTCAGGGCCTGGGTGCCTTACCTTGGGAAGGACCTGGATGTAACGAGCCAGGCACGATATAGTCGGTGCTGCAGTAAGTGGTACCGAAATGGGAAGTTGTCCCTCAAGCACTTGCTCTGATGATGTCGTCAAGAGGGGCAGTAGCTGAGAGCTGACAAACCGCGGGCAAGCGCAACGCTATGCTCGAGCGATGTCGGAGCCAGGGTGGCTGGAGCCAAGCGCTTTCAGTACCTGGGCGTCTCGACAATTAATTTTGCGAGTGTTTGGTGTCGCCACAGAGCTGGATGGATTGAATGCAGATCAAGAGATGCGGGTGCTGGTGAGGATGAACCGGAGCTGGAGGGATGGATGGATGATGGTGGGGGATCATTCACAGGTGCCAACTCAAAAAGGGTCTGTGCCACCTGTCTAGAAGAAGGCTTCTAGAAGGCCGGCCGGTGGCACGGCCCTCTATGCGGTCAAAGCGTCAACGACCCCAGGGAACGGCTACAGAATCCAGACGTAGCTACCACTTATGGCTAAGAGCTAATTTAGAGCCTCACTGCCGAAAGCATCACTTGATTACAGTGCGCCCAAAGGACATATCTTCGTAAAGCATTGTGAAGCACTTTCCTCATTTACGTCGAATGCCTTCCTTCTCAACTAACCCAGTAAAGCAAGTACGTATACCACTGTCTCGAGCGGGGAGACGCGGCGATCCACTGCGGTTTAGCGTCGAGGCAGGCTGGCTCCTTCAACTCGCTCGGTCTTTCCCTCCTCCTCTTCTCAACGTCATAGGCCCAGTCAGCGCTGTCAGTCGGTGATCGCCAGGTAAACGACGACGCGACCACAGCCACCGGCGTCAGACGTTACCTGATACATTCGCATGTCCATGTCCACACCAGACCTGCCTGGCACGACATCATCGCGCGTCCGCACATCTAAGGTACGGTTCGCACCCGAGCACTCGGCTTTTTTTGTTTAGCTTGGATGCTGAACGACCTAATCGATCGTGCACAGACCACCTCCGCACTCCTCAAAAGCCGGAGCTCCACACCTTGGGGATGTATCCGTAGTTGCTTCATAGTTCATGCAGGGAACAAAACCACGGGAAGCTCCAAAGTCTTGGTGAATGTCAGGTATCGCATTGCTTTTGGTGTTAGACAATATTGCTAAAAAGAATTGCGCTGCCTGGCAATATCTTCGGCGCTCGCCATAGACTGACGAATGATAAAAAAAAATCAAGGGGTATCTCGAGTGAACCAAAGCATTGTCACGCCTGACGAGTCCGTGCTCTCTGGTAGATGACGGTCGTCTCCAACTATGTTTGAACAACCCGGTCCTGAATATCATTGCTGATGGCCCGGGTCACTATCGCTGTTCAGAACGTAGACCGAGTCTCCAAGGAATGGTCTTCCTTCCTGGCTAGCCCACGCTTGGGGCCTTGGAAAATGGTGTTGAGCTGCTCTCAGCGGCCCTATAATTCTCGAAACAGAGCTGGTCGGGTTTGTCCAAAAGAATCAAGCAGTGCTGACTAGCCTCCGACTGTTGGCGCCGGTCGTGCGAGCAAGCCGCCACCTGAGGGACGCTGCATTTTGACGTGCCTGCGGACGGGTGCAGTATCAGATGGGCTGCCCAACGCTTCTTTGGCCTTGCCCTCGGGCCATCACCGAGTCAACCTGCTGTATAATCGATATAGCGGGGCAGCTCAAGCCTGACCACCATGTCTGAGGGACGACGAAGTGCTCATGGAAGATGATCTCAATGGCCTCTTTCCCAAGCGATCGGTTTGCGCCCTTCTGGACATCCGCCGATCCCCAAAGGTGCTAAGTGCGCTTCGTACGCGTTCTCGCGCGCAGGTAAGGCGTTTGTTGTGGGATGAATTTGCAGTTGCGCACAACTGAAACCTGTGTCCGGGGCGTTTACGTGCCAACTAATATCTGATCAAGCACATTGTCCAGTAAGTCAATGTCGCCCTCCTCGGCACCTTCCCACTCCAGAGTGGTGTCGACGTCCATGGGTTCTCCCATCCCGTTCATCACGGTGGCATCTGGCTCGCCATTGACCAGTGCTGGGACGTATTCGTCGACTTGGTCCGTAGTCTCGTGTCCAGAGACATAGGAATATTCGTTGTAATTCTCGAGTTCGCCCTCGCGATAGCCTTGCAAGATTTGTGTGCGCAAGGCTGGGAAGTGGGAGAAGCCTGTTTCGCCCACCTCAATCGCGAGGCGAAGATCAGCAACAGTCAAGGGGCCGCGCTCGCTAGCTGCTTTCGCCTCCACCGGCAGAAGACCATTTTTGTCCCTGGTCAGTCTCCCGTTCTGTGCAAGGTTCTCCTCAAGATGAAGCTGCTTCGAATATTGTGCCGTTTGGATCCAATTGATCCCCACGCCGAAGCCGGCGTTGCCGGCATCACCGGGTCCATTACTTCGCGTGCGGCTGAAGATTGTTGCCAGATTCTCTTTGATAAATGTTTCCACAGCCACGGTGAGAAGCTGGGGTGCCTCGGGGGAGTGGCCACTTGCCAGACCGGCCTCGTAACACAATGGGAGCATGCGGCCGCTCACCACATTGCTATCCGGGAACTCGCCCGATTCAATGGCGAGGGGCGCATTGTAGCGCTTTCTGATCTCGATATCAAAGTCTGCACGGTCAGTCTATCATCAAGTCTCTTTGTCAGGCAATGGGGCTTACTCATGTTGGACATGACGCCTGTCGCGCTCTGCGCAAGCTCGGGAGCTGGCGCTGGCTTGCGCCTTATATCTGAGAATACATTGGCTAACTCTTGCTGAGGGTCGAACTGCACCCGTTAGCTGAGTCCAAGATTCAAGTGCACCAACACTCACATTATTGTGTGATAAGTCTTTGATGCGCCGCCTGTCTCTGGCCGGCAATTGCATCACGCCACCTTTCAGAAGACGTTCCGCCGCATCGCCGGTGACAGGCTTGCTGCCCTGAGGAGCGGTGGGCTTGTCGTTGGCGCTGACCCACGCAGCCTGTCCAGGATCTGGGACCTCCCTCGATACATTGGCAATCATGGCCATGATCAGGCGATTGTGGTGATGTACTTTTTCGCCATTGGGACTTTGTATCAAGGGGTCGATTATCGCAGAGAACTCGGATTGGTTTAGGCGACCTGGTGTTCATTAGTGGAAAGGTTCATCCTTCTGGTGGAAAGGCAACTACCATATGCCAAGTTGGCGACCGTTTCCTTGTATAGAGTCCATTTTTCCGAAGGGATCTCAGCCTTGATCGCCGCATAGTATGGTTCTAGATCTATGCGCGTCGGTATGATTTGACTCGACTTGGGCTTGGACAAGCCGCCTGTTGCCGACAGCGCCTTGGAAGATAGTGTAGGCGTTCCAATGCTTATTGAAGGGCGGCTCAGAGCCGATGGATCTATATCAGGCATCTTGAGCCCGTGGCGAGGAAGTTGGTAGGTTTCGTGAGGTATACAATTGCGCCCGTAGCCTCAAAGGTCGACAATCCGAGGTTAACGACAGGCAGCGTGTGTCGCGTCGTCGCGGCCGGGCTCGGCAGGGCGGCTATAACGGTGGAAGATGGTGCATGAGATACAGGTCCCTGGTAGTCTAGAGCCAGGCGACTCGATCAATTGGGTTTATGCGATGGTTCGAACGGGTTGGCGCGTGCGAGTCGATGGCGACGTATTGCGCCCTTGATGGATTGAGGTCAGTCGTGCAGATGCAGGTGCCTGAGCGTTGGAAATTTGGCGCTCGGCCGACTCGAGGATGCGAGTTGGAGAAGTTTAGGGTACCCTGTCCTGCACCTGAGTTGCGTGCTATGAGAAGTACTCGCTACCTGCGCGCCCAATCCGGTGACATGACCTCGAAGCCCCTCAGATCGCGTCTCCAGGCCGCAACCGCGTCTCGACTTGACATTGATTCAACAACAAGCTTCCGTCTTTGCCTTTGCGCTCGTCAAAAGTGTCTCCTTGGGGCCGCAACTTTTTGCGGTAAGCGCGCATCGCGAGGATGCAGCCATGCCTCCCGATCGCATTTCCAACGCCATTGACAACTTGATTGCGCACATCGTCCCTCGAGACCCTACCCAAGACGACCAGGCCGCGCAGCAGCACCATGACACCTGCTTCGAGCTCGCCAAGTCTTTGATAGACAACAAGTATGTCTCCTCACTGGGAAACTTTGGACTGTGCTAATGGCAAAGCCCTGCCTCCCCCGCTGTCGTAGCGGACGTCAACCATGCCTCCGATTTGATCAAGCGCAAACTGATCAAAACCGATCCCAACCAGGCACTCCAGTTCTCGAACCTGTACTCGAAGCTCTTGTCGCTTCCCGTTCTTGAAAACAAATGGGCCATTTTGTACATGCTGTACCAGCTCGCCGACTCGCCGGACCCAAGCGAACCTCTCCCTCTCAGTCCCATCAAGCCTTCGGCGCCCAACTACCGCGAAGCAATCAGCAGAGATGCGCTCCGGCGACATGGACGCGAAAGCACGAGGGCACAGGGTCCACTGCCAAACTCAGACGAAGGACAATTCAGAGAAGCGTTCCAGCAACATGGTCTTGAAAAGTTCCCGCAGAGGGAAGCAGACCTAAAACCGGCGCAGCCTGATGCTGTTCCTGGTACACCGAAGCGCGACGTGTCTTTGAAATCGACGCTTCTCGCCAACAATTACACAGACATAGATCCACCCGAGGCTGCGATCCTACGAGATCTTCCTTTCACGTTTCAGGGCGTTTCTTCGACGACTCTCCCCTTCACAAAGCAAGATACGCTGCAGCTGCCTCCAACTCTCCCACTTCCAATTGTGTCACTGCTGCACACCCTCGCTGAGCCATCGCTTCTATACCGTCGGCTCGACTCTTTCTGCAAAAGTCCAGCAAAGGGACTCTTGGGCCAAAGCCTTCGTGCTGCTGTCGGCGGTGAGCTCAGGGCCTATCTGACCCTCATCGCCACCTTGGAGGGACAGATACGCAGGGCTCTTGCTGTCATTGATGATTCCGCACCCAGGGGCGGCATCGGCAAAGCTGGGGTCACCCTGAAGCGCTGTGTGGTCTGGACGAGGGAGGCTACCATGGGTCTGAGACTGTTGTGCCTCATTGCCGAAGAGTCGGAAAAGAAAAAGGGCGGTCAGCTTATTTCTCTGATTCACGGGTTCTCGTCGTCACACGGTGATCCACTGGTGGCCGCCTTTGCCGAGCGGTTGTTAGGCAGCTTTACCCGCCCGTTCTACGATTTCCTCCGGCATTGGATCTACGACGGCGAACTGTCCGATCCATATCTGGAGTTCTTCGTCAGAGAGCAGGCTCCAAATGCGGATCCAAAAGGCAAGGGGAATGGCAATGTCTGGGAGGACAGATTCGAAATCGACAAGGAGATGATCCCGAGCATTATCACCCAAGACTTTGCGCAAAAGGTCTTTCTCATTGGCAAGTCTCTCAACTTTGTCCGACATAGCTGCAACGACTCTCTGTGGGTTGAGAACTACTCCAAAGATGCCTCGAAAGAGTTGAGGTACGGCGACACCACGACGCTCGAGGCCTGGATAGACGAGGCGCATAAGACGACCATGAAGCGACTGATACACCTGATGGCCGACAAGTTCCATCTGTTTGAGCACTTGCAAGCCCTCAAGAACTACATTCTACTGGGGCAGGGCGACTTTATCGCCCTTCTCATGGAGTCTTTGGCGCCCAACCTGGACCGCCCGGCTGGCGCACAGTATCGACACACCCTGACAGCGCAACTAGAGCACGCTATCCGTGGATCAAACGCACAGCATGATTCGCCCGAGGTTCTGCGGCGCCTCGATGCTCGAATGCTGCAACTCTCGCACGGTGATATCGGGTGGGATTGCTTCACGCTCGAGTACAAGATTGACGCGCCTGTCGATGTCGTGGTGACGGAATGGGGCAACCGACAGTACCTCAAGGTCTTCAACTTCTTGTGGCGCATCAAGCGTGTCGAGTTCGCATTGCTGACGACTTGGCGCAAGTGCATGACGGGGGCGCGCGGTGTGCTCCAAAGCAGTGATGAAACGGTGGCACAGACGTGGAAGTCGACACGCGGCACACTGGCCGAGATGATACACTATGTTGGGCAGCTGCAGTACTACATTCTGTTTGAGGTCATTGAGTCCTCGTGGGGCGAGCTCCAGAAGCGCATCACCAAGGAGGACTGCACGCTCGACGATCTGATCAAGGCGCACACAACCTATCTCAACGACATTACGCACAAGGGCCTCCTGGGCCCGAAGAGACGCGTTCATGGCACGGCGGACGATGATGATCGGACATCGTACCTCGCCCAACTAGGCGACATACTCCGCTTCATGCTCAACTACCGCGACTCAGTTGACGGCCTCTACAGCTGGTCCGTGTCGGACTTTACGCGTCGTCAGGAGGCCGATGTCCGGAGCACGCTGGAGCGCCAGGAGGATGACCACTTCCCCGGCTCGACCAGCGTGGCGTCCGAGTTCCCGGCGTTACAAGAACGGCTACGGCATCTAGGCTCGTCCTTCCGCACCAGGTTGCAGCTGCTACTGGGCGATCTGGCGTACCAACCTGATGTGGACATGAGGTTTCTGGGCGTGGCCATGAATTTCAACGACGTGTATCAGCCGGCGAGGCGAAAGGCCAAGACCACGGCGGCGTCGGCGTCAGCGAACACGTCAAAGGCATAAAGGGGTTAGTTATTGACGATGTATGAATGAACGACATTTGTTTTCCACCTCGTATCTTTGTGAAATCCGGCCCGTGAGAAGGAGGAGAGAGAGACAGATAGAAAGCATTTCCGTTAAGAATCCGTCCGCGCGACCCACGTCAGAGTGATGGCCGTCCCCTCACACCCCCTCCCCCTTTTCCGCTACTGAAGCTCCTGACTCGCCGGCTGCATTGGAGTCGGCCCTGGGGAGCGACCCGGCGTTTTGCTTTTGCTATGGTCTTATCTAGGACGAGATGTTCGGCGCAGCTTGATCGGTGATCCAGGGGCGGGGTTGTTGATAAACCAGATATTCTTGTTGGGGATCGAACAGGAGTGGTGTCACGGCATCACATTGGTGGGAGCCAGCTGTTGATGGAACATGATATGACAAGATGGTCGACTTGAGGGCCGGCGCGTTTTCGAGTATTAGTACGAGATGGTGGTGACATTGACCTGCAACTGCAACACAAATACGCAGAGTTACGTATCCATCATGTAACCCATCGAGGATTCCTGTGAGTGAGCTATCCAGAAGTGAGTATGGAAACCCGTAGCGTAGATCACCGGGTAAATGTGCCCGACACAACTTGAGGGCACTGTGTCGAAAGCCTGCGGTGGAAGCACCTTGGAAGAATAGTCGAGCGATTTGTCAAAAAAGTGTCTCGATTTCACATCGAGTTCCATTCGTAGCTAGGTCGTGGCCTTTGGTGGCTGAATACGTGATGATACAATGATACAGATCCCCTTGCCCCTTTGCTAGTCCTCCTCACAATGCCAATACATGCCATGCCTCTCATTTGAATTCATTACGCGGGGTCTAGGGGGGACCGCAGGCCAGGATCTAGTCCGTGGATCGCCCGCTCTCTGAGGAATCTGTCTTGGCCAGATTCTCGCCATCCTGCATGGGGCCGTGAAGCGCCTCTTCAAAGACGGGCTCGGGCTCGTGGACCTCAAACTTTGTCTTAAAGTCGTTGACGTGGTGGGACATGGAGAAGCTGTTGGAGCGGCGGCGGGGGTTGACAAAGGTGAAGTTCTCGTTGGCAATATCGTCGCCGTAGCTGCCCCTGTTGTTGTGCACGTGTCCAAGTCAGTCACTGTTGCAGGGATGCTGGGCGTGGACCAGCTCGGCAGAGTGGGAGAGAGAGGGGACGTACCAGTTGCCTCGACCACCACCGTCCTTCTTGATCTTCTTGGGGTCTGTGTCTGCGAAGCCACTCTTGGCAAAGAACTTGGGCATCACCTCGACGGGCAGCGCGGTGCCCTCGGCGATGCCCTTGTGGTCACGATCGTTGGCCTTGTGAGAGCGTGTCACTGTCGTCACGTTAGAGAGGCGTGCACATTAGAGGATGCATGAGGATGATCGCACTGATGGGGAGGAGATGGCTTTATTGATGAGAGCGCCTTGGATGATGGATGGATAGATGGATGATGGATGATGAAAAGCAAGAGGGAACCAGACTGATGCGGGGGAGAGTTGATATGGTATAGAACCGGGAGCTTACTGTTGAGGTGGAATGGAGCTGAGGGGAAAGCTCAAGGTTGCAACCCAAAATGGCGGTTCTCTTATCAGGAGGACGAGCAGGTGTATGTTTGGAGGCTCGCTGGACGTGGAGTACTCGTGGAATACCAAAGGCAACGGCGGTGCCTGTCTCGATGACTGCTGGGTGAAGTTGAATTGTTCGATTGACGTCTCTCAATGTGACGGAATTGATGGGAAGAGAGAGTGATTGCCTGTGTTACGCAAACAGGACCAGCGAGGGTGTGGCAGACGGGAAGCGTCTTATACTCTCGCCGGATAGCAGACGACCTAAGCTGCGGCTCGGGAACAGCCAATGAGATCGGCCAATTGGCACGGCAAGAGCCCCTGGGGGCATAAAACGTGAGAGAGGGGCCCTATCTACAGTGGTACTTGCGTAAACGGTAGAACTAGAGCCGTGAGGTGATGTCGCGTTCATCGCGTGACCTTTCGTCAGAATCACCCAGAAGCAAGCAGCTCCGCTTCGGGCTCCACACAACACAGAGTCATGGCATGCTCCGGTACCTGCGTTCACGGGCTTCCCCTTCCCATCTGATAAGGCAGATTGAAGCTGCATTGGCCATTTCCAAGGATAAGCCTGATCAATTGCAATTGAACCACCAGGCACAGAGACCAGAGCTGATGACGTTTGCTCAATTCATGGAGACGCTCCGCAACGCACGATTGCGGGGTACCCCATACTTTTCAGGGTAGGTCGACCCACTCACCTGCTGCCAGACATTCTGCTGGGTTCGGTGAGATTGATCACGAGCACCGACTAAACCGTCCTAGCATTGGATCGTGGACCACCGGTTCCGATGTCGCCATTGTCTACAACCCCCGAAGCCGGAACACGGTGGTGATGGTCACTTATGAAAGCTACGCAAGGTACCCGCAGCCAGGAACCTCCCAGAACATTGACAAGACCTCGTGATACTTTTACTTAGTCGAATATCAACTGGCGGGCTTGACGTCAAATGGAACAAGGAGCAGCCAAGTCGATTTTCTATTACCCAGCTATCGCTCAACTCTGCATCATGCTGATATTTGTGAATAAAATATGTGAACCTCTTTGAACGCCAATCTTGGTACATGTCCCCCCACCCCATCCCCTGAAACCCATATCAAAACAGGACAATCTCCTTATTTCCCACCCATCGTGGAGAACTCGTTCTGGAAACGCAACTTGAATCCGTTGGTGAGCGCACGCATGTCCGGGTACTGGTACTTCATGAGCTCGTAGGCTTGGGGGATGACCTTGACAGGCAAGCCCACACACTGGGCGGTCCTGCTCGCCTTGAACACGAGCCAGAAGTAGCCCGGGTGCTTCGTGTCCACGCAGAACGCGTACGTCGAACGGTTGGGGTTGGCGTCGATGTAGGTCGTGAGCCATTTCTCTGCACATTGTTAGCATTGCGCCCGCTTCGTCTTGCAGACTTCTATTAGCAAACGTACCTGTCTCGCCCCGCGACCGGTTCTGGAACTTGTCGTGGCGCATCAACTCCTCTGCCTTGCGTGCCATAGCCTTGACGTGCTCGACAATCAACTCATCGAGATCGCTGTACGTGTACTTGCCGTCAATGCGCAGCAGCTTGCCCACAGAGAACTCGTTCTCCTTCTGCATCTCCAGCACGTTGATGTGTTGGAAGACACCGTCGGCCACCTTCCACGTCACCGCCAGATGGTCGTTGCCCTTGGACGAAGGACGGATCACCACGTCTCCGATCGACTTGGAGCCTAGGTACTCCTCGGCTTGCCGCGAGTTGAACGGGTGGAAGTTTGGATGCTTCACGACACGCTGCACGCGGCCCGTGTGCTTGTCCTTCTCACGCATGTCCTCCTTGTCGGCGGCTTCCAGGTCGTAGTCCCACCCATCCCGTCCGTGATTGATCGGACGGCGGAATGGTATCCGCAGCGTGTCCTCACGCATCGACAGCTTGGTGAGAAATTCCTTGTAGTTGATCTCCAAGATCTTGGCCTGAGCCGTCTGGCCAACACTGAGTACGTCCTTGAGGGACGCACGGTTGGTGACTTCGTGAGACTCGAGACGACCCTCGATGCCGCAGTCCAGTCGGGCAATGGCGAAATCATCCTTCATCACGCGGATATTGACAGGGACAATCATGCCGTCACACAAAGTTCGGGCTGTCTCGCCTGTGAACGTGGTGAAGATGTCAGCCGTGCTCAGTGTGGCGAAATTCCTGCGCAGCTCTTCGTAGGGCGCTTGGAGCTCGGCGCGGATGGTCTCGAGCGTGGCGCGCTTTCGTTGCTGGTAGTTGGTCTCCAGCTGCTCGGCATATTCTTCAAGAACAAGCTCGTTAACCTTGTCTTGTTCATCCTGCTTGAACAGCTTGCGGACAATGGCACCCGAGCCGTTCTCGTCCACCTCGGCCTTGACATCTTCCTCATCGAGTTCGAGCGCATCGGCCGCCATTTTGCGACCCAGCTCGTAGTCCTCAGGGTGAACACGAGTATTGTCCAGAGGATCCGACGATGGGTTTGTCTGATCGTACTCAATGTAAAGGAAACTGGCACAGTTGTTCCACACCCTGGGACCGACGACGGGAACTTTGCCACTATCGATATCGCCGACTAGCTCATCCCTGGTGTTGACGCTCCCGCCATTAGTGTTGATAGCCTTGATAACACTCGTCGCTTTCCTGGGACCCAGGCCAGCAACAAACGGCAGCAGGTTGGCGATGTACGTGTCAGACATGGCCTCGTTGATGTTGACACCACACAGGTTCACCATGTCGACCATGGCAGACTCGAGGTATTTGTCGACCTTGTCTTGCGGCAGCAAGTTCTGGCATGGGTGGAACAGCAGGGATGAGACGTCCTTGCCCAGGGCAGCATACTCCTTCATGGGGTTCTGCATATACCGGGCCAACCCCACGCAGTAGCGGGTGAACGGATTCAACGAAGGATGCTCGGCGTGCCCACGTTTGCTATCCTTGTACAGCCTCGCGACCTCGTCATTCACCACCATGACCTCGAGTGGCTCGCTTCTCCACTCGCCCGTGTCGGGATCCTCGAATTCAGTGCCCAGCAAGTTCTTCTCGCGAACCAGGGCATCGAGGTCCCGCACCATCTTGTGCGAGTTGGCTGACCAGCCACAGCAGGCAACGACGTCGGGACGCCGGCGCTCCACGAGGTCCACAAATTCGTCGCGCTGTGCTTCGTCTCTCGCAAGGTTGACAAACTTGCCATGCTCCAGTACGCGGCCGTCGTCATCTACCCACGCCCAGAAAATGGGGTCGCGGCCAGGGTCTCCCATGCCGTTTGTCAGTGCCAAAACTCGCGGTGCCGTCCCCAGAATCATGCCCTTGGGCTTGTAAGGCGCTTGATCCAGGCGTTTCGAATACTCCTCACGCACTATCCGCAGCAGCTCGTCTTGGCAGAACGAGCGGACAACCTCCTTGACGCTCCTCGCTGTGATTCTCTCGAGCTTGGGGTAGGCAAGATCAAGGACCCGCTTGCGCTCGTCACGCCACTGCTCGGCGCGGTCACTGAAGTTTTCTGACTCAAACTCCTGGTACAGTTGCCTCCGGAAGTCATACCGCCGTGGCATCTCGACCTTGATGTCGACGAAGCCCTCTTCCTCAGCCTTCATCATCTTCAAGAACAGCTCAGGTTGTTGGACTAGATCAGCTACACCTTGGTTCTGGATGTACTTGATCTCGTAGTATGGATGTGAATCGTCGATACGTCGTAGACCCTTCTCTGTGCGTTTGCAGCTAATCTCTGCAGCTTGGTAGAATGACGTTCTGAAATGCTTCCGCATCCGCGGACTGGCAAACAACTCCTCCGAGTAAAGTTGACGGGCAGCATTCATGACAGCTTCACCAGTGTCGAAGGTGTTGTCAAGCAGATCGTCGGCCAGTTCCATGGGGTAGTTGGCGACATCATCCGGTGCAACCTTCTTGCCTTGTCGCAGCGCATTCTTTGCCAGTTGATCCGCCGTGATACCGTAGGCCTTGACAAATTCCGAAGCGCGCGAGCTGCGTATACGATCGAGGATCGTCATCTTGGAACCTGGCCTCTTGACCTGTGACTGAGTCTTGGCAGCAGCCAGCTCTCGTAATTGGGAAGAGTAGCGGAAGTTAAGGTAGTCCTGAACATCTTGCAGCTCTTCCATGGTCAGAGCCTCGGCACTCATCTCCTCCACGACGGGGTCGTCAATCTCGAATTGGGACTTGAGACTTTCGTACGACGCATTGAGGGCGTTGCGCTTGTCCACGAAAGAACGGAACTTGATGTCGAGCTCCAGAATCTTCCACAAGTCGTCCTGGTTCAGAAGCTTCTCTGCAGAAATGGAGAACTCGTTGCTGTCTGGATCATCGCGGTTGGAACGCGTCTTTGTCGTATGCAGAAGGTAGTCTTTGCGGTGCTGGAAGACGTAGGGAACCTCGACTTCGTCAACAATGAAAAACTCGAGGACTTTGCTGATAGCGCGGCCAAATGGTCCTTGGAGGTCCTGGGGCAGACTCTTTTTTGGCCAGATCTGGTTGGTGATCCATCGGCCCTCCTCGCGGAACTGTTGGTCGGACAGTTGCAGGTGCTTAAAGGGTTCGCGATCCAGCTGGAATCGTTCGGGTTCGTCGGTGAAGCGGATCGCGTTGTCGTGGTCCGTCAACATTTTCTCCTTGAGCTGACTTGGCTCGAAGACGTCCTTGAGTTCGATCTGCCCTTCTTCGCGTTCGCGGTCTTCTTCCTCATATTCCAGTTCAAGTGCCCATCCATAGTCTTCGCCATTGCCAAAGATGGCCTCCATGTCATCCAGTGCGTCCTTGTCGAGGCCTGATGTGTCGACAATGGCACCCACGCCACGGTCTCTGGGTCTCGCGACTTCGGCATCCTCTATTTGTTGCAACTTTTCGGCTTCGTCTTCGGGGAAATCTTCCTCAATGAAGTCGTCGAATTCGTCGGCTTGCGGGCGAAAGGTGGTGCGGCCGTACGGCCGTTGATCAGCGCCCTCCTCGTCATCGTCTGAGAAGATTTCTGTCAACCCAGGGGGCTCGTTCGCCGGCTCGTCGTCGTTCCGGTATCCTCTCTTTAGGCGTTTGAACTTGGACTACTCATCGTCAGCTCCTGCAGCCCTGCATCAGTGCGCTGACTCACCTGAGGCTTCGCTTTGACGGGCGCTCCATACTGCTCGCCAATGAGGTCCAGGTCATCGTCGTCGAGACGCTCTTCTTCTTCTCGGTCTCGATGTTCACGTTTCCGTTTGACGGCGGGCCGAGCTTCGCCGTCTTCCTCATCTTCCTCTTCGTCGACGATGAAGCCTTCGCGCACCTAGTCAAATCAGCTTCGGCCATCCCTCATGCCCTCTGAGGTGAACATACCTTACGCGCTTCCTCCTCATCGTCGTCATCCTCCTCTTCTTCGCTGGAGTCGTCGATGTTTCCATTCTGCCTTTCACGGGCTTCGCCGGTCTCCTCATCAAAGGACTCATCATCCTCTTCGTCATCGAGCTCGGCCTCACCCGAGATGAGGTCGCGCATGGACGTGCTCATTTTGCCGATGGGGGCAAATGAAGAGGTCCCGAGTTATAATTGCCACAAAGCCAAATGCGTTTGAACAGCGCACCTAGCACTCGGGACAATGTTGTGGGGAAGTGGTAATTGTAGACGTCGGGCTGGGTTTCGACGCAGTCAATCGTGGAAGGCCTCGCGCGCCTCTGAAGATTCGAATAATGAATCGCATCGAGCTCCAACCTCGTCGCGTTGGTAGGACAGGGGGGCACAGAGGCACGGGTGTAGGATTTTCCGAACCCGATGGCTTACTCATCCAGTCGACAACCTTAGGTAAAGTACCTGTACTCTTGGCAACTCTCAAGACAATATGAATGAGAAATATCATCAGTAAATACTTTTCGAGAGATTAAGCCTCCGCACGGGTTTGTAGCCTTACCATCTTGGATTCAAGCGTCGTTATATTTTCCATTCGTTGGTGATAAAACTCTCAATCTCGCAATTACCAGCATTTTGAGCCTTTGGGGTGACCATTGGTCTATGCGGCGAGGTACACGTTCCGTGCGAAAAATTCAGCCCGTTCAACATCAAATTGTATGGACAATACAATATCAGCATTTCCGGGCCCCTATATCGTTCGTGACGCCTTTTATTGACCGGATTTGGAATCCTATTTGGTTCACCAATACCTAGACGGTCGATCACCCCGAACGCAGGGTAGGTAAAACATAGCAGCAGGAGGGGCCGCGATCAAAGCCCATCAATACTAATTACAAGGAACCTTTGGACATAATCTGGGTGCATGCTATATCATGAAACGACCCAGAGCTGGGTTGCGTTCGCCTACGACTTGGTCGACGATTTGCCACAGCAATGCTCGACAGCAACAGCAATGTGCAACGCTTGACCCTTTGGGGCGGTAGCAAGTGTCGCGTTTTGGTAGACGAGAGGTGTGTCAAGTATATTACCAATCGCGCCAGGTGCTTTCCCGATAGACGATCGCACGTTTGCCCGATACTGATTGCGATGCTGCACCCTTTTACCCAGGGTGATTGGAATGAAGGCCAGCCACGTCACAGAAGCTGGCAGATTCATGAAAGACCTTGGGGGCGCGCGGACGGCAGAGCGGGCGGATTTGGCGGCTTGTCAGGAAACTCTGAGGGGGCTCCATGCTCCGTGCATCAATTAAGGCCGTAAAGACATACTATCTAGCTTCACGGTGCGATGAAATTAAGCGCTCCTAATTGACTTTGAAGTGGTGGAAAAGTTGTGGAGGAATTGGGGGTTCAACATGGGCGCCTAGAATAGTCGCTAAAAATGACCCCTCGATCAGGGGCGGCGCGGGACCTACCTTACCTTACCTTAATGATCAATACCAGATATGGCCGTATGATCAGCTTCCCATGTTCTCGTAGACAAATCACCCGGATGCCTAATAAAGGGGTTCGATAAAGCAATGAGTCGTACAATGTCCTCTGCGCCGCACATTGCCCCTTACTGTTTCGACTACCACATGCGCTCTCGCTGTGACTGTGATAGATGCGACCGATCAGGAGTATTACTAGCGTTGACCCCACTCACCTCTCAGGGACTTGGAACTGTCTCATCCATCCACTCTCCCCGTACCGTACGATAGAGAGCGTGATCCTACGCTCAGCACCGGCCGGTCGACCATTACTTTGTGTCGACACCCTCCAGAGTACCTGGAATCATCACGACTCTCATTCAAGAGCCGATACCGGTCCTTGACGCCTGCGCCTTTCGCCTGTCCGCTCAAACTGTTGCTCGAGCACCAAGTGCAGCCGAGTGCAGCTCTCGATATTGCTCTCGACGATTCCTCCAGACTCCTTTGACTTTTGAAGACAGAAGACTGCTGCGAGCACGACTCTCGAACTTCCTGCGCGAGCCTTGTCACACCGTCGAGCACGCTCCGTACGTGTTCGCATTACTATCAGACCATCTTCGCCAATAGCCGCGGGGAACCCGAGTCCGTGTTTGGCTGGCAACGCATCCAGTCCGGCTCCTCCTTTCGAAACCGTACTTCCGTTTATTCAAGTCGAATTCAACAATACCGTTAAAATGGCCGACGGATTCGCCCCGCGCACCATGAAGCGCAAGAATGTCAAGGGCCTCGCCTTGACACCTGCCGCTCCCAAGCCGCCCCCGACCGCTGAATCGGCCGGCGGCCGCGACGACGGTGGCAAAGATGGCCAACTCGAGATTGGAATCGAATACAAGCTCGATCTGCGACCAGAGGACTTGGAGGTGGTGCGTGAGCTTGGCTCTGGAAACGGTGGTACCGTGAGTAAGGTGCGGCATCTGACAACAGGCACTGTTATGGCTCGCAAGGTATGTTTCCAACCCATGTTCAGGGAAAAATGACTTGCGCTAAGAGAATCAGATCATCCATGTGGAGGCTAAGAGGGAGGTGAGGAAGAGAATCGTAAGGGAGCTGCAAATCATGCACGGGTGTCACTCAGACTACATCGTCAACTTCTACGGAGCGTTCCTGAACCACAACAATGACGTTATCATGTGTATGGAGCACATGGATGTCGGGTAAGTCCTCCTGGTCATATGGGCAAGGTATCTTGGCTAACAAATAAGCTCACTTGACTGGGTATCGCGCGTTTTTGGTCCAGTCCGCGTCGACGTCCTGGGCAAGATCGCAGAGGCGACGCTTGGTGGCCTCACCTATCTCTACACCAAGCACCACATCATGCACCGCGACATTAAGCCGTCCAACATCCTCGTCAACTCGCAGGGTGGCATCAAGCTCTGCGACTTTGGTGTGTCAGGAGAACTGGTGAACTCCATTGCTGATACTTTTGTCGGAACATCGACGTACATGGCACCCGAGCGAATCCAGGGCGAAAAGTACACCGTCAAGTCGGACGTGTGGAGTTTTGGCCTGTCTGTCATGGAGCTCGCAATCGGCAAATTCCCCTTTGCCGCGAGTGAGCAGTTATCAGATGGCGACGGCGAACCAGCTGGTATCCTGGATCTCCTCCAGCAGATTGTGCATGAGCCTGCACCGAAGCTGCCCAAGAGCGACGCATTCCCCAGTATCCTCGAGGATATGATCCAAAAATGCTTGTACAAGGAGCCCGACCTGCGGCCTACACCGCAGGATCTATATGTGAGTTTCGATAGAGATAGGTCAAGGTCGACGCTTGCTAATCAATCTAGGATCGCGAGCCTTTTGTGCAGGCCGCCAAGAGGACGCCGGTTGATCTACGTGCCTGGGCATGCGGCATGATGGAGCGCGACAACCGCAAGTCTCACCTTGCGCCTCAGCTGTCGCCCTCGACACAAGATCTCCTCCGCTCCAAGGAGTGGCCCACGCAGACCCAACAGCAGCAGCAGCAACAACAGCAAGCCAGGGAGGTTGCCTCTGACGAACGCAACATTGAAACCCCAACCTCGGGCGAGATCCCCATTGCTGGCACTGGGTACGTCTCGACGCGCGACTATGCGCCCTCTAGCCGCTCACCAACGCGCAGCACCACCAGCTCCGGCGGACGAACGCCACTGCTCCGCGGCAACACCACCAACTCAATACCCAAGGTTGCCGGGTACAGCGAGAATGGAGGTCACGCACCTTCGGGGTCGACATCTTCCACTACATTTGCGCTACCCGTTCGTCCAGGGCCTTCGGGTCACATGGCGCCGCCACCCCCCCGGAACGCAACGCCTGATGGATCGAGGAGGGAAGCCAGAGAGGCAAGAGACGCGCGGAGGCAGCCACAATACGGCCTGCCCCCGAACCCAGCATATAATGTCTGAAAACAGTGAAGAAAGGCGGATTTTCTCAAAGCAAGTCTAGCATAACAATGGCGTAGATTCTTTCATTTGACATTGATCTCTCTCCCTTGGAAACCCGCGTCAAGAACCTCAATGAGCTCCTCCAGGCTATGAATCACCAGATCCGTATGTTCATGCTGACTCAAGTCCCTGTTGACGTCGTTGCCGAGCAGGACAGTAGCAGCGCCAGCTTCCCGTCCCGCGGTCATGTCGTCGATACTGTCGCCCACCATGATCAGGCCGCTGCCGTCACCCCGCCCGTCATCACGGACGAGTCCCCATTCCTGTGCAATGTGTAGGATACCCGCTGGATCTGGCTTTGCAGGCTTGAACTCCCTCGTCACGATGGGGTGGAATACCGAGCCTTCCAGGAAATTCGTCAGTAGATTTTTCACGGGCACGTCAAAATTCCGTGTGCAAATAGCCTTCCGCACTGATCGGCTGTCGAGGTAGTCCATGAGTGCCCTGAGTCCCGGCTGGGGCTTCTGTGTCTCCATGGCCTTGCGCTCAATGGCGCGGATGGCGTCGTGGGCGGCAGGCTGCTTGTCTGCCGGTAGCTCTTCGATGTGGTGCAGGATGTCAGTGGACTTTGGTATTCCAAGGGCTGCCCGCATGTCTGAGAACATATATGTCTGGGGTTCACTACATGGGATGGTCAGTCTCGCTCACGTTTTTCAAGCAAAGACTCGTTTATGCACAGGCATGTTGATCAATGTACATGCGCAGCGAGCCCAACTCACCAGAGTGTCCCATCCATGTCAAAGACGACGCCTCTTAGCACAGGCAGCTCGCCTGCTGCTGGCCTCAAGCTCTCTTTCAGAGGCGCGAATCGTCGAGCGGATGAAGCCATTGTCGCAAAGAGCCTTCTGTACATGGAAAGGCGAATGTATGGTCAATGAAAGCTGCAGGTCTAGTTCTCCAGGCTGATGAGAGTGTTGGGAAGCGCAATTCTAGGATAATCCCTTTCGTTACATCAAAGAGAAGTCAGTGACGATGTTATCCTATTACCAGGTAGTCCAAAGCTCAAGTGGGTACCCCTGTGCGGTTGTGGCTGAAGCACCCAGTCCAGTCGTCACTGTGGCTTATGCGCCTCCAACCCCTGCGACCCTGTCTGCTGGTCCCATGGCGCGGTACGGCGCTTCGAGGTCCATCCTTGATTGAAGGGCTCCCACGTCAGACAGCCTACACGGGAGCTCGACCAACCTTCCTTTCCCTCCAATTCTATCGAACCTTGGCTTCTGGAGCTTCTTGAGAGGTTACACCGTCAAACATGATCATGTGCTGATCTCGTCGAAAACGCTGTCATGAGCCCCGACGAAAGCTCCCAGTCGGGGCCTTGGGGTTTGCGGCGTCCCAACAACAATAAACGCGGTGTAAGTGTCGCGCACCATTGGGCACGAAATCTTCGACCACTAACAACAAAGAAAACAAGGAATGGCACATTCATTATCCCCGCGACCGGCGAGCGATCTCGACGACAGTTCACCCTCCGAACCACCAGCTCGATTTCGGCCGGCGATGGCGCCAGTGATACCCTATCGACAGCTGAAACTGTCGGCGGCAAGATCAAGTCAGTCGCAAAAAGGGCCAAGGACAAGACCATTGGACTCTGGTACTGGTTTCAATCCGACGAAGGCCATGCCGTTCTCAAGTGCACCTTTGCCTATCTTCTGGGCAGCGGTGGTACATTCTTCCCGCCATTGTCCAACTTCCTTGGCCACCGTGACGGAAAACACGTCTCTGCGACCATCACCGTCTATTTCCATCCCGCGCGCTCCGTCGGATCCATGATCGAAGCCGTCTTTATCGGGATCATTGCCATCCTGTACGCCGAACTCATTGGTTTCATATCCATGGAGGTTGTAATCTGGGGCAAGGAGGCGTTCGACATCGTCCAGCCCGCTCACGTCATGGTATTGCTGCTCTGCGTTGGAGGCGGATTGGGGTTCGTGGGTTGGGTGAAGCAGCGGCTCAACCAGCCGCTTGTAAATGTCGGCTCCAGCTTGACCTCCATTGCCATCATCACTATCATAACCAAAGAAGAGGCGATCCAAGGCGGGTACGTGTCGGGCGAGAAGCCGTTGCAGATACTCAAGCTTTTGTTGCTGGGTGTCGCAAGCACCGTTGTTGTCAATCTCCTGGTGTGGCGCGTCTCAGCAAGACGCGTGCTACGGCAATGCATGATCAAGGCAGCTGCCGCGCAGGCTGACAGGTTATCATTCATCACCAGGGGGTTCTTGAACGGCACCGAGGAAGAGATGGACTCGCCCGAATATGCCAAAATGTCGGCCAACTACAACAAGGCCTACACGCAAATGACCAAGATGCTCCGCGAGGCCAAGAATGAGCACTACTTTGTTGGCACCGAGAAGCTCTACAAGCTGGACAGGAGCCTTGCCAAGTGTATTGAGACTGTGGCTCAATCTATTGGTGGTCTTCGCAGCGCGTTGGCGGCGCAGTTCATGCTGCTGAAGGAAGTCCCCGGCGCGGACCCCAAGGACCTGTCCACCCTGAAGCGCAGCAAATCTTTCCACATGGACGAGGCCACAGAGCAATTGTCGGTCATCAACGAATCGGACGAAGATGCGGAGAGTGCACACATGTATCGCTCAGAACCGACATTCGACAGCACACCCCTATTCCGAGCCCCCTCCGATATCTTCGCCCATTTTATCAACCTTTTAGGACCTTCTATGAAGTCACTGGCCTACACGCTGTCCGAAATCCTGCGCGAGTCACCATTTGGCGAAGACCCAAAGAATGAGATCACCGTCAATGATCAACTCCGTGAAAGCCTCAAGGATGCAGTCGCGTTGTACCACGAGGCTAGAGGCAACGCGTTACATGAGCTCTATCGTAGCATTGAGATGGGCCGCGTGCGCTCCGAGAAGATCCAGGCCGACATTGAAGAAGTGGCTGCTGCGTGTGGCCACTTTTCGTTCAGTCTGCAGGCAGTTGCTGAGGAGATGGATTCTTACCTGGACGTTTTGGAAAATCTTAAATTTGAGACGGAGCACAAAAAGAGGAGCTGGAAGTTTCTGAGGTTCTGGGAACGATGGAACAAGGCTTCGTCGCACTCGGATCCTCTCGGTCTGGAGGAGGCGGATCGCGAGCAGCTATTGCCCAAGGCGGGTGTAAGCCGACTGAGGCGGAGTGCTATACCCAAAGGCATCCCGGATGAAATGGTTGCGCGACGGGACACCTTCAGCTGGGAGGCTGCCCCAAACACGAGCATATGGCTCCGCAAGGTTTCGCAGGTGATGCTCAGGACGGCGCGATGGTTCACCAGGGAGGACGTCCTCTTCGGTATCAAAGTGGGCATTGGTGCCATATTATGGGCCATGTTCGCCTTCATTCCGGCGACCCGACCTATCTACGAGACCTGGCGAGGAGAATGGGGTCTCCTGTCGTACATGATTGTCAACGGCATGACAACTGGCGCCGCCAATACGACAGGCCTATCCCGATTCTACGGTACGCTGATTGGCGGTATCTGCGCCATTGTCGCTTGGCTCGTCGGGATGGAGAACCCATTCTTGCTGGCCTTTTGTGGCTGGCTTGTCGCCCTTTACAACTTCTACCTCATTGCCATCAAGAATGCTCCTCTTGGTCGCATGTCGCTACTGGCGTACAATGTCATTGTCCTGTACGCGTACAGCATCTCGCAAAGAGTCGATGACGACGACGACGACGAGGGCGGCACAAGCCCTCTGATCTTCGACATTACCTACCATCGTGTCATCGCGGTGACGTTGGGTATCGTGTGGGGTATCCTCGTGTGCCGTATTCTGTGGCCCATTTCCGCCAGGAAGAAGTTCCGCGAGGGCATGTCTGTGTTGTACCTCCAAATGGGTCTCATCTGGAAGAGGGGGCCTTTAGGCGTGCATCTAGACAGCGAGAGCACGCTGGACTACATGCGCGAGGGCGAGCAAGCTGCCCTGCAGCGGTATGGTGAGTTATGATTGTTCTCTGGGCAGCAGCAAATGACTAACATCCCCAGCCTTTAAACTCGAGTCTCTGCGCAACTCGGCCCAGCATGAATTTGAACTGCGAGGACCTTTTCCTCACGCTGCCTACGGGCGCATCATGCGCTCCACGAAACACATACTCGATGGCTTCTATGCCATGCGCCTTCTCACACAGAAACGAGCCAGCCTATCCGAGGGCGAGCGCGCGCTGCTCGAATTCACAGCCGAGGACCGTGTACAACTTTGCCAACGTATCTGTCACGTCTTTCAGGTACTGGCCTCATGCATTATGCTTGAATACCCCCTCACCGACGCCATTCCTACAGTAGATAGGAACAAGGACCGGTTGCTGGGCCGGATTCACCAGTTCCGGAAGGATCACATGATCGCCCAGGCGGGTGATGAAGGCGGGATGAGCGCGCTCGTCATCGCCGAGGAGAAAGACTACGCGCTTTTGTACGCGTACCTGCTGGTGACGAGTCAAGTGGCCGAGGAGTTGAAGAAGGTCAGGATGGAGATTGAAAGGCTGTTTGGTGTGCTACATGAGGAATCGCTGCTGCTAGAGTAGGGGTTCCGCGCATTCGATACATGTGACGTGCGTGGCCACTCTCAAGTCAAAGATACCATCAATCTCATGAGACATCTCTTTCCAGTGATTCGACAAGCCTTTGTCTTGGCCTGATTTTATGCTTGTAGTATCTTCATTATCTCATATACGGCTTATTTGACCGTGCCTTTGTTGATGCCAAAGATACATTCCCTCGTCCTACCAAGTCCACCCACCTCGTACTCGATCCATCGCCCGACGCCTCTGCGTCCCTCGACAAGTACGCTCCCGGGGTTCATCACGTGGCACCCCTCGTACGTCACGCAAAAGGTGGGCGCGGAGGTATCGACCAGCACCATGGCGGTGGGAAGGGGGTATATGTGTAGGCTTGATGCAAAGTCCCAGTGTACAGGCCGGATTGAAGGCGGAAACGGTGACATGTACCCCTGGTCGAGGATGGACTTGACCATTTTGCGTGCGGCGTGGGTATCCGACTTGCTCTCCGGTTTAGAGCCCTCACTCACGCCTTCGTCGTTCGTCTGGCTGGCGTCCACTCCTTCGGGGGTGGAAAATGAGGGCGCCGCCACGTCAAGGTCCATAGCGTCCCCCTGTACCTCTTCGGGCACATCCTGCCCAGAATCTTGTGGAGGTTTTAGGTGAACGCTCGTTCGACGCAGCCGAGACGACATGTCGTCCCGCATGACGACGATTTCGTGTTCTGGACCGAAAACAGTCATCCGGGCGGGATTGCTCCCCCATATCGCCTCGCCTTTTACAGCTGCAGCATTATCTGCGTTTGCCGTCGCGAAAGCTCTTCGCACGCGCGATGTGAACATCTCTGGTACCCCTTTCCTGGGCAAGGGCGTCGATGCCCCCGCCGTGAATGATGAGACCCATCCGTCGTTATCGCCCGGTACGAAGAGAAATGTCGATGCCTGCAGCAGGTGAGGAAAGTCGGCGAGGACAGACGCCAGAGCGTCGAAATACTCCTTGTACTCAATGGAGCCACCACTGCTCCCTCCACGTGCCAGGACAGCATGCGTGGTGAAGTTTCCCGTTATGACAAAGGATAGAGGTTCGGGGGTGTTGTAGATGGACAGGATCTGTCGCAGTGCCTGCAGAGCTCGAGGGTTGTCCAGGTTCAGCTCCCCTAGGATGACGATCTTGCTCCTTCGCCCCTCAAACGACGGAGAGAGGAGGCGATTCTGGAGGCGCCTCATCTTGCTGCCGAGAGCGCGTGAGGACCCAACGCCCAAGAAATCGATCCAACCAAACCCGCCGCCAATAGTGTGGTCGCTCCCGCTTCCGTCGCTGATACCAAGCGTTGCCTTGCGCTTCTCACACGGCGGCTGGCCGATGAAGAAACCCTGGAACTTCCCACCCAGCACACCTCCCACGCCAGAGGTCCCACTAAGACCCTTGCCGTGAGACTCGTCCTCTTCCTCGTAGACACCATCAACGAGTACGATCATCCCTGGGCAGAACCAGGCCGAGTCGGCTGGGATGGAGACCGCGGACTTGAGATCGAGGGCGATCGTGCCTGAGAGGTCTGAAATAGCGATGCCACCGGAGGGAAGTGTCACCAGCAGGCCGAGGAGCATGTGGCTAGAGCCATGGCGTCCTAGCAAGTTTGCTATGGGCGTAATCTTCAGGGATTGCTGGTTGGTCACCGTCTCTTTCCCGACATGGTGCTTTCGCGATGCCGAGACCGACGATGTCTGAAAGGCTTCGTTTCGAAGGATCCGTTGGTGGATCACATGGTATCGATTTCGGAATAATGTCGTTTTATGATCGGCGGGCGGTAGCAATGACGGTTTCGACGTCTCCCTCTCAAAGTGTTTTTTACCCACGTTGAACAGCAGACGGGGCTGCTGGTACGCATCTACCACCTGCAGCCACGCCCGAGGATCGTTTGCCTCGTCATCCTCGTCGCCCTGCTCTTCCTGCACACCCTGCGCTGACATGCCAAAACTTGCATTGCTGTCCTCTCGAGGCGGCCCGCTTGGTCGCAATCCCAATCGCGTGTTCAGATCATCCTCGCCGCTGAGTAGCGAGTCACTCCGTTGCAGGCCCCGGTTGGGCCCTGTGATTTTGCCGCCAGACATGTTTCCCTCCAAGGTTTTGAGGATATCGTGGAGTTCCTTTGAGGCGCCATCCACCATGACACCACCATTCCTATTCTTCCATGATCGCGCAATCTCCTCGAGCACACGCTCGGCTAGGCCTTCCTCCCGCCATCCGGAGCCGCAGTGCCGCCCGATGAAGCCAGCGAGCTCTTGTAGCGCGGACGAGGTTAAAGTGAGCGAGTGTTTCTTTGTAAACGTTCGGAAGGCGAGTGGTCGGAGTGTCGCAGGCGGGAGAATTATGGGGAGGATGGTCGTTTTGGGGGCATTGAGAGCGAAGGGCTTCAGAGGATGAGCTGGGGTGCCAAAGGCCGGTGAGGACGATGGCAAGTTGGAAGACGGAGGGATGTTCTTGTTACGGAAGAGTGGTGCGGGCGTCTTGTCCATTCTGGCGGCTTGGGCACTTTGCGCCAGGGAGAATAGTGCTGGTGATGGCGTCGCCTAATAATCTAGTACCGATCCATGGTAATAGAGCAAGGCGGCCAGAGGTGGGATGTTGGAGACGCGTCGACGCGTTGAGTGATTCGCTTAGTTGCGTATTCTGGATAAGCGAATATCTCGCGCTGGACCCTTGGTGATATCATCGCCCAGAGAATCACAGCTTCTACAGTTACAGCTTTATTACAGTCAAATCAGAAAAGATGTTGCCAGCAGCGTCCTGTCGATGGGTCTCGAGGAGCAGAGCTCTTTTGGCTCGCCCCGTCAGCACCCTCTCCAACAACAGTCACATTGTACGTTTCCTCTACCCGCAATGAAGGCCTATCTAGTCTAACATGTCCAGAAAGTCTTCAATGACCCAAATAACCCCGTCAACCACATTCTGACCTACCTCGACAACGACCCCCCAATCAGTCGCCTTGCCATTGGCACTACTTCGCAGATTCCCCCCACACCGAACACATTCAAGGAGAACCGCGAGTTCATGAAGATCCTGGATCAAGTCGTCGAGCAACACGGGCACGAGGACAGTGACGTGACCAACCAGGCACAGGCCTTCGCGTCCACGGGCGGTTTCAACCTAGGCTCGGGCGGTGCCTTCGTCTCCGGTGCGCAGCGTCGACAAAACAGAGGCTCATCAGCGAAGCAAGGCGCGGGTGGGGGTGCAGGCGGATCGGGAGCGGGCGGCGCGTCTGCGCAGGGTGGCGCCGGCGGTGCTGGCCGAGGCGGCTGGGTGCATCTGAGCGATCGGAGGAACCCACCGGACTTTGGGCGCATCGCCTGGCCGGAGGATATCCTGGGCAGCGTCGAAGTGGACGACACGGGCAACGTCGTGGGCAGGTGCCAGCCGAGTGGGACATACAGGGTGTTGACGAACGAGGGGATGCTGGGCCTGAGCCCGTTTCTGAGGGCCAGGTTAATAGAGAGGCTGAAAGAGGAGGCGAAAAGGGGGCAGTAGATACACGGGGCGTGCTGTATGATCTACACGCTGAGCTATGTACTTTACCTGTAAACTAGTCTACCGTACTAGTAGGTTGCGCGTTACGACCGCCCCGCTAGAAGCGACTGTAAAACTCTCTCTTGTGGCAGTAATTGCCGGCAGCTAACAATTAGCAATCGTTGCCAATTTTCCTAATCTTTCCTAACCACAATCTTTATTTGTCATATCTTCTACCGAGTCTTCCAGTGTTATCTTGTGTGAGGTTGCTGCTGATAAGGACGTGGGAAGCCGGCGTCCTCCGGCAGCGCTGGATCTGATAAGAAGGACAGCGTCAGCCCATTCTCGCCCAGAGTCTAATTCCTTCACACATTCATCCACTTGCACAACAAAAGAAGGATCCACGAATTTGCAACATGTCGTCGCACATACAGATCGAGCCCATGAAGGGCAACCTCCAATTCGGCGCCAACGTCACAAACGTGGACGTGGAAAATCTGACTGGTGAGCATGACTGAAAGAGACATAATGTGGGAGAATACCCGTTACAATCGGTAACCTCCTCTGGTAAAGACTCCATGTTCTTCAATCCAGTGCAGTACTCTGACCGGCCCTTGCAGATGCCGATTTTGAGGCCCTCCGCGAGGCACTCTTCACCCATCAAGTGCTCGTCCTCAAGCAACAGGGCCACATCAGCCCCAAGGCACAGTACGCGCTCACCCAGCGCTACGACCCTACCGCCACAGGCTCCTATGGCCATGGGAAGACGCTCGACGCCAAGAAGTCTATCCTTCATCCTGATCTCAAGACCATCCCCCATCAGCCCCAGGTCCAGGTCATCGGCAACGGCTTCGTGTCGTCGTACGAAGGGCTGGAGAACTTCACGCTGAAGCATCCTCACCACAAGACTTTCCACGAGACCGTCATCCCAGAGGAAGACGACTTGGACTTTACAAGGTTCTACAGGTGGCACATTGACGCCGCGCTGTATGGTCTTGCGCCTCCCGTGGCCACCACCCTGCTGGCCGTGCAGGTGCCCGGCGGCAGGAGACAGACCATCCGCTACGACGACGGTACGGGTGACGAGCTCGAGGTGCCTCTGGGCACGACGGCGTTCGTCAACGGTGAGGCCATGTATGATGCGCTGTCCGAAGAGGACAAGGCCTTCGCCAGGGGGACAAAGGTGGAATACGCCGCGCATCCGTACATCTGGATGTCTGGCGCCAAGTCCCGCCCCACGGGCCTCGGTCTCATCTCGCAGAACAAGGAGCTACAGCCGGAGGAGCTGCCGCCCGTCGACGAGACCATGATCCAGACACTCCCCATGTGCTGGAAGAACCCCGTCACCGGCAAGCTTGCCCTGCAGATACACCCGTCCGCGGTCCGCCGTCTCCATCTCGAGGACGGATCGGTGGTGGACGATCTTGAGAGGGTGAGGGACATTGTGTATCGCCTCCAGCGGCCAGGCATCGCGCCGCAGCGAGTCTATGCGCATGACTGGGAGGCGGGTGATCTGGTCATCTTCCACAACAGAGGTGTCCTGCACTCTGTTGTTGGTGCCTTTGCCGAGGATGAGGTCAGGGTGTTCAGGCAGTGCAACATTGCTGGCAGCCAACTACCTGTGGGGCCTGAAGCTGTGGGTATTGCTGCTTAATTGTGTTACAGATCTGGTAGTCCCTCATAATCAACCTTTGACTCTGGAATATACTTGTACAGGCCTAGCCTTGAGACCGCCCCTATGATCGTCCGCTGGATCCAGATACCCCATCCTGAGTCTGGATTGATCAGCTTGGGCAGCCTCCCCCCCAGTGGAATGGCCTGGATCTTGTCCACGTAGCCCCTCATCATCTGCTCGTACTCTGCAAAGGCCTTTTCAAGGTTGTCACTGTGGGTGATGATGCAGTGTGCCAAGATATACGCTCCCAAGACAGCCGTGTTGGTCCCCTGGCCAGTCAGGGGCGAAGGACACCATGCTGTATCACCCAACAGGACACATTTCCCGTGCGACCACTTGTTCAGCTTGATCTGAGAGATTTCCTCAAAATAGAAGTTGTCCGTCGTGAGAATCTCGCGTGCCATACGGTCCGTCTCCCATCCGCTGCCCTTGAATCTCGCCGACATGATCTCTCGTTTTCTTCGGGTGTCCCTTGATCGCCTAGCTTCGCTGAGCTCATCGTCATGGTTGGCAACGCTAAGGTACGCTGAGGAGATATTCTCGTCAATGGGCTTGATAAGGGCGTTCCTTGATCCGGGCAAGCTGAGTAACCGGCTGTATGGTCTGTCCTGTACCTCCGCTGGCAAGCTGAAGAAGGCGATATATACATCCAGCGATTTGATGCAGTCTTTCCTCAGGTTCGCGGGGAGAATGAGATTCCGCGTTTTTGATCGTAGGCCGTCTGCGGCAACGACAAGATCAAATCCATCCTTTTGCGTCTCCTTTGTCTCGACGTCGGACACTTCCACGAGAACGTCGTCCTGTCTCTCCTCTATGGCGGTGACGGTCTTGCCAAACCTCCACTGCACATTTTTATACTCCCTGGTAGCATTGTAGATGACCTTGCTGAGTCTTGGTCTCATGATCTCGATCTCTTTGCTCGCACCACCACTCTGACCGGCTGGCAAGCGACCGATCAATCCACCTTGCTCATTGACGACCTCGATTCCTTGCTCGTGGGTGGATGCTTCGCGTAGCAAGGGGAGGAGATTGAGACGAGACATGATTTCCTGCGAAGGTCCCTCAATATCAACGACCTGGCCAAGCTCTGACTGAGTGGTGCTGCGTTCGAGAATCGTGATCTGCGAAGAAGGGAGATGTTTAGCGAGAAGCAGGGCAAGAGTTGGACCGGCGACTCCACCCCCAACTATGAGGATGCGTTGGACAGTCATGGTGATGTTGCTGTAGGCTTGAGGATAGATGTGAGAGAGCGCGAGGTTTGGTTACACCCAAGTTGCTTATGTTAGGGATACGTGATACTAAAGACGGCTCAACGAAGGGCTTGCTATGGTATTCATGGGCCCTCGTTTCTTGTGATAAAGGACCTTATGCACAGCACTTGCACTCGCAGCTCGGGACTTTTCGCAGTTCGGAACTCTTCGCAGTCCGAAGCGATGCGACGGTGAGGCTGCTAAAGGTGGAATGAAGATATATTATTGCATGCAGCCCATGCTGAGTAGCCTTATTGACGTCATGACATCTTCTCACAGCCAGGCCAACGCTAAAGACGGCAAATGTTCGCCGCTGATCGGAGACTGAACTTGGCTAGTTATCCGTAATGTCAGCTACAGTCATTAGAACAATAAAGATCAACAGGGGATTTAGTTCTTGTTTGAGCGTGAGCTGGATTTCGGCGCCATCCTCCCAAATATTTGATTCTGATGTTGACATCAGGGGTTCGTGTCCAAGACGACAGCATCGACGACGGAAGAAGACGGGTCAATTGACGGCTGCAAGGGTGCACCATGCCCATTTCGTGCATCTCTTAAATTTCACCCAAGAAAATCAGGGTGCACTGCACCGTCAGCTGCCATGCATGCACGTCCAGAACAAGATAGGGTAAGCCGATGTCGTGCAACCTGAGCCTTGGAACCATCACGCTGCTGGCTGTCATATATCATGTTGCAATAGGCCAAGCCTGTCGTGGAGCGCCCGCCGAGCCATCTTTGGAAAGCCTGGCCTTTCGTTCCCGTGGGATTCAGGGTAGTCAACATTCCCGCGATTCATTAAAGTTTGCCAGACGGACAATAGCGAGACTAGAGGCGGAGGAAAAGGTCCGACAGCAGTTAGTGTACAGCAGCCGAAGTCCAGTCATTAGGGACTAGACTGGAAGGCAGCCCTACATGTATATGCGCTATGTACAGCATGTCATGGCGCTGTAGGCAATTCCAAGCAGCGGGCGCTTCCTGAATCGGCCTGAACTTTGGCGGGGTTCTACAGGGCCAGGCCTGCAGCGACTGGACCCCGCCCCCTCCATTGGTGGCCATGGCGGGCACTCACAGGCGCAACCAGTAGGGCACCGGCTGCTGCCGGTTGGCTGCCCAGCGACTGGAGTCCAGGTGCAGCCCCAATCCGATACCGTCATTTGCTCTCGCCAACCTCGATTCTCCATACCAGACGTCGCACACGACACGACTCTACTCTATCGCCAGACGCATAATCACCGTCTACCTTTAGGCAGGCCAGGCCGGATCCACGAGTCAAGCGAGCATCTACACCCCGCCTACCGACGTCCACCTCATTGGGCGCGGCCCGCCTGCGAAATTCCCTCCCCGTCACTGAGTGACTGCAACGCACCGCACGCACAGGGGCCTGGCCCGACGAAGCGACTGGACAAGCAACCCATCCGCATACCCTGATTGAGTAATCACTCAGCCTACTGTCGACATCCATCTGGGCCCTGTGCCAGCAAGTCTCCGCGCTAGCCGCAGGCCGTGGCTGGTGCTCCAACCCAACCCAACCCGGACGTCATGGCCCCCGGCCGCTTCGAGGACGAGGAGCTCACCATCTCTCTCTCGTCATCCCACGTGCGTCGACAGCTCCAGCAGCCACCCGAACCACAGCAGCACAGCAAACAGCATGGCGACGAGTCGGCGGCCTCGCCTCGACCCCCTACCGCAGCCATGAGCACACCCCGCAAGGAGAAAGCAAAGACAGAGCAGCGCATCGGTGCGTATAAGGTCGTGCGGACGCTGGGCGAGGGCTCCTTTGGCAAGGTCAAGCTTGCCATTCACAATGGCACCGGACAGCAGGTCGCCCTCAAGATCATTGCGCGCAAGAAGCTCATCAGCCGCGACATGGCTGGCCGGGTAGAGCGCGAGATTGAGTATCTGCAGCTGCTGCGGCACCCCCACATCATCAAGCTCTACACGGTGATCAAGACGCCCGCCGAGATCATCATGGTCCTCGAGTACGCGGGCGGGGAGCTGTTTGACTACATTGTCGCCCACGGCCGCATGAAGGAGCCCGAGGCACGACGCTTCTTTCAACAGATGCTGTGTGCCGTCGAGTACTGCCACCGCCACAAGATTGTGCATCGCGACCTCAAACCCGAGAACCTGCTGCTGGACGAGAACCAGGACATCAAAATTGCCGACTTTGGGCTGAGCAACATTATGACGGACGGCAACTTCCTCAAGACCAGCTGCGGCAGCCCAAACTATGCGGCCCCCGAAGTCATTGGAGGCAAGCTCTACGCGGGACCCGAGGTTGATGTGTGGAGCTGCGGCGTCATCCTGTACGTCCTGCTCGTGGGCCGCCTGCCGTTCGACGACGAGCACATCCCGAGTCTGTTCGCCAAGATTGCGAAGGGGACGTATAGCATTCCGCAGTGGATGCCGTCCGGGGCCGCGAACCTCATCAAGAAAATGCTGGTCGTCAACCCGGTGCAGCGGGCCACGATTGAGGAGATTCGCGACGACCCGTGGTTCCTCACTGACCTGCCCATCTACCTGCAGAGGCCGGCCGAGGAGTTCTTCAACACCGGGGTGGACCCCAACAAGGCCATTGCCAAGAGCGACATTGCGCCCAACGCGCCCGAACGTGTACAGGAGAAGCTCCACGAGGAGATCACGGACAAGATCAGCAAGACGATGGGGTACGGAAAGGTTGATGTCGAGGAGGCCTTGCGGGCCGAAGAGCCATCAGCCATCAAGGACGCCTACATGATTGTGCGCGAGAACAAGCTCATGCAGGTGAACCAGCACCCGGAGATCTTGCAAGCCGAGATTGAAGGCGGGAGCCCCATGATGAGCCAGTCGTCGCGGTCTGGCATCTCCGGCAGCGGCATCGGCTCGAGGCCCTACGTCAGCAAGGTCGGCATCTTGCCGAGCAGCATCCCCACATACCACAAAGACTACATGGAGAGGAAGAATGCGGGCGAGGACACAGTCGCGCCACCGGCGGCCGCGGGCATCGAGGAGCCGCCGTCAAACCGTACAGATGCCGAGAAGCAGGAGATGGCGCGCCGTCTCAAGCCCCACTCGCGGAGCCAGCTGCGCATCGACGAGGCGGCCAAGCGGCCGCAGGGCATGACGCCCATCAACCCAACTAAGAAGCCGAAGCCTGTGCGCTGGCAGTTTGGCATCCGGTCACGTAACGCGCCGTGGGAAGCCCTGCTGACGATCCACAAGGCGCTGCGGAAGCTGGGCGCGACCTATATTCCCGACGAGGATTATGACCCCCGACAGGGCAAGGACAGCGAGCCCCCCAGTGGTACAGGTAGCTTCGCGGATGACTACGCCAGCGCCGGCGAGTCAGGGAAAGGGTCAAGTCTCAGTGTCGATCCGGCCAAGAGGTACAAGCTACCGGCCGACCCGTGGCGCATCCGGGTGCGCTGGGAGGTGAAAGGTAAGGACAGGACCCCAGGATGCTTTGGTATTTGCGGAAGCTAACCTGACATTGTTGTTGTAGTGGGCAGTGATGACGCAGACAAGAACAATGTGCCCAAGGATCCCTATGTGCACGAGCGCTCGGCCGAGGGCGTCGTCAAGCGTGGCTTTGTCGCGATGCATCTCGACATTCAGATCTACGAGATGGAGCAGGGCGTCTACCTGGTGGATTTCAAGTGTTCCGGATACGAGACCGCGCAGGGGAAGCTCCTCGAGGAGAAGGAGGTCACCAGTCCGTATCCATTCCTGGACATGGCCGCGCGGCTGATAATGCAGCTCGCGGAGGCGGACTGAGGTGAATCCTCTCGGAGGAGCAATAGACACACGGCCGCGTACGTATACGAGGACAACGGAGGATGGCGTTTCGCAGAGGGACGGCGCACACAGATGGCCGCTGCGACGGTTGCTTTGGACGGGACGGTATGAGATGTGTTCTGAATTTATGGAACAAGTCAAGGCCTTGACGGACGGCCACGGTGGCGTACGGTACGGTATCTCTAGAATAGACCGGGCTCGCTTGCTGGCATGGGCTGGCGCTGAACATACCAAGTTACATATCATGCGCCCCATGGGACATTCGACGCCCAGTTTCACCTCCAACTGTGAGAGCGCACGCAACGCAGAAAGAACATCCATTCATACATTTCATGCCTATGTAGGTCCAACATCTCTTCCCCTTCAGCACTCACTTGAACTGATCCTCGGTGACGCCAGCGCCCATGGCGGCGGTGCTGCTGATGCCGCCGGTGACCATCTTCTGCAGCTCGTCGACATAGGTCGCGCCGCTCCACTTTTGGTGCTTGACGACGTCGACGCCGAGCTCCATCTCGGGCTCCTGAACGCGCTCGCCGTAGGCGCGCATGCCCTGGGCGGCGTAGGCGCGGGCAAACGAGTCGCTGGCGAGGGCGGTCGTGTGCAGACCCGCCAGGGTGATGAATTGCCAGCAGTAGCCGAGGCTGGCGAGGCGGTGGATGTACGTCTCCTGGTCGTGGCGCGGCATGGCCGTCTTCCAGTTGAAGGAGGGGCTCAGGTTGTAGGCGAGTCTGAGGGGGTTAGCTTTCGATCTCTCTCTCTCTGACAAGAGGACTTACTTCTTCTCTGGCCACACGGCGTGGACGCCGTCGGCAAACTCGCGGGCCTGTGCAAAGTCGGGCAGCTTGCTCTCCATCCAGATGGCGTCGCAGTAGGGGGCGTAGGCGACGGCGCGGTTGACGGCGCAGTCGCAGCCGCCCTTGAGGCGGTAGTAGCCCTCGCGGGTGCGGGGGGCGTCCCAGTCAAAGTAGACGTCCTCGCCGAGGAGCTGGCGGGCGAGCTGGCGGGCCTCCCTGTTGGACTTGCCCTTGGCCTGGGCCGTGTACTTGGCCTTGAGGGCGTCCTTGTTGTTGGCGAGGGCCGGGGCGGCGTCAATGTGGGCGAGGACGGCCTCGTCGAAGCGCATGAGGCCGGCGGCGGCGAGCCAGTCGTCCTCGATGCGCTGGAGTTCCGGGCCGAGCTTGCCCTCCTGCTCGGCGCGGGCCATGAGGTCGTTCAGAGGCCCGAGCTGGGGGTTGGTGCAGCCGAGGATGAAGGCGTGGTCGCGGGCGTCAATGGTGGTGGTGATGAGGGTGGCGGCCTCGGCGTCGGTGCGGGCAATGGCGAGGAGGTCGGAGCCCATAATGTCGGCCTGGGCGCGGATGGCGACGAGGCGGTTGATGTGCTCGCTGATGGGGACGAGGACCTTGCCGGCCATGTGGCCGCACTTCTTTGTGCCGGGGGCCTGGTCCTCAATGTGGATGCCGGCGGCGCCCTTTTCGACAAAGAGCTTTGTGAGCTTCATGACGGCGGTGAGACCGCCGTGGCCCGTGTCGGCGTCGGCGATGATGGGGCGGAGGTAGTCGACGTTGGCGAGGGCGGCGCGCTGGGCCTTGGGTGTGGTGATGCGCTCCTGGCGCTGCTTGCGGTCGTGGAAGAGCTGGGCCATGAAGAGGTGGCCGACCTTGTTGGGGACGGTGGTCTGGGGTCACTGGTCAGCCAACTCCTGAAGTGGTTGTGACTATAGGAGACGCACGTAAGGGTAGTCGGCCAGGTCAGGGCCAGGCTCGTCCGAGGCCGAGGCGGTCGACGACGACTGCCAGCCGGAGACGTAGATGGTGTCGAGGTACTTGGCCATCTGGGTGACCATGGTGGGCTCGAGACAGCCATATGTGTAGCTGGCATCCTTGGTCGCGAACCTCTTCTCGAGAATGTCCCACAGCTTCTTGGCCTGGGCGTTGCTCGGATACTCAATCTTGAGGTGGCCTCGCTTGGACACAATCTGCTCGGCGGTAAAGGGCCGCTTGGTGTGGCGCCAGCGAGGTTGCGACCACCAGTCCTTGACCTGCTGTACTTCTTGCGCAAAGAGCTCGTCCTCGACGTCCGGGTTGACGGCCGGGTTGGCCATGCTGTTGGTCGCCATGTTGACAGACAGTATAGTAAGACACGGATGATGAGAGCAAGTCAGAGAGGGAGGAGAGTTGCAAGCCTAACTAGAGACTAGAAGTAGTAAGTAATACAGAAGTAACAAGCCGAGATGGATGAGCACGTGTCGGTCCAGCGGAATGGTCGATCGAGCTACGTGCCATGAATGACACACGCACGCCCTCCCGCCATTATTATATCACCACGGACGCGGCACACCAGGCCAGGCCAGGCCTCGCTCAATGGCATGGCATGGCATGGCATGACATGACATGAGTCTACGTACACCGTACACCCGACAGCGCCTCGGAAGCTGATCTAGAGCCCGGGATGGCCCGGATTGGGGGACAGGCCAGGCCACTGCTGGCATTTGATCGAGCGACTGGAGGACGAGGAGTAGCCGAGAGGAGGCAGTTGAGTGATGGGCGCGCGACGTTGTTCGGGTCAAGGGGCGGCCAGCAGCCGCGATTGGCCGAGGTACCGAAGAAAGCAGCCATTATGCCCTTGTTAGAATTTAGTTCACTTAGTTCGCCCTAGTCAGACTCTGGGGAAGATGGACGGACCCCACCCGTATCATTCATTGCCAGTGTCTGACTGTTGTTGGAGTCTCAGCTGGAGGCTGGAGGGTGCTGGTCAGTGGTATGTACATGTAGAATCCGCACAGCAGCAGCACTGGCCTACATGGGCTTGACAGGCGTCGCCTCATCAATTCAATTGAATTCTGATTGTCCTCAATGATTCCTCAATTCAAAGAATGTCCAATTCAAATGACAGACAGGGTGGACAGTCGTCGGGGGACCGGGTAGCTGGCATGTGAAAGCAGATCAGATCAGCCCCCTCCCTCCCCAGTCAGTGAGTGTCCAGTCAGTAACAATGCAGCGCCACTATGACATGTCGCGTTTCCCCATCACTGATCCCGCGATCGGATACTTGTCTCTACTTGTACTAGCTAAAGGAATGACTCAGCCTTGCGATGGCGACCCTGACGCCTGAGCCGAGGTCGACGCTCTCTCTCACCCGCATCAGGCCGAATGCGGCTCCTCCACCTCCACCTCCACAGACACTCGGTCACGCAGTCACTCACTGCCATGGAGCTTGCATGTGCTTGTAGACTCCATGTCATCGCTCTGCAAGTAATTCACCATTCGGATCCGAGTACGTACAGGGCAACACAAACGTCTGTTGCTACATGTACCTTGCCAATGTCTGTCTCTCAATGCTGAAACTCCACCACATGCAACACTGTCTGTATCTCACAAAGTCTTAAAGGCTAAAGCCCCCCCTCCTCCCGCTCAGCGTATCTGCTGCAAACTCGCCAGCTCCTTCTCCTCGTTCTGCTCCATGGCCCGCACAAACGTCTTGTACGGCGTCAGCGTGCCCAGCGCGCGACGCATGTGCGCGTTGATGATCTGCAGCCCGTACACGTAGCTCGCATTCACCCAGGCAAACCTATCGATTGTCAGTCAGTCAGCCACTCGTCACCTCAAATACACATCGGCCTACCCTTCCTTGTTCACGCCCTTGAACCCCAGGCCCTGGTTGCCGTACTCGGCGTCCACCCGGTGCGGATCAATCTCGCTCGTCACGTCGTACTTCTCCACCACCACACCGTGAAAGTCCACAAACGCCTTGGTCACCATAAACAGCCACTTGTACGCCAGCCGCTCCGCCTCCTCGTTGAAGCTGTACCGCAGGAGGCCCGTCCACGCCAGCATCTGCTGCGGCGGCCACCCATAGGGGTAGTCCCACTGACGGTTGGGACGGTCCAGGCCGACCTCACCTCGCGACTTCTCCGTGCCCGCTGCCAGGCCGCCATTCTCCTCGAAACGGGGCAGACCCTTGTGGACGAGGTCGGCCGCCTGCTTGGGCGACGCCAGGCCCGCCCACAGCGCCCACAGCGTCGTCGCCGACTCGTAGTTGCACTGCTCCTGCTTGACCGTGTCGTAGTCAAAGAACATGCCCTCCTTCTCGTTCCACATGAGCTTGTCCATGGTCAGCTTGCGGCGCTTGGCCCGACGGTCCCACGCCGCCGACGAGAGCACCTCGCCCGGCGCGTACGGCGTCCCCTTGCAGAACTCCTCCGGCATCACCAGCTTGTCGCCAAACACACCGCGGATCGTCCGCGCAATGTCCGTCTCGTACTTGAACAGCAGCGAGTTGAGGTCAATGGTCGCCAGGTTCGCGCAGACGCCCTCGAGGCGGTAAGACGTGTCGTGTCCAGACTCACGCACCGCACGGTCGTGCATAAAGTACTCGTCGAGCTCTGGCTCGATAATCTCCCGGTGGTTGTACGCCCGCACAAACTCCTTGAACTCCATGTTGTACTTTTTGATGTACGGCTCCAGCACGTGCACAAAGTGCGTGGCCTCCGTCTCGGGCGGCACACCCAGACCTTCGGGGCGGTACCGCGACAGGCCCGTGACGGGGTCCAGACGGGGCTCCGAGGTCCAGACCGTGTGGTACTCCTTGACGGCCGCCAGCATCGACCTGCGCAGGAACTCCTTGGACCCGGGCTCGTGCTTGATCTTCTCAAAGACGCGCAGCGCCATGTCTGTCAGGAAGGGCGGCTGCGAGCGGCCGAGGTAGTACGTCCTCGTCGCATTGAGGATCTTGCCGTAGTGCTCGATGCAGAAGCAAAAGTTGACCACCATGGACTGGACCAGGTCCACACGGTCATCCACGAGGAGACCCAGGCCCGCCATGTAGCTGTCCCACCCGTACAGCTCGTTGAAGCGGCCGCCAGGCACCACAAACGGCAGGCCCTCGAGCGTCTTCTCCCCCGTCTGGTCGTCCGTCACCTCCTCCGTGGCCACGACCAGCAGGCCGGGCTCCTCGTTGAGATCGCGGATGTACTCGGGGGTGATGTTCTCCGGCAGCAGCTGCACGTCCAGGTTGATCTCGGGCCGCTCCCTCGCCACCCGCATGTAGTACTCGTACTGCTCAGGGGCACCGGGGGGGATGTAGATTCTGGGCGTCGGCTTGTCCGTCCAGTCCTTGGGATCCACGGCCGCCACCTCGACCGTCGAGGCATCAATCTTCCGGGTCAGGCCCTCCCAGAAGTGATCGCGGATCACGCGGTGGAGCCGGTCCACGGGGTTCTCATTCAGGCGGCCCTCGTCCAGGATGATCTCCTTACGACCATACTCCTTGGCGAGGGTCAATTCCTGCAGGAGGTTGGACAGCATGTACGTCCCGCGCACGTCGAACTTGTTGTAGCCGGCCGAGGCGGCCGTGCGGAGGGGGATGACCTTGGGCCCGCGGTCCTCGACGGTGATCTGCATCGCCTTGTGGTCGTCTTCCTGCTCGAGCAAGCTCTTGAGGGTGGCGTCCACCTGGACGAGGAACCGGCGACCGTGGCCGAGAGCTCGTTCATCTATTCGTCACCTGGTCAGCTGTGCTCTATCTCTGGGATCGTTTGTCTCCTGGGACGCACCGTGACTTCCACGTCGAAAGGGGGCCGCCTGGGCCTCCCTCATGCCAAACCGATCAAAGTTGCGCAGGAGACTATTCTGCGAGTACGTTCGAGTCCGAGGGCCATATTTGTTGTGTCGATCGTCCGAGGTGTAGTACGTTTTGGCGTCGTCGTACACGCCATAGTCCTCCGAGCCCCTCGTGCGGTGGCTCGCTTGCTCGGCCATGTCCTGTTCGCCCTGGATGGAGTCCTTATCTGGGAGCGGTGAGGGTGATCGACGGGAGGGGGACCAGGCAGGTCAGTCGTGTGGTGAGGTGACGAATGAGGGGTCGGTGTATGCTGTATACAGTCGTGATGCAAGTCGATTGCGGTGTGCTCGCGGTGCTTTCGCGCAACGTGGAGGTAGGAGTAGGGCTTGATTTGTCCGCGTGCAACTGATGGGCGGTAAAGAGACTGCACTGGGCTGGATGCGGGAGGAGCGCAGAACCTTCTGCTTCGAATTGTGTGATGACGCGGGTAGCAGCTCTTCTCAATGCGGTAATCTAGGGTAGGGGATAATCAAGCGGTGGAGCAATCGCTAGGCTCAGTCACGGTGGTGGGAGCGTGGGTCTCTTGGTGAAGAATGACGAGGGTGGTGGATGACAGACAGCTGGTGGGTGGACTTTGCTTTGCACCTTACGGGACATTCGATTGGGGGTTGTTGGATTGAGAGGAGGAGACCGATGGCATCAAGATCTTCCACAGGAGGATGAGGTCATGCGTCCAGTCTTTTCTCAGCAGCACAGACATGTAAGAGGCGAGAGCGCGCACAGGAGAAGAAGAAGAAAAAAAAAAAAGAGGTGCGCTGGAAATACCTTGATACTACAACAATGTGACGATGTTGTGCTGCTACCCCCACTAAACGATCTTCAACATGCCACCACCCCACCTACCTCTTCAGTGCAGCTGCCCCCCACCAAGACGCCCACGTCAGGACTCAGGCACCTCACGCACTGTAATGCAATGTAATTCTATCGCGGTGAATTACGTGATGCTGCTCAGGGTTCCTCTCGACTGTCTTCTGGATATCAGCATGATATCAGACTGGACTAGTGCTGTGAACGGGTACACAGCTGTGGCGAGTGACGACTCTGACGACTCTGAGAACGCCACAGCGTCGCGGTGCATCCCAGCATCGCCATGTTCTTCCCTGTACGGGTTGTGTGACTTCTCTCGCAAGGCAGGGTGACTCCCAATTCACCTTGCCTCCTCGTGCGCTGGTGGCCGGCTCCAGGAGTCCAGGCCTCATCGGCGGATGCGTCGACGAGCGTCTGCTTCACTTGGCAGCAGGACTGTGACGCAGGTACCATCCCTCAATGCTCCCCTTTCAGAGCGACAGCTGTCGTGTCAGCGGCCACGAGCGTGTCTTAGAGACCCTTATGAAATCAGTCTGGGCCTCTAGGCTTCACGAGGTCCGGTTGACGACAGCTCGTATTGCTCGTGGAGTGTGTCCAGATTGTACTTCAGCGTGGCTGCGTAAAGGGAAGTGAGGCGCCACAGATTTGTGTAACCCCAGAGCCAGGAGTCCGGTAAGCTTGAATGCGAATATGCAACATTGACATACTGGTGGCAGGCTACTGGTAGCTCATTCACGCTGGAGTCATTCCGCCTAGCCGGATCAGGGCCAATATACCAGGAGGCTAAGCAAAAATACTACAGTACAGCACTGCTTTTCAGCTTCCTACTAGAATAGACCGGTCTTGTTCGCTTCATGGCTCATTGTGCGGATACATAGGGCTGATAACCCGTTGCACAGTGAGTCGGTAAAGGGGCAGGCAATACAAACAATGCTCGTCTCGTAAAAGTTTCCCTACTCCATATGACTGAAAACAAATACGCCCAGTATCCCATGTCTGACCATGTCCAAATTTCCCTCCCAACCTACTCCCCGACGCCTTCAAATGAAACCAACCCAGACCAGACTCATCATGTCTCTACTCCCCATCGTCATCATCTCTCCTGGTTGACTGTGTACCTCGCCTTCTCCTGGCGACAACGTCCCGGTCCCAGACACCAGAAAAGATATCCTCACACTCATCCTCATCGTCCGAGTCAAACACCACACCCGCCTCCTCCTTCTTCCTCTTGGCCTCCCCATGCTTAGCCTCCTGACTTCCCATCGACACGGGCACGTCCTCCCAGCTCCGGCTCACAACGACCCGCTCCGTCTCGAGAATGAACTTGCCCACCTTGTACTTCTGCGCGCTCTCCCGCGCATCGACATACTTCCAGCCCAACTTGCTCGCACACGTCCCGCAGCTAATGTCCGCCACCGTGTGCCACCCCGTCACGAGCTGCCGGTTCTCGCTCCGTCCCTGCCGGATGTTCATCAGGCCCCCGCCCTCGTCCGGTCCCACGAGGAACGCCCGGCCATGGCGACCCGTGAAACCCTTGGAGATGATCTGCGCGGACAGCGCAATGTCGGACGAGCAGTGCTGGCAGCGGAGCGTGTCCGGCGCCACGCGCTGGAGCTTGCACGGCAAAATGGTGGGCGGCGGTGGGGAGCTGCTGGGCGTCGTGCTGGTCGATTTTGACAGGGATGGGACAGATGACGCGGACGAGGCTCGTCGTCGGAAACGCAGCGGTAGGCTGAGACTGGGGAGCAGGTAGGTCGGGAAGATTGGTTTGGTCGCTGAGATGCCACTTTCGCGCACCATCTTCTGTCTGCTATGCTGGACGATGTGTCTATCAATCAGGTATGACCTGAATCGAGGACGTTCAATTTAAGAAGCGAGAAGCGGTGATGCTCACACGGAGCGCGCGTGTGCGATCAAGTCAACTTGAAGGGGTCATGCGACTAGGAAGTATGTAGTGTGCTTGTGCAGCGTGCGGGTGGACGACAGCGCCACTCGGCGTTAGAACGAGCATAGAATCAGCAGCAGATATGTCGACAGACATCAGTCTCCGGGCGTGCCGACTTTTTGAGAAGAACAGAAGGGCGCGCTCGAGTCAGGGAGTACATGAGTCGTTTGGGGAGAAAGGTGGGCAGCAGACTGCAGTGCCTTATCGGGCCTGGAGGCGATCGACACTCTTGGCGCCGCGACGTCAGGCGGGGTCCCCCACCAAGGGTCACCTGGGCTTGTGGTAGGGGTCCAGTCCAGACTGATTCCTACCACGCAGTATTCATCCAATTGTATTACATTAGGTAGCAAGTTAAATCAATAACCCAAGCCTACGTACGTAGTACTTATTGTTGCGGCTCCTCGGCGACATAGTGCAGGTACGCGCCCAGCAGCTTGATGCCCTCAATGTAGTTGCGCTTGTCGAGCTTCTCGTTGATCGAGTGGGCGCCATCCGTGGAGCTGCCCATGGGCAGCAGGAGCACATTCTTGCCCGTCGCCTCCTCGAACGTGAGGGTGACGGGGATGCTGCCGCCCTCGCGCGTAAAGTCGGGCTGCACGCCCCAGACGCGCTCCGTCGCCTTGGCCGCCGCCGAGAAGTTCCAGTGCTTGGGCGAGGCCTTCCACCACTTGCCCGTGTGCTGCGCGAACACGTTCATCGTGTTCTTGCTGTTGAGCTTGGCAAATTGCTCCTTGACGTACTTGTAGACCGCCTCGTTGGTCGTGTCAATGTCCATGTCTGGCACGGTGCGGATCGAGAACTTGCCAATGACCTTGGCGGGGATGACGGTCTTGGCACCGGGCTGCGAGAAGGCTCCCTCTACGCCGTGGATGGAGAGGGATGGGTATCGCCAGCGAGCCATCAGCGTGTTCTTCTTGTCGTCGTGGATGGTGGTCTTGCTGCCCAGGGACTCGTGGATTGTATCCATGGTGAAGGCAATGCTGTCGTAGAGGCCGTCCTCATCGGCCGTGATGGGCGCCACCTGCTCCTTGATGCCGGGGATCTGGATCTCGCCGCCGGTGTTGACGAGAGTGCCCAGCACGCGCACGAGGTCCGTCATGGGCTCCTGCGCAGTACCGCCGAACACGCCGCTGTGCAGGTCAGCACCGGGGCCGGAGATCTCCACCGAGTAGTAGTTGCATCCGCGGAGACCGTAGGTCAGGCATGGCTTCTCTGTGCCCAGCCAGTAGTTATCCGAGATGCACACGGCATCGGCATCGTTGAAGTACTTCTTGGCCTCGGCCTTGATGAAGTCGTCAAGTCCCTCGGAGCCATACTCCTCCATACCCTCGAAGCACATGAGCAGGTTGACGGGGAAATCAGTGCCCGACTTCTGGTGCGCCTCAATGGCATTCAGCCAGCCCAGGACGGGGCCCTTGTCATCTGTCGAGCCACGGCCGTACATGCGTCCCTTGTCGTCGAGGGTCAGGTCAAAGGGCTCGGTGGCCCAGCCATCCGCCTTCTCGGCAGGCTGGACGTCGTAGTGGCCGTACACGAGGATGGTGCGCTTGTTCTTGTCGTTTCCGTAGCGGGCGAGGACGACGGGCGGCAGGTCTAGGTGCTCCTTGTGTGGCTGCTTGCCCAGAGGACGAAGCTCAGCCTCGGCACCGAGAGACTTGAGCTCGTCGTGGAGCCATTGGCCCATGCGGACGACATCGGGGCGGCGAGCCTCGTCGGCAGAGATGGAGGGGATGGCGACAGCTTTGCGCAGACGCTCAATGAAGGCGTCGGCGGAGCTGTCCACCTGCTTGAAGTACGCGTCGAGCTGGGGAGCCATCTTCTTTGCTTGATGGGCGCGGATAGAATCTGTGAGATACGTGCGAGATGAAGCAGGAGAGGAGATGTGGCTAGAAGGGTGGGTAGCTCGCGTTAAAGACGTGCGTGGATGTGCTGATACCGTCAGTGCCCCTCGGAGGGTCTTTTGAAGCTTGGAGGGGCGACACCACTGGAAGCCCGCAGTGCGGGGCATCATATTGACAGTCAGTCAGTCACACACCTTCTGCATCTAGGCGCTGCACAGCGGACGGAGAGCGCTGTTGAGCGCTGTTGAGCGCTGTTGGGTGTGGACGGCCCCAAATCAAAAGTGCCCGGCGGCTGCTCCAAACGCTCGGCTAGATACGGCGCTTAGTCACAAGAGGAGCTACTGTGGATAATACGGCACGTAATGGTCGTGAAGGTCAGCATTCACCAAAGGTTCGTTCGCTTCCTTTGAAAGGGGTGGAAAAAGAACACATCACGTGATTCAGCCCGGCTTCGCGGGACAACCTCGGTCCAGTGCAGCGTGCCGTGACCTGGGGTTTGATTACTCAATCAGCTTGGACCCGGCCTGCAACCTCTTATGCAAGGCCAGGCCCCGTTCTCGCTCTCCTCATTTCTCCTCTCTTCATCAACCATTTCCAGTCGCCAAATCGCCCTTTGATCAACACTCGATCGCCCGACGACCGAACAGCGCTCTCCTTGAAGATATCGCTCGGTTCATTCTGTATCGAAGTTACACGGACTCGGATTTCTCCTTGCGCCGGACGTAGCAGTTGCTCGCGTGCGACCGATCGAGCCCTTGGCGTTCACGCAGCACGATTCAGTTGGGGCAAGATAGAGTAGAAGCATCACGCTAACCAGGGAGCTTTGTTGAGAAGTACATACGCTGGCGGCGCACAGTGGTTTATTGTACACAGGAGGATTATTGAGCGAGGGTCAGAACAGAACATTGCTGCGGGCCGTCGCCATTCTGACTGAACCTTGTTGTCTTTGCATTGTCTTCTTTTCCTTCAATTACAAACAAGAAATTGACCCCCATTTCCGTCATCTGCTATTGTTGACCACGCACGCGGGTGCGCAAAGAACGAAAAGGACAGAGCAATCACTCTAAAGTCGACAAAAAAAAAAAACATACCCTTTGTGCTCAGCAGAGTCACACACTCATACAGGTACAACGCGACAACTCTCTACTGCGCCCTTCGAGCTTGACTATCCGACTTTCTCCCCTCCCCTTCTCACATTTGAGTGTGTGTGTCTTGTGTAGTAAGGCATCTTCTCTCTATTCAGCCAAACGCAGATATGGCTTCTTCAGTTTTCTTCAAGTTCAAGTCACAGAAGGAACCCACGCGGGTGGAGTTTGATGGGACGGGGATATCAGTGTTTGAGCTGAAGAGGGAGATCATCATCAAGAGTGGCTTGGGTGATGGAACCGACTTTGACCTGTTCATCACGGACGATAACGGAGATGGTAAGAGTTGTTGTGGGAGTAGTGTTATTTCGAGATCTAACTTGAATGCAGTCTACGATGATGACACCGAGATTATCCCCAGGTCTACGACCGTGATAGCTCGGCGCCAGCCCGCCACCAAACCCGGTGCTGGTCGAGCTGCGCGGTATGTGTCGGGCAAGATGCCCGTCTCCGCTAAGAACGCTGGCCGTAAAGAACAAACGGCCAAGTCGTCCGCGTCAAAGACCACGTCCAGTGCTATCAACCAGATGAACGAGGCCATGACCGAAGAGGAGAAGATGCAGGCCATGTTCGCTGCCCAGGGCGAGCAATGGAACGCACAACAGGAGAAGATGTCACAGTATGTCTGCCCTATGGCAGGTCACGGGAGAACAGCGCAGCTAACAAAGGACAGTCATCAACCATCATTCCAGCCTGGACAGAAACGCCCGGCCAACGTGCCCGACCATGATCCCCCAAATGGCTACATCTGCTATCGTTGCGGCAACAAGGGTCACTGGATCCAGCTGTGCCCTACCAACGATGACCCTGAGTTCGACAATCGGCCTCGCGTGAAGCGCACAACCGGCATTCCGCGCTCATTCCTGCAAAAGGTCGACAAGGCCGCCGTGCTCGCCCAGAGCGAAGGCGACGAGTCGAAGCGACCTTCTGGCATCATGGTCAATGCCGAAGGCGACTTTGTCATTGCCGAAGCCGACAAGGCCACGTGGAAGAAATTCCAAGCCAAAGCCAACACGTCTTCTGCCAAGACCAACGGTGCGAACGCTCTGGCGGACAAGGAGATTCAGGAGCGGGGGCTCGAGTGCTCCATTGACAAGAAGATGTTCAAGGAGCCGATGAAGACGCCATGCTGTCAGAAGACGTTTTGCAACGACTGCATCACAAACGCTCTTATTGAGAGTGACTTTGTGTGCCCAAACTGCGAGCTGGGAGACGTCCTGATTGACGATCTCACACCGGACGAGGAGATGGCAGAGAAGATCAAGGCATATCTTCAGGAGAAGGAAGAGGAGAAGGAGGCCGCCGAGAAGGCAGCCCAGGAGGCCCAGGAGAGCACGACACCCGTGGTCCCTTCGACAGAGGAGGTCCAGCCTGAGGACAAGGTGGAGGGGACGTCTGTTGAGGTGAAGAGTGAGGCGGAGAAACAGGGAGAAGCAGAGGTCAAGCCTGCGTCTGTCACGGCTAAATCAAAATCACCCACCCCAATGCCCGCTAGTAAGGCGAAATCGCCGCCAACAGGGCCTAAAAGCATGACTCCCCAGACAGACGGCAACGGGTCGCCCCCCGCGGACGGGAAGCCCGCCGACGGTGCGGTGTCCAAGAAGCGTCCTGCAGATGAGCTACTGGAGAACCCCAAGATCCCCAAGGGCCCGCGCGCCATGCAGAACCAGATGAACAACCAGCAGCAACAACAGACCATGCCCAACATGATGAACGGCATGAACATGGGCATGATGAACATGATGCCGAACATGATGGGCATGGGCATGGGGATGCCGATGATGCCCAACATGATGATGGGCGGCTTCAACAACGGGTTCAACAACGGAGGCAACTTTAACAATGGCGGCTTCAACAACTTCAATAACGGCGGCGGCGGCTGGGACATGGGCATGGGTATGGGTATGGGCATGGGCATGAACAACATGAACAGCTTCGGCATGCCGTTCGGCAACAACGGCGGCGGCGCACAGGGCGAGGAGGACGCGTACTTCCGGAAGCCAGTCAACCCCCATCGGCACCAGAACAAGCAGAGGCGGCCGCGACCAAGTGATTTCCGCGAGCTCTAGGGGTGTGGCCGATCGTGGAAGAGGCTTACACGGATGGGATAAGGCCGGAGATGCATTTGACTGGCGTTGCGTGGGGACATGCCTGGGTACTATATAATCAGCACAAACCATCGCTGAGGATAACAGCGTTGTACTTTTACAGAGGGCAGCAGCGGAACTGCTTTGCCCCTTCAAATCTTGAACAATTTTCACATTCAATGAACTTTCTCCCGGTGACACTGCTGACAATAATGCATAATTTGTATTTCCCATGTCTACGGCAACTCCACGCTACCTCTGTTCCTCTACTTGCTCTTCAGTTCCTCTCTGTCTCTACTCCGGGGGCACGTATGGCTTGACAAGCATCTCGCTAAACCTCTCGAGCTTCTCCTTGCCCCGGACCTCCTCGACGAGGAGGGGCATCTTGACGACGTTGAAGTCCTCGGCGTAGAGCTCCTCGTACTGGTCGAGGTACTTGCGCTGCATCTTGCGGCGGGCGCCGCACTGGTCGCAGTTGCTGTCCTGGCGGGGGAAGAGGAGCTGGTTGACGACAATGGTGTGGGTGTCGATGCCGTAGCCGGTCAGCTCCTGGATCATGCGCTCCGTCTCGTAGAGCGAGAGGAACTCGGCGATGCAGACGCAGACGAACGTGGTGAGCTGCTCGTTCTTGAACTGGGTGTTGACCTCGGCAATGGTCTCGCGCAGGGACTCGAGCTTCTCCATCATCTCGCTCAGGTTCTGGCCGTTGGGCAGTTGCCCACCCTGGCCGAGGAAGCCGTTGAGCAGGGGCCCGTACTGGCTCGAGAGCTGGGAGACCTTGGCGAGGGCCTTTTCGAGGACCGAGGGGAACTGCAGGAAGCGGAGGGTGTGGCCCGTCGGGGCGGTGTCGAAGATGATGGTCTCGTAGGAGAGGGACTTGACCTGCTTGAGGACCTCGGCAAAGGACATGGCCTCGTCGATGCCGGGGATGGCAAAGGCCAGGTCCTGCATCATGCCGCCCATGCCGCCGGCGCCGGCGCCGAGGGCGTTGAGGTCGTCGTTGCCCTGGCCCGGCTCGCCGCCGGCCATGAGGTCCTGCATGCTGCCATTGGGGTCAATCTCCATGGCGCTCAGATTGTCGAAGCCGTCGATGAGGCGGGCCTCCTTGCCGAACTTTTGGTTGAAGGCATCGCTGAGGTTGTGGGCGGGATCGGTCGAGATGAGGAGGACGGAGCGGCGTACCTTGGCGAGCTGGATGGCGAGGGAGCACGAGGTGGTGGTCTTGCCGACGCCACCCTTGCCGCCGACAAAGATCCAGCGCAGGGAGCGCTGGTCGAGGAGGGACTGGAGAGAGGGCTCGAGGGCGTCTTCGACGATGGCGGCCATGGTGACTTTGGACGGTGGGGTCGTGGACTCGTGGGGATCTATGAAACGAGGGAGGAAAGGAAGGACGGCGACCAGAGGTACGGTGAGGTCGTTCGCGATGCTTGGTCTCGCGGTCTGTGGGTGCGCGAGGAAGTTGGCGGGCCGATTCTGGAAAGGTCCATCTTCTGGATTCTGGAGTGAGTGACAGTGGCTTTGGAGGGGCTGTTGGCGCACAACGTCATTGGCCTAGGGTAGTTGGGGTACATCATGCCAGGTAAGGTACTTGAGGTCTCTTGCTTAATACTCGGAATAGGAATAAATCCAACATTGATGGCTGTGTTCAATGTGCCGGCGCTCCATTAGCCCTGGGATGTTTTAATGCCATGCGCTTTCAAGTCCCAGACTGATGGTTCAGACGTAAGTTAGGCCCTTGGAGAGGCAGTTGGTGTAAGTCGGCGTACCCCACACAGATACCGGAGGGCGGCGACAAGCGCAACCTTTCTTAGGAGGTTATCTCAGCGTCAAGTCGCCCTCTGAATGAGACATCTCACTTTCTGCACATACATTCTGCGTAAAAAGCTTTCATGCTCTCACATACTTCTCGTCTAGTACGCTTGGCTGGACACTTTCAACCCACGGATTCGGACCGCACCCAGTCGACAGACGACCCCTCGTCGACCCCGCCAGCCTCCAAGACCAAGACCAGCAGCCATCCACCATCACCTTCATCCGCCTCAGCAATGTCTGGCAAAGACCCCATCACCTGCCACGTGCTGGACACCACCGCGGGCAAGCCAGCCGCCAACATCCATGTTACCCTGATTGCCCCCTCGTCCGTCGCCTTCGAGTCCACCACGGACGCCGACGGACGCGTCAAGCTCTGGCTCCCCGCCTCGCCCTCGTCAGGCCAGGCCCCGACCGTGAGCAGTGTGCTGGGCGGGATCAAGGGCGCCTCGCGATGGACACTCAAGTTCGACACGGAGGCATATTTCGGCGAGGGAAAGACCTTCTTTCCCGAGGCGACTGTTGTCTTCCGGGTGGAGGAGGGCCAAAGCTACCACGTGCCACTGCTGTTGAGTCCATTCAGCTACACGACCTACAGAGGCTCTTGATTGTCCCTGATTCATGCCAATCGAAAATAATACCATAAAAATTATCAAGTGCTTCTTGCTCCCACCAAACGCCGTTGCTTCAAAAACAGAAAAGGGGCCGTTGATCTCAGGAGGATTTGTCTCTGTTCCTAGACCCGTGACTTGCTCCTCAATCGACCGAACAAACTCTTCCGCTTGTCGCCGCCCTCGTCATCTTCGGCATGTGGGGACGAGGGACTGTTGTCCCCGTCCCGCCTGGGCTCCATGCTCTCTCTGTGGTTGTCCGTCTCTGATGCCTTGTCACTGCTGCTCTGTCCAGGCATGCCCGTGGTGATGAGAGGGAGGACGCTGTGCACGAGAGGCGATGAGAGAGTCGAGCCTTGTGAGATGGTGCGACGGTGCTTGCTGAGCAGGCTGAGGCGTCGTTTGTTCATAGACTGTGCTGGCGTGAGGTTGTCGCTGCTTATGGTGGCGTTGGGCGAGAGGTCTGCATCAGGATGAGGGAGGGTAGTGTTGTAGTCTGGATGGGGGTTAGTACAAGCGACATGGCAGTTGCGAAAAAAGTGATAGGATCAACTCACTGTCCCCGAAAGGCTCAGGAAACCCTGTATCTCTGGGCTCGCGGCTGGAACGAGCAGTGCTGACTGACGAAGGAGGCGTATTCATGATCTGGGGCACCGATCCCGTGTTAGTGCTAGACGTTCTTCCCATTTCGTGCGCTTGTGGTCGTGTCGAGTCGTCGACCCCGAGCGGGATATCATGAGAAAAACAATGGGAAAGTAAAGTAAGAAATAAATGACATTGGATATAGAGAGGGTAAGTTTGGCCAACCTACAAGTAAGTAAGGTACCTTTGTGCTTGGCGATGGGCAAGTGGTCACAGGGTAAGGCAAGGTAAGGTGTGGAATCAGAGGTGAAAGCCGGTATCAACTCCGAGGTGACAGCCTGCCAGGTGGTACAGTGTGTACGTACAGAAGTACCAGATTGCCAGTAATCAAATACAGGCAAGAAACTATCAAGTAATAAATGAGGCTCAATCTAGAGCGAAGAAGGGTTACGTAGGCTCAGCAGGGGTGCGTCGGCCTCGGACGTTGGGGATCTGCACAGCGGCGAGGGCGAGGACAAGCCGATTTATATGGCCATTTGGCAACAAGCAGCGACAGGAGCGGGACACTTTGTTATTACCGCTTCGCATGCGCGGTTCCACATGCGTAAATCGCAATACAGGATTGCATGGCATGAGCGTCTTGGACTGGCCAAGAGCGATGCTATAGACGCAAGCTTGTCTGCGTGTCTGGGAATCGGGGTCCGGGGTAGGTCGATTCCAAGACACCACGGCGGCATCTCTTCGACGGTCAGTCAGATGAGACACGGCAGAGCTCAGCTGCTGTCTGCCCGTCTCTCATGCTTTTCTCTCAGTCTTTTCAGCGGTTCATTATTTCGTGAAGACTGGACAGTGAAGAATCCAACAACTGTCAACTGGCAAGACGGAGCTGACGACGACGGCGCCTTCAGTCCTTGCCAAGCTCGAAAGAAGCCGAGCCTCAACCAGCCACAGTGGCTTGGCAGAAGCCGAAGCGGGGACTGGTCACTGGAAGCCTGGAACCGGATCGGTTGCTGGGAATGGTACGCGTATCGCCAGTTCACCAACAAACTCCAGTGAAACGCCCAGTCAATTGGGTCAACCTCCAAAATAGGGCTGCTACGTATGGATATATGAACAGGGCACTGAGCCTCGGTTTCTGCTGAGATGCTTCTCTTCCCAATCGCCGGCTTCCATGACGGCTGGGCGTCACTCGCCGATCTGCTGGGCCACGTAATCGACACAGGGTGCCCAGAAAAGTCGTCATTTCACCACCTTGCCGGCAAGCCGATCAGCCTGTATTTGTATTGATCATACCAAGATTTGGCCAAGACGCCAGCGACTGTCTCGACTCTCGACGTTGCGCGCTCGGTCTCGTATGGCCGGCGTCAGCTTGCTCAGCAGAGTCAGGACTCAGCACGCGCGATGTAGATAGCGTCGTCGACGTCGACGTCAGCTGCAGTGCTCGCCAGTATCACATTCATCAAACTGCTTATCCTATCTTAGGCGTGTTCACACGATCAACCGTCTCCTCGTCCTGCGCTCCATCTGAGCCCAGAGTTGGGTCAGACCATCGCCCTTCCTCCATTGGCGTTGGCATGCCCCCGTTCACTATCTGCTCCTCGCTCGCGGAGAATAGCATATTGGTCGCCGTCGGGTCACCTACTCCGCGTATCTTCTTGCTGGCTCTAGTGCTGCTGCCGAAAGTGCGTAGCTCAGAAGGCTTCTTGCCCTCTTGCTCGGTGTGCTGGGTGCTCCGGAGGGATTTCAAGGTCGAGCCCAGCATCGTCTTGACGAGACTGAAAGACGTCGGGAAGTTGGTCGTGATGACGGCCACAAATGTCTCCCGGACAGCCCACGTACCCGAGACGGGCGCGCCGTCCTTGGGATCCTAGGTACTCATGTTAACAGACAGACGATACTCGACCACAACCCACCCGACGACATACAATGTAGATCAACACGCAGCGTATCGTGGCAAAGACGATGATCACAGCTCCCGCGCTGAAGAGGAGACCGAGGCCGACTTTCTTGTACGTCTTCATCGACGTCTTCCACAGCAACGGCATGGGCAGGGTGATGAGGTACAGGTCCGTAAAGACGTTCAAGGCATAGCACGTCCAGACGATCGGCGGCGAGATGGCGGCGCGACACACCGCGCTTCCGTTCACATTGGGCTTGAAGTAGTCGGTGAATGGTCGGCAGGACAGGAAGATGGTGAGCATCACTGCCACCCATGTGGCGGCGACCATGATGAAGCCGGCCTTGATGCGGCAGGCGAAGCGTCCGGCCAGCCCCGTCTGCGATGATCGGTCAGTATCCGTGCGAGCAAACAGCAGCGACGGCACGACGGCAACCTACAGTCAGGCGCATGTACAGGACCAGCAAGGAGGACTTGAGTGTCCACAGCGTTGTGGCGTAGACGACCCATTGTGCAAAGTGCAGCTTGTTGCCTTTGACTCGGATGGCCAGTGCCTCGGCGCTGGGCTTCTCCCCAGGCCTCTGCTCAGGCAGCATGCCACCCGCCATCTCTTTGTGATACATGGACCCTCCGACAAAGGCAATGCCAGCCATCCCGGCAAAGCCAAGCTAACATGTCATCAGCGGGCGATACGAGACGAGCCAGTCTTCGACGCTGGACGATGAAGGGCGACTCACGAGGGCTATCGAGGCAAGGTAGTCGTCCGGCTGCAAGCCCTTGAAGCCGACAACCTTGGTCCTGGCGTAGATGCGCACCAGCGTGACGGCGACACCGACGGCAAAGAGCGACCATATCTCGCTGACGAATTGGGTGACGCTGCTCATCCTGTCTCGTACCGTTCTCACGGGACCCCTAATCTAGCGATGCAGCTTGTTATATGAAGAGACATGCAACACGGAGAGCGCAGGTCAGAGACATAGCACGAGTTGGGACAGGAGGAGAGGGACCGCGGTCATTTTGATGATACATCAACGACAGGACTCGGTACACCACGTGGGATCGCAGTCCGCCAGGCGGCGGTCGCGAGCCTCGCATGCGTTCATCGGGCGATGATCGTACGGCAGTTGGCTCCCGCCTTTATGAAAGACTCGACAATCCAGGAGACCAGACGCAGAGCATGACTGTCGGGGTGGAGCACTGCTCTGCGCGACCGAGACGTGCGAAGGATTCCCGTGTAAATGACAACATGCGCGGGATCCCCACTGCCGGCAGTGCCCGTCCGTGGCCTCTCGTGGACGGCTCAAGAGCTTGCCACAGAACAACAGAAAGGGTGAGACTGAATGTCAACCAGTGCGAGCTCACGCCATTACCCAAGGTAGGCTGCAAAGGGTATGACTGGTCTTTAGGTGGACGATGTTAGAGATCAGCTCAAGCCTTGCTTTGGGGGCCAGAAGGCCGCTTTATGGCAGCGCCCATATCTGGCTCAGCTCCGAATCAATCTGGTTGCAAGGCCAGGGTGAAGTTGGATTTCGTCTTGCAGGAAGAAGGCGAGCTTCTGCCTAACGTGGACAAGATGCAGGAAGACGCCGAATCCTACGCACCCTGCTCTCACGCTATAGGTGCCATCAAGCTGCACGGCCAGCCCCATGCACTACTACGACTGTCGTCAGTGACGTCCATTGACTTTCGCTTCGTGCTCTTAACGCCATTGGGAGGAGTATCTTTATCTACGAACAAGGATGGACATGTCGTGCTTGCGTAGCAGGGGACCCTAATCCCTCTTAGACAATTCAACGAAACAATGTCGATCGATGAAGTAGCAAATGTTTCTTGGGACCTTGCAACTGCCGGAGGGGGTCGTATCACTGGGATTGGTGATGCCGTGGGCATTGTGTTGCCTCTCATGGTTGTTCTCACCGCTATGCGTGATGCTCGTCTTTTGCCTTTCCTACGGCCATCCGGTGAAGCATTTGTATCGATAGACACGGAGACTGCAAAGTCGTTATATCACCCATAACGCACAAGCCCAAGGCGAGCCGGAGGAACTACGTACATGTGAGTGATGCTTGGGTTGCAAGCTCATGTGCTGTCAGCACGATTGTATGGCTCTGTTGATCTCAACGCAAACAAAGGGAGATCTGGCAGATTGGTGAATCCAGCTCTATAGTCTCACAGGTGAGGGCTCACTCGCGATGGTGAATCTCGGGTGCGCCAGCTATCAATGCATTTCACGCAGCTTTTGCATTGAATCACCTTATCGTCCCGGGTAAGTGTCAACGCGTCCTGCGGCGCAGCTCGTGTAGGTGTATTAAATCATCACGGCGGAACACAGCCACAGCGTTAACAGCGGAGACGGACAACCTTAAAGCTCGATTTAGGGGTCTCACTGGCCCAGACAGATGCAAGGCCCCCACTGAAGCTGGCCCCTTTGACGGAATTTGGCAGCAACCCGGGGGCCCTTGGAATGCCGGGCGCAGGCACTACTTTCAGGCAGTCTAGTAAGCAGCCTCGCGCCAGGGCACGTCGAATCGACACGCCAACCCACATCATCATCACGACCTCCCAAATCACGACGACACTTTGCGCTGCGCGCTGACACAACATCGACGTGCCGATTCATTTGCCCAAGAAGCGACTGCCTGAAAGTTCCAATCGCAAAGCATGGCCGACGCGCCGCGAGGTGTCGACCATGTCGACACCATGAACTCTGACGAATCTGGTCCGAACCAGCCGGACAAGAAGAAGAGCCGTCGCCCAGCCAGTACGATCCGCCTCGCCCATAACAAGACGCAGCACCCAGTGACTGACCCCTCGCGATAGATACGGCATTCAGACAGCAACGTCTCAAGGCGTGGCAGTATGTCCCCCCCACCCAGCCCAGCAGCCCTCGAGGGAGGGACACAATGAGGAAGCGCCAGCATCTAACCAGCGTCGCAGACCCATCCTCACACCCAAGACGGTCCTCCCACTCTTCTTTGTCATCGGCGTCATCTTCGCACCCATTGGCGGCCTCCTCTACTGGGCCAGCACACAGGTCCAGGAGATCCGTCTCGACTACACCAACTGCCTGCGCAACGCTCCCGACTTTGAGGATGGCTTCAAGAGCATGGACAGCGGCGACGTGCACCACGCCTTCAAGTCCAACAACAAGTCCATCGATGCCCGCTGGGCTGTGAAGCGCAACGTCGAGGTCGAAGTGCCCGACTCGGGCGGCGTCACCATCGACACGGATCAGTGCTACCTGCGCTTCTACATCCCCGAGAGCATGGGCCCGCCGGTCCTCTTCTACTACTACCTCACCAACTTCTACCAGAACCACCGCCGATACGTCGACTCATTCGACTCGGAGCAGCTCAAGGGAAGCGCCCGGTCCTACGACGACATTGACGGCAGCGAGTGCGACCCTCTCGAGGTGAACAAGACGGCCAGGCTTCCCTACTACCCCTGCGGCCTCATTGCCAACTCCCTCTTCAACGACTCCTACTCCAGCCCCGTGCTCAGGAACCCCCCCGGCGCCACCGGCAACGAGACCGAGGCCTACAACATGACCTCCAACGGCATCGCCTGGGACTCTGACCGCGCGCTGTACGGCAAGACAAAGTACAAGCCCGACGAGGCCCTGCCGCCGCCCAACTGGCGCAAGAGATACCCCGACGGCTACACGGACGACAACCCCCCTCCCAACCTGAAGGACTGGGAGCACCTCCACGTCTGGATGCGCACGGCCGGTCTGCCCACCTTCAGCAAGCTGTACCAGCGCAACGACTCGGACGCCATGAAGGAGGGTGAATACGAGATTATCATCGATGACCGTACGTGCAGCGGCCTACACCTATACTCCGTGGACCAGCTGACAAGAGGTAGATTTCCGCGTCTCCGAGTTCAAGGGCACCAAGTCCGTCCTCATCAGCACCCGCACCGTCATGGGCGGCCGCAACCCCTTCCTCGGCATCGCCTACATGGTTGTCGGCGGCGTCTGCATCCTGCTAGGCGGCATCTTCACCGCCACCCACCTCATCAAGCCCAGGTACGCTCTCCACCCGCTTCCGAGGGGGTTTCGCTTGTCCCTGTATCCTCTTACTAACCGCGTGCGCAGGAAACTCGGCGACCACACCTATCTCTCGTGGAACAATGTGCCCGCCAACAAGAACGCCAACCAGAACCCACCGTCTACCGCGACCGCCTCTGGCCGTCACTTGCCCGGCGAGGCCTAGTTGGCCCACCGCAATCAAGGGCGCTCCGTGTCGTTCCAGCCTCTGCTGGGTCCGACCGCGGAGGCCGCGGCTGGCGCAGCGCTGGCGGGGCAGAGCGGATTATGGGGCGTGCGACGGTCTCCTACCAAGTGAGCAAAGGTGTAGTAGCTCTGTGCAGCACACACTTGACGCGTACGAGAACAAGGGGACAGACAGCATGATGGGAAGCGGCGTTTGGGAGTCTGTGCCTGCCATGTCTTTTGGTTCCGAGAGTTTATCACCATAGTACAGTATGAATAGAGCGGTTCACATGCTCCTCTAGAGACCTGTCATACGTACCAAGCCAATGCGACGCAGTAGGTAAGAAATGATTAATTATCCTGTACTCCTCGGTCGAGCGCGGTTCGCAAACGAAAATCCCTCGAGAGAACGAACCATCAGCGCCTCCTAAGTTGTCATACTATTAGATACAAGTTAACATGAAGCCCCCTTCCACCACCAGAGCTCTGGCATGTCCCAATGCTTATGTTAGGCATTCTTTTTTAGCGCTTGCGCTTCTTGCCCCCGTCATCTTCCCGCATCTGAGCGGCGTCCTCACGATCGCGACGCTTCGCCTTCTTCTCCAGCTCATCCCAGTCTTCTCCCTCGTCCTCACTGTCCAGGTCTGCATCGCCGTCATCATCATCACTGGCGTTGCTACCGTCAAAGTCGGACTCCTCCTCGCTTTCGGACGCATCGTCAAGGTCGTCCTCTGACATCTCAAAGGCCGACTCCTCCTCCTCACCGGAGCCGTCGTCGTCAGACTCAGCGGCCAGGAAAGACCAACCACCGTCAACAAAGAACTGGTGCGTGTCGGCTGTCACTGTCTTCATGATAGTGGGCCAGTTGAGGTTGAGCGGACCCTCGGTGAAGGCGATGTCGGAAGAGTCGAGGAAATCCTTGACCTGATCGAGATGCTCAACGGGAATGGTGTTGACGTGGTACGGCGGACGAGTAAAGTCCTTGAAGATGAAGACCATGTCAAAGTTTTTGAGACCAAACTGGACACGTTCAAGGTGAGCAACCTCAATGTCCTCAATAGTGATGACCATGAACGGCGGTTCAACCACTTGGATGAGACACTCAGTTGTGGGCTGGATGAAGACGTTACTGCGGAACGGTACACCGTGGAAACCGAGCTCGCGGATGGGCATGTCAACCTCGACATTGTCGTTGCGACCAGCGTCGGCAATCTTCTGGGCGAATCCCTGGAAAAGACGATCGAGCTCTTGCCTTCTGCGGCGCTCTTCCTGCTCGGCCTCGAACTCGTCCTCGTCGCCGTACTTGTACTTGCGTTTGCGGTTGCCGGTCTCATCGAACTGAATGTCGGTAGCCTCGCGATAGAACTGTACATCCTTGGTCTTCTTCTTGTTGCCCACAATGATGGGGTCTTTGAGGTGGATGTGGATGATGACGATCAGCTCATGCGCACAAGGCTGAAAGAAAAGATGCTTGATGTTGGAAAACAAAATGTCCACGCGGTGCTGAATGTTGAGAGGCGACTGGTATCGGATACCATTCTGGTGGATCTCGACCTTGCCTGCAACGCGTTTTCCCTCGTGCGCCGGCCGAATAAAAACATTATCCAAGACGGCAGGGCGACGATCTGAAAAGTTAGCAATGTCCTGTCGCCTATCACAAGAGACTTACTCCTAATCTCAGCAAGCTTGTCCTGCTCGACAACGTCCTCCATGTCCTTCTTCTCCTGCTCCTTTTTGACCGAGTCACGCTTCATGTTCGAGATCTGAGTCGCTATCTCGGTGTATCTCTCGTTGTCGGTGGATCGAAACGTCAAGCTGCGGACGAAATGCGCCGAGGCATCCTCAAAGGGCTGGTCATCCTTGCGGCCGACGCCCTGGCCGGGCGACAGAAAGTTGATACGGAGGAACGTAAACTCGCCCTCGTCGCTCTTGCTGGCATTCTTGATGGTATTGATGTGGAAAGGTACTGGACGACCGAGAATAGGCAGGATGACTGTGGCGTTCTTGGAATCGACCACAATCTCGAGGTTCTTGATCTTCAAAGGGAACTGATTGTCCCTCTTGTACGACTCAAACCGCTTGAACTTCTTGACCTCGCTGCCGTTCTGGTTGGCCGTCGACTCGGAGAAGCGGGCAAGACCTTCTTTCTGCTTCTTGGCTGCCAACTCCTTTTGATGCTGGCGTCGCCGACTGTCATTCTCTTCGTTGACCTGAGTCGTGCGCTCCGAGCGAAGACGCGTGTTTGTGATGTTCTTTGTGGCAACAGCACCAACCTTGGAATCCTTCTTCTCCTTCTTGGGCGTGGGCAACGCTTCCTCCTCGTCCTTGAAGAAGAAAGAGTTGGCGTCGGCGCTGGTCGGAGCCTCGGCAGTGAACACGACAGGCTCGGATGACGTAACACGGATAGTGTCGGTGAGGATCATGGAGTAGACCTTGCTGCTCTTGTCCTGTGGCTGTGGGTTCTCAATGTCTTGGAAGCCGGTCTGGATGATCAGAGTCATGCCGTCCTTGAGCGTGCGCTGGTTCTTTGCGTTCAGCAGAAGCGTGGGGTCCTTGCTTTCGAGACCGATGCCCCAGCCAACGTTCTTCAAAAAGTGCTTCTCCATCTCGGGCTTTTTGGCCTTGACGATGCCTAAAGCCTTAGTGTAGACATCCTTGGCGGTCATGCCATCGCGGATATCCCGAATGATGGAGTTGTGAACCATGGACAACAGTTTGTAGTTGCTCTCCTGGGACTTGTTCGGGTCGACCAAGTAGGTTCGCGCGATAGACGAGCAGTAAGACTTGTACCGCAGGCCGAGGGCGGCGATGATGATGCCAGCGTGCAAATTGTCGCCATTGGCCTCGGTCGCGAACTTGAGATCATATTTGCCACCACTCTGGATGCAAGGCCCCAGAACGAAGTCGAGATTGGCAGGGTCGAAATCGCTTGGTAGCTTGCCCTTGCCCGGTAGCTCTACGGACTTCCAGAACTTGTTATCGTCGAGCTTCTTGTCGATTTGATCAGCGAGCTTGGAATGCTTCACTTTCTTTTCGGCGTCGAGTATGTCGGACATTTCGTCGAGGAAGTAGGGAGTCATCAAGGCGACGCAGGCCTTGGACGAGGCGCGCATGGCGCGGAGCTCGTTCTCATCCTTGATCGAGAAGGCGTGGGTGGACAGAGCAGGGGATACATCGACCTGCTCCACATCCTTGCACTTGTCCTCCATGACCTTTTTCCACTCGTCGACAAAGGGACCTTTCGAGTTGTCGCGTCCGATGATACCGACCTTGCTCTGGAAATATGTCAGCATGTTGCACAGCACGGGTGTAGTGGCTAGCCTACTCCTGCTTCCTTGATCTTGTCCGCGAGCTGGCCAAACAACTTTTCGTTTTCCTCAGCATCCTTGCCTCGCACAAGGACCTCTACTGGGAATCGGCCGCCCTTGATCTGTTCGAGATGTTTTGCCTTCTTTGCTGTAGTTATGATGTAGAGCGTGTCGAGCGTGAATAGAAGCATTGTCGTGGGGAATTCGTAACCCAGGAGCCAGAACTGTAGTGAATGTTAGAACTCTTGCGGTCGATTGACTTTTTCAGAAAGGCACTAACGTGAACAGCGTTGTTCTTGTTGAGGCTTTGCGCCTCCTCGACTTTGCCCATCATCACGACGATGGACTGCGCACCCCCAAAGACTCCATCTTTGGAGCGCAAGTCATTCTTCCAGGCTGTTGTGAAATGGGAGATGCGCTCCTGGAAGAGCTTGCTGTCGAGGGTGATGTCGGCCATGATGTTGATTGATGGCGTGGCGCGACCTATTCTCGACGAGAGGTTGATGAGGATTGGGTGAGAGTGAGGGTGCGTGCGATGGGAGCCCAGCGTCGCGAAAAGGTGATCGCGTTAATGGGAGGCGCTGTCCAGAGTCTGTCACGTGATCTGACGCAGCGCGCGTCTTTCGCGAGTTGCTGGCAGGAGCTGCCGGTTGTGGATCCACACTGAAGAACAGGCATCATCGTCAATCTGAAATTTGAACGTGAATCTCACTTCGAAGTGCTTCAATTCTGAACTGTCCAGACACCCTCTTCTCGCTGCGAGATCTTCTCTGCAGCTGTTGCTCGAATATTGCAGATCAAGCTGATCAGGTAGCGAGCTCGAGTGAACCGGCACCAGCTCAAGGTATTGCACTTGCCTGGTGACGACCTTAGGATATTAGTAGGAACCCAATTGCGCCTGCCTGAACCGCTACCTGAGTGTTCGGTACCAACTCATGCAAGAAAGATAGTCTGCACTACCTGAGCAGATGATGCGCTGTCGCTTGCAGCTAGAAGCATGCAAGGTGCGCTCGGCCCTCATCGCCCATCGAGCTCCCAGATAGCTCCAGGCATCGAGTCTTCATGTATCATTGCGTCTCCTTCAGTGCCACAACTTCTCACAGGGGCAAACCCTCTCAACGCGGACTACATGGATCTTCTAGACATCTCTTGCAACCGCTTGCGCTGACCAACGCCATTGCGCTCGGGTTCCAGCTCCACGGGTTTCGGGAGCGATTCTCGGGGCAGAGTGGAGCGCCATCATCCCCGCCTCCGGCAACCCGTCCGGCAGAGCCCGCCCACGACGTGGTATAAATGGGTAAATGTTCTCCCAAGTCGATGCCTCGTGGGATAACGTCGCCTTTAAAATCTACATTGCACTCTCCTGTAGACACTCTCTTACCATAGTATTTCCCACTTCTCAAGTCAGAATCCGCCCAACATGAGGATCCCTTACGTCGCCAACCCCCCGGAGCTCACTTCCCCGGAACACGCTGCCATCGTCCAGCGCATACAGGAACGTCGTGCGCCTCGCCCTCTGCAGTCTCTCGACTTGGCGTTGCTTCACTCCCCTCCCGTCGCCGATGGCTGGAACACATTTCTCGGTGCGGTTCGCACCAAGACGTCCATCCCCGCTGACTTGAGGGAATTGGCCATCTCGCGCGTCGCCGTGTGCAACAGGGCGTGGTATGAGTGGAAGCACCATGCCCCGCTGGCCGTGGCGGCCGGTGTCAGCCAGCAAGGCATGGAGGCTGTGAAAGTAGAGGAACGCTTGGAGGGTGATGTCAAGGAGGGTAGCGACCTCAGCGAGAAGCAGTGGGCTGTTCTGGTGTATGCGGATGAGATGACGAGGGATGTGCACGTTAAAGAGGCAACTTTTGAGCGTCTCAAGGGACTTTTCACCGACCAAGAGATTACGGAGATCACGGCAACGGTTGCCTGCTACAACATGGTCAGTCGCTTCCTGGTCGCTCTCGACGGTATGTTCTCCATCCTTTATTCATCGTCTAAATGCGCTCTCTAATACTTCCAAAGTGGGCGAGCGCAATGGCACTGGCCCAGAAGAGGCTTCTGCTCACTAATAAGCCTTGATCTTCTCATGTACCCGCCGTACTGTGCAGCATTTGGAAACCCAGTTCAACGCCTGGCCGCAAGAAAAGGGGGGTATCCTGTATCGTGAAGGGGGGGAAAGGAAATAAGAAAAAACGTGAAGTGATCCAACCGTGTACTCCCCAGTGTGCCCGCGCCATGCTAAAAAGTGTCAAATCGTGTCGTCAGTCGTTACCCATCATCCGTTTGTGGGCGAAACTCGCACCAGCCATGCCAATCAACTCTATGCATCCATCCATGTCACACGCCTTCTGCATGCATTTTCAACCCGCTACCGCCTCCGCCTTCTCCATCGCCATGGCTTGCTCGATAGACGCATGCCTCTGCATCATCTTGGGACTTAACTGCAATTCCTCCATGACGCCTGCCCACCCTCTCTTCTGAGTGCGCCCAGTGGTCTCACTATGCCCGATGGCTTGCGTCGCCAGCCTCCTCAAAGGCGGACCCCGCTTCATTTGCGGATGTGAGGTTGCCGCCTTCTTGAGCATCGGTTTATGCGGCGGCGTAGTGAGCCTGTACGGCGCGGCTTTCTCGAGAGGTGGGGGCAGTGGCGGCGGCGGAGGCGGATTCCTCTCTGCGGTGGAGGTGATGATGCCCATGTAGACGACCAGGAAGCGCATGCGCAGGAGATCGAGTCTGCGCACGCGGTCCTCGAGCTGTGTCCGTCGTGACGCCCAGAGAAACCGGGCGCTCATCCGCAGGGTCGTTGTGCCTTCTCCAATCACCAAGCTGTTGAGATCCTCGCGCAAGTCATCACTGAGCTTCTGGATCTCACGCAGTAGCTGTCCCAGACGGACCTTGTCCTCCAAACGCTGGACCTTGGTGACGTCGCGGTCATACGACTCGTTCTCCTGTATGGAGAACTCGACCGTGTCGATGAATGTGACGATATCCTTTGGCGCTGCAACATAGGCGGTCGCATAGGTAGATATTGTCTGGATGAGGATCAGGGTGGCCAGGAGGAGCGCCGTGAAGACGAGGATGATGGTCCATTGTAGGAAGCCATGTGTAGAATCGGGCGCCACCGTCATGGCGCATGTGTGTGGGGGTTCACTTGGTTCAAGGGCTTTGAGCGTCGCTACCGATTCATTCTGAGGGCTCTGAGTCGCAAGAATCCATGGATCGAAAAGACGGCCGCGAGCGTGACGTTGGGTTTGTTGAGGATTCGAGGGGCTTGTTGGTGGGAGGGTTCCCGTTCCGTCTACTGGATTAAGGGGGCTGGACCTGGTTTGTGTGTGAGGGCATGTGAACAGCCGCCCGGGAACCCCCCTGCAGCTGCAGCTAATTAGTGCCTGAATCAGTAATTTAGAGCACCCGTACCCTCCAAATACAGTAGTATCGTCCTGACTGGTAAACTCCAGGTCCAGGTCCATGTCGTCGAGCGCTCATGATACCGTCAGTGGCTGTCGCAGCACCAAAGGACCTGTGGAAACGTGATCGCGAGCCTCATTATTGCAGCGTGCCGTGGTGGAGAGTCTGAGACAGCGCGCTGGCGCATCTTGACATAGGTCGAAATGGAACGGTCACAAGCGGTTCCCGTCGTCTCCTGGAGGGATCGACACCAGTTCGCCAGGAATGAAATGACATAATTATGCGGGCTGCACCACCAGCGCCCTCTGCAGACGGAAGCGCGCACTCCGATCATTCGATGAATGACGGTTCCCCGAGCGGCGCAATGTAACTCATTCTGCGCCTTTTTCCATACCCGTAGAGGGCTTTCCAGTTTCCAGGGCATGCTCCCCGCCATCATTGCGATGGGGCGGGCCGCGCCCGATTATCACTCATTCTATCCGTAGAGCCCAGTCCAGTCTGGCTTGCCTTATCGATATCTGCCCCTCTATCAGCTTATCAACCCCTCCATCAATCACCATCAGCAGCTTCACTTCACGCTGTGAATCTCACTCACATTTTGGACGCCATTGGAGCCCAGCGCACGTATCCGCTCGCATTGCTGCCCAGCTGCACCCTCCACAGTCACGCATCAACAACGAAGAACGGACAAGCAACCAATACCCGGCTGAAGGTTCATCGGGTGCCAGGGACGAGTGAGCCCATCACACGCATTTTCGCAAGGCAGTCGACGCGCAACACCTTGCAAAATGTCCGGCGACTTTCCGCTTCCACCGATTCTGCAGACACCCTGCTCCTCTGAGCCTGTTCTCATAACCCAGGGCGCCGAAGGACGCCTATACAAAACAACCTACCTCACACCGAATCTGCCATGTGCTCTCAAGTACCGGCCCCCCAAGCCCTGGCGCCATCCTACCCTCGACGCTCGCCTCACAAAACATCGCATCCTTTCAGAAGCTCGCATTCTCTCAAGGTGTCGGAGGGAGGGCATTAGGGTCCCCGGGGTGTATGCTTCGGATGAGGTGGGCGGCTGGCTCATGCTGGAGTGGGTGCCTGGCGCACCGGTGCGCGTACGGATCAACGAGGCCCTCGGAGACCGACAGAGTGGGATAGAAGAGGACGAGGGGCTCAAAGACCTGATGCGGCGGATTGGCAAGGCGATTGGGGACATGCATGCCGTGGGGGTTGTGCATGGGGATCTGACAACGAGCAACATGATGCTGAGCCCGAAGCCACTGAATGAAGTGGACGGTGAGCCCGAGGGCCAAAAGGGGTGCCTCGAGGGCGAGATTGTGATCATTGACCTCGGTCTAGCGAGTGGTAGTCTCCTTATAGAGGACCGGGCGGTGGATCTGTATGTGCTCGAGCGCGCATTTGGAAGCACGCATCCCCGAGCCGAGTGCATCTTTGATCAAGTGCTAGAGGCATACAACGGCACTTTCAAACAGGCGCCGGCCGTATTGAAAAAATTGGAGGACGTCCGTATGAGAGGACGGAAACGAAGTATGATAGGATAATTCTGAGGAGCCATTTCAGGTTTTAATAATGCTTCCCTGCTTCTCCCGTGCCAGTGCTTTTAAGGTGCTTTCTCTTCGACCGTGGTATCATAAAGTCTCGTCCAATTCCGCCCCGGCAAAATACCCCTTGTTCTCAATGACACCTCTATCCTTCACAAAGGCCATGTATCGCGCTACCCACTGTGGTCTCACTTCCCCTTTCAGACCATCCGCCCCGGCCTTTGTATCGGCCAGAACACCTGCCCCTGCGGGCGAAGGTCCCAATAGCTCTCGGAGTGTGCCATTGGGCAGAATATCCGTACAGTCCGTATGTACGTTGAGCTCCACGCCGTGCTTCTCGGCCAGTTGCTTGAGGGGTGGCGGCACCTTGCAGCAATTCTTGAGGTTGATCTGGTCCACCGCAGGCGGCACGGCCGTTCGTCTAATGAATGCGTCCAGCTTCTCGCTTCCGAATTCAGATACGCCGAGTCTCTCCACTAGGCCTGATGTATGCAGCTTCTCAAAGATGGCCCACGTCGCTATTTCTTCGTCTAGGCTGCCTTGTTGCGCGTTGAGCTTGTCTGCCTCCCACTCGCAGTCGCCCTCGAAGGACATGCCTGGGAAGGACACCACGAGGAGGTGGATTTTCTCAATCTTCAGTTCCCGGCGCACCAGGTCCAGAGCTCGCGTGACGTACGCCTCCCTCTCCTGGACGGGGGTATCCGGCAGAAGGAACAGCTTGACTGTGATTTCGTACTGACTCGCATCGTCCCGTAGACCGGCGCCGGACCAGTTTATCTTGGGAATGTACAGCTCGCCATTCTTTGTGCGCTCGGTCCAGATATCCAGAGCAGAGATATGGTTCGCGGCGCCGTTCGCTTGGAGGGCGTAGTCCTGCTGGGCAGCTATGAAGGCGTCGCGGAGGGAGTTGACGAGCTCGAGATTGGACCGCGTCGCTGCGCCAGGTTTACGAATGATCGAGGGGCCGGTTGACATGACATTGCTGCCGTTGGGTTAGCCGCCATCATCTTTGGGTTGGGCCATGTCTCATCGCAGAGAGCGCCTTTCGCGGGGGAGGCTGTCGGCATCGTATGGTAGGAATTGCGCGGGGTGTCTGAGGGTCATGCAAGGCGTAGGCTCACCCAGTCGACAACACGAGCTGCGTCATGTTGATTGTGTTGTGCGGAGTATCCGCAGGTGGTCAAACTCGAGGGCTCTTGTTGTTATGAATGCTGTTCTTGATGCTGTAGGCAAGACGAGACCAGACTCCGGGGAGGGTGGGATTTTAGATATTTTTTACTTTCACCATTGAATCATCGGCAGCCCTTCGGCATCTGGGCCAGAAGGCGCCTTGTACTCCGACGGGCCTGCTGATGTCGGCGGAGCTGACTAATTGAACGTTCCTGACTAGGTCAGCTTGCGGACTTGTTACTCCGGGTTAACAACTTCAAGGACTAGATGTACTAATCAGTATCATATTTCTTGGGTCGCTATTTTTGCGCTCAGGCTCGAGACGAATGAGGTGTTCAGCAAATGTATATGACCCCGTTGGAAAGACCATGTTCGGAGAGGCTCGCGATGAGCGAACGCCGTGTGCGAGTCAAGGAGCGCAGCACTGACTCAAGGCTCTGGAGAAGTACAAGGTAAATTATGCAATGCAGCATAATCCAGCGCATCAAAGGCCTCAGATGGGTCGTATCAAGTAGCATTTCATGATTCCGTGTCGTCTGGGTTGATGCACGAGTGATGCACCTACCCTGCAGCAACCAGACTCCAAGCGCCCCGCAGTCTTGGGTCGTCACCAACCCAAACTCCAGCAGCAGCTCTAAAATTGCTCCGTGTCAACAATCTTCCCAAGAACCCACAAGACCACATCCACTCGCACCATTTTGCAACGACGACGACGTTCTCTTCACTGAGCTGACGCCTGTCTCGTCAAGATGGCGATCCAGTATGCTCCTTATTGCTCGTCGCGCTCGTGACGGTAACTGATGGCTTGCCGCGCAGATATCTGATTCTCCTATCCCGACAGGGCAAAGTGGTAAGACCTCCTCCGTGTGTTGTACCTAGGACAAGAAGGCTGACAACCATCATCACAGCGCCTCGCCAAGTGGTTCACTACCCTGTCCCCCAAGGATAAGGCCAAGATTGTGAAGGACGTTTCTCAACTGGTCCTGGCCCGTCGAACGCGCATGTGCAACTTTATCGAGTACAAGGGTACGGCACAGTCACCGAATCACTTCTTACCATGTCTGACCAAATTAGACACAAAGATCGTCTATCGTCGATACGCCTCCCTCTTCTTTATCGCCGGCAGCGCGTCGGAGGACAACGAGCTCATCACCCTCGAGATCATCCACCGATACGTGGAGCAGATGGACAAATACTACGGCAACGTTTGCGAGCTCGACATTATCTTCTCTTTCACGAAAGCCTACTATATTCTCGATGAGCTGCTACTCGCGGGCGAGTTACAAGAAAGCAGCAAGAAGAACGTACTCCGGTGCATTGGCCAGCAGGACTCCCTGGAAGACATGGAGGTAAGTTTTCTGACCTCTTTCCCTGATCATTTTCTCGAGTTGTGGCCTGCTGTTGCTTCGCTGGGACTGACGCCTCATGCAAAAGGTCGAGGACGAGGTTACCAGGCTCATGTAGAGTCTTGTATACCGAATGTATGCATACGAACCCATCCTACCGGTCTGCTGGCGTGCGAGACCAACACTGCGACTACACATGCTCACATACCCTCGTGTTTCTTGATACTTCCGTTATTGAGCCGCTCGCTGCTGCTGCCACAGACGGGGATTGACATGGTCGGCAGGACTCAGACGACGTAATGAAGAGCCTCAAAGATGCGGGTCTTGTCTGAGCTCGCATCATGATCATCCCATCTTTGTCTTTCAAGACGATGAAGCGGTACGGCATGCGATGCGATGGCAGGCAAGGGCGTTCGGAGTTGGGTTGGCTTTTGCGAAGCCTGGTTCATAGGTCTTGACGGTGGACAACCACTGTCTTGCATATCAAGATACTCTATTTGTTTTATTCAATCACGGAACACGCTTCCTGGACGTCATTAGACGTTTTTGATGTGAACGGACAATGCCAGTGTGGGGGATGGAGTACTGACGCATGACGATGACACCGCAGGCCACAGCCACCAATCCGACCGGCAATACTCGGTTGACTACATCGCTCTATCACGGATCACGAAGCAGGCACATGGTGGATTGGCAGTCGATTACACAAAGCGCAAGAGGCGAGCGTTTGGAGCTACAATGGCCATCGACAACAATGGTGTGGGAGGCGTGCAATGAGCTTGAAGCCCGATTCGTCATGGACATCCGAGGGGTGATTAAGGGGAGAGCTTACGTACATGCCAACAGCGTTGAAGCAGCCCCCCTTACGACAGACCAATCCGTGGCGCACTCTGTGCCCATCAGCGCTGCTATTTGGTTGATCCTATCGGGCGGCATCCATAGCGTGGGTGGGTGCTAGTGGGGACTGGAAGTGGCCCAACAGACAGACCACCGAACTGACCAGCGCGGACGAACAACGGCCACAGGCAATCGCAGCAGCGATCAGCTGAGCATGCCTGGCGCTTGATTGACGGCGCAGGTTGGACGCGACGTGTGCTGTCCGGATGCAGCCATCGTGGGCGCTGCACCGCACCGCTACCACGACGGAACCCAGAACCCCCTCCTTTGTGGCTGTTACTTGCCTTGCCTGCACCCTGTGGCCTTGTCTTACCTTATCACGCCCGGCTAACTAGGTTTCGACCACCCATTCCCTTTCACCAACCATCCTCAACGACACAACAACAACAACTCGACCGATCATTGCGATGCCCACCGGCTCTCGAGCTTGCTAGACCACGTGTCTAGTGACAGCATATACAACCCGATTGCCAAGGTCATCAATCAGCACCGCCGTCGCCTCTGCCTAGTGCAGCCCGATGCGACACGACTGATACTGCAGCATTCACCATTCGCAACAGCAACAACGTCACTCGCGCATCGCGACGAGGCGCGTACCCCGAGCTCGAATACAAGCGCAGTAACGCTCGCCAATTCTCCCTCACGCCTGTGCTTCAGACACTCCGTGAGATTGTCGCGCCATACGCAAATACACACCGACAGTCTTCGCGTTCCGCCCGTCCAAGCAGGCTGACGCAATCCCCCGCGATACAAGGCCAGATCATCCTGTGGCCATCGCACAACCACAAGTTCTCGTGAAGTATCCCCGAAATTATCACAATGAAGGTCAGACCAATCCGGAGCAAATCAACCCATCTTGCGACGCTGACGGCCCCTCTCAGTACCTCCCTGTGAATGGTTTCGAAGCCGTCACTGGCGCCCTCAACTTCAACACACCCGATTGCAACGTTACCGGCGGTTGCGATCTTTACACTACCAAATCCACTGGCTCGGACAAGAAACTATACCGAAACATCGACCAGAACCTCTCGTCGCAACATGCCGCGCTCTTGAAGCTGGGCGCGAGCCTGAGCCCACCAGAGCGCGAGCACATGCTTGCTACATCACCGAGCATGCAAATGTTCTCCCACTCGAGTGCGTTTGGGCCCTTGAGTGAGCTCTCCAGCCGACGAACCTTTGCCTACCTGATTGCGACACTGAACGCGAGCCACCCGCACTACGACTTTTCGCACGTCCTTCGACCCGGCGACTTTAAGCGCGAGCGCAACCTCCGACGCGTCATGGTGAATCTGGATTCCATCCTGCAGAATGTCCGACCCGGCTTCGAGGCGAAATCCTTTGGCTCCTCCCTCGGAGCCAGCCCCGATCCCGTCTGGGGTCCGCAATGCTGGAGCCTGATTGACAAGGAGATGCGCCTGAACGAATGCACCATTATCGGCTACCATCCCGACGTGGACCCCTTTGAGGAGGACGAGTCCGCCATATGGGCGGCGCACTACTTCTTCTTCAACCGCGCCCTCAAGAGGGTCGCCTATCTCTACGTGCGGGTCGTCCCCGTCATCTCCTCCACGAGTCCACACCTCCGACCGCAGAAGCTGGCGCAATTGTCTACCCTCAGCAGCACACAGGACACGTCCGGATCGAAGCGCGCAGACTACTGGCTCGGCGACCGGGGCGGCAAGCTGGTGCCGCCTCCCGTGGAGGACGAGGATGGCGACCAGGACGACGGCCTGTTCTGGAACAGGGGTGAAGATGGCGACCTTGTCATGTATTCGGATGATGAGATTATGGAAGATGAGTACGAGGACGACGACAGTTATGAGGACGACCTTCGCGATAAGAGGCTCTTGAGCGAGGATATCGCCGGGCGGATGGAGATCTAGAGGAGGTTCTAATGTGGCGGCGCAGGTGCTACGGTGTTGCGGCTGACTTTTTTTGTTTCGTTTTGTTTTTGTTCTACTCTGTTCTGCTCTGCTTTTTCTTTTCCTTTCGAGTCTGTTACATCAAGCGCGGCGCTGGATTCTTGGTTCCTTTGGTCGGTGAGAGCGATCAGGAATCGCGTCGCTGGAGTTACATTTGCGTTTTTCCTTTCGTCTGCTACTATTAGGGCACCGGTCGGTCGGTTGGTCGGGGACTGGGCTGGGGGCTGGACCTTGGATCCTGGATGGGAATGGGACGGCCGGATGGATGTGAGTTTCTTTGGGTGAGCTAGGTACAACGCTACGACGACTCAACATTCATGCTCGTTCATTTTCATGTTCCGATCATGTGACGACTGCGAGAATGAAGCCCAAGAGAAAATGGCATGGTTGCCGTGTATTTCCATTAAATGCCATGCTTTCCGTAAGCCGACGTAGACACATCTCTATATGTGCTGCCAGTGTCTAGTAGTCCATCCATCGCCCAACAACGCCCTATGAAATCAAGATGCTCCCAACCAAAAAAAAAAGTTTCCCGTGACAGGTACTTGCTCCTGACACTTGGTATCTCATGTACATTCCATATCGTACCCAAACCCATATTGCTTTTTGTAACCGACCAAAAAGGACATCAAACGCCCGCTAAGTGGCAAGAAAAGATCAAAAACATTGCAAGGCATTCTTCATTCGCGACTGGCGTGACGTGACGGGCAGCTCATCAGACCGTCGTCGGTGGCGGTTGCTCACTGCCTCGGAGGGCCGTCTTTTCATCAATCTCGTCTTGCGGACTCGGGTGCTCCGGCTCCTCGGGGATGGTGGCGAACCGTTTGAGGACCTGCTTCAGTGCGGGCCGCCGGATAGGCTTGGACAGGAACTCGTCCATGCCCGAGGCGATGCAGTCCTTCATGTTGGACTCCTCGGAGAAGGCCGTCAGGGCGACAATGGGGGACTTGTAGCCCATGCCGCGGATGAGACGCGTCGACTGGAGGCCATCGACGTTGGGCATCTGCACGTCCATAAAGATGACATCGAACGGCTGGTTCTTCTCCATGGTGCCCTTGACCAGGTCAAATGCCTCCTGGCCGTCCTTGGCAATCGTCACGTCCGATACGTCCTCGAGCTTGAGCATCCGGCTCACGACCTCAATGTTGGTCTTGTTGTCATCCGCGACTAACACGCGTAGTTTCCGGCCAGACGGGCTGCGGATCAGGCTGGGGATCACCTTGCCGGTTTTAGCAGCCGCAATGGGGTTGACAATCTTGTTTGCGCCGTGGCTCTCCACAGACGAGGAGAAGTACGGCTGACTGAGGCCCACAAGGCGCGGCTGTGAGTGTAGGGTGCTCGGCTTCCCATCTGCCGCGTCGGGCGACGAAGCCAGAGTGCCGTTTGCAACACCAGGAGCGCAAGGTGGCTCTGTTTCCACGTGTTCCACGTTTGATTTGTGGGCGCTGGAGGCGGAGCTGGCGGTTCTGGACATGCTGTTAGTTCAAGATCGCGCTGGCTGTCGTCCACAGACAGGATGGAAACTGACCTAGTTCTTGCATGCTTCAGCGGAATGTGCATGGTGAACGTGCTGCCAACGCCTTCGGTGCTTTTCAACGTGATGTTGCCCCCCATCAAAACAGCCAGCTGATGACAGATGCTCAGCCCGAGACCGGTGCCGCCGTACTTTTTGCTCAGACCCGGATCCCCTTGCACAAACGGCTCAAAGACCCTATCCTGCAGACTCTGAGGAATACCCGGCCCGGAGTCCTGGACTTCAAACTCGAATATGTACGCTTTGGCGTTCTGAAAGGGCAATGACTGTATACTGTCCGCGACCTGCATGGAGGGCGCCGTCCTTGGTTCCATGGGATTGATAGCGAGCGCTGTATGCCCGGCTGCCGAGCTCGTCGAGCCAGGAGCGCCGGAGCTGACGGACTGGGCGCTTGCCGAGGCTCTCTTGCGCGCGCCGCTCCTTGAGTTTGAGCGTGACGAGCCGCGACTGTGTGTATCTTTTTGCAGCTCCTCGCCTAGGCATCTGATCCTAACCTCCACCTTGCCATCCGCCGGCGTAAACTTGAGGCTGTTGCTCACCAGGTTGATGAGGACCTGTAGGATGCGGTGCTGGTCACCCCAGAGCCACAACGACTCGAGCTTTTGTGTTTTGAAGGGGTTGATCCCGACGGCAACGTCCATCTCTGAATCATCGGGATCGGGCATATCCGCCGAACCCCTGAAATTGACGGCAAAGTCGATATTGCCTTCTCGAACTTGCTTGTCGAAGATGGTCACAATCTGGGACCGAATGTCGGCCAGTTGGAACTCTTTCGGCTCCATGACGATTTGGTGACCGATCTGGTTCTTGGAAAAACTCAGCAGATCCTCGAGAAGATGTAGTAGCAGATCTCCCGACTCATAGACCACCTTGAGCGAATGTCGAATCTTAAGCATGTCCTCCTCCTCCATGGAGACAGCGCACAGTCCCAGGATAGCGTTCAGTGGCGTCTTGAGCTCGTGCGAGATGTTGGCAATAAAGAGCGTCTTACTCTCGTTGGCGGCCTCGGCGGCCTTTTTGCTCTCGGTAAGCTGTCGGGTACGCTCCGCCACCTTCTCGTCCAGAGAGAGGTACTGCTTCACCAGCTCGTCGCTCATGTCGTTGAAGGTCCTCGTGAGCTCGGTCAGTTCATCGGTCACCACGTGCTTTCCTTCGTCGACCTTGCCGGGGATCTTGAACATGCGTCGTGCCGCATCCCTGTCGCCAGCTACTCTCGTCGAATGTCCTCGCATCAAGCGCGATATGGTTGTCATGAACCCCTTTTTGGACCTGTGGGACAGGTTCCCCGAGCCATCGTTGGGTGACTCGGCCTCGTAGTCGGAGATGTCCGAGAACGTGTCGTCGTATCCGGGAGGGTTGATGGAGCGCTCGGTGGCAGCCTTGAGCTTTCGAATGGGCATGACACTGAAATGGGCACATGGGAAGACAAGGAGAGCCAGGAACCCGGCGGTCCCGAATACAGTACCGAGGAGAATGTTGCGAAGCGTGTTGATGGGCTGGTATGCTTCATCTCGAGACATCTCGACGATAATGGTCCAATTGACAAGCGGTGTCTGCGTGCGGGCATAGCCTACTGAGACGCCCACATTCTGCTCGTTGTGCGTCTTGAGAAGTGCGCTGGCATTGTTCACATTGGCATTCTGCTCCGTCCAAGCCTTGACGGCCGCCGGATACGACTTGACAGGAAAATCATCGTCGGCCGTGCCTGCGTCGAAGACGTGCTCCTTGTGCCGACTTCGGCCATATTTGTTCTGATTCGGAGGTAGGACGAAGTGCATCATGAGATCGCCAAATTCCTGCTGGTCAGGCTGGTAGCTGCTGTTGCTCGCGGGAGGCAGCTTCAGCGGAAAGCGGTTCCATGGCGTCGTTGGACCGAGGATGAGGGCGAGGCCCGTTTTGCCCAGTCCTTCTGGCGAGTCGCGGGCGTGAATGAGCGAGTCGCCCTCGGCAATGACTGTCATGTACCCGAGAATGAAGTCGTCGCTGTTGTCTCGGATTGGCACGGACAATGACATGAGGGCGAAGGACTCGTTGAGCATGAGAGGGCCCAAGAGTAGCCCGTCATCTTGGTAGATCCTCACGCCAGGGAAAGCTTCCGCGGCCACGGCTCGCTCGGCGGGCCGATGCGGGTTGCGATACCCTAGATCCACGTATGTGATGTTGGGATAGAGCGAAGGGGGGTAGCCGTTTTCCGTGTCGCCGAGAAACACGGGGTCTCCATTGGAATCTGAATAGGGTAATTGGATGCTTCCTGTGTTCGACGCTGTCGCATTGACGAGGATCTGGGGATCAGTCCCATTCCGCGAGTATATCCTCGCTTGGAGAAGGCCAGTCGAAGATCCGACCGCGAGTGCGCTTGTAATGTCCACCTTGGCCTGGTCAAAATCAAATTCATTCTTCTGGTAATAGCGCTGCAGAGCGTCCTGCAACAACAGCCTAGAAGCAATCGTATAGCACGCTGTCTGGATGAGCTCGATCTGGGACGTGATGCGGGCCGCCTTGAGGGACGCTGTCAGGCTGAGGCCATCCTTCAGGTTGGTCGCGATATGGCCGTTGACGTAGATCCATGTTGGTATCGAGACGACGGCAAGCGCAGCGAGAACGGCGAGGAGGACGAGGAGTGCGAGCTGCTCGCGGATGGCGATCCTCATTGTCGTTGGCAGCAGAGGTGATCTGTGGGCCGGGGACGCGATGCGCAGGGCCGCATGTTGTGTGTGCGCCTGGTACTGTTCCCTCTCCCTCGCTGTGATCGTTGCGCACTGCCGGTGGTGGGCGGTTGTTGAATGGGTCGAACGACTGAGTGTCAGGCTTTTGTTGCGTTGTGACGGCAGGTTTCGTTCGAGAGCGACTGGACTGGAGGTGTTGTTGGAACACGAATGGGTAAGAGTGGAAGCCAGGCGGCTGACAGCCTCGATCCACCAACTAACTTTTAGGCCGTGGTAGCTTATAAAGTCAGGTAAGGTACCTGTAGCTAATCTTGGTGGATGGTGTGGAGCGGAGAGGAGCGCGGAGGCGAGATTGAGACCCAGCGACGACGAGGATGGACGGTCTCGACTCTGCCGCCATGCGTGATGCATAATAAAAGAAGGGGATGGACCGCCCGGCTGATCCGTGCGCAGCGCACTGGATAGCAGCCGCCTCAAAGTCTGCACAGGTCCGCACGCGCTGAGAGTTTGTCCCGCTCGTGGACCTGACTCAAAGCAGCAGCAACCGACTCTGCAATGGTTGATGCGAGCTTGGCCATCAGAGGTGCACAGCGTGAAGCAGTGTCTGTCTGATGGTCACGACGACTGGATTGTGAGGATCTCACTGGATTCTGGGGACAAGACTGGAGGTCACAGGCAGGACAGGACAGGCCCCTGATCCTGGTCTTTCACGCTGCACGCAGGTAATGAACCCAGCAAGCCCCCGAAGGCGCCAATCAACGGGCGGCTGCTGAAGCCACAGGCCACCATCGCAGAAGATTGGGGCCCTTGGGGCGCCGTGCGATCCCTGACTCAGCCCTGAAGCGAAGCATGAGGGGGTGCAATGCCACTGTGCCACGGCCCATACTGGACATGACTGGCCTGGCCCTGGCCCAGTGAGTGGGCTGTCAGCCTGCAATCAAGTCTTGGCCGATGATCGGGTTCTAGGTTTTACTACTATAGGTAGCTAGTGGATTGCCTTGATTAGGATAGTAGCTATCTTATCGCTCTAGCTCGGCCGGCTCAGTCAAAGCTTAGCCACACCTTCGTCAGGGGAGACTACAAGAGCATTTGTGCATACTCGCTTTTGGCTCACTGGTCTATGCCGCCACAAAACACCATCATCCGCATCATGGGCAGTTGAGGTGCCAAGGCTCATGGCCTCGTACGAAGTCAACCTAGGTATAATACAATGTAATCCGTCCGGCAGATCCTCCACAAATTTTGCACCTGCACTAGCATCGATCTCTACCACTGCCAGCGCACGACAACGATGGTTTCTTCAACGGAGAATGCTGCCAGCCAGCCAGCACCATTCATCTACATTAACGGCTACCCTGGTGTGGGGAAGCTTACTATTGCTAAGGAGCTCCGGTCCGCGTTTCCCTTCCTACGTACATCAACCACACATGTTCATGCAAATGATGCTAATTACCAGACGCAGGGCTCCTTTCCCCCAGGCACAGCTCGTGAGCAACCACTCGACATCGACATTACGGCTGAATTTTTCCCGCGAGGCCACCCTCAACACCAATCATTACGCCGTGCATCAGTGAGTGCTCTTCAGGCAGTCCTGGCTGGCCCTTGCTAATACGTACCAGAGGCGGGTTCAGTTCCAGTGCGCCATCAATGCGCCATATGAGACCACGTGGATCTTCACCGACTAGCAGTCTTCCGGTGAGATTGGATCCTCGACAGCCCAGGAGTATCAGACGGCAGCGGCATCTCGAGGAAGCCGCTTCATTTCCATCGTTCTCACCTGCGGAGCCGAGGAAAACTTCAAGAGGGCGCAAGGCAAAGGCCGAGGGGGCGCTTTAAACACCAAACTGACCGACCTGTCCATTCTCCGCAAGATCAGGGCAGAAGAAGATATCTACCATTTCGGCAGCCCGGAAGAGGCAGAGTTGGATGTAACGGGCCTCACACCCTCCGAAGCGGCGCGACAAATCTACCAGCACGTCTGTAGGTTCATTTGATCAAAGTCCTGGCAAGGCTGTTCGGATACTCTGCTGGCTCTTCAGCCGACCCAGGTCTCACGGCAGACTGCTCTTTCTTTCGGTCGGAGACAGCACTGGGTCCATGCAAGCTGTGTTATCGTCGGCGAAGGTGCCTGACTGGACCAAGCTACGAAATCTCAAGGCTGAGTCAAGCTTGACAGTTTCGGGAACGCTGTCGACAGGGAAATAGGGCTGAACGTTTACCGCTCGGAAGCTTTTACCGCCGTTCACACATGGTTCAGAACCAACGGCTTCATCGACGTCAGCACGCCATTGATTACGCCCTCGTTGCTTTACGAAGCAAAGCCTGCAATTCACATTGCCAATCTTCGGTCATCTCGACCATTATACCTCTCACAATGCGCCGGATTTTACCTCGAATCGGCTGCTCACGCCCACGAGCGAGTCTACAACTTGGGCCCGAGTTTTCGCAACGAGAGCCGAACCAATCGACACCTCGTCGAATATTGGCACATCAAGGCCGAGCTCTGTTCCGGGCGAATGAGTGACATACATCATGGACCTGGTCGAAATCTTCCTTGTCGATGTCTTCGACGCGCTCGCTGAGAAAACCCGGCAAGTTGCTCTGCTTCTCGGAACGCCAGTGCCGGAGTTCAGTTTTCCACTGCCGCGGGTTACCTACCGCGAGAGCTTGGAGATACTCAAAGATGTGGGTTGCCACATTGAGTTTGGTCAAAACATCCACCAGCACGCGGAACCTCTTCTCACCGAGCATTTCAAATGCCCCGTCTGGATCACTCACAAGCCTCGCGTCCTGGAGCCTTTCCCCTGTAGTATCTGCGAATCAGACGATTCATAAACTATGACGGCAGATCTGATATCGTCTGGGGGATCTGGAGAGATCTGCGGTGTGGCCGAGAAGTAATCCCCTTCCCTCGAACGTTTGGCCGTGATTTCATCCCCTAGTTAGGTCACGACTGTTATTGTGCTGGGCCATTTGGTAATTTCATTCTGTATTTTCCACCTTGTGTACGTGACCCGAATACCACTGAAGCCATAATAAGTTCGAACTAAATGAATCTTGGGTGCCTGACCGGTGCTGAGACATGAACAAGTAACTCAACACCGTAGCCAGCAGTAGCCTGGCCTATTGGATCGGTCGGGTGAACTGAGATAGTTGAGAAGAGATTTATGTATATGTGGCTGGGTTATACGGGCTGCGCCACGAATCGTGTCAGTCTCGATCAACCGCCAGAAGGAACTAAAGTACCTGGTCTAGAGTTGCCAGGCACGCCGAACCTTATTTCCTTTCCCTTTCCGATACCCAGCGCCAGATGATTGGCCCCCACGCATCGGTATGGGGAACTGGCGCGAAAGCTTCACAGAGAGAGGGTCGTAGACTTTGGGTCCGCGGCTGCCATCCACGTTCCAGCCGGGGCTCTCCAGTCCTTTTTTGTATGTTCCGTTCTAGACAATACGCCCACTACATGTAGCCAGTCATGCTCAATGGGGTGTTGTTGGCTACGGTCGGTGGCGCCGGAACGAATCATCTTTTCGTCTCAGACCGCACAATCGAACGCAAACATGGTCGCAACAGCATGGGAGTCAACAGTTAACAAAACCAGAACCTCTAGAGATTTGTTAAGCAAAGTTTCTGGTATTCTTAGCTACACGCGCTTGTGGACTTGTTCATCGTCAAGCCAAGATTATACAGTCGATTCGCGTTGCTGAACAACACCCCTTCGACCAAACGTACACCCTCCTCCTGATCAACGTCGCCCTGGCTCAGCATATCGCCAATAACAGCCGCAAAGACCTCTCGCATCTGAACGACGGCCAGAAAGTACGTCTCAGGAAACCAGTGCCCGTCCGTGCTCCACATGATCTTCTCCCAAGGGCACAGCTCCAGGATCTGGCGGACGACGTGCTCCTGGCCCGCTCGGCTGACCATGGGGAAAACCTCGCCAATGTCCGCGTAGACGTTGCCGTACATGGCGGCCAGGTACCCGAGCTCCCTGGTATAGGGGTAGCCCGCGTGGAGCAGCACCATGGGCACGGAGGGGTATGTCTTGATGAAGTTTTGGAGTTGCGCGGGCGACGCCTTGGTAAGCTGTATGTCGTTGTCGCCCAGGCCCGTGTGGAACTGGATAGGCTTCTTCGTTTCCGTCTCGCTGTCTCTGATACACACGGCTAGCAGATGGACATAATACTCATTCAGTTCCGGATGCTCGAGCCGCTTGAATGCCTGGACGCCAGCGGCCACAACGGATGCGTGGATTCTGGCAAAGGTTTTGAATGCTGGGCTTGTGGACACCACGTTACCAACCATCTCTGGCCTGTCCTCTGGAGCTGGGATATCCAGCCCCGTCCTGTAGCAGATGACAGACTTGAAGCCGACCACCTCCGTGTCACACAGTGCTTCGAGGATAGTCGCCCTAAGTTCCACGACAACGGCAGCGAATGCGTCATCCGCCTTGTCTATTCTACTGCAGTGATGTCTGATGAGCTCCTCGACCAAGGGCTCGATCCGCACAATCCTCTTGCTCTTGCCGGGCGTAAGCGCATCAAAGTGCCGATACGACTCGGCGCTGTCCATGCCGTCGAGCCCATCGTCGACGAGCACGCATTCGATGCCCTGCAGACATGTACGCGTCCAGTTGGCCCAGTCAGCGCCTCGCTTGCTCTCGAGCTGCTTCTCCACGGCGTCCCAGGTCCTCTCACAGCCCAGGATCCCGGAGAGCTGCTTGACCGCGCGGACATGCGCCAGCGATGACTTGGTAGAGGGAAGAGCGTCGCCGTGGGCCTCGCTTGTCATGGTGAGCAGAGCGTGCTTGGAGAGGTGCTCCCTCTTCAGCAGCGGATGGGCATGGTTGTCGATGATGGGAGTCGAGTGTATGGCTGCACGGAGAGCCTCCTGCTCTGCACGGTTCGGCATTGTGTTGTTCCCTGAAGCTGCCGTACACGATCTCTGTTGACATGGACAGTGGGAGGGGTGCCAGTTTTATGCCTGTGACGGGGCAGTGCGTGCCTCCAGTCCGTAGACTCGCTATGCACTCATGCAACGCGATATGCACGCTGCACTGCAGCGCCAACACCACTTGGAGCACAGCGGTCTGAAGATCGAATCAGAAGGGAGGCGGAGATAAAGGAGGCGGCCCGCCCTGAATGCATGCTGCTGGTACGGTACATGGTAACGTTCCAGGAAGGCATATACGCAGTGTGCAAGTGCTGTAAATCATTGTCATTCCGCCTACAGAAAACAACTATCATAGACGAAAGATAATACCCAAGAGACACTCGGTAGTGTACATGGAACTATCCAATCGTCCATCACACCCCCCAAATGCTCGGCGTCCATCAAGTCCAGTAGACGACACCCATAAACGCTCGACTCGGAGAACCTCTAATCTTGCAATGGTATCGAAATGAGACAGCAGCATAAACTGGGTACCCAGCTTCCCTCAAAAGAAAAACCTTGCGTGTCCCGTTGCCGAACTGCAACATGGCAAAGTATGTGGGAAGAATTGGGTTATTATTTGCGTTGCCGTGGGGAGCCATGATGGCTTCAAAGGGTCAAGATACAAAACATGGCCTCATGGGAAAGAAAGAAGAAAAACAAAAACGTCGTTGCATAGTCTTCAGCCGTAAGTAAAGTGGTGATATAAAAGGAGAAAGGGGGAGAGAGATGAGAGTGTGAAGCCTGCAAGCTCAGGCTAGAGTCTTCTTGCGGCGATTCAGGAACTTGGAAAACCCTGACCCTTCCGCAGCCGCGGGAGGAGACTGCGCAGGCGTTGGCTCCTTCATGCCAGGAGGTGGCCCCGAGTCACGGAGGAAGGCCGCCAGGTCGGCGGTCTCACTGCGGCTGCCGCCACCAACTGGTTCGCGAGGCACAAACTTCTTCATGGGCACCCTGCCAGACCCCGATCCAGCGGCCGAGGCAACACGGGGTCGCTCCACTCGCGGCTCTGATGACCCGTACGCGTTGTTGTGACTCTGGCTCGTGGGTATGTTGACTTGGATGGGCACATGGCCATTTCGGGGCCCGTTGCTGGAGGCGGATTCTGCGCGATAGTTCGTCGACCGGACCTCAGGGGCTGGTGTCGGCTTGGACGCAGCGCGGCCATTGTCCTTTGCGCTGCCGCTGTCGCTTCGATCCCTGCCAAATTGGCCGCGCGTGAGTCGACCCATGAGGCTGGGCGCGCTCGCCTTCTTCTTGGGCACCTTGTCCGGAACGACAGGAGCGCGGACGGGCTCCGGTGGTGGCTCGTAGTTGCGCAGGAACTCGGCCAGACTCTCTTCCTTTTTCACGGGCGGTTTCCTCGCAGAAGGCTGAGGCGTGCCTAGCAGGTCATCGTCGTCCTCCTCTTCGTCGCTAAAGTCGATGGCGTAGGGATCCCGGACGCGTCTCTGTTTGCGCTTGGGAATCATGTCCTCCTCATCGTCGAACATCTTGTTGTACTGCGCAGGCGATGGCTTGTTCTTCAACAACACCGTGTTGGAGTTGGCCGACGACTGGATCGACGGCTCGGTGACGGTTGTGGATGCCTGGCTGTTGCGCGCCTCGGGGATGGTGGCGGTCTGCAGCGGTGCTCCTCCATGTTTCGGGCCTCTGGTGTTGGTCCTGGTGCTGGGCGGTCCTTGACGAAGAAAGTCGACAAGATCACCGCTGTCGTCCTTCTCCTCAACCGCGGCGTCGCGTGGCTGATAGCGGTTGCGGTTCGTGGTAGACACACGACGGGTGATGCTTTCCGTCTTGCTCATCGTTGGGGGCGCCGCAGTGGCACCACTGGCACGAAGACCCGCCGGTGCACGCGACTCCCCAGGGGGCCCTGTCGACTTTATGAACTCAGCAAAGTCGGCGGTAGAATCCGCAGGCACACGTGCTTCTCTGGCCAGGCCAGAATGCACTCGGGGTGACGTTCGAGGCGACTGGGAGGCGGCCGGGCTAGTGATGACAGGGCTCGTTGTGCCCTTCAGGGGAGACTTGACTGTACTCGGCTTGCCCATGGCGTTGGCGCCACCGCCGGGGACGGCAATGGGTGTTGGCCTGTTGCCTGTGGAGTCAATGGGGGAATGGTTACCGCCGCCAGCCACGCGGGAGGCTGGCGCAGCCTTGTAATCGGTGGTGGTGGAGGATGATCGAACACGATCTGTTGTAGGTTTGCTGTCGGGGAACTTGGGTGAAGTAGAGCTGTGTGGGGAGCGCGGAGACTGGCACGGTGAGCTTTTGCAATGAACGGTGAGCGGCGGTTTACTTACGTCCATGGCACGCATGTTCTCAGGCGTGAGGGTGTATGTGATTGTCTGATTGCTCTGGATGAGCTCCTCAAAGTTGCGCGCCACGCTCTCGGCGTGCGTGGGAACGTGTTCCTCGGAGGTTCGCACCGGCTTGATGCGGCCAGTGGGCGACGAGCTCGATGACCCGGAGGTGTGAGTCTGACGCTGAGAGGCATTGGACTGGATGGGCATGAAGGCCATATCCTCCGAGTCCCTCGATATCGTCTTCTCACTCAGTGCTTGACTCTCTTGTCGGCCGTGTCGGTTGGGAGACTTGGAGGGGACCTCGGGGATCGACTCAATGGTATTTGTGTTGCTGTGCATGGCTCGACTCGACGATGGCTTGGCGTAGGGTCGTGCACTTGTGCCAGACGCCGCAGGCTCGGGAGCATGAGACTTGGTCGTATGGACCTGGAAAACCTCGCCTGACCCCGGAGAAGAAGTTGTGCTTGCATTCTTCGTACGATCCGTGGACGGTCTCATCGGGTATGTCACATTGGCAGCGCCAGCATTGGTATCCGCTGCCTGAGTTGCCCGACCACTATCCACAGGACTGGGTGAATGGCTACGGCGTGGCTGGTGGCTCGACCAGCGTGGAGGTCTCTCCGCGGCGTCGATGGACGGAGAACGTGATCCGGACGCCTTTGGCGCAGGCACGTCAACGATGCGTGCCGAGGACACACTAGTCGACTTCCTTGAGCGACCTTCATAGTTTGAAGAGCTGCTGCTAGCCACCGACACCCGTGAGGATGTCATGATCTCCGCCCTCTCGTAGGTGCCCATATCTTCCGCCTGTGAAGACTTTGATTTCTCGGTTCTTTCATCAGTGGTCTGTGCAACGCCAATGGCCTCTTGGCCGTCCTCGGCGGTTTCTGATGCCCCAGGGGCTCCAGTTCCATCGACGACGTCTGCTTCGCGATGCGGTTGCCCCACAGCTTCCTCGTTTGCCTCTGTATCCTTCTCGTTTGCCTCGTCCAGGGCAGCATGGAACCTAGCACGCTTGGCACGGGGGAGCGACGAAGAGCGCCCATGCTTCTTGGGGGTCGCAGACTGTTGGAGCAGGGAGGCGGGCAAAATGAAGCTAAAAGGCCTTTTTGGGAGGTCTTCCGCTTCCACGTCCTCGTCATCCTCGTCACTGTTGTATGCCAGACCAGGCACCTCGATCTCGTCCACGTCGTTCTCCGTCCATGGCAGCGGAATTTCGGCAGGATCTGTTGCCATCAAGGGCTTGGGCTCTTCCGAAGCCTCAGTGTCGTTCTTGGCCACGCCTTCCGCACCCCGTTCCACGAGTCCCGAGTTGCGTTTTACTTCGGTCTCACCGTCACTTGTGACCGTCCGCGACACGAGGACATCGGTGGCAGTGCTGCTACTCCTCATGTGTCCTAAGGAGGCCCTCGAATAAGGCCGAGAGCCCAGATCCATGGGCGTAGGGCTCCTGATGCGCTTTTTCCACCCCCTCCAAAGTCGGCCTAGAGTTCGGTCGAGGGCGACCCGCTCCATGTCTCCGTCCTCCACCACGATACGCTCGCCGATATCTGACGCATGGCGCGAACCGTCCTTGATATCCTTCTGAAATGCCGTGCGCAGCCTGTGATATGACGCTTGCCCCGCAACTGTGAGAGTGAGTTCGCCCATGTACTCGAGGACAGAGGTGAGTAAAATCGCAACAGCTGGTGAGATGACGTCTGAGATCTGCTCATCAGCGCCAATTTCCAGGTTCTCTTGTTCCATGTAGAGATCCTCGTCTTCCTCCTCCATGTCTCCAAGCGAAGAGTAGACCATGCACCTCAGACGTGTGCGCTTCCAAACAAGCTCCAGGTCCCAGTCACGAGCAGCCGCATCGGCCCCTTGCGGCTGAACAAAGTCATCCTCGTCGCCCCCTCCCAGGTATTCACGCAGTTCCTCGTCGGCATTATTGATTGCGTCTTTGGCCAGTTTAGGCTTGAGCACTTCGGTGACAGCGGGTCGAAGGGCGGCAAGTGTCGTAGCCTTGGACACTTGTAGGAAGTTGAAGAGGAGCTGGTCGAGGAAGTTGTTGACGAGCTGCAGGGCGCCCTGGGAGACTAAAGCAGTCTCGCCTGAGGGAAGCATGCCATTGTCATCATACCACGAGTCTGCGTGGCTATCGTAATCGTTCGTAACGATCTGTGATGCAGCAGAGGCAGCAATGAAGGCAGCTTCGGGCGAAACAGACTGAGGCGGGGAGACTAAGCCCTGTCCAATGGTCGACGGTCGGTCGCTGGATATACTTTGCGTCCTTGATCGTGGTAGCCTTGGGGAAGCGAACGAGGTAGGCGATCGAGCCATCTCGGGAGATGGTGCTCCCATGGTGAAGAAGATGGTCAGAGGAAACCTCTGGGAGACTTGGCGATTGTGACTATGATTGATCGAATCTTTAGTCGTCCGATCGGGTCAATGAACGTGTGTCGAGCCCTGCTGTAGCAAGGTTGTTCCGGGAGCGAACGTGGCTATCGCGATCTTGACAGCGTTAGAATGAGTACTGTCCAGCGCCTGTATGATTCAACATGGGGAAGCCAAAGCACATGCGCCCGTCCCAAAGCAGGCGGCTGAAGCAGGAGTTACGTTGGCATCCGGGCGCAAGACGCAGAAGCACAAGCCTCTCTATGAGCTGAGTTCCACAGACGAGCGATCCGCAACACAAACCAATCGCTGTGACAGCCAGTGGATGCCAGATGCAAAGAAGACGAGGCTTGAAGGTGTTTAGGAACACGCAACAGATCGAGGAGGGATCCGTGAATCTATCTGGAGAACGAACTTACGGCAGGAAAAAAAAGCAACGCAAGACAACTGACGGTGGTTCCAATGGCCGTCCCGCGAGCGAGCTAAAGGTTGTCGCAAAAAGTAACGATGGACAGCCAATTCGACAACGAAGCGCAGGTGACCAGTCGAACGTCAAGCACTCTCGTCGCAACGCCTCTCGAGACCGATTGAAGAGAGAGAACGAATCGTCAGGAGATCCTCTCGACGACAAACAAAAGGGAACAGACAAAGTAAGTATCCGTAATAACGGCGGGCTGATCGATTCGGTCAGTACAGTAGGTGGCTAGGGATTGGCGTCACCCCAAGTGGGATAGCCTCGTCGGTCGCGTTCAGGGGTTCCGGAGAGAATAGGCAAACCCAATTGGCCTCGGTAGCCCTGTCGGTGGTGGGTGTCGGTTTTAACGCAGCAGGCCCCCTAATTCTGAAGCGGCGCCCAGCACTTTTCAGATCCGCGTTTGATGGATGGATGGATGGGTGCTGCCGCTCTTCTGTTGCGCACGAATGCAACCCTACTTGACACCAATGGCGTCTGCTTTTTCTCTCTCGTCAACAGGAAGTGTCACACCTCGCCTCGCAGAGCTCCAAAGGTCACGGCCAGGCGCAGTACCTCTTGGGGTTGAAGACGGTGGCACGGTGCTGAATCTGCGTGGTGGTGGTGGTGGTGCCTCCAGTGGGCGGCCTTAGTGCCGGCCGGGTCCCCGACTAGTGCTGCTGGTGATGGCCGTTGCGCAGTTGAGCTCCACAAAGAACATCTGAAAAGAGAGTCTGGCAGGTCTTTCAGTCAATGTCGAGTCAGGTCACGTCCGTAATATCGCGTGGCGTCCAGCAGTAGTTCTTCGCGGCGCGTGGTCTCGACCTGGGAGTCTGTACTCCGTAGCCAGCACAGGTTTCAAGATGATGGATACGGAAGGAAGGAAAGGAGAAGAGTGCAGATAGCAATAGAACCACTGGAAAGAGAATATGAACAAGGGGGGCGTGACGTCGCCTGGTACTTGGTAACCAAGTAATAAAGCGACGATTCACTACGTACAACTTTTTGGTACGAGGATTGGGCGAGATGACCTCAGTCGATCCGCATCTTCACGGCGCACGGATAGAGAGCACAGTGCTCAATTCGCACGGTCTTCGTATGCTCCTTCCTCACCTTGTGATATCCGGTGAGCACTGGCCAGTAGTCCGTAGTCCGGTACGTAAGGTACTTTCAGGTATTGTTAGATGTCACCAGCGACTGGACTGGAACCAGACATGGAATCGCCGTGTCTACTGTCAATTTTGCGGTGCGAATGAGTGCACGCGCGCGCACCCTGTCGTGCGTACGCAGTGGACATGGACATGCGCGCCTTTGCGTTGCACAATGCTGCTTTGCTCAAAGACACTGGTGCCACGTTGTGGGATGCAGCAGCCTCCCGTGGAAACCGACGCAAACTGTGGATAGGCAGTCATTTCTCTCCAGAGTCCAAACGACGGCATGCAGTTTGCAAAGAGTTTGCCCTGCACGGACCTATATCAGACGCATACATATTATTAACAAGGCAAGGTTCCGGCTCGTAACCTCGGCTTGATACTTGCTTCCAGAACAACAGTGCTCGCGCGGTGAAGACTTTTTACTGACCGAGATGAAACAGACGCATGATCGATTCTCCATGTTCCCTGGTGATCTTGCCCGGAAGCATGCGATGTCTGTGACAGGTCATCCATTAGAGTGGCGCAATTACTATGCAGCCAGCCGAGAAGAATGCGTACAGCTCAAGGTCCTCGAGGCGGAAGGGAAGTATTGGTGAGCTCTCAATCGGAGCTCTTGACAAGTCCAAATGCCATCTGACAGTACTTGGAGACGGGACACGTTAGTCACGGGACATGAGGTTGAGATGGAGGCCATTGTCCTTCAACTTAAAACCCCTGCATGAAGGGTCCAGTGGCAGTGCACAGTGCCCATGGCACGGTACTTCCACTTTCAATAGTCTGGTCGATGTCCGGACTCTGGCGGTGCGGTGTGACCGTGTGGCCTGCCAGTTGAAACCTGAAAGCAGTGATAATCATTTCGACGATTGCTATTCCCTTGCTGATCATGCAATGCACCCAAGAGGCTCAAGCCCAAGGTAGAAGATCGCCATAACGGCTCATCTGGTGGCTGAACATATCAGCCCTGATTGTCGTTGGCTGAAATTGTCTTTATTTTAATCGAGGAGTAATTATTATCGGCTTGGAGATCGCCATTCGACACGATCCATCATCCAACTACAGCTAGCGTCTCCATGTGGCAGCTGAACTCCAGAGGCCCGAGCGCTTCTAGCGTCAAGCGAGCAATCTGTCGCCTGATAGATCGTCGCGGAGCATCACGCTTCGGCCTCTTTGGCTTCCCTTGGATAGAATCAGCTCCCTCTCTCCGTTACCTTGAGGCCTCGTGCACGACGAGAACAGAACGGCATCGCCCATGATGACTTGTATCACTGGCTGAGACTACACTCCCATTCAATGGCACGTAGTCACCTACCTTCGCTGCCAAGTCCTCGTGATCCCACTCCCAAGCCTACCCTTAATTTCCCGCGCGTAGTGTACGAGTCAGAGTGTCCCACCAGTGACCTGCCTTGATCTGTCCCCGACTTGCAGCAAAATCCAGGAATCATGGTTCCCACGTGTCAGCACTCGAAAAAGATCGGAGCATGGTTGTCAACTTGTCTCCAGAGTCCAGAGTCCAGAAGAGCAGTTGAATTGGGTTGTATCCCTGGGGGCTTTTCAGGGGCACGTTCCCGGGTAGCTCAATCGAAGCCAAACAGTTCGGGTCACGACTCATATCGTACCCCTGAAAACATGCGGCCTGGATTAATCGCCTTTTGAACACAAATTGTCAAAAAATATATGCGATTGATTTATTGGATCGCGTCGTACTATTATATGCGATGGGATCTACCAGATTACGAGGCGGTACTCACTACAATGGCATGGACAGGGCAAGTCACCTGCTAGTCTACAAGGCGACGTGGTCACACACGCAAATGTCACAAACTTTAAAATCGATCTTGTCTTCAATTTTTTTTATTCAAGGCCACCGTGGCCGCGCTCTGGTGACAGTCCAGATGAACTGCTCTTGATGCTGTGTCGTGTTGTAAAAGCCCAAGTCATTCGCTGCCGGAAAGAAAAAAAAGGGGGTATATCCGTAAACACCAGTCGCTCCCATCATGTCGTTCAATATCCGTCGTTCTCTTCCAACGAGATGTGCCCAGGGCCAGCTGAACCAACCCTTATATATTCCAACGTCGCCAATCAGATTCGAGATCCTTTCAACTTGAGCAAATCCAACAAATTCATCCCAACTGTATCTGTATCAGCGTTTGAGCACCAGCGGGCCGCGGAGGCCAGGGGTTATAAGACCACTTACCTCTTTGATGCGGGGCCAGCTTCAACGCAAGCTCCTCCTTGAACGAAGAAATCGAGATGGATCCAACGCTTCCTTTGCGACATCTGTGACAGACGGCTCCTTGTTTCACACCAGTGTATGTGGCATAGTGACAGCCTCCCGGCATAGTTGTACCAGCCGCGCAGGGCGTCGTGATGGTACGGGTGAGTTCGTTGCACTCGGGGCACTGAAGACTGTGACCGTTACACATGGTTGTAAGAGAGATGGGTTTGGATGATCTATCCTGTCTTACAGAGTCTTCCCGTTTCTTTTATACAACTCTGGTCGGCTCTTCCTTTGCTGGCCTGAACTCTGTCGGCATTTAGTAGTGATGATCGTGAGTTAAATCCAAAGGTAAAGGTCACTTTGTTTTCCTTGGCGCAACTTATATGAGCCCAAAGAGTGTCGAGTGAACAGCCCTTTCGTTCATACCTGCGCTTGTTCTGCGCTACACGCATAGGCTTTGGACTGTGTTCTGCTGCGAACATGCACGAACAACTACGAACAGCTCTGAACATCTTAATAGCGCAGAATCCAGCATTCAGGGTCCAGTTCAACAAGGTAGAAAAGTCTATGATGAAGCTTAAATTGACTTCGGTCCTCCCAGGGCAGTCTTGAAAAAGGAGTCCCCGGCCCAACCTCAAGGAAGTGAATCTCCGAGGTAATGTGGCTTCTTCAAATCACCCGCCCACGCCTCATTCTAGAATTATCTAATGGAAGAGAATGGTCTTGAAAGAGCAATGCTGTGACCATAGGCCTGGACGAACGAAATGGTACATGTATGAGGGCTATCTATCTTCAGCACAGGGGCTGGGGATGTACTTGGCAATGGCACTAGGGTTCAGAATTTACCCTCAACAGTGAATCAACTCACAGGAGTGTCGAGCTTCATAAATCTCGTTCCACAGTCTTCGTCGCTCTTCTGAAACGTGTTAGATTGGCGTGGGTAGACAAAGAGGCGATGTGGACAAGGCGGCGCATTGGCCGTCGAGAGACTATTGTCATGGCTCACAGCAACCTCGACGAATTAAGCAAGTACTAGTAGATGTGACAATGCACAATCCAAACAAGGGACACGTGGAAGCATCCATCTCACGGCCGCCGCATTAACAGTATCGGTCGTACCTTTGGGACTTGACAGTTCTCAGAATACCAATCTACCTTGTCCGCAGTCCATCGATGTGGCACATATGGGGCAGTCAATTAGTTAAAAACATCTAGCGGTCAATTTGTGATGATCAGTGTTGTATAATTATTTTAATTGATAAGACTTTTAGAAGGCTTTGGCCATTCTCATCGTAGGGTATCAAATTTCAGGTCAATCCATACTTCCTCCCTTACTGCTGACGCTCAGCCTCCGCCTGCTTGGTGACGTCGTGCTCGACACCACGCTGCTGTGTCTTTCCCTCGGCATGCATTTGGTTGTACTGAGCCTGTTTGGACTCGTCACCAGTCAGGCCAGCGACGGCACTGCCAACGGCACCCTGTGCGCGATCGGAAATACCAGAGCCAAGGTCGGAAAGCTGACCCTTAGCCTCCTGCTGCTGACCCTCAAGATTCTGCTGTCGGCCAGCTTGCTTGAGGTTCTGTCCAGAGTTAGTTACATCACAGTGGTATTTGGTGAATCGGCCGACATACCTCATTTCCCATAAGTCCGCCGAGAGTCTCCTTTGCAGATCCAGCCGTTTGGTTCCACGAACCGTCAGTGCGGTCCTTGTTGTCGGTGACAGCAGCACCAGAGCCAGAGATGGTGGCGCCAGGAAGCTTAGCAGTGGCGTGCGAAGCGTCGTACTCGGACTGGGCCTTGTCCTCGCGGAGGTCACCCTTGGCCTGGTCACCAGTGTTGCCGGTCACGCTGCCGAGTGCCGACTGGACCTTGCCAGTGGCAGAGTCGACGTAGGACTGGAGAGTGGAGGGCTGGTTGCTGTCGGCCATTGTAAAGGTTGATGTGGTGCTGAATGGACTGGTTGGATGTGATCCTGAAGGTTGGTATTTGAGTGCAGGTGTGTTGATTGTGATGGGGGGGAAAAGAAGAAGCCCAGAGGAGTAGGGCGATGAGACGTTTTTAAATAAGATAGCCACGGACTTTTACTCCGGGAGCTTCCAACACCTGCCAACCCATTCTTGTGATGGAAGTCACGATGCCATCGATACAGGTTGACCTGTCTGGGTCTAGTGACATCACTCCTTGCTCGCACTACTTGGCTAAGGCAAGCTGTTGACGTTGCCCGCAACCATTTTGGGGAATAAGGGGGGGTCCTCGACGTGAGCTGTGAGAAGGTGGGTGGGGTGTTCTTGCCGTGACGTCAGAGGTCTGCTGTCATTCTATGTAGAATGGAGGGCAGGAGCGTGCGATGGAGTATGTGATGCCATGGGAATTACGAAGACGCTGTTCAAATGACCAGGTGAAGATGATCACGGTAAGTAGGGCACGAAGGCTGTTGTTCGCGGTAGCACTCTTGATGATCAGTGACATGGAGAGTTCGTGACGGTTCCCGAAATGCACTGACCTATCCACTAATAAAATAAAACCCTACGAGGCAAATAGAAATCATACAGGGCAAACATTGCAGGCTTGGTTTCAATTAGGGGCTCTTGATCTTTGTCCCCTTGTCTGTATTCAACACGGTTCAGCCCTTGTGTGTGTGGCGCTACAATAAAAACAAGATGCTCCTCTCATCCACGAAGACTCCCCTAATCATGCCATCTCGAAGACCGTTGGTATCGCAAATAATGAGGTATCATGATGGTACAGTGGTGTACACGCGCCAGACAGCGCAAAGCACAGAGTGCCATGAGCTTCTGGTCCTCCCCTCCAAACCCTTAGTGCTGGCTCCACTGGATCGTGTCCAGGTCAATACCTTCCTGCACAAGCTCCCATAGCGGGCTGAGCTCGCGAAGGAATGTGACACGCTCTTGGACAGCCTTGAGCACGTAGTCGATCTCCATCTCTGTTGTGAAGCGGCCAATGCCAAAGCGGATACTGCTGTGTGCGCTCTCGTCACTGTTGCCGAGGGCTCGCAAGACGTAGCTGGGCTCAAGCGAGGCTGATGTGCAAGCACTGCCCGAGGACAGCGCAATGTCTTTGAGCGCCATCAGTAGCGACTCGCCTTCCACGTAGGCAAACGAGACATTGACGCAGCCAGGGTAGAAGGAGTTTGGTGCTCCGTTTTGTGTGGTGTGCTCCAGAGACAAGAGTCCCTTGAGGAGTCGGTCTGAGAGGTACTTGATGCGCTTCGTGTCGTACTAAACAATGTGTTAGCGGCAGATCATCCATCGCTGTTTAACTTGCAGAGCCAGATGAAGGAGAAGAAGTCAGATAATGTCTTGTGGTCAACACGGACGCCTTGTCACGGGCATTCAGAAAGCCATGCATGTGAAGATATATCATCACGCAAAAGATGGGGATATGCAAGAAGCAACAAAAACCAGATACGTACCGACATCTCTTCCTTGGCGATACGGCACGCCTCGCCAAAGCCAACCACCAGGGGCGGTGCGAGAGTGCCGCTGCGCAAGCCTCGCTCTTGGCCACCACCGGTGATAATAGGGTCCAAGCGGACCCTGGGTCGTCGCCTGACATAGCAGGCACCCATACCCTTGGGCCCGTAGATCTTATGTGATGAGATGGACATGAGATCAATGTTCATCGCATTGACGTCCAACGGGATCTTGCCGACCGCTTGCGCGGCATCGGTGTGGAAGAAGACCTTCTTTGATCGACAAAGCTTGCCAATCTCCTCGATGGGCTGGATGACACCAATCTCGTTGTTGACCGCCATGACACTGACGAGCGCAGTCTCTGGGCGGATCGCTGCCTCCAGATCTTTCATATTGACAAGGCCATCGTTCTGCACAGGCAGATATGTGACCTCAAAGCCGTCGTCCTGCAAGTGACGGCAGCTGTCGAGCACACATTTGTGCTCTGTCTGTGTCGTAATAATGTGCTTCTTCTTGCCGCTTCGACCGAAGAAGCGAGCCACACCCTTGATGCTCATGTTGTTGCTCTCGGTGGCACCGCTTGTGAAGATAATCTCCTTGGGATCGGCACCGATGAGATCGGCAACGTGCTTGCGAGCGTCCTCAACAGCCTTCTCACTCTCCCACCCGTACGCGTGTGTCCGCGAGTGAGGGTTACCATAGACCCCAACGTAGAAGGGGATCATGGCATCCAGAACTCGGGGGTCGACGGGTGTTGTGGCTTGCATATCGAGATAGATGGGCCGTTGTCCTTCGTCCATCACCGCTGCCTGCTTGAGAACCTGCGCCATCGGGCTGACCTTGGCATTGGTAGGGGCATCGAGGGGAGTGGGAGGCGGGATGTCGACGAAATCTTTCTTATCAAGTTTGATGGCTGTCTCGACGCGAGCACTATCGTGCTTGGTTCCTGTGACATAGCCGCGCCTCGATGCGTTCCTCGCGACAACAGCAGCGGCGGTGCGTGATAAACTGCGAGTGGCTACCGATGCGGCCGACGTCGCGAGGGGGGAGCTGCAACCGAGGCGGCTGCTCGCCCTCAAGGCGGAAGATGTGATGCTGACCATGGTTGCTAATCTCAACCTGCGCGCAGCTTCTGTGCAGCGAAAGGAGATGATTGATGTGCAAACAAGGCAGGTTGTGGTGGCGTCGAGTCGATGACACGGGTAAGATGCGAAAGCGGAGAGCGAGATTTTGGCCTCTTTTTTTCTGGGAGTCCCTTGTTCTGGGATTTGTCATACTAGGAGCTTTCGGTTGACCTTCGGCTCGGGAGTTCAGTGCCAAAAGCCCGGCCGAAGGAGGATGGTGATTGGCTGGACTTTGCATCGCCCGCCGACTCGGGCAACTAATTGTCGCCTCGCGTCAGTGAGTTGATAACACAGTTCCGCCCACAGGATGATATACCGAGAAACGGAACCCTTTGTGGTGATTCGCGTTCATGAAGATGGCTCACTCTGAGTGACCATGGTGCATAGTGCTGAGCGCCATCAGGCTACGGGTAGCTTCCTGGTCACATGCTGTCTGTTAGTGCGAGTGAGGAATCGTGCGCCAAACGCTAGCAAACGCAAATGTCTTGGCCTTGAATACTGGCTGGAAGCTAATTGCCTGTAATTAGGAGGCTACGCTTGCGCCACAGCGCTGGGACCAGCCTCCAGTCGCACGCGCCGCCGCACAGCCACCCTACGTCGTCACCGGTCGATCCTCGTTAACTTAGACGGACGCGAACTCTTTGCTGGCGGCCTTAATCCCTATCCGCCTCTTCGCTGACGCCGGTGGCTCTCGGGTTCTCTTGCTAGCTGCGCGTCGGATCTGAGCCATCTTCTATTTTTCTCCTCTCATTTCGCCCTGCGCGCACGACTGCATCGCAATGAGTTTCAAGGGCTTCTCCAAGAGCTTGACGCGGGTAAGTCTCTCATCGTCGTCATCCTGCCCCTCACCCCACGACGACTGGGCAACATCACAGCCATAGATAGATAGCACTGTCGGCACAGGCGCTCAACAATCTGCAGGCACCGCAACAGATCAAGTCCAAGTTCAACATTGGCGAGTCCACGAAAGACGCCGTATACATCGATGCCGAACGACGCTTTCAGGAGCTTGAGAACGAGACCAAAAAGCTCCACAATGAGTCGCAAAAGTACTTTGAGGCCATCAATGGCATGCTCAGCAACCAGATCGAGTTCTCCAAGGCCATGACGGAAATCTACAAGCCCATCTCGGGACGCATGTCGGACCCTGATGACAGGAAGATCGAGGGCAGCCCGGAGGGTATCCAGGCGTGCGAGGAATACGAGGCCGTCGTCAAGGAGCTGCAGGAGACGTTGGCGCCTGAGCTGGAGATGATTGATACTAGGGTTATCCGCCCCGCAAACGAGCTTCTCGACGTCATCAAGGTCATCCGAAAGACCGCGGTCAAGCGTGACCACAAGCAGCTCGACTACGATCGGCATCGGGCGACCCTCAAGAAGCTGCAGGACAAGAAGGAGCGCAGCGCCAAAGACGAGAAGGCCATGTGGAAGGCCGAGGGTGATGTTGAGGCGGCGACGCAGGACTTTGAGTACTTCAACGACTTGCTCAAGGACGAGCTGCCGAAGCTGTTTGCCCTCGAGCGCGAATTCATCCAACCCCTCTTCCAGTCCTTCTACTACATGCAGCTCAACATCTTCTACACGCTACACGAGCGCATGCAGCGCTGCGACATTGGCTACTTCAACCTCACGCTCGATATAGAGGACGCTTTCCACGAGAAGAGAGGAGATATCCAGGAGCGTGCGGAGGCTCTGTCCATCGTGCGCTTCAAGACGACGGGCCAGCGACGACCCATTCGTTATGGTGGCCGACCAGCCCTCGAAGGTTCCAAGCCCCAGAACCTGCTCACACAGGGAGAGTCAACGCCGGAAAAGGCGAGCCCCAAACTAGGCGGATACTCGCCCGGCGGCGCGGAGGCTGCCGAACCCGCAGCACCACCTCCATATTCCCCTGGCCAACAGACAAACCTTTCAGCCATTGCCGCCGCGAAGCCCAAACCGCCACCACCCAAACCCAAGCCCTCGCGCCTCACCAATGCCCCCGCCGCAGAGATGTGCACCGCGCTGTACGACTACGCAGCGCAGGCGGATGGAGATTTGAGCTTCCACGCCGGTGATTCGATTGAGATTGTGCAACGGACCGCGAATGAGAATGAGTGGTGGACTGGTAAACTCAACGGGAAGCAGGGCCAGTTCCCGGGTACGTTCTCTGCCTTGTGCGTTTCGGCAGCACATTCGCTAACTTTGACACAGGCAATTATGTTAGACTTGGTTAATCAAACCCCCCATAATTTCATATTCTCAAGTCATCCACTAGAATACTTGTCTAAGCATGGTTCAAGGACGATCAGTACACGCGGGACGAACCGCATACTGCCCCGGATTAGCGCACGCCTGACGGGCGACGTGTGACAATTGGAATGGTGCATATAAACTTCATGTGAAGGGAATTCATATTTTCTGCCTGGCTGCCCAGGCCACAACTACCTAATCTAGTATGTGAAGTCATAACCAGCAGCACGCCCACCGTCCGCCGCGCCGATGATAAGATGAAAAGGCTTTGCTGGCGCCATCCACTCGTCGTCGCCGAGCTCTGGCGTGTCCGGCAATTCCAGGAGCCTCTGTGGAACGCTCTGCGGCTCGGTCCCATCCGCCTTGCGCAGACCTGGAATACGGAGCGCAGGGTCAAATGAGACGAGGACAATGGTTCCATTGGTCCCATTGTTACTGACAGGTGAAAACACAAAGACGCGACTATTGAAATCCCGGCGAACCTTTTTCACGGGCTCATTTATAGGTGTCATGAGGTTGAAGAGCATGCTCATAATGGGCTCGTCCTGTCCGCTCTTCACCTCGGGTGGCCATAGGCAAGCAATAGCCTCGTCTTGCTGCCACTCGGTCTCACCCTTGAATGCCCAGCCTGGAGATGTAGAGCGTACAGGACGTCGTTGGGGTCTGATCCGCGTTCGAAGCCTGAAGTGCTTTAGCGTAGTGGTCGATGGCTCGTTCACCAGATCGATGAAGCTGTCTGTTCGGGGATCATAGTCATTTGCGCAGATCGTTTCGAAGCGGGGACTGTAGACATCGCCAACGTGACAGCTCATTCCTGGGTCCCCAGGTGCCCAGTCGCCCTCTTGTCCAAAGTTGTCCAAGTATTGCGCAGGCACAAGGACCTGTCGGTAGCAGCATCTCTCCGTCTTGCCGTATGGAATGTGGGCACAGGCCAAATAGAAGGAAACATCGCCCGTTGCTTCGTCTTGGTAGAGCTTCATAATGTCGAAAGCGTGCCTCTTGACAGCATTGCGACCTTTGAAGGAGCCGGAGAGGTGTTGCAAGGTGCTGGGATCGTTGGTACGCATCCTGAACCAGTGGTAGTAGCTACGCTGTAGGTCGTAGGTGATGGGGCCGAGGGTCGAGCAACTTGACGTTGCGCCGTATAGCACTCTGTCAATGATCTCAAAGCAGACATTCTCTCCCAGTCGGTCGCCGATGAACCCGACATCGAGAAGAAACTTGGGCCCCCATTGTCGAAATCCAATGTTGAAGCCCCTCAAGGACCACCGCCATGTAGAAACCGGATCATCGACGAGAATACCATAGTAGAGGTCATGTTCATCATTTCTCACAAAGATACCGTTGCAGCCCGGTAGGCTCTCCGAGTCGAGTATGCAATGGTGTTGGACATCGCACACCACCAGCCTGAACCAGCTGGGATCGTGTCCCTTGAGGAGGAGTGACAAGATGCCCTTTTCATAGTGGAGAAAATCGACCTGGAATGGCTGGCAAGGGGTATGTCCATACAACTTGGCATAGATGTTCCGCGTATCGATGTGCGCCTCTTCGGCTGCGTTGTCATCGAGGTTCAGGATACGAAAGCAATGACGGCCCAGTTTATAGATGAAAGCTCCGCCCGAGAGAGTGAAGCGGTATGAGACGGCAGCCAGGAGCAGGTGACAGGGCGAACCTGACTCCATGGCTATGGTTCTCTTGCAGAGACGCCTCCATGCGCTCGCAAAGCGCCCCTTTGTCAAGGCATTCCGATATTCAGCAGAATATGACGCTCCATTCTGCACACAAGTCAGTCTTGCTACTTTGTTTCCGCATGGTACGAGCTCACTCTGAGTAAAGTCTGACAACAAGAGTCGGAATAGGCGATAGTTCGTAGAAGAGCCTTGCAAGTCAAGGAGAGGGACCATTGCTCGCCCAAGGTCATGCAAACCAGTATCATCTCCAGCAGCTCCTGTGGCATATTCAAAAGTAGAGACATTGGGTACGACGTTAGCTAGCAAGAAGAGAGCGTAGCTCCAGACCAAGAGAATCAAACGAGTGAACAGAAATCGAGCCACTTGCTCATACATGTAGGAAACATGAACCCAGTGCTCGTGACAAAGTGCATCCTGAGCGGGGACTGCACATTGATTGTGAGGCTGCGCATTTTGACCTTGTGTGACGCGAGAGTCTGGCATGAGGTGTCCTTGGCCAACGACACGAGTGATGAGCTAGAGAGCCGAGACTTTGACCGGTGCCCATGTCTGTTACACTGCAGCCCACGCACAAAATGGTTTTTTGAACAGCGTCTTGGTTGTGGGATCAGTGAGAGGCAATTTGGCCACTATCGTCGGTTCAGTTGGCTGAACAGTCGTACGTATGTACGTTGGGGCGCGTCCTTGTCCACCGGTTAGGTGCTTCTCCGTCACTACCTACTCCGCCACTTGCAAGGTGTCACTTGCAAGTCTGGCCAGTTGCATGCTCAATTGGGGGGAATGGGGTATGCGAGAGTGTGTCTGGAAATCAGGCGCTCGGAAAATCGGGCTTTGCGGCCAGCTCATCAAGTTGCGAGGGGTGAGGAAGGCAGACAAGAGGCTCTCTTTAGGCGACTGGAGTCAGTCTCTCGATGATAGTACTGCCTACCCTGTAGTCAAAACTCACAGTGCCTTCAGCACGTTTGGTTTTGCATTATGAGACGATGCAATAGAATTATAAAAACCAACAATGATATCTTTGCGTTCGAGGAAGGTTGATAGGCCGTTGTAGGCGCCAATGTGACAGCGTGGTGAATGACTAACATCCGGTCAGTTTATAAATGCCGTAAATGTTTGTTATTTTAGACACCAATATGCATGTTGGCTATATCCACAATACATACTATAGTGAATAGCAGATAAGGCTGACTTGGAAGGTCGTCTGATCCAAAGGATATATAGCTCCTCACAAGCCTCTATCACTCCTATCTATCCAGGTATACTGGCCTCATAGCCTGTTCCCAGGCGCGTCATCCCGAACCCCCCAAAAGGCCGGTGTCTCCACAAATGCGGCACCGGCACCGTCCGCGCCCTTCGGGTTGGATACATGGTTGACTTCTCATGTTCTGGGCGGGCGGCCCTACTACATCGAACTTGCTCTTGCAAATACGTAGTCGCTCCGTGGAAGCTTTCACTTCTAGACCACCAGTCACTTCTATCGCCTCCGCATCGCAATGATCGACCTCACGGCACCTTTCGAGGCCGATAGGCTCCTCGAAATCCGGACGTCGGCCATGAAGCAGATGCCAGGCCTCACGATCATGTCGGGAATCGACAAGAAACTGTGCAACAGGCCCATGAAGATCGACGAGGTGGGCCTCGAGGGCGACGAACACGACCTGACCTTTCATGGGGGCCCTGACAAGGCCGTCCTTGGCTGTAAGCTCAAGCAAGATCCCTCGACAGAGAGTGCACCTTGATATTGATGCTCAAAGACTGCTCTTCCCACTACCCAAACTGGCAAGAGTCCTACCCTGAGGCAGCAGACAAGTTTGTGCCAGGAGGATTCGGCGAGAACTTTGTCACGGCGCACATGAACGAACGCAATGTCTGCATAGGCGACATCATCTCCGTGGGGTCCGAGGTTATGCTGCAGGTTTCCCTACCCAGATCCCCCTGCTTCAAGCTAAACCACCGCTTCTCTCTCAAGAAGTTTGCGCCTGTCACTTACGAAACGAGCCGTACGGGTTGGTATTACCGCGTCATCCGCGGGGGGATGGTCCAGGTGGGAGACGACCTTCGTCTGGTCGAGAGGAAATGGCCCAAGTGGACGATTGAGAGAATCCAGGAGTACCTACACCGAAACACGGACAACTTTGAGATGAACCAGGAGCTGTCCCGCATCGAGGAACTCGGCATGGAGGCGCGAGGCCAATTCCAGAACCGAGTCGCCAAGGCTCTGAAGAAGAAGGACGCAAAGACGGAGACGTGGACTGACTACAGGATCATTGAGCGCCACATGGAGACGCCCAGGGTTGTGTCTCTGACTTTTGAGGCGGTGGACCCAAGCGTCAGCGTGGAAGAGAAGGAGTTTGGTCTTCATTCGAAGCTCAGGCTGCCAAACACCCTGACGAGATCGTACTCGGTGGTATCGGGGGAGGGCAAAGCTCTTGGTCGCCGGTTCGAGCTCGGCGTCGCGCTTGAGAAAAACAGTCGAGGCGGATCAAAATACCTGCACGAGAATGCGCACGTGGGCGACGTGGTTCCCGTGGGCAAGTTCACGACCAGCGTCGCGCCCGATGCTTCGGCCAGCATGCATGTCTTCATTGCTGGCGGGATCGGCATCACCGCTTTCATCGCGCTGATGAAGCGGTGTTTCCAGATCAACTGGGACTTTAAGCTGCACTATGCCGTCCAGTCCGTGGAGGACATGCCGTATCGGGAGAGACTCGCGCCCTACGGGTCCAAGGTCGTCGTGTATGACAAGTCGAAAGGTCAGAGGATGGACATCAACGAGATAGTCAGGGGGATGCCGTGGAACAGCCACCTCTATGTCTGCGGACCGGACCGGATGATGGACGCAGCGAAGAATGCAGTGGCAGAGAGTGGTCTGTCCCCCAACGAGGTGCACTACGAGGCCTTTGGGGCCAACATCTCGGGTGATCCGTTCGAGGCGGAAGTGGCCAACAGAGACGGCAAGGTCGTCAAGGTTGGCGAGGAGGAGAGCCTGCTCGAAGTACTGCGACGCGAGTTTGATGATGTCCCCTCGAGCTGCGAAGTCGGCAATTGTGGCACATGCAAGGTCTCTCTCATGAGCGGCCGGGTTGATCACCGAGGCACGGCCTTGTTGGAAGAGGACAAGGCTTCCTCCATGTTGTCGTGTGTTAGTCGCGGTATTGGTCGTATTGCGATTGAGATTTGAGCAGACACCAGGCAACAATAAAATGGATAGATTATTATATATATTCCACACGGTTGTGAGGGCGTCGTTGGTGCCGACACGCGGGGACAATCACTGCGCTCACGCACTGTATCACGCACTGTATCAATCGATAAGCCGACAGCCAACTTTTTTCTGACCTTCGAATCGCTTTCAACACTGAATACCACAACGCAAACACAGTTCCTTCTCATCCACGACGAGCGTCATGGCGCCCCAAGAAGCTGCAGACGGCCAATTCGCCATTCTGCCTGTGCGCATGATTGGATCGGAAGCATATCCCGTCGAAACCGTCCATGAGATCAGGGTCCGGCCAAACAAGCCCAAGTTCCCAACCGCCAACGATGGGCGAACGCTCTACCTGAAGAACGTCCCCGCCGATAGCACAGAAGCTCTCTTTCGTGAACTGTTCGCCACTCTCCTCGGCGGGCAGCGCCAATTCGAGTCCATCACATTCGAGAATGAGGCGCAGACGGTCCTCGCTGTCGACCCAGCCCGCGCTACGATGATCCAGGGCTTTGCGAAGAAAAGGAAACGCGGAGATGTCGAGGCGGAGGAGCGTCGAGAAGAGGTGGCGGCGCAGTTGCCCGAAATATGGACACGCCGACTGCAAAACAGCGGGAGCACGGCTACGGTCCTCCTGGTCGAGGAAGCAAGTGTTGCAAGGGTTCTCAAAAAGATCGATAGGATCCACAGCGGCAAAGGTACACAGCCGATCTGGGGGCAGGGCGTCGACGAAAAGGACGTGTCTCCGCTGTCGACACCGTGGATCGCGACACATTTGCGACTGAGCCGGGCCGACAAGCTCGAGACCAAGAATTCGGTGCACGCGTTCTTCAGCGTCTTCAACCGCAAGGAGAAGGAAGCCAACGAGCTCGCCAAGCGACTGCGCAACGAGCCGGACGAGGATGGCTTCGTCACCGTCACCAAGGGCAGCAGGAATGCACCGGCCAGCCGCAACGAGGCCGACGAAGCCCGGGCCAAGATGCTGCAGAAGGAGGCGAAGAAGAAGGAGGAGCTCAAGAGGTTCTACCGCTTCCAACTACGCGAAGAGCGCAAGCGGGAGCAAGCCAACCTGCTCAAGGGCTTTGCGGCGGCACAGGAAAAGGTCGCCGCGATGAAGGAGAAGCGCGGCAAGTTCATGCCCGAGAGCTGAGAGGGCCCGCTTGGGCGAGCAACAAGCACAACAGATATATGGGTGAGTCGTCCCCTCTGCATTTGCTGTCTCTACACACCATGACTGTGATGACGCCGCGGGGCCATCAGAAGCAGGCTAGAGATCGGGGCGCTTCTCACAGTGTCTCGTCTCGAGGACGCCGGCTCATGCTGCACAAACACCGCGTAACAATCTTCTCAAACTATCTGAAATGCCAATCAAATCTTACTCGTGTTCTTTCGAATCATTTTGGATCTTGGCTGACTAGATCTGCAGTTCTCTGCTGTTCAGGGGGCGCACCATGCCACGCTCAGGCTAGGCGGCATATTGGCAGTTCTGGTCTCGGGGACCGCCCTGACCCGTGGCCAATGTGATAAAGCCCAGCAGTATGGGGTGCTGGGGGCGATCTCCCCCGGAGAGCGTTTGTCTCACACGGGTGTTTGGCCTTTGCAGATTGCTCCGCTTGATCTGCAACAACTGCTAGCTCCCTACATGCCCTGACTCCTGAATGTCAAGCGCCAATAACGCGAGAGGGAGGAAGGCGACGGGCTTGAGAGTTGATCTTTGCAGATGCAGGCAGCTAAGCTCCCTGCCATGCCGATATCAGAACATCGCTGTGCCAGAAGGCCGATGTTGAAGAGAACACTGCCAGAGTTGACTGAAGGCTTTGGGTTCCAAGCCAGGATTGCGGCATGAGGTGGACACACAATCTAAGAGATAAAACTCGTCATAATTGAAGGCACCTCCAGAGACCGTTCATTAACCTGACCCTCACCATCTGATGCAGATCTAATTTGCCTTGTAAAGCGATGGGAAGATGGTCCTGAATAGGCTGTAGAATTACCTGGGCTCACCCCACAGGCGCCAAGAGCAGCACTTAATTATACCTTACATAGCATCCAAAAGCTCAAGTGTTCCAATTGTTTGCAAGAGATAGCATGAAATATCGACATCTCGCTAATTTGAGGATCGTGGCGGGGTCAAAGGGACTTGGACGAGTGATGCTGGTTGACCCGGCAACGAAGCGAATATCCACAACAAACCGCCTCGTCGCGACTTTGCGCCTCGCGATACCGCGCCCAATGCAGACTTCAACACCGGATTTACTTTCTACGCCAACGAGACGATGGTAGAGAGGTCCTGATTTTCGAGCTTCTACCCTTCCCATCAAAGGCGCCATGATTGACACCGAGAACCTGCGCACGGCTTCGCTGTACATCAACAACCAGCTCCTGTCTCGGGGCCTGATCAAAGATGGTCAGAGCATCGATTTTGCGAGTCCATGTGACGGTGACGATGGCGCATACACCATGGGCCGCATCATCAGCGTGGTGAACGACCTCATATTGAGGCGTGATGTGAGTACTACGACGTGTCACGCGCCTGAGACAAGCTAACGTCTGCTTTAGCGCGATGCTGCACAGCGCGAATCACTCTCGGCAACGATGCGAGCTTTGCGCACTGACAACTTGAAACTTACAAACGATTTGACACGGCTGTCGGAGAAGAGCAGCGAGGCTCAACGGAAGCTCGACATTGCCGAGTCCTCAGAGACCGCCGCCAGAACCCAGCTACGGTCCGCCGAGGCTGCTGTGAGGGGGCTCAAGGAAGAGATGGCGCGGACGAAAGCCCTGGTGGCGCAAGCGCGATCAGCGTGCGCGAACGACGTCAGACGGCGGGATCGACAGATTGACACGCTCAAGAAGCAGCTGGGCGAAGCTGGTCGGCCGCGCGGTACGAGGTCGAGCCCAGCCATCACCACGATCAATATTACGGGGGACTTTGGGGCGGAGAAGCAGTCCGCTACATCCAAGTCAAACACGGCGACGGAAGAGTACAGCCTGCGCAGCGAGACGAACGGGTTCCTGGCCAAACTGGCGCAAGACCTCAGCGAAGAGAATGAAGCGATACTCAACGCTATGCGACATACGATGACGACGTTACGACATATGAGCGGCTACAATAAAGCAAGAGATGGGGACGGGAATGCTGTGAAGCAACCGTCATGGGAGGACATGGCCTCTGAGCTTGACTCGGTGTTGGAACACATGAAGACCATCCTGACGAACCCATCATTCGTGCCGATAGAGGAGGTCGAGATTCGGGAAGAAGAGATCAATCGACTCAAGGATGGATGGGTCAAGATGGAGAATCGGTGGAAGGAAGCAGTGCTGCTGATAGACAGTTGGCGCAAGCGGATGGCTGCCAGCGGCGAGCCGGTACGCGAGGACGAGCTGCAGATGAGCTTGCGCCTCAGTCCGATCCGCGTGGGAAGTGCCAAAGGGCATCAGAACACTGGATTGCTTGGACTCTCCACTGTGGCAGAGGAATGCGAAGAGAGCATGTCACATGCGCAGCGGTCACCGTGTCCGGCGGCCGCCCAGCCTGCTCGAGTCCACGACCTGCAGCTCGATGAGCAGGACGAGTCAAGCTTGGAACTCACAGACCTGAACAACGACAGCGCCATGGCGGATGAGGAATGGCTGGGGCCGAAAGAGGAGCAGCCGAACTTTGAGGTGTTGCAGGAATCAGTCGCCGACCCCCAGGACGTTTCCTCGCGGGAGTCGTCACCGCTTCCTGAGCCACCACAACTGAGTCCTCTGCGGGCGTCGCCTTCAGCAGGGAACAGACGTGCCTCGCGTGCTGAAAAGACAAAGGAACGCCCGGGAGACTTCAGCACCATCATTGAAGAGAACACGCGCGATCTGGAGGAGAAATCGCCCTCCAAACCATCGTCACGTCGTGGCACGCCCAAGCACGCTGGCATCAGCAAGACCCGTCGGCAGGGCGCTAACCCCCGACGCTCCCCGGCACGGACATCTCTCGAAGAAGCGCTTCTCCCACAACCGGAATCGGAACCCGAAGAGGCACTGGCAGCGGCAGATTACTCCACGGACGAAGATGAGCTCGCTGCTGCCCCTCCCCAGAAGACACCCCGTCGCGAGACTGTCGTCTCCAAACTACCTGTAGCCAAGGAGGAGGCAGCGCAGCAGAGTCCGCTGACCATGGCCAACATTGCAGCCAAGCTGGCGGCTTCAGAGAGGGAGGCGGATGCAGCCAGGGTGAGGGCGAAGCTCAGGGCCTTGAGAGGGGTCAAGGAAACAAAGCAGTCTGCCGCTGCTGCTGCAGCTGCAGTCCCAGCCCCTGAGCCTGCGTCGAAACGAGAAGAGCCAGAGGAAGACGGCGATGGCGATCCTGTGAAACAAGATCCCAGTGCGCAGAAGCAGGTCAAGAGGAAGAGGGACAAGGGGACAAGCAGGGTGACTTCGAGGAGGCGCAGTACGCTCAGTCCTTGGGAGCTGGACAAGCTCATGGCTGGGAATGTGCAGTGATACGCTGCGTATGGGTCTGGCGTTGGGGGCAATCGACAAGCGTGATAGAATCTCAATGGGATCCGTTTGATTTCTTAATGGCCATCTTGCTTGCTCTTTTCTTCATTGTTGGCAATCAATCCAAGGCAACGTACATGTAGTCAAGCATGCCGCATGATGTGGAATAGACCATTCCATCGAGCCGATCATCACCAACTGATGAAGCTGTCTAAAAAACGGGCCAATCACGTCACCGCGCGCGGGACGACGACACGTGCTGAATCAGCATGCGCGATAGGCATCGGGACTACATTGCTGACCAGAGGATCCGGCATCTCTCGAGGGGTCTTTCTCTTCCTTTTCGACACACAGCTTCAGCCTCGCTCGCTGCACGATACACCATGAAGCTGATCATCGCGGTGCCCGCGATCTGCGCGCTGGTCATCCGCGCCTACACCAAGAATTCACTGACCACACCAGGCCTCGTTGTGGCCGCCCTCACAGCGATTGCCCACGCCTACCATCCGTGGAACCTACCCTTTGTCCTGCTGGTGGTCTTTTTTCTCGCCGGGACCCGGGTCACGCACGTATGTTGAGCGCTCTTGCTGCTCGGTCTGTGAACCCCGCTCACATGCAGGCAGATCAAGGAAGATGTCAAGGCCAAACTGACGGTGGCTTCCAAGGGAAGCTCTGGCGGCGAGGGGCCGCGCACACACGTGCAAGGTAGGCGAGCGGACTTTTGTGAAGCTACTCATGGCAAACAGCTGACACTCTACAGTGCTCGCCAACTCGCTCGTCGCTTCCGTCCTCACCGTCCTCCACGCGAACCAACTCTACGCTCGCCAAGCGAGGGTCGCCGATCCAAACAAGGCGGGGCCCGAGGGAACACTCTGCTACGCGTGGGGAGGCGATATTCTCATCGTTGGCATCATTGCCAACTATGCGGCTGTGGCGGCTGACACCTTCAGCTCAGAGCTGGGCATCCTGGCCAAGAGCGAGCCGCGTCTGATTACATCACCTACGCTACGAAAGGTGCCACGCGGGACGAATGGCGCAGTCACACTCTGGGGTCTGGGAGCTGGACTATTTGGGTCCATGATCATTGTGTCGGCAGCCACCGTGTTCTTGCCCTTTTGCAGCGACAAGACGGCTGGGCATGTCGGGGGCGGCTCACCTTGGACGCAAGCCGAGCGCCGGATGTTTATGGGTACACTGGTCATCTGGGGCGCGCTGGGCAGCGTCCTTGACAGCATCCTGGGCGGCCTCTTTCAACGGTCGGTGAGGGACGTGCGGTCGGGCAAGATTGTGGAGGGCGAGGGCGGCGTCCGGGTGCTGGTCTCTGACAGCTCGTCCAAGGTGCCGTCACGCGCGCAGGTGAAGCAGGTTGTGGGCGACAAGACGTCGGACCAGCTCCAGGGCAGTGCGGTGGAGACGCCGGGCTTGAAGACGGACGCAAAGCACAACCCCATCGACAAGCACAGGAGGTCCAGCTTTGGCGACGAGCAACCCTCGAGAGTGGTCGAGAGTGGCTGGGATCTGCTGGACAACAACGACGTCAACTTTTTGATGGCGGTGACGATGAGCGTGGGCGCCATGGCAGGCGCCGGCTGGTACTTTGACATCCCCGTAGAGGACGTGCTCAAAGTGTAATCATGATGTCGCGATAGAGAGCAAAGAAAAGGGTCCATGTGGGTTGATGTATCGCGATGCAACCCAATGTAAACTTGTGGGGTGGCGGTCAATGACATCGGCGTGCACGCGCGTGCTCAGTTGCAACACCCACCATCAACGTCACTGGGGACTGAGGCCGGAGGTTATGCTCAGCGTGACTTTGACCCTGATTGTCACCATGGCGACGTCAGTGCACCTGGAGCTAGAAGCCCGACGGGAGCGGAGAATTATGTTCAGTATTTCGTCGTGAAATCAGCGACAGCGTCTGCACAGGAGCATCATAATTATTGATATTGTGCTAGCACCACGCAGGTAGGCAGATGAAACCGACTGCATCGGAGAGCAAACCCCGAAACTGCCCCTCCACGTCCTCCGACTCGGAGCCCCTAAGGACGATGGTCAGGGTGCGAACTTCAAAGCCTCTCCGTGGGTACGTACCTGTTGGGGTCGTCGGATGCGCCCTTTGACAATGCTCGGAAATGCTCCCCCAAAGCTCTGACTGACTGGACTTTCCCCGGTAACGGACCATCGAGATGAGCGATTTTAATAATTGCCGTAGCGACACTCGTCGCACGCGTAGGGAATTGGGCCTGAAGCGTTGCTAACGATGCCAATGCAGAGCGCGCAAAGCTTCCCGTCGGCCTCGTTGAGTGAGAGCAATTATGCACGGTATGACGTACAGCCAATCAGGAGCCAGTGATAAGATGGTCGGCTCTGCGCGTGTGGCGCGCCGCCCGTGGCTCTATACGTATCCGTACTTAGTACGGGAATGTGCAGCCTATAGGCTATACTCGCAGCCGTAGATCGCCTTTCTTTGGGGTAAATCTTTAAGGCAGATCTGCGCTGAAAGGGTGAAGCCTGAAGACTGCTGGGGTGGGATCGTGGCCAGATCAAGTAAGAGCTCACGCAGTCAGAAGCAAACTATTTGGTAAGAGAGAGAAAATGAGCCGGAATGCAAATTGGGGGTTCCCTGTGTGTGAAACAAGCAATCACAGTTCTGTTGGGCAGCGTTACACTTTTGCTCTGCATGGGGGGGGGGGCTCCGATCCAGGGACGAGATGCGCCATATGGCCGATGGAGCAACCGCGGCAGCTGAGGTGAGGTTATTCACGATAGCTGCGCGTTAGGGGAGGGCATGCGCCCAAGATTTGCGTCGTTCGCTTTGGGCACAATCTGCTACTCTAGTGGCGCGAAAGGCTCAGCCTTGAGACTTTGCTCTTGTACGTGCGTAGTATTATTAGTGGTACGTACTACGTAGCAAGTCGGGAAAGTTTCAGCGACGAGCCGCAGTCGGGGACCCTCACATGGGGGGACCCTTCATGGTTCCACGAGACGAGATATCGATCTCAGAGTCGCAGAGCGCCAACCCCACGAACCCGCGGCGACTAGGAAACTAGGAGCGCGGATAGATTAGAGGAGCAAGAGACAGTGTGGCCTCCGGCTCGGAGGATGAGCAGGCCTTGGCCACCAACTAGCCCAAGCCTTCGCGCAAGCAGCGTCCGACAACCGTTGATGTTCGTGAGGTGAGATTATCTTTGTCCCACTCATCACTGGCTGGAGCGAGCCGTAGTTTGCAGAAAGGCAGGGGTTCGGCCCAGGACGGGTTATCGCACGAGGCTGGGCGTTCGATATCATATCCCATCACTTATCACCCCACCGAGGGGATGGGCAGTTACCCCGCCATCGACGAGGACGTGATGGATCAGAGGTGGCAGCGTGCGACGTCGTGACATGAAGTTGTCGCCACGATGAGCATCGTCACAAGCCTCATCAACGTCAACTTGGGCTGGTATAGCAAGCACACACGTAGAACGAAGGGGTGGCCACAGCCAATCCAGTGCGTCGCTGCTCCCGTCCTCAGCATCATCCTGCACTGCCAAGACGTTCCTAATCCGGGAGCGGCTGTGTCAAAGGAAAAGACCGGGATACGAAGAGCCAAGGTACGTACGCAGACAAATCGACAAAGGAAATTCTTGGTCATAACTACGTACAAAGACGGCGCTGCCGATTCCCCCGTGTCTTCTTCGGGGGTTCTCGAGTTTCCTGGGGTCATTAGTTTCATGCGTTGCCCACCCGGGCTGCGATTTTGGTCAGTCATATCGCAAGTCACTCGGAGCCAGTCTGTGAATTAGCCTCCAGCTGGGGAAGCCGTGCCTTTTCGATATCGCAGGGCGAGGACTGGACACAGGCGCGGGCGAGCGAATCAGGGCCTCGGCCATGACATGAATCGATGTGAATGATGTTTGTCGGCAGCGCAGACGAGGGACCCCACCGCCACTGCCCAATCCGACGCCTAGATGCATCCACCCCACCATGGGCGCACAGTGGGCGACCCCTGCATGCGTTTCTTATCTTCACCCACTGAACGCGCTGTCTCGCCCGCCCACGTCGGCCATGCCACAGCGCTGCGAGCAGGGTCCGCCTCGGTGACAGCCCCCCCGCCAGCGTGCCAGCGCCAGTACGTACTCGCGCCGCTTCCAGTCCCATTGATACGATAACGGACTGGAAAGGGCCCCAAATGATAAAAGCCCGCAAGGCCCCCCCAAGCGGTTTTGTCCCTGGCGATTGTGGTCTTACTTCCATAAAAAGATTATCGTCTTTTGCCTTGTTGTCATTTCTCGACCTTTGTCTCATCTCGTCTTTGATACCCTTCTAATTGCGCCTTTCCGCACTTTACAACACACAAACCGCCCATCATGGTGAGTCCCGAACCCTTGCCCATCTTTTGGACTTTTGGGGGCACGCTTTGCAGCACCAAGACGCGCCTAGCGAAGTCCAGGGTCCTCGCACCGAACACTTCAAGCTTGCTAACACAATGGCCACAGTCTACCAATCCCGCCTTCAGCTCCCGGACGGAGACCCTTCAGAAGTACCTGAAGCTCGACCAAAAGAACAAGATCATGGCCGAGTACGTCTGGATTGACGCCGGCGGTGACACACGCTCCAAGTCCAGGGTGAGTCCAGTCCTCCTGCACATGTCAACGAACAAAAACCACACGAAAACCACACGAAAACCACACGAAAACCTGTCCTGCACCGATGCGCAGGGTCGAACGGGAATGATCGGACGAGGCGCAGCGTCATCGACGCAGAACTTTGCTTGGCGGTGTGGCCGACTGAAGGGGCTTGCTTGGCTTGGCTGGGCTCAGCTAGACTGACGTTTAAAATGCGTCGGTTGCTGGTCCAGCGCTTGGCTGTGGCCTGATCTGCTGCTTGCACTGGCTGCCCCCGCAACCGGCCAGCCCGACCACCTGGACCCCAGCACTGCCTGCGCTGATCTGCCCCTCCAAGATGATTGCCCCGCCAGACCACGTGACCTCCCTCACCAGCTCACTCTCGTGCAATCACTCATTCACTCCATCATCTCACATGAGAACATTCGCTAACATGCGCCCGCCAGACCATTGATCCCACAAAGCTCGAGAAGGATGCGTCCGGCAACTACAAGGAGCTCAAGCCCGAGGAGGTCAGCCTCGACCTCCTCAAGAACTGGAACTTTGACGGTTCCTCCACCGACCAGGCCCCCGGCAACAACTCGGACGTGCTCCTCAAGCCTGTCGCCATGTACCCCGACCCCTTCCGTGGCTCTCCCAACATCATCGTCCTCTGCGAGTGCTGGAACGCCGACGGCACCCCCAACAAGTACAACTACCGCTACGAGTGCAACAAGGTCATGGAGGCCTACAAGGACGAGGTCCCCATGTTCGGCCTCGAGCAGGAGTACACCCTCATGAGCCTCCAGGACTGGCCCGTCGGCTGGCCCGCCGGCTTCTTCCCCGCCCCCCAGGGCCCCTACTACTGCGGTGTCGGCGCCGGCAAGGTCGTCGAGCGCGACATTGTCGAGGCCCACTACAAGGCCTGCCTCTACGCCGGCATCAACATCTCCGGCACCAACGCCGAGGTCATGCCCGCCCAGTGGGAGTTCCAGGTCGGCCCCGTCACCGGCATCGACATGGGCGACCAGCTCTGGGCCGCCCGCTTCTTCCTCTCCCGCATCGCCGAGGACTTTGGCGTCAAGGTCTCGTGGCACCCCAAGCCCATCTCGGGCGACTGGAACGGCGCCGGCCTGCACTCCAACTTCTCCACCAAGGCCACCCGTGGCGAGGTCGAGGGCAAGAAGGGCATGGCCGTCATCGAGGAGCTCATCAAAAAGCTTGAGCCCCACCACCTCGAGTGCATCAAGGAGTACGGCGACGATAACGACCTCCGCCTCACCGGCCGCCACGAGACTGGCTCCATCGACAAGTTCTCCTGGGGCGTCGCCGACCGCGGTGGCTCCATCCGTGTGCCCCGCGAGGTCGCCGCCGAGGGCCAGGGTTACTTTGAGGATCGCCGCCCCGCCTCCAACGCTGACCCTTACCGCGTGACCAAGGTCCTCATGACCTCCATGTTTGGCAAGCTGTAAGCATGCAAGCAAGCAAGCTAGTCGCGCGCGTTGAGGGAAACGATTTGTTGGCATTTGCATATAGACTAAGGAGTTTAATGCTTGGGGATCACGGCGCTGGGGGGTTGGTTTCTTGGGGCTTTGTCTTTCCCACTTGTCCATAGATGGCACATTTTTCTACCATGACTGAATTCGATCATGAAGGCACCGCTGAGTGACCAATTTTATTACTACCTAGTGTCCAATTCCGTGATTACTGTATTGTAGTATGTTCCAACTACATTCAGGCGGAGAGACCTGCTCTCGGGTGTCCTCATCACTGCCCCGTGTGCCCCAGCCCCAAGCAAGGTACGCCCAGCTTCCATGCTCACACCCGTCCCATTTTTGCCCAAAAGTCTGGCATTATCATGTCTTTCCATGCGCCGGTGCTAATCTACATATGGCTATCGAGCACCCACTCCGGGGATGGCGTCTCTGGTATGTGCATGTTGTCATCAGGGGCAAGGCCGGGGCTCAGTACATCGCGATAGTGCTCGCTGAGCATGGGCCACCCCTCACCTGGACCATGCGCCTCGTCGCAGGGCATATACTCTGCTGGGAAATATGCTTGCTGAAGTGCGAGTGGCATATTCTGCTGTTGCTGCTGTGGCACGAGTGGCCCTGGCCAGCACCAGCTGTTGCTGATCTGGCCACCTGGCGCCAGGAGATCCGGAGGTGTAGGCAGGCCATGCCACGCCATGGCGTCGTGACTACCTATATACTGGTCCGTCAGGTCGTTCGAGGGAAAGAATATGGCTGGATTCCGCGCGAGCCACTCGCAGCTCTCGTCGGTCATGGTCGAGACGAGAACCGCGGTGCTACTCTTCCTCAACGCCCTCCTTGCTGCGCTGCTCGCTGCGGGCCCAAGGCCACTCTTCTTGTTCTTGCTGCTGCTGGTGTTGTTGAGGGCGTGGCTTGCGCGACTCGACGGCGAGTAGTGGCATATGAGTCCGATCTGGAGACAGCGCGAGCACATGGGTCTCGCCTTGGAGCACTTGATCTTGGCGACGAAGCAGCCATCGCACGAGGCCCGCAGTCGGGGTTGTTTCGGGGGAGCGCCGTGGGCGTTGTGGCGCTGGCCTGGTGACGAGGCGCTGGACGATACTTTCGGAGGGACAGCCATGGTGTCGACCAGTGCTGTTACTAGGCTACAAGGCTGGTAGCATTGGCTTAACGTTGGGGGTAGCCAAGTCCAGTGCAGTCAGGGGGGCAGGCCAACTTATACCAGTGCCATCGCCTCCGGACGGAACCGAACAGGTGTCTATCACGAGCTGTACACAGCGTCCCGGGTGTCAGCGGCATCGGACGTGGCCTCCATTCGATCAAATCCCATCAACACGGAGACGTATGCGAGAAGGCTGAGCGCATGCTGCGTCTCCCGAGTGGCCAAGAACCAGGAGGTATACACAGAGAGCGCAGATACCAATGAAACCTGGCCTCCCTATTTTCAGCAGCCCCTCTGAGCAATAGGAGAAAGGAACAAGCGAGGGGGATCATCTTGGCCCTGCTTTGCCATCACGTACAAACTGCTACTAGCTGCCTCATGATTCCGAAGGGGGGTGGGGGTTCCCAAACTCCATCGTGGTACATGGAGCTCGCGCGCAGAGGTCACGATGAGCGCGCCAGCATGCTGGAAGAAGATGACGCATGCAAATCAGATGCGCTAGCGAGGGTGAGACGTGGAAGGCGAGGCGGCCGGCCGTCGAGGGAGGGATGAGATGCAACTGCGTGTGAACTGGGAGGGTCGCACGGGTACATACAGCTGGCTAGCTGGTGGTCGATGCGCGTGAGACGATGGCCGGCGCTGTAATTTGTCGAAGTGCTGCTCGTGGTTCTATGACAAGGCCAAAGGGCTGATGGAGTTTGGGCTGCTACTGCTTTTGTTGCCAACAGTGGTGAGTGAGTTGGCTTGGAGGCACGGGGAAAGCCAGCTGTGCTCGCGACCAAGGAATGCATCGTCAGGCACCCAAGATCAGATCCAAGCCCCCGGAGACACAGACATCATTCTCCTCATGCCCAACTTTAGCTCAGCCAGCCCAACACGAGGCATCCAGCCCCCACGAGACCAGGCGCATGACACCCTGCTCGTTTCTCTGCGCACGATGCCACGAACTCGCATGATCGCCACAGCCCCTGGGGGGCCCACGCAGGGTCTATCCACAACCCTGAGCCATGGTCTGATTTCCATTGATGCGACTGGGGTCTTAGAGCAGGTTCTCCGTGTAACAGCAGGCTGCAGGCGGGAGGAGCAACCCGAGCCAGCGCTGAGGCGTGTCTGTGCAACGACGACGGCGAGGACGACAACAATAACAACAAACGCGTGTGTGTGGACGAGAATTCGTACCGGCGTGGCAGCTGACCCTCGTGACTACCACTCGTCTCCCTGTCTGGCGATCGTCGAAACGAGCAGTAGCCTAATTATATGACCACACGTGTAGCGGAGGACGGCTGTCGTCCCCATTGGCCTGGTAGTTCGGACGTCGGCAGTCCATGATCATGTGGCGATGCGAGGGATGACATGGAGTGTAGCTAGTGCGGGCCGTACCGGACTGCTGCTGGCTCTAGAGTCTAGTGATCATTGATGGTGCTTGGATAAGTAGACCTGAGCAGTGATCAGTCTCACTGTCCGTCGGGCAGCCAGGCTTCGACGACGTGCCTGCACGCTGTAAGCGATTTCGCACCCGTGACCGAAGTCGCTCGCTCGCTCTTCAATGACAAAGACGTCTGGTCCTCATGGTGAGCAATCAGACTCGAGCTGACATTTTGTTGAAGATAGTACAAGGCGAAAAGATGATTCAACTTTGTGACTCTGATGTTCACCCACGTTAGCACGTGATATTGACAACTGCGCTAACATGATGCGTCAATGTTCCGCGTAGATCACGCTTACAGGGCCAGAAATTTGCTGGCTTGAATAAAAAATTCCGTCATGTGATATATTTCCCATCTGCATGTCCTTTGTTCGGTGAAGACTATGCCCCTGCATGGCGTGCGGCTTAGGAAGGTTTGTGTTTGTAGAGTGCGTCCAGGGTAAGTAGACCCAAGGCAGGGTCGCCAACGCAGCATTCATCATGGGGGTTGAACTTTGAACTACATAATCAATATGTTAATTTCATTACATGTACGTATATATATCAAATTATTGATTTAAATTACCCTCCATCACCCTCCACGCGCCCGAGCAGCGGCTGATTGATTTACAATCACCGCACATCTATTTGCCCGCACATGCCTCTCTGACTCGGAGCATTCGATATCTATTGCTGCGAGCCCGCCAGATCCAGCGATGCCACTCGACAGTAATTACCCCGTAGACGGAGCCAGTGGTCATGAACTGGCTCGATGGACGTGACCATGCGAGCCAAGCTGTCAGCCCAGACTCGCAGGGTCTGCGCACTCGCAGGGCCTGGGCCGCCTCAGCGTCCCCAACTGGGTCTTTAGAGAAGCTTCATTCGCGGACGCGCTTCCAAGCTAGGACGATTCAGCACGACGAGCGACATTTGTGGAAATGAACCCCTGCCGCTAGCTGCCTAGCTGCTTACCACCTAGTCCAATCTGGAAGGGCGCGCCTGCGCCTCTTTCAATGGCGCCAAGCGAAGCGTCTGTCTCACTCACAACCTCGAGGTGGAATCCCCATGCCCGAGACATCGGTATCATGGACATGATCCAGTCGGGCGGGCCAGCCACATGGCATGGCATTCAGTCGCTCGCCCAGACCCGTGGCTGTCGCTTCTTCTCTGCGTTCCAAGCCCTGCTCGGGAATTGAGGGACATGGCCTGGCCTGTGGCGCGCATTGCCCGAATGGCTGAGACACCTCATGGCGACTCGCGAGGTGCTGCATTCCTAAAAGGGGTGCGTGCGGCAGGAACTTGCCAGGCCGAGAGAACGAAGTACCTCAGCGTGGCAGTGAGACTATTGAATTGTGCATCAAGACACCATGTCGTAGGGTCCAAGGGTGATGTGATTCCATCACATATATCATGGCAGGTCCTCCCTCGTCTAGGTGGTCCAACTACATCACAATCAAAGTCACCCCTTCTTCCGGTCTGAGATCTCCAGTGTGTAGATCCGACGTGAGAGATCACCGTCCACCATGAAGACCACCATCCACGTCCTGGCCCTATGGCTGGCCACAACACAGGCCTTGACCATCCCTCACCCCTACCCACGTGTCACCCAGGGGCCCGTCAGACGCCAGGTGCCCATCGACGAGACCGAAGCTGAGCTCGTCTCCGGTGCCTACCTCACATCCTATGCCACAAGCGACATCATCCCCAGCACAAAGACCGTGCCGCTCAAGACCTCTGTCCACCCCACCGGCACCGTTGTCATCCTCCCCACGCTCTCCGTCGAGCCCCATACAGAGGGTGTTATCATCACCGACATTGCCAGCTCGAGCCCGCCTCTGCTGACGCGCATTATTGCGTCGCCTACATCTCTCCTAGAGCCAATCAAGCCGACATTGACCACAAGCAGCTCCAGCAAAAGCAAAGCCAAAGGCAAAGGGAGCAAGCGTCGAGCTACTGACGATGGCGAGATCACCACAGACCTGGCCGCATGCCTCGAGAAGCGCCAGTCGAGTAACATCTTTGACGTCCCCATCTCCACCAACGGACCGCCCTCCATGATCCCGCGCCGAAAAGACCACCCCGTCAAGGGCATCGAGCTGCGCAAGTCGGGACCCGTCCAGACCAACAAGTTCTACTCCAACTTCTTCCTCGGCGACCAGACCAACCCGACCTACACGATGCCCTATGCGATCAACTGGGCCAAGGGCCAAGGGGCCACCGCGAGTTGGGGCCTTGCCATCTCGCAGATCCAGCCGAAGCAGAAAGTCTACGGACCCGTCAAGTACAACGATGCTGCGTCCTTCTACATCAACCCGATTGGCATCCAGCAGATGGTCCTCTCGGCTACTGAGCTGGGCTCCAAGACGATCCTCTCCATCGACCAGATGGGCCCCTTTTCGGCGCGCATCAACCTCAAGAAGAACGCTGCCTCGTTCCCGACGATTCAGTTCCCCCTCGTGCAAGGCATGCCCTACATCACGGGTACCTTTGTCGGGGGTACGCCGCTGATCCAGACCGGTGTCTACATTCGACAGATGACCAAGGTCGCCGAGAACCCCAAAGCCAATGTGGCAAAGTACAACTTCCTGTTGGAGGACGGCACCACCTGGCACGTGTATGCGCACAGCACGAGCGGCGCCATGCTCGACCTGAAGACGATCAACAACGGTCTTGTCCAGAGCACAAAGCCTTTCACTGGCAGCATCCAGATCGTCAAGGACACGCACAGCCGTAACTCGGAGCAGATGCTCGACGACGGCGCTGGCGTCTACCCGACGGGCGTCGAACTAACGGGCTCGACAAGTGGCCAGGTTGGCACGTACAGTTTCATCTTCCAGCGTGCTGGCCACCCCTCCGGGTCTCTGTACATGTGGGCGCTTCCTCACCACGTCGATTCCTTTGATACGGTCACCCGCTCGCGCACCTCGGCCTTCCAGATGTACACGCACACCAAGGGCAAGTGCACCTTGGTTCGCGACACGGTCTGGACAATGATCGAGCCAGAGATGCCCACCAGCATGGGTCACGGACCCTGGGACGCCAGCACCAGGTCGACTCGCAAGTCGCTCTCCACCTCCGCCAAGGCTGCTGTCCGGGCGGTAGCCCTGCTCGAGGCTTCGCAGGACATGGACAGCCAGACCAACCTGAACTCTATGTATTACAGTGGCAAGGTGAGTGCTCTTCTAGCAATGAACGCAAGAAAGACCATTGTGAACTGACAGCTGTGCACCAGGCCCTCCTCAAATTCGCCCAAATCTGCTACACGATCCAGGACCTCGTCGGCGACAAGCCCCTTGCTGCCGCCTGCACGGCCAAGCTCAAGACTGCTTTCAATGTTTTTGCACAGAACAAACAGCAGTACCCCTTGAACTATGAAAGCCAGTGGGGCGGCGTGGTGTCGACCGCATCGTATGTCACTGGCAATTCTCTCGAGGACTTTGGCAACACCTACTACAACGACCACCACTTCCACTACGGATACCACGTCCTCGCTGCGGCGTTCCTCAGCTACCTGGACAACGAGTGGCGCGACAGTAACAAGGACTGGGTCAACACCTTGGTCCGCGACTATGCCAACCCCAGCGCGCAGGATTCGTGGTTCCCCCAGCACCGTAGCTTTGACTGGTACCACGGTCACAGCTGGGCGACTGGGCTGTTCGCCTCGCTCGATGGCAAGAACCAGGAGTCGAGCTCCGAGGATGTCATGGCCATGTACGCCATCCGTCTCTGGGGCAGCGTGACCAAGAACACGGCCATGATTGCGCGCGCCAACCTACAGCTCGCCGTCATGTCGCGCGCGCTGGACAGCTATTACCTCATGAAAGGCGACAACACGAACCAGCCGTCGCAGTTTATCGGGAACAAGGCCGCGGGCATCATCTTTGAGAACAAGGTGGACCACACGACCTTTTTCTCCCCAGACATTGAGTGCATCCAGGGCATCCACATGCTGCCCATCCACGCGCCGACCACGTACTCGCGGTCCAAGTCGTTTGTGCAGGAGGAGTGGGACGCGTACTTTAGCAACGGCCGCGTGGACAAGTTTAGCAATGCCTGGAAGAGCATCATCTACGCCAACTATGCCACCGTCCAGCCCAAGGCGGCGTGGGACTACTTCAACAAGGAGGGCTTTGACGCCTCCCTCATTGACGGCGGCGCGTCGAGGGCCTGGTATATGGCCTATGCGGCAGGTGAGTTTTTCTTGATTGCGATACAGAAAAGAGTTTTATACTAACTTTGGATAGCACTCGGCAAATTATAACACACACAGCACATTCGTTCCTTGTATCCATTTGTACATATACACACACCACCACTACTTGCCGCGACGGGTTGAGATGGTCCCCGAAAGAGCGGCAGCGTTTCATTAGATATTAGAGTCATGTTATAGAGAATCCGATCATTTCATGCAAGAACCCATTCGTGGTGATTCACTCGACTATGTCTAAGCCCCCACGAGCGACGTCTCAGGGGGTCCGAGGTAACTTGGCTTCACGCCACCGTGCGTGTCGAGCACGATCTTTTCTAGATACACCTCGGGCGAGTTCACTGCCCATCGCAGGGTATGCTCCCCTGCCTCAATGGGCCCCAGGTCTACATGCAACGTCCAGACCTGGTCCATGACCTGGTCCACCCAGACAGGAGGCACGTCTCCTATATAGTCCTCCGAGATGTAGTCCCCCAGGACCCGTGTCATGTTGACGGGTGCGTCGTCCAAGGTAAGCGAGTACTCCATCTTGAGCTGAGGATCCGTCTCCAGTCCCGTGGTGCAGTAGAGCGTGGCCGAAGTGTCGTCCGCGTCGGTGAACAGGTAGATGCTGTACTCCACCCACGCGTCGCGCGCGGCCGCGTTGTTCTGACGGGCCGCCTTGTACCGGCGCACCGCCAGGGCGCCGGACTCGCTTCGACTGCCAAGGTAGGGCATTGTCACAAAGTGCACGGTCCCGTTGTTGGCCCCTGAGCTGCTCTGCTGAAAGTGCGGGCTTTCGATCGAGATGAAGCCCGCAGTCTCGGGGAAACCCACAAAGTCGTCTGGCAGCTGCGTCTTGAGAACGGGGACGCGGATCAGATCAAAGTAAGGTATTTCCGCGGGCGTCGCCGTGATTTCAATCTCAATCGTGTCGTTGAAGCTCTCGGGTACCTGGGCCCAGTCGATGGTAATGTTCAGCCGCTCGACCATGTGGTCGTCCCCTACCGTCCCCGAGGCCGGCTGGATCGACACCCACGGCTCAGGCATCTCGCCCAGGGTCCAGTGGATGGGCACGCGGTAGTCTCCCCGATGGAACACGTCGAGGTGGCGCACCGGCGGTCCGTACGGGTCCATGACGGGCAGGAGAGCGGGATACTCGACCGTGGGCATGGACGAGTCGACCGACTCGGCCCAGCGCGCTTGCTGCACGGGGCTGTCCGACTCCTCGGCGTAGAGACCGAGGTTGCCCTCGGAGAGCTGCATGTTCTGGCGCAGCTGGACAAAGGAGATGTTGGCGAGCAGGTCGCGGGATGGGTTCGCCCACAGCTTGGGGTCCTGGGGCACGGCGTCGTAGACGGCCTGCGACATCATCTTCTGCCACTTGCCGCAGAGCATGGCGTCCCACGCCTCGACAAAGTCGTAGCTCTCGTCAAAGAGGGCGAGGACCTCGTGGGCGAGCTGGTTGGCCGAGTTGCGACGCTCCTGGGCGTGCCGGTAGTTCATGCCCACCCCAATGACCACCGAGTGGTAGACGGCGCCGGTGGCGGCGGGATAGTACACCAACTGGTAGTATGCTGGCTTGAGCTTCTCGGGGAGCTGGTCATGGACGGACTTGGCCCGTGCGGCCAGCGTCTTCCACCGACCTAGCACCCTCTCCGCCTCGTGGTAGTTGACGACCGAGTAGGTCCCCGACGTGACGTGCTCATATTTGCGGATGCCGACGAGATGACTGTACTCGAGAAGCACCTCGGCCGTCTCCTTGGCGTGGTCTGGTCCAAACTCGCGCGTCGCAAAGGCTTCCAGGTAGGAGAGAAGCTTGTCGGGGGTGAATCGGTCCATGTTCCACGCCATGTCCATGGCCATGTTCAGGGGCACCTCCATGGGCTTGATATCCCCCACGTTGATCACCCAAAGGCCAGTGGCGCCTCTCATATAGGTCTGGGAGAGTTCCTTGTAGACCTTGGCCTAGAAGTAGCATGCGTCAGCGGGAGATGTGTTTCGCTTTTGTTCTCAAGTTGATAAACGCACCAGGTTGTTGGTATTGGCCCATTTGTATGATCATGGGAGGCCAACGTACTCCAAATGATAATAAACCTGTTGAAAACGTTAGTTCATGTGTCAACAGAGGTATCCGTCGTTTGGGGGGCCTACACCACAGCCACCGGCTCTTTCGCTCTCGTTTCCAATCGGCAGACGATGCACGTTGCCAAAGTTGTCATCGGGGAATAGAATCGTGACATCGTCTGGTGGATTCAGTCCAGCCTCATAGTAGGGCATGACCTCCTTGTAGAGCGCCCACACCTCTGCTCATCACGTCAGCAACCATGGGACTTCGGCTGCGGGTGAAGACTCAAAGAGTCAGGTGTTCACCTACGGGGTACAGCATCCTTGGAACCATGATACTTTTCAATGATCTCGCGCTGGACTTCAAAGACCTCGGAGAGAACACGGGACGCGTCGTCCGCTTCCATGGCCTCGTCGCCGAGACCTCTGATCCCAATCGTAAAGTAGGATTCGTTGTTTCCGGCCCTCGCCACGCCTTCATCCATAAAGGTAGTCATATTCCCCCTATTCTTGGACCAGTCCCACCCGCCCGTCTCGCTGACATTCCACTCGTTGGTGGCTCGTTGCATGGGCTCGTGGTGGCTCGTGCCCACGACAATGCCATAGTCGTCAGCAAGCTGCTGGTTCTTGGGATCGTCGGTGAAGAAGATGTTGCCGGGGGGTGGTGTGGAGGACGCCCACATGGCTGGCCACAGGTAGTTTGCCCTCAGCCTGAGCAGAAGATCGAAGACGTGCGCATAGAACCCCGAGTCGAGGGGATGGCGGACCTGGCCATTGTACCTGGCCCACCAGCCGTTCAGGGCGGGCTCCTCGTCGTTGATGAACAGCCCACGGTACTGGACGCTCGGCTCCCCCTGAAAGACCGTCTTTGCAAGGGCGAAGATGTGGTCGTGCTTCTTGGGCGGGACATCAGCCCAAAAGTGATACCTACAGTGGCAGGCTGCGTGAGTAGTTTTCTCTTAAACAGACATAGACATATGAGATGGGCGCCAACGTACGGTGATTGTCCAGATTGTTCCGCGAGGGTGTAGATGCCAAAGATCGTGCCTCGCTTGTCACTGCCAGCGATCACGAGAGCCCTTTGTACAGAAGGCAGGGGATTCTCGACAACGCTGGTGACAAATGACTCCCACTTGCCCTCCAGCTGGGAGACGTCGAGGTGGCCGTTGGAGGAGAGGTGCTGGATCAGAGCCGAGTCCAGGGAGCCGACAATGATGGCTGTGTCCGAGGCGGGAGCAGCATCTGCGCCATCGACCTTGATCACTGATCGGCCCACTCCGGTGATCTGCTGAAAGTCGGTTGCCAGGCTCTCCGCAGCGATGTGGATGCCGACTGGTTCCTCCGGCGAGCAGAGGATGTTCGAGTAGGTAATGTCGACGCAGGAGTCCGAGGCTTCAAAGGACACGATCGCGTCGTCCAACAAGGCCCATGCGCACAGCGGGAAGCACGCAATGGCGCCGATGAGTACCTTGAGCTTTCTCGACATGATCGATACGGATGTACTTGGCGACGAGTACGTATACAAGGCAAGCAATCGATCGGTGACGCCCTCGTGGCCCCATTGTTCACCGTGACACGACGATTTATATGCATGATCATTGGGCGTTGCCAAGGGTCGGGTAAGCACTTATCTCTAGCTCTTTTTCTCTCGTGCTCACGGCAAGGATCGACGATTAAACGCGGAGAATGTGGACTCGCGAATCAGCCTGAAAGCAACATGGGCATTGGATATGAAGCGAGAGCCGCAAGTGAGGGGGGCGAGCTGGGGGATCCCGGTTGTTTACCCCAGAGTGCTGATACATCTTAGCCTTTCATCGAGTGATTGGTGCCAAAATCTCACCGCTGTATGAAAACCTCTATTGTATGATTAATGCCGGGCCCGAGTACGTGGGCCCTCTGAATTAGCCTGATTGCCATCTGTCAGATCATGTCCAGAACAATCAAAGAATGAACACTTCTCCATCAAACCAAATGCAGCCAGCAAGCCAACGTCACTGTATCGCCCCCCTGGTGAGGGAGCATCGGGAGGCCGGAGATGTTGATGGAAAGCAATAGAGATGCTCAAACGGGTTTGTACACCAGTTTGAAAAGCTGAAAACGTATTAACTGATGAGAGGCATGGTGTTACCAAGCCAATAGCGAGGAGTAGGATCGACTTGCTGGCCCGTTGGATCGTTTGCCCCTAGGAGGACCAGGAATCAGATGCACTATCACGAACGCAGAGTTGTAGCTGCTTTCTGGAGGGTCTTCAGCACAAGTTACTCATGATTACTCCAGCTTGAATGCTCACCTGGTGAGATGGAGTGCGGATTTTCTCCAGGCTGGTCTATTCTTCCTGGGAATCGAATGCAGCAGTGATCACTGGCACTCGATATAATGTTTTTGACATATTGGAGATAGAGGTCTGGTCTTGAATTACACCACCTTTCTTCGCTGTGGCCCCTACGTTGCATTGCGGGCAGATGCCGGAACTGGGCAGTGTCAGCAATATCGCATGCCGTTACAGTATATTATATTTGAATAATGTCTTACATTTGACAGGCTGGTTCCATCTGTTCAGAGGTAGCCTGAAAGTCCTGACACATCTTGTTTTATTGTGCCCAGGGGCGCTCCCGTGTAAGCACATCGCCGACTGAGAGGACTGTGTCACTCCATGTACATCGTGTGACAGTAGTGCATGGCTGGCAACGCCGAATGCGGAAAATCACGAGCTACGTGGTATTTTTGAATGTCAATCAAACCTGTCATTGCGCGCCCGATAGTGACTTGCATGTTGTGACACTCGACCTGTGGTACGCATTGCGGAGGCCGCGACACCGCGAAGGGTTACAGTCCGTTGTCTGCTCCGTGGTCTTGTGTCCTTCTACAAGCAGCCTTTGCGCCTGAATAGCTATGTCCATGTAACCGTGATATTTGAGACGTACATGTGCTTCATCAATTTGTGGTGGATCTGCTGCGTGGGCCAAAGCTTGTTGCGCTTACATGCCTCGTGCGGGCACTCAAGACTGTCCGACTGACACGCTGCTCTTGTCCCGCCTAGATTACAAAGTTCATGAAGGTGTGTTGCAGTTTACAGTCACTTTCGATTCCGGAGGAGTCCCATGCAATCTATCCTTGCTGCCAGGTCACGAAGTCCACGGACATGAGAGGCTTGCGAACTCGCCTTGTCGCCTCCATTAGGCCCCTCGTATAAACAAGCCGAGACAACTGAAGCGTAGAACTTTGGTATACCCAATTTTGTATAAAAGGGGGTTAAATGTCTCCTCAATCACTTGTCTGAGTCCTCAACCCCAGCAAATGGCAGCAGACAGACACTTCCACAAACGCCCTTGTTAGCAGATCCAGCTTGACATCAAAATGTCCCCTCCCACCTACAAACGTCTCGACAAGGACAACTGTCTCTTCCTCTTTGTCGACCATCAGGTACGTCAACCACACAAAGTTCAAATTCTTGCCAAAATCCGCCGCTGACAGGCAGCAAGACCGCGCTCTGTGGTCTCGTGCGTGACTTTGAGCCCGTCGAGTTCCTCAACAACGTCAAAGCGTTGGTCAGGCTCTGCACTTTCTTCAAGTGCCCTGCCATTTTGACCACGTCCTTCGATACAGGCCCAAACGGGCCCATGATCAAGGGGGTCAGAGACGCTCTCCCTGACGCTCCACTTGTCCGTCGTCCTGGACAGATCAACGCCATGGACAACGAGGAATTCGCCGATCTGATCAAGAAATCCGGCAAGAGGCAGATTATCATCAGGTTCGTCATCACTGCACTTTTGCTCTCCCTCTCTCGGCGGGAATGAAGCTGACTGTTCCAAACCAGCGGTGTCCTGACCGAGGTGTGCGTTACCTTCCCGGCCCTCGCCCTCATTGAGCAGGGCTACGATTTGTTTGCCATCACGGATGCGTCCGGGACCTTTGCTGAACACACACGTGAGGCCACCCACAAGAGGCTGGTGCAACATGGCGTGCAGTTGCTGAACTGGGTCGCGGCGGCGGGAGAGCTCCAGCGCGACTGGCGCAATGACGTTGAGGGCTTTGGAGCCCTGTGGGATGAGTTTGTGCCTTCATACAGCTATGTTCTGCAAGGACGGCCCTCGGAGAAGTAAACCGAGTTCAACCTCTCACTGCCTTGGATGATGGCCAGCTGCCGCCAAGCTTCCGCGCACTTTTGGCCAGGCAGGCAGATTATGAAACTCTGGATGCTGTGGAGGGAAAGGAGAGGTTAGATTGAATAGAATTTGGAGAAAAATTATGGTTTCGTCAAGAAGTTGAAGTGTATTCATAGATCTACACGGTGGCCTGTCTGCTTGGCTAGAGACGATACTTCATCAAACCCCCTTTCTGAACATATTTCGCTTATCATCTGTATTTCAGAACTCTCATTCACGCAATTGTGTTGAATCAGGTAATTAGCTCCTGACGCTCCTTTCATATGTATCACGGCATTGTCATGAGGGGCAGAGAAGGCTGTGTGTGGACACACACCGCGATGCAGCGACACTCGACCCGGACGCTACATTGTTTGCGTTAGATCTGCGGGGGAAACTACTGTTCTACTGATGCTCAATATTATTTTCATGATCAAGTGACCGTCTGCCGCCGCAGACGTGCAACGCATCATATGGCAAGACTTGTAAAAAAAGGGGCACGCACATCAACATTAACGTTGCCCGACAACTCTGGGGTCCCGGAACCTACAGTTACCCAGAAAATAATTTTCTACCTTATACATAGAAACGTGTCCACCTGTTTCAGCATACGAGTCGAGTGAGTGGCATCATTTTCACGATGCCTTGATATTGTAGATGCTCATTTGGGCACATGCCTGAAGCTCCGTCTTCCTTGTCCGACCTATTTCCCCTCACCCGATTTTTATCCCGACGTTGGCTTAATTAGATGGGGATTCACTCCTGTGGCAGGCTACCGGACTACACTCCAGGCCTTGGCATTCATCTATCAGGTGCACACGGCTGGGGAAACGCTTGACATCACTTTCCATCGCTTGGATGCCGAGCACCATGGGTACCTCATCGAAGTCCTTCGGGTCCGAAGGTTGGTTGACACGCACCGTTTCAAACCCTGTCCATTGTCCAAGGTTGAGTCTCGTTAGAGGATCACCAGAGCGTGTCTAGGGGACGGGAAGACCCCTTTGGAAGGAATACCGGTCTGTGCTCGATCGGGAAGGATTGTCCAAGGGAAGGAAGCCGTCTTGAATCTGTCGATGCAGCTTGGTGTGTACTGTATATTGGAGCCAACAAAGGTGATCTAATCTAATGTGATAAACGGCCGCGTAACTCCAGACTTGCTTGTCCGTGGGCATGTGTCAGTTGGTGATTTGGATCACCCTTGCTGATCCGAACCTGTCCTATCTCGCGCGTGTGCAGACGTGCATCAGCTCGATAGACATCGCCGTGGCCCATCTCGATGATTATGAGGAGCGGACAATGGCGAAACATCGACCATTAGAGAAACAATTACCATCGACGCGCAGCCATTGTCCATGTTTGCTATCATCTTTTCCCCAGATCCGTAGTGATGATCTGGATTGTCAGGCGAAGCCACCACTACACGCCATCCTGTGGCAACTGTCGACAACAGAAGCTGATCCCCCTGCAGCCAGGCTTCAGGCGTGGAGGGAGGAGAACACGAAGCCTTGCAGCCTTACCTGCAGCTCTGGCTGTAGACGAACCAAGTATGAGGTCATGGAAGGGAAGAAGAGTGACGGTACCTGGAAGTGTCAATGTGTGGAGTCTGTCCAAGTACCTTCAAGTCCCGCCTCGAGTATCTCTGCCTGCATGGAGGGATCGCTGCAGGGTCCAGTCCACTGCCCAATGCCAGCAGACCACCACCAACATGAGACGTGAAACTGGCGATATCCGCGCGACATGTGCCTCGTACGGGCACGACGAAAGATCAGCGCGGGAATTCACCATATCTTCATGTTGTAGACATTATCATGCGCCGCAGTCTTCTCACTACATAAGTTACTGAACGCGCACTTTGCGGCCCCCACTGGTCTTCTTTGACATACGTAGCAGGGCTTGGAATCCTTCTGAGGTGGGACCCTCCGCTTCAATGTCGACGATCAACGTCATGGCGTTGCGGTCAGGGCTCTGTTTGTCAAGTCTCAAACAGGCCGGGGTATGTAGGTACAGAATCACCTGCACCCAACGTCGCCTCTCGATCAAAGGGAAGGCAGTTCTGTACGTTCGGCATCGCCAGGTTCTGCACATGCAGCTGTGACACTCGCTTGTCAGCCAGCACTTATTGCTCCAATAAGATTGAACTTGGGTCTTGGTAATATTGCAAGGCCTAATTCTCTTCGAAGCTTATGGCGGGAATATCAGTATTCATACCACGGTGGTAAAGTAGCATCACAGACTGATCACTGGGACCTTGATCATCCACCAGTACGCAATGCCTCCAAATGCGCATACAGACTGCCTCTCATTTTGCATGACAGACGCCAAATAAATCGAAGCTCTTTCAGAGTCTATATGCCGAATAGACGGCTTTGTCTTGTTGTAGATCGCCCACAACATCACTGGTGCTCTCCGCAACGGCGGAGGCTGGACTGGAGCCTATCTGGTCCACGTGCGTCTTTCAGCGATGATCATATCCAACTGTGCATCTGACTTTTTTTGAAGCTCTTACATCCTAAAATACAACACAAAGAGAGATGCACGGCGGTGGACTCTGTCTGCCAACTCACGCTCGACAACCTCGGGTTCAATACTGATGGCCTTTGGTGGGTCGTTGTTTCACAGATGCCGAAACAGAGAGACCACGCGAGGCACTGGAGTAGGTGGCGATGGTCTATGTTTCAGATTAAACTCTGGCTGCACATGGCGATGATCACAGCAGCACGAAACAAGCGTGGACTGTCGTATCACAGGGTGCAGAGGCGAGTGGCAAACGAGCGCCCGTCTCTTCGGCCACGACGAGGTTGACTTTTCCGATGTTTCGTCAGCTGGGGGTGGAGAGCCGGTCAGGTCAGACTGGAGTGAAATGATGGTTCTCACATGTGCACTGCATGGATTGTCGGGGACGACTCAGGGTCCTGACTATTACATGTACCAAGGGGCTTTGTTGGACTCTTTGGAATCTGTTCTTGCTTTGTTTTGGTCTGTTTCTGCGTTGTCGATCTTCGTCATACGATATGCGCCAGCAGCATAATATGACAGCATCGTCAAGAACGCTGTTGGGGTCCTTTTTTGGGGCTGGTCATGAACCTTTGTAGGTGGCCGTGGACAGGGAGTCGAATCCCTCCATTGCCACGCTAAGCCTTACTCGTGGGCGGATGGCTGGAGCGTGCAGCAGCCAGCAGGCCACTGATAACTACCCCACACTCTGACCAGAGATATTTTGATGGCATCGACTGTTTTCTTGCGTCAGAGAAAATGTAGATGATGGATTTATATTGTATCAAGTGGTTGTGGGCGTTGGTGAGGGCATGGATGATATGGATAGTCAGCGCAGCCGAGTCAACAGGGAGGTCCACAACGACACCCGTGGTGGGCCTACCAGCCCTACGTCCTGTTGTCAGCCAGCAGCAAGACTAAATTAGAGGCTGGAGAATCAACGATGATCCCTTCAACCTTGAAGCTTATACGTAGTACATGCCGCGTAGGCTGGGATCTTGACGTAGCCACCGACTTGCGCCTCTACGTTTCAAGACGACGTGAAGCACGCTGTCAGAGCGTGTGCGTATGCGTACTGCGACGAACTGCACCATAAGCAGAGGAACTCGGTTGTGTCGTATCGCATGGCAGTGCCTTGCTCTCATTGCGAGTGAGCTAATGGTGGTGGTGGTGGCTGATCATCGCTGAGTTGGAGGACTGGAGACAAATTATCCGAGGAGGGCGGGAGCCTCGACGTGACGCCCCCGCCGTCGACGTAGAAAGACAAGCTTCCAGGGCCAAGGATGGAGCCAGTCCGCAGGGGGCCTAGTGCCGGCACCTAAAGCGCAGGATTGCAGGGCAGCATCGACTAAGCCTTGGACGGATTCCTAATCGGGCCGCGGGAAACGGTTCAGCCCTCTGTAACGAACGGTTCCCCCGCACAGGCGGGCGCCTGCCGTTGATCCCCAGTTTCGCCCGCCTCCAGCCTTCAGCTTTCGCCTTGCCCAGCCAGCTCGAGATCTTCAAGTCTCAGATCTTCAAGTCTCCAGTCTCGGTTGCTGTACTGCCTAGCTTCCAGTCGCAATCGTACGAGAACCGATGATCCGGGGTCGTCTAAGCTAGGTTCGATAGCAGTTGGTATCGCAGCGCACTCCAGCCTTGACCGCTCAACATGAGCTTCACCCGTAGGAACTAGGAACACAAATGAAGCAAACGATTATCCAATTCCCTCATTTGCCATCTATAAATTGCAGCACGCCCGTCGTATGGGAGGTCTAGCAATGTCGTCATAACGGTCCTCTGGAACTTATTCAACAAGCATCAACCTGCAGAAACGGACTGTCACGGACTCGCAATGGACGCACGTGTTCAGCCGTAAGGCATCCTACTCGACGTTGCAACACAAGGTCCCGAAATAAAGAAACAAGGGCACCTTTTTCCCCAGTCTAGCTGCGCTTCTCGCATCGCAGCCGTCAGCCCCTCCTCATGCGTGAGCTCGCGATAGTGGCCAAAACGGAGGCACGAACATGAAGTGGGCAGCAATCTCGAGTCCAGTCCATCACGATGCCTCATCGCCCTCGCGCGACCGTTCATCGAGAAGGAATGCTCTTTTGTTGATGACTGCAGCACCCTCTTTTGCGCCGCGGCAAACCAAAGTTCCGCTGCAGCAGCTGACAAGTGTAATCTAAATCTCATAACGGGCCCGAAACGTAACCACATTTCTGCTTCCTGCAGGATTCCCTCCAAACAGAACAGAACCACTCGGCCCCGTCCGTTCCCACCAGATCCATGGGCGGCCGTTTTCATTTGACCGCATCTTCATATTTCAAAACGGATCTTTTCTCGTAATTTCTTAGCGAACATGTCAGTGATCGATCATGATCGGTGTCATGAGGCTTGCACATCGCGCGCCTGGCTCCTTCCCGCAGCGCGCTTGTTGCTGGGATGCATGGACCTGCCTGCCTCACTGTAACCCTACAAGCACAGAGCTGGAGAGTCGGTACGAGGCTTGTCCGTCAGCTGCTTGGGCTGGGGGTGCCTCGCGTCTGGTATGATGTCGACGTGAGGAGTGGTGGTGAGGGTGAGGTGATTCGCATGTCGACGAGACCTAGCTATCTGAGGTGAGGTGGCCGTGAGGACTGGGTATTCACGATTTACGATAGAGATGAGGCTATTGGACTTGGCGTGCCCCGGACAGACGTCTTGTCGGACTCTTCAATTCCCATGGCAATCGCCGTGATCTGGAGGAGGTTTCTCGACCTTTTGGCATCAATATTGGATATCTTGGCCGCCCTCTGAATCTGATGCAACAGGCTTAATAACAGCCGCCTAGCCTGGGCAGTGGATGATTGTGGGCCCGTTGCGGGCTTACAGCGCACTGACAGCGTGGGGCCAGGCTTGTTTGTACTTCGCTTCGGGGGGTCCATGTCCATGTCCTCGCCGACTGGACGCCTCGGGTGCGTCTGCCTCGCCAGCTCAGCGCGTTTATCAGTGCAGATCACGGATCACCGATGCGAATGTGCCCAGAGGGGGGTTTCTGGAAGGAGTAATCATCTACGCTGCTGCGCGACTGGAGTGCGGTGTGCCCGTCTGCTGGGGCTTCACCATCTGTCTGAGTATGAGTATGAGTCTACTGTCTGACTATCTGATCATTCTCATAAATGATGGATTGCTTCTGGTCGGCATGACAATGACACATTCATGATGCAGAGGACTTGTATGGTCAAGAAAAGAGCGCTTCCAGAGCGCTTGTGTATTCCGCATTTGCGTGCCCGTAAAAGTAAACCCAATAACGAATAGATCGTGAAATCCTAATCACGTCTTCCCGTCAATCCCATCCGTTGCGCCCCATGGATATCATTACCAGTCGTTGTTCCCAATCATACAGTGTGTCCTACTCTTTGGGACGTGATTCAGTAATCCATACGCCAAAAGAAAATCCCATCAGCCCGTTCTTTGTCTAAACCAGTGGCTGGAGTCTTGTAAAAAAGAAGAAGAAAGGAAGAAGAAAATCTTGAAAATGTATCAAGTGAAATCGAAGAAGATGGTATCAAAAGACCCCTGTATTAAATCGTAAGAGGGATCGACAAGCCAGCCAAGATGGAAAGACCATGGAAGCGAACTGCTCACAGCACCATATCCATGTCAGACCACACAGCAGTCGGTGCAATCGTAGGCTCCTGCTTGAGGCTCTGCGCGTTCCAGTCCCACTGGAAGTTGTTCATGTCCGCCTCCGTCAGGGGAGGCATCTGAGGCAGCCAGGCGTGCTGGAGATCAACCATCCCCGAGAGGCTCAGGTCCTCGCGCGACTGGATGCCGAGCGCATTGGTGTCCATGGCGTTGTACATCAGCTCGTGGGGAGCGGCGGTGGTCTCCATGACGGGGGGCCAGGCTTGCTGTTTCGGCGGCACCATGTGAGGCTGTGGCCCGGCATCAAAGGAGGGCTGGTGCATCATCTTGGGCGATGGCATCGTCGTCATGTCCTTGGGCGAGACGAAGCCAGCCTGTCCGTCCATCTCAGGCGTGGTCGCGGTGGACAGGTCGTCGCTCGACGGCGACATGGTCAGGGAGCCGTCAGACTCACTGCCCGATACTGAAGCTCGGGATGAAATGTGATTGCGAGACGATCCCTTGAGCTGCTTGCGGATCATGCGGAGACTGCTGGACTGGTGGAGAAAGTCACTCTTGCTCATGTGGTAGAGGCGAGAGGCCATGGTCTGGATGGTGGGCGCGTACACCTGCGCCGAGGGAAAGTCGGTGACGATGCCACTGGACTGGCGCTTTCCACGCAGCGCGCGCAGCGCACGCGAGCAGGTGTCGAGAGCCATCCCGAAGACGGCGGGGAGGGAGGCCTGCAGCGAAGGTGTCATGCTGAGGGCGTCCTTGGGCTGGACCGAGACGACGCCAAACACCTGGAGGACCTCCTCGATGGAGTAGCACATGCGCTCGACGATGTCGGGCCGCGCAATCTCCTGGCCTGCCAGGTTGGGGAAAAGGTACTGGACGGCGAGGGTGTGGTAGATGGTGAGGACCATGGCCGTCGAGGACATGTTGTTGCCCTTCTTGTTCAGGTCGCGCGTGGTGTCCACGAGGAACCTGTTTGTATCCCGGCAGCGTTGCATGACATTGGCGGCGGGGACACCATGCTGAAGAGGGTGGAAGCCGCAGGCGTGGGCGACGGCAATACCAATGTGGGCGAGGGGCCACATCTCCTTGATGGTGAGCTTCTGCTTCTGGAGAGTGTTGACGTTCTCAGAGATGAGGTCAAGCTGAATGGCTGAGGACGCGTCTTCGGTGGCGGGCAGGAAGATGCTGGTGAGGACCGTGGGCGACTGAGAAGCAAAGTAGCCGCGGCCAGTCTGAACGTAGACCCATAGAGTGAGGGTGTAGGTGGTCCAGTACAGGTAGTCAATCAGCTCCTTCTCCACGTCGTAGACGTCAATGCCATTGATGCGGCTCGAGAGCTGCATGCCGTCTGTGGCCACGAGCTGCTCCTTGAGGTCACTAGCCATGCGTCCAGCCAGCTGGATGTATGTGATGGCCCTTCGGAACTGCGACTCGGTCATGGCGTGCCACCCGAGCAACATGAGAGCTTGCGCCGTGGAGATGCCGCTGAAAATTCGTGTCGAAATGCCACTGTAGACAACGGTGCCCGAGTCGGTGACGATGCCAGTGTTCTGCGTGGTCTGGAATGGGCGGGTGTGCAGCTGCGCCTGCGCATGCTGGAGCAGGGCCCGACCACGGGTGTTGGCGGCCTCGCCACCAATGGTAAAGTTGGCCTCGGCGAGCATGACGGCTAGGAGTACCTCATCGTGGGTGCCATCACGGAGCTCCCTGAGGAGGAGCGTCTTGGAGACTAGGAAGGATAGAGGGTGGGAGGAGTACCAGACGTCGATGAGTTGCGTCTGCTGGCGCTGCCCGTACTCTGTGACGGGGTTGGTGGCAGGCGGCGGCGTGCTGTCGAACATGGTGGGCGTCTCGTCTTTGTCGAGCCCAGATAGAAAAAACGATGCGTTGCCGTCCTCGACGTGAGAGCAGCCGAGCGAGCCCATCTGGTTGGCGGACAGCCCCACGAGGTCATGGCTCAGCAGGGAGAGGATGCTGGAGAACTTGGCCGAGTCGCCGTACTGGCTGACCATGCCGTCAGGGTGAGGGTGGGATGTGCGTGCCGGCGCATTGGCCGTGAAGTTGTCAAAGAAGGCGAGGTCAAGAATGGAGGCCACATTGTCGCCATCCTCGGAGGTCAATGGCTCTTCTACGAGACCGCCTCCCATAATGGGGCTCCCCTTGATTGAGCTGCCCGTGTTGGATCGCTGCCGGCCCATGAGAGGCGAGAGGTCGTGACGAAGGCTGGGAATGGACTCGGAGCGTGTGGTGTCCATGCTGCCACGAGCCTTGGGCCGGGGCGGCTCAAAGTCGTAGATGCAGTCAGCGCCTTGCCTGCGGCACGCCTCGCAAATTGTCTCGTTGGAGCACTTAATCTTGCGGGCACGGCAGAAGGCGCAGGAGCGCCTGAGACGATGCTTGGTGGCCATTGTGGTTGTGTGTGTGTAGGTGCTGTGGTCTGGTGACTGTGTGTCTTGTGTCTGTCAAGTTGTGTCAACAACACAATTGTCTTGAACATTGACTGAGGTGGTGGATGGGAAGAAAAGCCAAGATCGAGGTCCAGCCCAGATCGAGGGTAAGGAAGGGCACCGGGTGATTGATATAAGGGACCCTGATATGCGCTCTTGACGTAGTTGGCACAGTAATTACATGTAGAGTGTCGACAGCGCGCGAGGAGGATTGGGGTCCCTGATGCTGCGTGACTTCTATATTTGCCAGGAGTGGGCATCTGGGTTGCAGTCAAGCCTTTCTGCGTGCATGCCAGGCCCTGCCCATCACCAAGAGGACCCTGTGCCTCTCCCATGCCTGTCTTGTAAGTGAGAGGGCGACCGGGATCCATGATCCATGCGTGTGCGTGTCTCTAGGAGGACACCGGGGCGTGCGAGTCCTGTGGGGCGGCCACACCATCACCGTCGGGGCTTCATTTTAGGCGTGGGACACTCAGCCTGTGATGTAATCTTAGTCGAGGTGCTGTTCCTGGCCATGCATGCTTACCGTTTTCCACCGTTTCGAGTCTGGGGTTCGCCGTCTTGACGGACCGTAAACGACACGTGCGTGTGAAGGGAGCTCAAGCCTCAAGGAACCAAACGTCCATCCATGATCACAGCCCCCTCAAACAGTTGCAGACGGTGGAGTCGGTCCATGCGTCTTGATCTCATTCTGGCTGCGATGCGCGGTACATTCTCGAGCTGTGGACCTTGTACTCCTCCTGTTGCGCGCTGTACTTATCAGCGCAGACCGCAGACCCAGATCCAATCCCCAGCACCCCGACAGTCGCGCGCTTGTTCCATGCGTCTCGGTGCCGAGGGCTGTCCATGGGATAATATGGTCGATCGCAGCTGCTTCAGCGATTCAACAAGGCGGCTCGTCCGAAGGCAGCAGATTCCATGTCCTCAGAGGTCACCGGATGAGTGTCTCGCCATTGTCGGTCAGATAAGCCTCGTGGTGTAGCAGTCTACTGGACGCTCCATTTTCACGATGAGACGCCATTTTCGCTATCTCTGTCTGCTCGGCTGTGCTGCGCCTATGACGACAACCCGGCGCAAATGCCGCGGAGGGAGCAAGGTTCATAACTTCATGCCGCGCTGACTGATGTGGACTGGCTTGATCCAGGCGCGGAACAAGCGAGGCGTTCCACATGTAAGCAATGACGCCCTACCCGAGCAAGGTAAGCCCCAAATGGGTGCCGACATGTTTTGGTAGACAGAGTGGCTCGGCGCTGGGTCATTATGGAGTAGTTGAAGATTGTGATACACTATGTTTGGTGTCGCGAGTGAAGAGGGTGATGCTGGCAGAGATCGTGGCAGAGGTCATGACCCATTGATGGCAGTGGCCAGCTCGGAGCTCTGATGCAAGATGGGACCCGTACATGTACCAAGTCGCATCAATCGAATTGACCAAGTGCTTGGGGATTCCAACAGCTGTTTAGATCATATTCCATGCCTCTCTTTACTTCGTCGCAGTAGTTAGTGAAATCCCATAGTGAACATTAATCCCTTCCTTAAGGTAGCTTATATAAGTTTCCATCTACCACGACTGTCGTACTTTCGGCCATAAAAAGTGAGCGGTTCTCAACTCCATTAGCGATGAGTGTTTGGGGGTTGAGACACCACAACATCTTGTATCAATCCCCAACATACGCTGAGCAGCCTAGCTGCTCACTCTGCCAAGGCCAAGGATGGTACGCAAATCAGATGAGTACAAAGATTATGAGAGCGAATCATTGGCCTCTGGATACCTTGATTGAGTAGTCTCTGGGCTTGAGGCAGAGTTGAGAAACAAGGATAGCCTCAAGCGCAACCTCAACACACGTGCATCCATCACATTGAAAAAGCCGCTCTCAAGAGTTCCGTTTGGCTTCCCATGAGAACTCAAGATCTCTTCTATGTTCTCTACTGTCATTGTACTGTTCAGTAGCTTTGCTGGTCGTCCCTGAGAGTCACCATGACTAGAAGAACACTTCATCTGGTGTTCAGACATGTACACACAAAGTGAACAGGTGAGTGATAGCCACCAAGCATTCACGGCAATCTGTCAGTAGCTTCTCACTTGGCCATCAAAACTGTCTGCTCTGATCCCATCTTCAGTTGAACGGCCATCACCCCAAAAGAAACATTTTGTCTCTGGGTCTCGACATCGCCTGCATCCATCATAACAAACCAAGTCAAGTGTCCCGGTGTCATATCCAGCCGTCAGCCAAAATGGCCTCTATCCCCTTGGCAGATCTATCCCCTTCCACTGATTCTAACATGACCGTCAATGTCCCTGCTCAACACTCCGCCCCAGCAGGCGCTGAAGGACAGGAGGCAGGCAACCATCCGGCCGCCCAAGACGACATGGAGCCTCCCACTGCACCACCCCCTGATCGCGGCTGGCCTGCATGGCTCGCTGTCATCAGCGGCTTCATCCAACTATGGGCCAGCTTTGGCATTCTGAACTCCTGGGGCTCGTTCCAAGCCGTCTATGTCGATGAACCATGGAGCAAGGGAGTCAAGCTCCAAGACATTGGCTGGATCGGCAGTGTTCAACCAGGACTGCTGTTCGTCCTCGGGGGTATTGCTGGATACGCTTCCGACCGGCTCAGCGCCACTGTGCTCATGATGATTGGGACCTGCATCTTCTCCGCGGCCTTTCTGTTGCTCGCTGAATTCGGGGACGGCCTGGGTACGTACATTGCACTCCAGGGCTTTCTCTACGGCCTGGCCAACACGCTCCTCTACTATCCCATCCTGAGTGTGGTCTCGACCTGGTTCGACCGTCGACGCGGGCTGGCTTTGGGGATTGTGGCCTCTGGGTCGTCTCTCGGTGGCATCTTCTGGCCTCTGGTCGTGGACGCGCTCAACGAGGCCTTTGGCCTCAAGCGCACCCTGCAAGCCGTTGGTCTCATCCCCCTGGTCCCGCTCTTCATCGCCTCGTTCATGGTCAAGGAACGCTTCCCAGACACCAAAATCACTCTACGCCGAGCCTTTCGTCGCCTGACACAGCGTTTCACAAACGCCGAAAAGAAGTCTCAGGGGAACACCACGACCACCTTACTCGCGACAGCATCTACTACCACGGGAACCACAACACCGGGAGCTCTCAACTCGCTCAAAGACCCTTCCTTCATCGCCCTCAGCATTGCCCTCTTCTTCATCTACGGAGGGATGCTCATCCCGTTCAACCTCATTCCCGTATTCGCAGAAGAGCATCACCACGCCGACGTGGCTCACGTTCTTCTCGCCATTTGCTACTCGGGCTCTGTCGTCGGTCGGATCGGCACGGGCGCCTTGGCTGACTACTTTGGAACGTTCAACATGCTGTGCCTGATGGCCCTCCTCACGGCCACACTGACGGCCTGCTGGGTGACCATGACGTCTCTGCCGGCCATGATTGCATTTGCGGTTCTTTATGGGTTGTTCTCGGGTGGGCTCATCCCACTTGGGTCAGCGTGCGTTGCCAAGATCACACCGCCCGAGCAAATTGGACAGATCGGCCTGCGTCTTGGGTTCACGATGATGGTTTGCTCTATTAGCGCTTTCGGGGGCGGTCCACTCAGCAACTTCCTGCTCGAGGGCACGGGACAGAGTGGATGGCTTGCCGCTTGTCTGTTCTCTGGTATGGCGACTCTTGTGGGAGGAGGGATCATCTTTGCCATTCTGGTGTCGAGGATTGTTAGAGGCGGCCAGGGGTACAAATTTTGATGACGGCCGCAAGGAAGCGCGCAGTCACTGTGTGAATGGTGTTGGTACTTGGACCGATGTATTCGGCGCGGGAGTTTGTGATAATAGGGCATCTCTTGGAGGACTGACTCCGGGGACGTGCCATCGTTGGGCTACTTGGTACGGAGTATAGGGTCTCAGATAAATTGTCGAGAAAAACCACTTGGATGTTTACTTGTCAATGTGCACTAAAGCGATTCATTGCTTCCAAGCTGAATGTCTTACGTCTATCTAATTAATAGTCATCAACATCATTGTATCCGCCTTGTTGCCCAACACGACTGTCAGTTTTGGTCACAAAAGACCAATCCAAGCCCTCCAAGCATTCCTTCACCATCGGGTTCTCCTGCTCCAGCTGCTTCTCCATGCCGCCCCCGAATATCTTCTTCAGCATCGCGATGCGGAGGTACGTATCCCACGACTCCACCAAAGCAACATAGCCCATTGACGAAGCTGGATGGCGTTTGCGCAGCTTATACCGATAGCCTTGCTCCTTGTTCGTGCTGAGTGATCGTGCGGTGGAGTAGTATGGCCCAACCCCCTTTTCAAGTGACGTGATGACGCTCCGAAGGCCTCCGCGGAGATCCTTGCGGCCTTGTTTTGACTTGGATTTCGATGAGCCCTTGGACAGGTCTGTGATCCGGGAGGCGACACGGATCGGGTCGTATGGAAGTTCAAAGGGCTCGCCGTCTTCCTGCTCGTGCTCCCGGGATGCTTCAAAGATGTAGGCGATGCACTCGGCCGCACTGGTCTGGGTGTCGACATCGGGACTGTCCAGCTTCTCCACGAACGCGTCCATGGCGGAATCGGCGTGGTACCAGATGTTGGCAAAGGTGGCGGCGAAGCCCCAGCACTCGAAGAGCGCCGTGATGACGCCGTCTTTACCGGTCACACCTATGGACTCGCCATTGCTTTGGATCGTCTCGACGATGAAGTCAAGCCACTCCACAATGTCGTCTTCGCCAGCGCCGTAGTACACAATGGTGCACGTCAGTGCGTACAGCGCCTGGACCTTGCACTCCTCGTTGCTGTCGTCGGTGAGGATCTGCTTGAGCGTCTGACGCGACGCCATGTCCGACTGGGATAGATTCGCTGTGCAGATTGTGAGCGAGTAGGCTTGCAGGTTGAGCGACCTCTCGTTCGCATTGGTGCTACTGTTCGCTCCGCGGATAAATGCGTCAATGAGTTCGCTTGTGTTGAGCGTTTCCATGTCCTCGTTGTAGCTTGACCGCATGGTCTTGTTGTAATGCTCGAGCAACATCTCTCGCGTCTCGGACCGATTTGTCTTCTTGTCCTGGAGCTCATGCACCAGCTTTTTCGGGTCCCATAACCCCAGCTCGGACCCCGATGCAGCTTCACGATCGTCAGGAGTCATGAGGCCTTCTGCGGGTGTGATTTGACCGGACATGATGTATTCGTCATCCTCGTAGGAGATTGGTGGCGTCTGAGGAGGGGTGCCCTCGTTCTCAGATCGATAAGCAAAGTCATCTTGGTTGAAGACGCGATGAAGCAGCTCAGAGCCGGAAGGTGTTGCCGTGCCCAAAGCGCGACCGGACTTGCGAGCCTTGCGGGACGTGGTCTTGCCTTCTCCCTTTAACTCCTTTCCTGTGAGGCCGCTCATCTTGGCTACGGCGGTGGTGTTCTTTGCGCAAAGAACAATGACGCCACTGTCAACTTCTGCGACAAGATCTGCGTGGATCTTGGCCAAAGAGCCTATTGCCAACGCAATTCAGAGCGCAAGCCCCAGCTGGCGATTTTCCTAAGTTTTTGCCCAGGCTCTCCAACTCCAAAGGCTGTGGAAGGTTCTTTGCTGTATCGATCTCTGCTATTTTGGTTTTGGCGCACGACGATTCGTCTTGTCAAGTTTTGAATGAGGCAAAAAACGAAATTCTCACATGAAGGCGTGCCTCCATAAAGACCGTGAAAACACGTGGCTGCCAAAGGCGGGGAACTGGTATCTTGCACTGAGGAACTCGGCAATGAGAGCAGCCAGGCGATGTTCTGTCCAACGACAGATATACAGAACAGCAAAGCAGGGGAAGAGAGGCGAGTGTGTGGGAAGAGCTAGCGACGATGAAGATTTGTTGAAACTTGATGGAACGCCAGACAAATCGTGGCAGTTGACTGGCCGCTGCTCACGTGGAGCTCGAGTGGCACCTGTGACGTCTTCGCGCCCGCATGCTAGAAGACTGGAGCGTACGGATACCACCGCCTGGAAGAGTTCTGGGCGAGCACAATTAACAATTTGTCGTAAGCTATATCTGGTGACACTATATCTTCAGGCACTGTTCCTTGATCAGTGTGATTCAAGTCTCTCGGTAATGCACGGCGTCAGACATGATGCGCAATGGGTTTGAAGTAGTGGGCAAGTTTGGGTGAGAATTTATTCCCAAATTCAACCATGTCAACAACAAGCTGTGTGGAACTTTGTAGCACTTGGGAAGCTGATGTATTCACATAAATCGTAAGCTTCTAACATAGGTATGGAAATAAAAATTGGGCACCCGTTCCCAACGATCTCCTCGTCAGGCGATGGTGGAAGTGCAGCTGTAGGGTAGGGCACACTTCCTAGCAGCTTCAGTTAGACGGCAAGCGGGGAGCCAACGCACACCCCACATCGTGTCGGCTCGGGTGATGGACGTGGACCCTCAAATAGCCCAGCTTAAAACCCCGGTCGCCATAGCGTCATGCATGACTGTCCGCCTGGCCCTCAACGCGTCTCCCGATGCAACGCGTAGTATCGTTGATTGCGTATTCTGAGCTGTATACGGCCGAAGCAGTCGGTAAAACTGGAGTGGCGTGATATGTTGCGTGGTTGAGCCCAGGTCGTCGATATTTTATGGGCAATACGCTTCGGCGCCAGCAGCCTAGGGCTGAGGTTGCCTGAGCTTCCGGGCGTCAGTGTGGCCCCGTGACACTGAGATGCTACCCCCGCATCAGCCTATCTCAGGATACTGCTTGACTCAACATAACACGTTTGCGATTAGGTAGCAGCGTCATTGGGAACCAAAATGAGAGAAACTTTTACTTTTAAAGAGCTCTGGTGCTTTGGTGACAATTTTCTTTCCAGTTTGTCAACTCTCGTGGACCAAGCTGAAGCGATCGTTGCGCACACCTCAAAGTGCCCGGTGATAAGGAGGTGAGGGGCCCTTATCGTTATCTATCCTGTCACATCAGCCTTCTGCCTGATTTGGCAGGGCAGTCACTCCCGACCATAGCGACGAGTCACCACCTTGTAGTTCTTACTCTGTGACACCTGTTGAGGTTAAGTTCACCTCAGCACCATTCATATTCCTTCCGAACTTCTCCTGCTCCTACCGTCCAGGGCTTCTCTTCTCTCAACCTTCGTCCCCAACACCACCCTTTTCCAAAGCTACATCGTGCCGCGAGCCACCTCAGCAAACCGTGATCATGCGTCCCGAGCGTGCCTTCGACTCGCCTCGCCCTATCGACCTAACGGAACCATCCGCACACCAACCGAGCCAGCCTCAAGAGATCACAGGTACGTGAGATGCTCTTCAAAATATCAATATCAGCTCACAAGTCGTAGCGACGGTAAAGCTCACTTCCACGAACGCCGAGGACAGGCTGGGACCGCTGGGCTGCCGCCGGCTTGTTCTCACACCAGCGAAGCCGACCTGTCCGATCGGAAGAGCGAGCAGCAAGAGGAGTGGACTCGAAGCGAATGCCACCAACGCGTATTTCGAGAGTGCTGTCGTTTCGCGATGCCACGCCGAGTTGCAACTTGATGTTCAATGTCGGGTACGTAACGTCGGACGCATTAGTCCTTTGGGAGAGTATAAGTTCTAATTTGGCCATAGCAAGTTATCCTCAAGGACAAGGGGTCGCTTCACGGAACCCTCCACAATGACAGGCGCTTGAAGGCAAAAGAGACCCGGACCCTAAAGTCTGGTGACACAATTACACTGGGCGCACAAATCGAGCGAGGCCACGATAGATTCCAGCCATACAAAGTCCACACCAACATTGTCTGGGAGATCCCCGAGTAAGCCACTGCCTTTCTTATGCTATCCGAGAGGGAAAATATCTGACTGTGCTCTTAGTCACACGAACAGGCCAGTGACGTACACTGTCCCGGACGATACGGATGTCGAAGATCACGAGGATGACTGCGGCGACGAAACAGATCTTGCCTTTGCCCAGTCGGTTCTTGTCGAGAACGGGTTCAACCCCCCGAGCAGCCCAATTCGTATAGCGGCCGCATCAGCTTTGCAGAGCTACTCTGGTGCCGTCGTCGACCTGACCGCGGGTCAGGTGGCTGCTGCTGTTCAAAAGGTCCACAAGGCCACTGAACCAACCAGCATCGACTTGGAAGAGCCCGACCTTTACTCGGATGACCGAGTCCATGTCGGAGCTCTGCCAGCCGAGACCTTGTGGCATAGCACAGTTGGAGATGAAAGTAGCGAGGATATGCCCGGGAGTTCTATGGCGGAGGAATGGGGGCCCCGTACATCGAGTGGGAGTGGGAACGAATTCGCCGATGTCTCGGCCTACGAAAGCGAGCTAGACAACGATGTCGAAACTCACGACCTGGATGACGAACAACCCCTCGAAGAAAATTTCATGGACTCCGATGCCGCCTCCCTCATGGATGACTTTGAGCCAGATGAGGCCGCTAATGCCCTTCCCGAGGATGACAGCGAGTGGACGGACTATGGAAGTCTTACGGCCGGTATGAACGACACAGCTGGCGAAAGCTCATTGCTAGCCCAGGCTCCCATCCTCGATTCCAAGCCAATTTTCAACCTGCAAGACATCGTTTTCAAACCACTCCCACGGAACACACTCGACGCGAACCCCCATGAGCAAGTTTCGTCGACGTTTGGTGATTTATCACTGCAGACTCATGGTCCCTCCACAGCTTCGGTTGGAAACGATTACGCGCCTGTATCTCCGTCCCTTAGCGACAATCACGCGACTACGAGCGGCCATGAATCTTCGTTCTCAAGACCCCTACAGACATCAGCGGTGGATGAAAAAGCTTTGTATCGCAAGGCCAAAGGGACGGTGCTGGCTATGCGTGCATCCTATCAGCCGCCAAGAGGCTCAATGGCCTTGTCGGATAGTGAACGGGCACTGGTTGAAAATTTTACCGCTCAGGTCAAAGCGAAAGAAGCAAAGCAGACAACTACGGCAGACGACGAAGTTGCACAGGAAGCGCCGCCTCGTGATACCGAGACCACAGGCGAAGACATGTCTGCTGGCGCTCAGCATCAGACCGCTCCCCCCGAAACCCCGTCTCGCAAGCGGGGCGCGGATAAGATATCACGTTCAACAGTGGAAGAAGATGAAGCCACGGCCAAGACCGCAGAGGCTGCTGTTCAGGCTGGAGATGTCTCAAAGGAGCCCACGACGCTGGTGGCTGAGTCGTCACAGGCAATTTCACAGACCGAGCCGGCAAACGAGTCGAATCCCGTGGTGCAGGCTGGCTCTCCGACAAAGGAACAACGTCCTACGAAGCGTGTCCGACGTAGTGTTGCAGAGGCTGCCGGATATGTGGCATTGGGAGGTGTTCTGGCATGGTCCGCCTTGGTAGCCACTGCTCCTGTCTTGTAAAAGGCACTCGGGACTTGGACATAATGTTCGTGATCGCGAGTACTGGTATATCTTTACTTTTTTTTGTGTGTGTGAGACTGAGCAGTACACGACCTGTGGCATTTTTTACTGTTATGATATTGCTAGCATATTGTTGGACCTCACAGTTGTAGCACGAGGAAATCGCCGAACGAATCGGCTAAGGGGGATTAATCTTTTCGCGAAGGTAAACATCGCGATGGGAGGATAATGAGGACACATGGCTCAACTCAAATGGCCAGTGATGATAATCTGGTCAGAACAGGGTGTGCTAAGTTAGTAGGACGAATGCTATGTTATGTTTCATCGACAGTACTGACATCGTGAACAAGATCATGTGAGCCCGGCGGATGCGAAACCTTATGGCAAGCCATCGGATGACACAATACCAGTGCATAGCAACATTGACCGATCTGCAAGCCCTTCGCTCAGACCGCGGAGTAGACCGGAGGAGGCTATGTAACGTGGACAATGATCGCCGGCGCAACGTATTCGAGGCAGCGCTGAGTCCATGAAGACATGCACAACAAGGATGGAGGCAATGTAGAAGCGGTGGAGAGAGACCGGTCTGGCGGAACAAGACGGGACAGCAGGAGAGGCCGCATATCGATGACGCTGGCCCCGGCTGGGGATTTCACGACCGGTGTGTAAAGCAGCATGAGCACGTACAAGCAAGGCCAAATGATAGAGGAGTGGCGGGACTGACCGGTTTCATGGGGAGGGTGGAGTGTTGGTGGTCCAGGAAGAAGAGGGCGTGCGTGCATATGCGAGATGGACATGTGGTTCCAACAGCAAAAGACGCACTGACCAGGGTTGATCTAGCTCGGTACCATAACATGATCGCACTCGAAACATGGAATCTGGTTCGGTTCATGTCGTTCATGTTAGGCAGCGAGAGGCTAATATGATGTCCGTTTCATCGACAGCGGCATGGCTTGTACGACTTTGGGTCATCCCCGTGACTATTCGACGCTATCGTGAGAGGCCAGTGAAAACATCTTCCTAGTAGCATGCCAGCAGCGTTGATGGCCCGATGAGCTGTGGGCGAGTCATATTCAGAGATGCCGGGTACGTGCATCTGCGCTCCTTTATCCCCCATGATCCAGTACTTGAACACCAGGTCATGGATTCTGGAGAGGACGATCTTGGTTTGAGACTCGCCCATGGGGGAAAGATGAATATAGGAACAAGTTCACAAAATTCGGTCCAAAAGACTGTGACATCAACTGTAGATATCTCGAAGCGCCGTCTTGTCCATGATAGCAGAAAGTCATCGGATAGACTTATGCAGCGTAGCAACATGATTCGATGGGACCAGGCAGTTCTGACGCATTTCCGGTTGGCCGGATTGCGGTGAAACACAACCAGCAGACACCTTCCACAGCTTGACAGGCCCCGTCTGAAACAAGGCTAACTGCCCTGTGTATTAGTGCCTGACAGTCCATGACCATCCATAATGTACTCAGACAGCACCAGGCCGGACATGCAGCCGATGAGCATCTGGGCGACATGGAGTCGGTGAGCTTGCAGAGTCGAAGGCTGACAACTTGCGGGCACGACTGTGTGCTTGTGTGTGCTGGCGAGTCCTTCAGCGTATACTTGGACACATCGTGACAGCGTGGACAGGCTACACGTCCAGCCCGAACCGCAAGTAGTACGTGAGCATGTATAAAAGACAACCCCGAGCACAAGTCCTACCTTCGCGTTTGGCCCCTTTTTTCAAATAATCCGTGATCATCTGACAGAAGACTGCGTCCGCATCAGCCACTGCTTTGGTCTATAAGTCAACTGTCATCAGGGAGCTTGCCAAGTTTCGCTCTCGTCATGTCGTCAGGTTTCAGAGCCCCCAAAGGCCCCATCATCGGCCTCGCCACGTGCGACGAGTGCAGCTTCAGGACGTGGGTTGTGCCTTGTCGTTCTGTACCTCTGGACTTACAGTGACTTACACTCTGTAGCCCCTCGAACTGCCAGTACTGTGAAGATACCATGGTTGTTCCCATCGACGCCGAATGGGTCAGAAAGCGTACCAAGCCATCTAATGGCAGGGAAAAAAAAATTCTGGCAATGACAGCACGGGCAGCAATGATCCTGGCGGTAACACCACTGGAGGCCCCAGCACCGGCGGCCCCAGCACTGTCGGCATTGGAACATGATGAAGCTTTTAGTATCTCGAAGAACAGCGTGTTGGCTGGGGCGGTCTCGCTAGGTTATGGTCCCCCAAACACTCGAGGCTAGCCAGGGATATTCGGGTCGTCATCCCTTCGTTTGGAAGCTGAATGTTGATGGCGGCTGGCATTCTTTCGTTGTGGCTCATTGGTTCTGAAGTAAAATGCGTGGTATGAACCAAGCCAGATTGTACCCTATTACAATCGAGCAGGAAGTGACACTCAGCCATCCGCCAACGTGTACATCGTGCCACTCTCCCTAATAGTCATGATAGTGCCACGGCCAGTGACGGTATAAAGTCCAATGACATACTGCCATTGCAGCGCGCCGGTACTCAAGCTCGCCGTGACGTAGGCGTTTCGGTAGGGTACACGACATGACCATGTGGTTTTTGACAGAAAACGCCCCCGACAGTAGCACGTAGAGGCGTAAGTCTGTAAGAAGGCTCGACTGCGGGCGGAACTTCTTAGAAATTTGGAGAGGCTCGATGTTCTTGGCCCTGGAGACGGTACATTCGGCATCTGATCATATGATGCCAGCAGTAGCGTGCTACGAGGTTGGCGGACAAGCTTCAGCCAACCCTGCTATCACGAGCATAGCCAGGATGGTAAAACTGACACCGGCTTGTTGCTGAACGTTCTGACGGAGGAGTGCTTGGGCTCGGGCCGTACTCGTAGTCGTACGTAGCGTGCTTCAACTGGGCTAGCTTTTTGGTGCTCGAGGCCTATGTAGTAAGCGTAGTTAAGCGGCTATGCACGTTAGTACCGTAGCCACTAAACCGACTTAAAGAGGGGTCGAAGGTATGCGCCGCCCGCCAGCCCGCCCCCAAATACTGCCCACCTGATCGCACTTTAACCCAAGCAATAGATTGTCGGAAGCTTTGTGCTTGATCGCACCGAGGCGCGCTGGAGTGCAATTTTGACTTGCACTGAGACCACGCACTCGTCGTCGCCAAGTACTTTGCTCCAGCAGAAACCGAGCTGGCCATCGACAAGCACAATGTCTGTCATTCTATGTACAGGTATGGACACGTCCGGAAAACCACTTGGATAGCACAGGCGAAGTTGCTAACACGGAACGTAGCGGGTTACGACCACACAATCAGATTCTGGGAGGCACTGTCGGGAATATGCTCCCGGACCATCCAACATCCCGATTCGCAAGTCAACCGCCTCTGCATCTCACCCGATAAGCGTTTCCTTGCCGCCGCCGGCCACCACAGTGTCAAGCTGTACGATATCAAGTCGACGAACCCAAATGCGCTTCTTACCTTCGAAGGCCACACGGGCAATGTCACAGGCGTGGCATTCCACTGCGAAGGCAAATGGATGGTGACGAGCTCGGAGGACGGTACGGTCAAGATCTGGGACACGCGGACGGGGACGATTCAGCGCTCCTACAGCCATGGCAGCCCGGTGAACGACGTGGTGATTCACCCGAACCAGGGCGAAATTATCAGCTGCGATAGAGCGGGAAGTGTGCGCATCTGGGACCTCGCAGAGAACAATTGTTCGCATGAGATGATCCCTCAAGAGGACGTGTCCGTCTCGAGCGTCACAGTCGCAAGCGACGGGTCTTTGCTTTGCGCAGCGAACAATGAAGTACGTGTTCTTCTTATGGAGTCGTCAAGGTTCCCAGCCAGCTAATCGTGCATAGGGAAACGTCATCGTCTGGCACCTGATCCAGTCCTACGATCGCACGCAGCTCCTCCCCGTCACCCAGTTCAGCGCTCACCAGAACCACATTACCAGGATTCTCCTATCCCCGGACGTCAAGAAGCTCGCCACCTGCAGCGCGGATCATACCGCCAAGATCTGGGAGGTGGTGAACATTGAACCTCGCCCCGATGAGGAGGCCAAGCCTTTCCCGCTCGAAGCGACCCTGACTGCCCATCAGCGTTGGGTATGGGATTGCGCTTTCAGCGCGGACTCGGCGTATCTTGTCACTGCCTGCTCCGACCATTATGCGCGGTTGTGGGAGGTCAGTGGTCAACAGATCATCCGCCAATACAACGGGCATCATCGCGGAGCCGTCTGCGTGGCGCTCAATGATTACTCTGAGACGCGCTGACCGGAAGGAGGGTAATTCTGTTGATGAACGTGGCCAAGAGTCGACAATACGCAGCAGCCAGGTCAGGTTGCCCGAACGCGGAAGCCTACGTGGCTACTGCACCCGACGCAACTGTCGACAGCCCACAGCATATCTACCTGCGAGGCTGCGACTCAGGCGAGCCCTTCAAAATACGAACGAACCAAAGATCATGCGGAAGCGTGAGATATGTATCCCGACCATGCTGAACTGCGGCGCCGCTGAGACAGGGATGGACGGACAGACGATTGTTGGATAACTAAGGGGGCTGCAAGGCGCATTCTCCTATCTGGTGTGGACATAATGGTGTCCTTGAACTAGCGACACGGGTGTAAGCTGGCGAGAAGAGAGCGCCGCCAAAGACTTGGCATGATTCGGCCAAGACACCCGCATCGCGGATGGCCGCTCGTGCGAGGCAAGCTATGACCAGGTCTAGAGTCCTTGAGACCGTATTAATGCCGGCGTTGTGCTGCGGCCTGTGATAGAGATGGACAGCATCAAGGCGCATGTGGGAGTGTCGGGTCATCGGCGCATATGTTGGAGAGGAAATGTCAGCTCGAGAGAAGGGCGGATGTTACATGCTGGTCAGATGGGCGGCAATGTGGATTGCAAATGCTATCACAGCCTGACAAATGCTGGTTGATAATGTTGTTACATGTTGCGCCTTGTGACTGTAGGGTGATCATTATATTAAGATGTACTACTAACGTAATGTGTATGGCAGAAAAGAGCTTTCTTGCTTGGCCTCGAGAGCGGATAGCTTCCGACGTTATCACATGATCATCATGGCAAAGCACTGAAGACGCGGAAGGCGCCACTGTGAAGGCCTTGCGGACCTTGGCTCTTGCTGGAAGCGCAGCTTATTACTTTAAGGTACCTGGGAATCAACCGCCACTCGATGCTGAACTAAAACATCATTGCTACCTTGACATAATTAACCACTATCTAATCCTCAAAGCTCTCGACAAATAACCTTATCATCAAAGCCTACATCTCTATCAATTGCTCCAACGGACGTACGCCGACCACCCGAGGCTAGCCTACGCTGTACTGCCAGAATGGCGGCACGGTGATGGTGCAATACCGCCTCGCGCACCACCGACACCACGGTAAGCGCCGAACCACAAGGAATGTCCGCTGCTGTACTCCGCAACGTGAGGGAGCATTGACGATCTGACCGCATGGGAGATGACAATTGGAGCTGATTCGATTTCTAAGCCGACTTGACGGCCCCCAGTAACGCGTGCCTCGAGGCTCCACCTCGGATTTCTAGAACAGTGATTCATTCCGCTATCGATGCGACATTAAAAAAAACCAAGTCCTCCATATCAAGCTCTACAGGTGTGGGATGCAATAAGTGGCACATTCTGACGCCTCCATCACGCAATCTGGACGAGCACCATCTGCTCAAGGTGTTCTGTCTTGTGAGGCATTCCTACTTTTGACCAGGTCGCCTAGATCCGGGAATCTGGTGAGCCTTATTCGACGTCAGTCTAGTAGCGCGGGGTTCAATTCGGCATCTTGTCGCGACTCGCCAGCACTGGTCAGTCCAGTCAATCCGCCCATATACGCATGCGGATAACGAGCCGCGCGAGCACTTTTTGACCGCGACGGACGTCAAGTCTACTTCAACCACCATACCTCTTTTGTTTTCGGTCTCCAGTCCGTCAGAGTTTCTCCAGATTTGCTAGGGATAGACTGACCGGATTGTGGGAGCAGAGTGGTGACGCGAGCGCATGTGAAATTTTGCTCATTAGACCTTGGCGCTTGTCACGCCTGATTCTAATTTTCATTTTTTGGTCCCGAACCGCGTCTCAGGCGTGGAATGAGGAGAGTGCCTCAATGGGTCTTTTGTGAGTATATCATCCGGCAACGTCAGTGAACAGCTGCTTACATGCTGCAGAGCGCTGGGTACAGCCCTGGACTGGCCAGAGGCCAAGAAGAGAGCGCAGCAGGTCAGAGAATGGGGCATCCTGCAACTCCTGGAGATATGGAACAAGGCCAAGGGAAAGGAGCGTGACGCTCTTCTCTGGGGCGATGAGGTCAGTGAAAGTGCCATTCCCAACAAGCCGGACGCATGGCTGACCAGTCACTGTAGGTCGAATATCTCGTTGTGCTATACGAAAAGGAGGGGTCCAAGGTGCTCCTGTCTTTGCGGCAAGCCGAGATTCTTGATGCACTTGCTTGCGATGCCGAGCTTGCGAAGAAGGGTGGATGCACAGCCGAAGGGCAGGACGCGGAACTCAAGCAGACTCAGTGAGTTGCCGATGATGATGGAAGAATCGTGAACACTAACCTGGATAGGTCCAAGCCCGTGCCGGTATTCCATCCTGAATTCGGAAGGTTCATGCTGGAGGCGACGCCAGGAAAGCCCTGGGGAATAGGATTCAAAGAGCTCCTGGGCGTCGAACCTGACATGAAGCTGCGCAGAAGGATCGCCAAGGAACACATGCTACCCACCGAGTACCCCATCACTCTCACCACATTCCCGCGCATCGGCAGCCCAGGACAGTTCACATTTCCAGAATACCCCGTCTCTGGGCCGAGGCTGCGGTCGCAATTCGTGCCGGACGAGATTGCGAACCCTCATATTCGCTTCCCCACGTTAGCCGCCAACATTCGATCCCGTCGAGGCCGCAAAGTGCAGGTCAACGTACCCGTGTTCCACGACAAGAACACACCAAAGCCGTGGAAAGACCCAACGGTTGACTTTGACCTTCACCAGTGGCCCGAGGACGACGATGTGCGCAACGGCGCCGCGCCGGATGACCATATCCACATGGATGCCATGGCGTTCGGAATGGGAAGCTGCTGCTTGCAGATCACGTTCCAGGCCAAGAACATTACAGAGGGACGACAAATGTACGACCAGTTGAGCCCACTGGGACCCATCATGCTGGCTCTCACAGCAGCCACACCGGTATACAAGGGCTTCTTGGCCAACACAGATGTCCGATGGAACCAGATATCTAACTCGGTCGACTGCAGAACACCCGAAGAGCTGGGTGAGAAGGTAAGATTGCCTGGGCTTCCCTGGAAGAACGGCCGTGCTGACTGATGTAGCCTCTGAAGAATGACCGGTGGCGGATTCCCAAGTCGCGTTATGCTTCCAACTCAACGTACATTGCCGAAGATGCCCGGTTACGACCAGAATATTTGGATCCCGATTTGGTGTTTGATCCTGAAATCAAGCAGACATTGATGGACGGCGGTATGGACGACCTGTTGGCAACTCACTTTGCTCATCTATTTATCCGCGACCCCATTGTCATCTTTGCGGAGGACTTGCTGGAGCTCGACTTGAAGAAGACGGACCATTTCGAGAATATTCAATCCACGAACTGGCAACACATGCGGTTCAAGCCACCACCGGCGGACAACAGCATTGGGTGGCGCGTCGAGTTCCGCTCGATGGAGATCCAAATCACGGACTTTGAGAATGCTGCGTTCTCCGTCTTCATGGTATTGGTCACGAGGGCGATTCTGTCATTTGATCTCAACTTTTACGTGCCCATCAAGCGGGTGGACGAGAACATGGAGAGAGCACACGCCTTGGATGGCGTGCTTCGAGAAAAGTTCTTTTTCCGCAAGAACCCATTCCCGGCACGGCCATCGCGAGCTAATACCGTGTTCGGTGACGATAGTCGGCCTGGGTCTGCCATGCCCAGCCGTCCAGCATCGCCAGGTCTGGTAGAGGACGAGTACGAAGAGATGACGGTCAACGAGATCATCAACGGTTCGATGGACGGCGAATTTCCCGGGTTGGTTCCCATTGTGGAGAGCTATCTCGACAGCGTCAATGTCGATGTCGAGACGCGCTGTGAGTTGGCGACCTACCTCGATCTCATCAGCAAACGCGCGAGTGGCGAGCTCGACACGACCGCCCGCTGGATGCGCAACTTTATCGCGGCGCATCCCAACTACAAGCAAGACAGTGTGGTCGACGAAAAGATCACGCACGACCTCGTTGGGGCGGCCATTGCGATTGGCGAGCGGGAGAATGAGGGTCGGAACTTTGCTGGTCTCGGGATCCCCGGTCTTCCCAAGCTGCTGGGCAAGTTCCGAGGGGGCTGCGGAGGCGGTGATGAGAATGGCGCGACCCCAGACGTCGACGGGTCGCCAGCTGAGACCAGGAAGCGTAAGAGCGACTGGATCGAGGATGGCACAGGTGCCAGCTGAGCGTGTGCGTGTGTGTGGCGATGGAGTCATTGATGGTGGCCGAGCGGGTGGTCGGACGGACGAGCGAGCGAGTCGCGGTGCATTACCTGGGTACTAAACAACATTGCCTAAAGCATACATACGATATGGAGTATCATGACATCAAGGGGTCTTTCTGCTGTGTGAGGTCGTGCCCCGTGCCATGACCTGACCAGCCGCATCGCGCTCAAGCCCTCGTGGCGCCCGCTATCGATGGCATTGCATGGCATCGCGTGGCGGGCATTGTACTTGCGTTTCTCGGCCGCTGGTGCATGCGCTATACGTACGTGCATGCACGAGGGTATCTAGATCGGCGTGCATAGCGCACGATCATGGCCAGCACATGGAACTACTAGTTCATCACGAGCACATGGCCCCAGACGCAAGCCTCGTTGCCACGATCCCAATCCCATCACGGTTCAACCCACCCATGGCCGAGACACGGGACAGGCGGCTGAGGCGCTGGGCTGCGCGATCCATGTCGTCGGGTAGGTTTGTATCGTGGCACGATCGTCCGTGTCTCTCTTTTCTTCTGTAGATAGCCCTTGCTGTCTGTGATAGTGACGAGTCTCACTCTTGTCGTTGCAGCGAGGTCCAGCCTGCCGCGTCCCAAGACGCGACGTGTTTCTCTGTCTGCGGGCGTATCAATAAGGTGGTACGTACGGAGATAGTATGTGGTAGTAGTGCGTATGTGCATTCCTTAGACTCGTAGATCGCCTCGTGGCCCTGTCTGTCCCGCCGTCCTTAGTCTCTGTACTAACAGGCACTTCATGCAAGGCGCTTTCTAGACTAATGCGGACATTATGCCATGAGATACTACTAGTGAGCTAGGCTAAATACTTCTGCGCTGTCTGCACACGCATTACCACAAGAAGAACGGTGGGGTAATGTCAATTGAGGGTGGATGACGAGTGAGTGAGTGAGTGAGTGATTCCGCGAGAAGGACGTGGAAGTTTAGCCAAGGAACATGAAGGATGAGGAGAGAAGAGGGGGTGGGAAACGTGCCCATCCGATCGGACCGAGATGGCGGAGGGAGGGAGATCTATCTGTTGATCTTTTAATCATCTCATGGCAGATTCACCGTTTCGCGAATCAACAATTGATGGTTTTCGCCAGCATTCGTGCAGCTCGCGCTCCCACCCCATTCCGTGCATGCCTAGCCCGCCCGTCGTCATCAACCACGACCCTAGAACGATTCTTCCTTTCTTTCTTTTCTTCTCCTTTTCTTTGGCTTCCCGCCCTGCGCCAGGGTTCTCTAGTGGCATCATATAGCGCCGGGGGAAGGACACCGCTTCCGGCGTGTTTGACAGGTCCAGTTGAGCTCTAGTAGGCTAGTCTACCTAAACTCGAGAACCCTTTTTGTCTCTCCTTTGCGACCATGCTTGTTGCTCTCCCTACCGACATCGTAATCGCTAATATGGGCTTTGGCAGAGCCAAGGTGAGACGTACAGTATTCTGTAGGCCGAGGATGAACCCCGGATAGTCCTCGTCCTCCATCCTCCTCCTGGTTAGCTGCATGGCAGATCAGGTCGCGCCATCTCTGGGTACTACGTACTTCTAGTCTCGTTAGTCGATGCGAGGATCACGTCCGTCCCACATTGCCAAGATTCCACCACTGCTTGTTCTGTCGTTGCTTTTTCGTGTAGATTTTTTTCATTTCGTAGACGTAAGATCCGTAATGATTCCCCCCGTCTTCGGTACATTGGCTTGAACCCACAGTGCCCCAACCAAGGGTTCACCGTGACATGTGCTAATTAAGCACGAGCCTCTGAAGTTCGACACACGATGGACTGTGGATGGGATAGGCACTACTACTACCTTCAGTAAGCTCATGGCGAGTACTGTACCAAAGGGTACGCAAGCAACAGCGCCTGGCGTCGATATATCGCCGTGTGACATGCACGTGAACTACACGTACACGTATAAACCAGCCTACGGAGTACGACATGTACTGCTCGCTGTCCCTCGCCTCCACCCACTTTACGAGATCGTGCCGGCCGGCCGCCGCCATGCCATGTGCCGAGTGCGATAGAATAGAGGGGACCGCGCACAAGACGCTGGGACAAAGTGGTCTGAGACATGACAAGCTTTTGGTCATTGTATTTATACTCGCTCCAATCGCCATGCGGTCATGCAGCCAAGCAAGACTGCAAGAGAGTGAGTCCCTGTGATCCCACCGCCAGCATTCCTCGTCGAGGCGTCGTGGGGAATACCATCAATTATACCATATGATTATGTACTAGGTACCACGAGCATGTCTGGCGCGCCAACGGCGGCAGAAAAAAGGAGAAGTAGTACCACGGTGCTTCGTCGAATTCCTGGGTTGCCATTGCGAGACATGTGTCCGCCAAGACGTCCCGTGCGGGCGGTACGTAGCGAGATTTTGTCCAAATTATACCTTTTCTTCTCTTGCTGTCTATGATAACGCCTCCGTTGTTGGCAAGTCTTCCGGCCTGCCTGAACACCCCTTGTAAACCCCAATGTCGCCTCAAACTGGATCCATCGTGGTCCTGGTATGTCCAAAAAGTAGTAGAAAAATAAACAAAACATTGGCTCCTTGCCCAGCACTGAATCAGCCCCATGTAATCAATCCCCCCAAACGCCATTGATGCTGCCTCCTTGGGTTTGACCGCAGGAATGCCAATTCCCCGCGTATATACAGCTGATAACCCGCGACCCGATCCCATGTCTATAGTTGGAAAACTGAAAATCCACCCGCCTGTCCATTCCATTTTGCGTGACAATTGGTCCCAGCCGTGATGATGGCTTGGTGCTTGTAGTGCGGCGCATGTCAACGCCATGCCCCCAAGCGGGAATCCCTGTCAGTTGCCTGCGTCCACTGTCGCGGCAATCGTTCGTTGTTCTATAAGCCTTTTCCTCTCCAGTTTGGCATAGTGTAGCCCACACGCATTGCACAGAGTCCTCGCGCCGTCCGGACCCCGTCGCCACTCAGGGGTGTCGACGCGGTTGCAGCTGTGACATCTGCCGGGAGGCGCAACGCGCTGCAAGAAATTGTCAGCAACTGGGTCTTTCCATCCATGGACAAAGTGTCTCAACGTACTCCTCGCTTGCGTTTCTCGGGAAGGACTGATTGGTGGTTGAACTTCATGCTCTCTTCGTACACCGCGGCATCGTGGTCTTCGGCATATGGCCTCCGCGGGGGTTGCTCGCGATTCCGTATGGCATTGTACATGACATGCTTCACGCTGTCCAGGTCTGCCTTGATGGCGTCCACGTAGCTGACAACATCGTTGATCTCTTTCTCGGTAGGCATTCGTTCGGGCATCGGATGACTGCCATGCTCTTCGCGGGCAATCCCGCTATAGGATTCGGCGAAATTGAGCAGTGTCTTGGCGTGATTGGCCATCTGTGAGCTTGTTAGCCAGATAGTCCCGCGAGCGAGACCGCCAAGCAAGCGATTGGTGGTACGTACCCGAGCAAGACCCTCTCTGTACACTATGGTGTCGGAGTAAGGAGCGCCGTCATATTCCACCCGGTTGACCCTGTCGTGACCCTCGTGTTGTGGTTGCTGACGATGCTCATACGATTCGTAAGCCATATGTGTTTGTCTCGGGGACTGAAAGGGAGGCAAAGGCAACTGCCCAGGCGGCGGAGGCCCGGTAGGGTACCCAGCTGCGGCGGAGGGCATGTGTTGCGGCGGGCCTGGTGGTTGGGGATGCTGGTATACACCGTTCAGCGGCTGCCGGGGGTCTTTCTGCGGTTCGTTCCCATATGAATGCGTCGCTTCATGGTGTTGAGGCGGGCTTGGCCGCCTACTAGGGACAGGTGGTAGTGTAGGCCTCCCACTCAGCGCCGGTCGGGGCGATTCGGCAAAGGAGGGCAGAGGTTCTTGTCGAGGGGTGTATGCGGACGCGGAACGCATATGTTGCGGCGATGTATGTTTGCTGCTGCTGTCCGCGTACGACCGCAGTGACCCCGGGGGTGCGTATGGCGATGGGAAATTGGTGCCTGGCTGTATCGAAGTCGCAGGCGGAGCGGGACCTGCAGAAGGTGGATGGGGCCGTGGATAGTCGGGATTCTTGTTGATGACTTCGGACAGGGACGGCAGCGCTTGTCGTTTTGCGGTCTCGCTCGGCTCGAGGCCATCGCCTCGGCGTGCGTCCGCCAAGGGCATCATGCCATCAGGTTGGTTCGTATACGTCGAGGAGTAGGATGGAGTGGGCGGGTAGGCAGCGCCAGGCTGTAGGACGGTCGCCGTGGCCGTGGCCATGGCAGGACGGTCTTGGTGCGAGCGCTCGGGGCCGTCACAATATTGCGGATGTTGACGCGACGGGGCTTGCGGTGGTGGTGGCTGTGGGCGAAGTTTCTCTGGGGGTTGCTTTTGTGCGTGGGCGACTGCGGGAATCGTTGCGCTACGTGCAAAACAGCATGTTAGTTTCTGGCATGGGAAGAACAAAATGTGAGTCAGGGAGGGACGGCAGCCAAGAGAGGAGGGTTCGGTCCAAGGCAAGTACAATTGCGACTCTTGTCGCAGACGAGGACATACCTATTGTGCCAGGCAGGTGCAGACCCAGGCTCAGCTGCTTCCATGGCGTGTCTCCCGAGTGACGATGCGTTGTCGAGAAGTTGTACTGGGTGGACTCGAGGAGGCTCGAGGCATTGGTCGTCTAGAAACGACGGGTTGACAGGCGGACGTAGTCGCGCGCGAGTCGTTTCAAGGTCGATGGCGGCAATGGCCAGTATCGATGCGGAGTGCACGTGTGGAATGCTGGCACACGATACCCATCGAATCAATGCAGACACGAAGGAGCCCAGTGCCTAATAAAATGAGGTACCGCGCAGTAGGAGTGCGAGGTTGGTGTGCGAAGTTGAAATAGGATTGTCTCGTTTGGTCTTGCGGGCGGCGGGCAAGACAGGACAGGACAGGACAGGGCAGAACCAGGTTGATAAAGCAGAAAGCTAGAGCGGCACCGAAGAATGGACTTTGTGCGCTTGCTGTAACTGGTCGTAGCCAGACACCAGATCTGGCGCACTTGCAAGATGTGAGTGCAGTTTGAGATCTGGTTCTGGGGCGGACAGGCCCAGGCGACTGGATTGTTGCTGGTGGTGCCAGGTGGTGAGGTAAGCCGCTGGCAAAATTTAAGGCAGCGCGAGATTGAGCGAGGCCCGGCCGACTGAACAGAAGGGAACGGGGACTGGAGTGCCTAGGCTAGATAGATAGCGTGAGGGAATCCGACCAGGCGCGAATCGTCCTTGGGTCGACGACAGGCGGGCAAAATGGGCAAGGACACTCGCTCGAGCGAGCAGCGAGGGATGACGGGAGGTGAATGAAGAAGCGATCCGGCTGTTGTCGAGGGCAAAGGATGGACAGATGGATGGATGGGCGGACGGGTGATGAGAGCGAGACTGACAGCCACACACGGATGGAGACGAGACGCACCGAGTACAGTACAGTTAGGTACGTTGCGACATCGACCCGGGCCACGCTGCGGTCAGGGTGGAGGGTGGGCAAGATCTGACGCGCGATCAAATCAATGGGACGATGGTGGACTAGAGGTGGGCCCCCCACCCAGTCCGGCCTAGCCTGACCCTAGCCTAAGTCAGCCTGGGGCCCTGAGCCTGCCCGTCGTGCGATTAGTGCGCTCGTGCGCGCGTGCGATGCCGCCGCGCGCGGGTGGGCCCAATCACTGCTGCCCGGCCAGGCCCTTGCTGGAGTGGTTGCGAACTGTGAGGTCCAGTCAGGTCCTACTACGGATATGTACTGGCAACCCAAGGCACAATAATAAGTCGTACGTAGCGTTCGCAGTGTGCAGCGCGCGTTCCCTGGGGCAACCCTGAAGCCAGACGTGGGCAGTGCGTCGCGTGGTACCAACCAGACTAGGATACGGGACTGCACCCAATGCCGCCTCGTTCGGCGTCGTGGCTGGATCTGGACGAGTCATTGCTAAGCACTTAATCAATCGATCAGAATTGCTCGTACGATTCTCTCCGTTCCGCTGTGGTCTCCACCTGACCTCGCACTGCACTTGTGCCAGGTGCCACTGGCTAGCGGCCACTCACTCGACCTCAGGGGGGGAGGGAAGAATGAACCCCGTCCACAGCTAACAGGGCGGGCGGCCCCCAGTCCTGTGCCCAGGCTCCCCACCTTTGTTCGTTTTTGTTGTCGTCGCATGCTTCTTGCAACAGACATGACCGCGAGACAACCCGACAAACTTCGCGGATGGGATGGGCCAGACTATTATGTCAGTCAAGCGTGCTGCACATGCAGAAGTCTGACACGGTTGGCCAAGCAAGTAGGTGCGTGGGCTGCGACGTGGTATCACCAATGCATCTTGTGTACATAAGGGCCAACAGAAGAGACACACAGCCAAGATCATAACCACGCAGCACAACAAACAGACGGCAGAGATTGGTCTGGTCAAGGGGGTGTGGGTGTCCGATCTGACATGTCCAGAGAGTTGAGATGCGATGGAGCCATTGCAGGACGGACGGGAGACTGGAGTTCAGATTTGATGGATCGCCGGCCGTGGCTCGATTGGGCCCATCTGGATCAAGTTCTTGAGGGGGGCCGACAACGCACCACCCCTGACGCCTCTGAGGCTACGTAATGCTCGTGTGTACGGCACCGTGAATAGTAGTTAAATACCTGACCACGTCCTCCCAGTGATAGCAGCGGGAAGTACTTGTTGCTGCTAGTCTAGTAACGTAGTCCTTAATCGTGATCGCACCCGCGCCAGAAGGAGTTCCCTTTTTGGACCGTTAGAAGTCTAAAACGTAGGGTATAGAAAAAAAGGGACGCGACTGTGAACCATACTCGACACAATTCCGCACCACACCGGCATTACTTGCGATATTAAACCAGCTTCGCCGCTGCCACGTGCGATTGCGATGTACTGTCGGTAAGTCGGCGTATACTCAGGAAACCAAGTACGTACGGGGCACATGCGTCAGTAGGCAGCGCGTTCTGTGCTTCTCCAGGACACCAGGCAGGCTGTGCCGTGAGCGACGTGAGGCGAGGCTAATACCTCGTGGCGGAGCGCAACATTTGGCGTGCGGTGTCAAAGGGCAAGGAAGGCTGGTCTTGTTGTTTCGCACTCGGTTCTCGATGCCAACATAAGATGCCGAATAACTTACCTGGCTTGACGGGATGAGCCTCCAGACCTTAATATTACACCGAGTCTCGAGAACCAACGCCTGTCTCCTGTCCCCAGTCGATTCTGCCCGCGCCCGCCGCGGCTTTGTGAGTTGTGATCAATATGGGCAGCTGAGAATAATGATTACGTGGTGCTCCCTCCCAGCCCCCCCCCCCCAGCACGGGGCCTCGCGAAATGATAGCAGTCTAGGACCCCGGCCCGCTTGATCGGGTCACTGCCGCTGTATCAAATGCAATCGGCCGCAAGGGCTGCGGAAGGTGGTGTAGAAGGTTGGCCGCTGATTTGCTCCCTCTACGCCCGCATGAGGAGGGCTGCTCACATAAGTAATTACACACGTACGTCTAATAAGTTACCTATTAGTCGGCTGCATCTACCGTACCTGTACACAGAATTCGGTTCTATGTCACGATGCATGCACGATGGTGTCGCAGGTCATCACGACAAGCTCCCGATCCCATGCGTGCCCACGTTGTGGGTGCGGGTGAGATCCTCCATCGGACCATCATAGATGTAGCTCGTCGAACCACAAGCCGACCGCAACGGAACTGTTCCAGTCTGCACTCGGGCGGATGCCCCGTCGATTCCGTCATCAGCGCGCGGTGCCAATTGCAAATCTGCCTAAGGCGACGCAGGCCCGTGACAGTCGTCTTCTGGCTGGCTTTATTAGACTCAGCTAATAGGTGGTCTGCACGACGCCAGTCCCATTAAGCCTTGGTGCAGAGGGTCAGTTCTTCCCCAAGGTACTAGGCAAGACCCTGGAGTTGAAATTGAAAGCGGCCCCAGCCGTCGATGTCATCTAGGAAGTAAGATGGTGTCGCAGCAACGTTCGCCAACCATGTCCAGGCAGGCGAACACCATCCAGGGCTCTCCGTATTGCTGAAAACACGGTGGCGGAAAACGTTCTGTTCAGTGCGCTGTGATAGCCTGTGACGGGATACGTATTCCCTCTGGTTCTCACGAGATTCACGCTGAAGGTCTGTCCAGGGTATGGCTATACGTCATGCAGGGCCCGCCCTTGGAGGGACTAGAGCCCGCTCGCTATTATTCCCACTGGGCCACTAATTACACATAAGCAGTAATCAGATCGTGACATTGCGGGCAAAACTCGTGCCCAAACGAACGGGGCTGAGCTGGATGGGCCCGGAAAAGAACTCACTTGGTCCGTACGCCGTACACCGGTCTTCGGGAGACACTCTGCGGTCCAGTCATTGCTGCGAGATGTTGCACTGTAGCAGGTACAATGTACTTCCAGTATCTCGGATATTTTTCCAGGAAGTTGCGCCGGGTCCCCGGCCGATCGATCTTGCCCCGTGCCGTTTGACAAGATTACACGAGGTTGTATCATGAGTGTCTGCAAATCTGGATTCAGGACCGTCGCACTGTCAGACTCCAGATGCCTGACAGGCCTGATCAGTAGCGCAATCAGCCAGTCGATCAACATTATCAAGGGCTCCGCCGGCAGACTCGTACATGGACATGGTATCATGGAGACATGGGAACCGCTCAGCATGGGGCCACGGGTACCCCCCAGAGAGTCCATTGCATTTTGGTCACATTTCAGACAACCACAAATGGCGCTTTTATTAGGGATCATCAAGTCTCGAGTCTTGTAAGCTTACTAGTAGTATACAGTGCATCCTACTACGTACTACGTACGTACGCGCGCGGACAGCCAAGTTACTCCGCGTTTACAAGAGAAGGAACGTTCCTGCTGTGTCACCTGGACGTATGGACTGACTGGACCTACCATCCGCGAGAACAGAACAACCGATTTTGGAACTGACAAGCTCTTGCGCTTGATTCGTTGAGAGCTTGCCTACCAGGCAGTAATTAACCCATCCACAAATCACAATTCGTTCGGGGGGGCGCTGGGTCGATGTCAGAATAATCAGATCCTTCACCGATGCGCGAGCTGTCACATATCACATTGCAGCGTGCGAGCACAGCATCTAACCGAGATGACAGCAACATCCACTATCCAGTCACTTGTTAGCGTTGTCACTGTCGGTATGGCAGTCGCTGTCAACGACTGGAGTCGCATCGGCTCCGCATGCCTCCGCCGATCAAGCACCTCGACCCCGACGGGCGCCCGGTTCGACCTTACGTATCAGTAATTAGGCTGGCTGGCAGGGTGACTTGATCAATGGCTTGCACAGTGAGCATTTGTTGCCTAGAAGTATACGTAGGCACTGCAGTACTATTCTTGAGAGTCAACGATTGCTCATCGTCTGTGACTGGGTGTTGTAGCACTGGCTTAGCCCCAGGCTCGGCACGTGCCTCTTGGCTTTTGCGAGAAGGGGCTCAGAGGATTTCATCTCCTCGAGGTTCGGGCTTCCGTCTCGGACACGACAATCGGACACGACAATCGGACAAAGCAGATGTCTGACTAGTGTCCTCGAGAACAAATGCCGACGAGATCAATCGCCCTGCATCATGGTGGGGGGGGGGGGGGGGGGGGTTCCGGATGGTGAGCAGGCTCGCAGCGAAGTATTGACCACCGGGGCCCTGATCCCTGTTGACAGCCAGATGCCAAAGCCGCAAGCCAATGGTACGCGTGCAAAACGCGCCTTGAGTCTTGACAGACGACACTATCCACCTGTGCAGGCCGACACCAGACTTCATGTCTCGGCCAAGCCTTGTCGACGATTGGCGATGGCGGCGAGCAGGGCTTGGGCCACATTGGCATCCAACGAACCGGGGCCTTGTCTGAAGTACGTACAGGCTTGTACGAGGAGGTAATTTATTGGCGATTTTGTTGGGCCAAGGTTGGCAGCAAAAGGGGTCACTGCTGTGCCCCGTGGCCTGGGACGTCTCGATCCCTCCCGACGTCTTGCGCGCGCAACGAGTGCACGGTGATCGAGTCCTCACTATCCGCAGACTCGACCACTCGAGCGCTATATCGTCCGTGACCGAAGCCTTGCCTTCATACTGCAGCCATCTCGGAAGAAAACGTGCTGTCAGGTCGTGAGGCGCATTTTGGGCAGGAAATCCCTGTCATCCAGATCTGGCATCTTGCTCCCCATCTCGGACTCTATCTGCAATGTGCTGATGAGTCGGACAGCCATCGTGCAGAAAGAGGAACAAAGGTCCCGGCAAGATCTGTTCTGGGGCTGCCTCGTCCGCAGATTCGTTCACGCTCCATGCAAAATGCGTGGGCAAGAGGGATTGGCAGAGATGCACGAACACCCGGATGCTCACCTCCCGAGCTTTGGCGCCCGAGGAAATATGCAGGTCTCCATCGGCACTAATTATGTGACAGCTCCTGGGAGTGCGACAATGCGGCTGTCTGCACGCTGGCCTTGTTCGAGTCACAACGGAAGAAGAAGAGGCCGACAGTACCCTCCAACGCTTGTGGCATATCACCATTGGAGTTGGAGTCCGGATAGCCATGAAGAACCAAATGGGCTCGGGTATAGCGCGGCAGCACGCAGTAGCGGCCGTTGAGAAGAGTCCCTTGCGCTATCGAGTCCTGGGAAGGGGAGGCCGACTACAATTACTCCAACAACACATCTTACACTCATTCTTAGTGTCGGATAGCTCAGATGCATCTCCGCGCGCCAGTCCGTCTGCCGGCCTGCGGACTTCGCAAGAACGAGCATCTCTCGTCGGATGGCTCTTGTCTGATTCATCACTAGTACACGCTAACAAGATGGTGGCTGATGGTCCGCAGAGCAAGATCTGCCAACATGCAGAAGAGAATGTCTCAGGTCAAGGCACGCACGTCAGGCAGAGACCGCCGCGAGGACCCTGAAAAGCTTACAAGGGGCAACGAGCGCGTACATCTTCGTCGTCTTCGACGGCCCGTAATATGGCGCAGCGTTTTCCGTTCATGAACGGATTCGGAGCCGTGCCTATCAATTATTGATTTTCACTGAGTTGAGCTCAAAATTGGGTGAATACATAGGCAGTAGGCTGATTCTGGCACTCTCACGTGTGAGGTTGGACCCCTGGCTCGTGATCGACAATTTTGGGCGCCGAGGGGCCAATTTGTGCCTGAACATGTACAGTTGCATCGGCGGCGGTGGGAGAGGTGAGCGGAGATGCACGCTGCAGGGTATATCGTAGATCCATCGAGATGAGATCTCCCTCGCTTGTGCATTTCGCCACTGGCTGATCGATGAGGGGCGTACATACTACATACCGGTACTTGATGTCGTCCACAACAGCCAGCCGTCGGCTTGCCAGACTTCCGCAGGTCAACAGACAGACAGAAGGGCGATCTCTACGCACGCCTCACGAAGCCTTTCCGCATGTCTCTGCCGTTGGTGATTAGTACATACTAGCCCAGCATCCATCTCACGCCACCTGACCGTCAACCCCATCAGATGATTTTGAATCCTGACCCGCTCACCTGCCTCAGCTTCAATCCACGGCAAGAAAAGAATTGGAGATGGTCGACGGCAAAAGTGTCTGCCGACTCTGCCCTTGACTCGATCGGGAGTCGGAACTGTAGATTACTCGTTTGGCAACTGGCTACTGCCAGTGTCATGAATGGAGCAGCGGCTCTGCAGGGTAACCATAACCTAAAAGACGTCGTCCTGCGTCCACTACGTATCCGTAGCATCCCGCTCATTCCGCATTTCCCGTTCATGTTTGTTGAAAACACAGTTCTTCTTCTCATTGAATAAAGAGGGTCCATGCTCGTCTGTTATTCCTGAACTGGAGCTCATCTGACTGGACGTGGAAGTACTGGCAATCTGTGCCTCCTTGTCGTTTTCTTCCCCGTTGTTGGAACATAAAGCTCTTGCTATCGCCACATAAGAGACGAGGGTGGCCAGAGAGGTTGAGGACTTGAGATGACCGACCGAGGAGCTCGCGCTTAGTATAGGCGTGTCACATCGCCCGTGTATAATCAGGTGGGCGAATTAGTGTATACCTGTTCTTGTATCTGTTCTGGAACGAACAACGAAGGAGGTGTGAGCCATCCGAACAGACCCCATAACACCCATCCGACCACTTGGATGTGAGAGAGGGTATGAATTATGCGTGGAACTGCTACGGTTCTATGAAGACTTGTGATAAAATAGTGCGTCGCCCTTCCATGAGTGAAGTCGTCTATGGAGATCGCGAGTGTACGCCAGCTGCTATAGCCCATTCCGGCGGCATGTTACACTTTGGGAACACGGGATATATGCACCAATCTTTTCGCAGAGAGGAGAAAACGGTGCCTGCTATTTTTCCGTTCATTTCGGTCATGCTCGTGCACATATAAACAGGCGTCGAGCGGCGTGTCGGGCTGTGTATCCAAATCTACCGTTGCTCGCTCGACAGGACAACATTCTTCCCACCGTCCGCATAAAAGGCATATGTTGACATAGATTTCAGAATATAGTTTGAACACTGGCGTACACAGAGGCGATTTTGAGATTGAACAGAGGGCTCGACCCCTGGATCGACAACTTGTGCACTGGACTACACCGAGCAGCTTGTGGACCAAAGCAATCATTAGAAGCTGTGTTTGCAGAGAGTAAGACAGTGGTGCTTTCAGCGTGCCCATATTACCCTCCGCAGCTCGCAAGGCGCAGGGCACAGGCACAGATCCAGGACACAAATGTCAAGTGATGCCGCGACTGGCGCTCTTCTTGGCCCCATGGCTTGGGCTGTGGTTGATAGTGGCGCGCAACTGATGTGGCCTCTAGTACGTAGCGGCTCCCACAAGACAAGGCTCTGTTCGTCAGCCGCCAGTCTCATGCAGGCAGAGGCTGTGGCCCACGAAGTCTTTGCCTACTCACCCTGCCAGGGGGCCAGCGTCACATTCACCACACATCCGAAGGTCTTCGGCCCCTTCAGTATCAGACATACAGAGGCCCAGCCCGCGTGCAGCATGGCCAGCAGCCAAGAGATAGAAGTAATAGATGTATGCATTCGTAGCTCAGACGCCTAGGTATCATTAAACAAATCGACGTGCTTGGCCGCCCGTCCGAAACACATAAAAAAACACCCCCTGTCTTTCGTCTCGTGCGGCGAGAGATATCCAACACACCGCCTCCCGAGATCCATGCAATCGTGTCTGATGTGTATACTATGCAGACTCCATCCTTCATCGCATGCAGGCCGAAGCGCATCGGCTTTCTTTGTGAAGCGTGACATGACTCCTGCCCGACCTGCGTCATCCATCGTGCGGTGGCTGGGGGCAATGTTTGCCGGCCTGGTCGTCAGGAGGATGACGCCTCCTGTATAAATTCTCCAGAGCCTTAGTTCAGGCTGCGCGATTGGTTAGTACATACTATATGTCTTCAAACAGAGGAAATTGATAAGAGTCCTCCGGTAAGCCTGATTGTGCTATGCCTGCGCCCAAAGAAAGGGAACAGAGAATGATATGGGAAGAGCCGTCCCCCCCGGCGTCATTGCAATGACAGGGAGGATTTGACCAATATATAGGGGATGTTCCGTGTCGGCGTAGGACCACTTGTCGTAGGGCAGAAGGTGCGCAAGTGTCGTTAGGGGGGCCCTTACAGTATCAACTGCTTCAGATTGCGCTGGATGATCATATCCTGCACCGAGCCCATTGTGATTTTCAAAAGATTCGTATCGGTTGCGTTTGTGAAATGGCCGTAAATCTCCTTCTCCGTGTTGCGGTTGAGTGCGCGGAACTTGTCCAAAAAGTATTTGCTCGCGGCTTTGTAGTCATCTTCGGGACCGTGGTAGTCGGTGAAGCCAAAGTTGGTAATGGGACTCTTTGGCAGCTTCTCGCGGAAAAGATCCATTTTGTTGAGGAAGAGGATAAGGGCAGATTTGGTGAACCAGTGCGAGTTGGCGATGGACTCCCAGAGCATGAGGGCTTCGTTCATTTGGTTCTAGCAGGATCAGCATCAGTGCTTCAGTCGCACACAGCAGGTCACAACTTACACCATCCTTATCCTCCACGAGACATTGATCGTAGCCACTAATCGCGACCAAGAACAGCAAGCAGTTGACGTTCTCAAAGCAATGGATCCACTTCTTTCGCTCCGAACGTTGGCCGCCAACATCGAACATTCGGTATGTAAGCTGCCCCAGATCGAAGATGGTTTCTGTGATGCCGGTCGTCCTTAATCGCGAGCGTAGCAGATCTTGGTCGTTTGGAACGTAGTCTGGCGCCCAAATGCGGTCAATCTCATCCACAAAGCTAGCACAAGTCAGTATGCATGTCGAGTGCCGAGATGAAGCTCCCACTCACTATGCCAAATTGTCGTGCAGGGCATATTCATTGCCCTTTGCAATCGCGGCCTTGACGCCGCCATCGGACCACAGTGCCTTTACAGGCTCCAGAAACTCCAGAGGCATCTGCTCTTGGGCACTGATCTCGCGTTCAACCAAGACCAAAGACATGTTTTTCTGCATTACGGTTAGCCTCGCGCTCAATTCGCCTTATGTCTCACGTCAAGCCTCCGTCCGCTCCGCCAGGCCTCGGGCAAGGCTCGGCCGAGCTGAGTGCGCGGGACAGGGCATTCCGGAGAGGGATATGTCTAACCTCGTTCTCGGGGTCCTCGAATTGAATATTGAGTTCAACCATGGCCTCGTGTATCGTTTTGAAGGACTGCACAATGTTGCTGAAAATAACCGGCTTCCACTCGAGCTTTTCATTCTTGCTGAATCCCTGAGCGTAGATGAGCTTCATCTGCTTGAGAACGGTCGATTTTCCCGATTCGCCAGCTCCTATTAGAAGCACAGTATGTCAGTCACCGCATTGACATTCGCAGGGCTAGAGCCCGCACACGGGCGTGCGTGCGCGCAACATACCGAGCAGTAGCAACTTGACTTCCTTGCTCATCTTCTTCTCGTCCACGCGGAGCTGCTTGTCGATGTCACGCGAGCGGGCGGCGCCAGCATCGCCCTTGTCGCGACTTCCGAAACACATCTTGTATATGTATGGGCTCGTTTCGTGGCAAGGACTCGAAAGTTATACGACGGAGAGGCGCTCGCAGACGGGGGGCCGGACCGGCGAGGTGAGGTCGGTCGGTCGGTCGGTCGGTCGTGGGCGCGCGGTCAATGGATGGGTAGCGACAGCGATTGGAAAAGCCCCTCAATCAGGCCCGACTCGCGCCAGAGGCAGGTCGTACGAGATCGACGGGACACGACGGCTGGCCGAGCAGTGTTGACAGGCGCAGGCGGCAAGTCGCAATCCTTGCCCCAAGAAATTGGAGTGACGAAATCCGTTATTGGTGGTTCGCCCCGGAAATAAAACAATGGATAAAGGCGATAGCCTCTCTGCTGCCGGGTGATTCCACTGGAGATGATGAGCTGAAGCACCTCGTGGCCGGTGGCTGCAGGTGAGACACTACAGCGAATTGTCGGGGACTTGTCGTCTGGGGGGTTAGTGGGCAGCAGAAGCAACGCAAGCAAGGCGGCTGCAGGTGCTTGGAAACGTGAAGAGGAGGAGGGAGGAGGGTGTTGCTGAGGGCCTCCTCTCACCGGGAGCTACAAGACAGACTAGACTGGTCAGAGTGAGAAAAAAAGATACTGACAGCGGGACGGGCAGATGGAGACGGCGCAGAGCCGACAAGTGATGGATCCAGGATGGATGGGTAGTCTGGACTCTGGAAAGGAGGCGAGGTCGCAATCCGGTGCTGTGTTCGGCCGGTGCTGTCGGTATGGAGCAGGCAGACTGATGAGAGAAGACATGATGGACATGGAGTCGAGGGTACGTACGGATGCGTCTCGGGACCAGGACAGGGGCTTGGCCTGGGCGAAACGGTCAGGTTGCGTGCCGCTCCGCTCAGCCAGTGGGGACTGACGGCAAGGTGGTTTGTTGGTGAGAGTGAGATACGCACAACGGCACAAGTAGCGAGGCGCGCGTTGGTAACGAATGGCCTTGTTGAGCTACTATCAGTAAATAGCGTTTCGCACGCGACTCAGGGCCACGAAACGTATTGCAGGCCTGGCCTGGCCTGGCTCAAAAGGCTGAGCTGAGCCTTTGCATTGGGTTTGGCAGTGCAAAGAATTAATTATTTCCGAGGGGCCTGCGGTTCGGTGGATACTGTAGGTGGTGGTCTGTGCGCTCGTGATGTCCAACAGTACGGATGCGGCCTGATGATGAGAAGGTGCACCCCGGACTTTTCTTTCTTGTCGGTTCATGTCATGCCATGCTTTGTATGGATGCTGCTCTCCGTCTCGCAGGCCATTGACGCACCTCATTGACGCATCATGGAACAGTTGCTTGAGCTTCGACGTGTCCTAGATACTTCTCACTTACAGTATGGACAGTAGATACCTTCTATCATCGAATTCCCAACGTCGAGGACTCAAGGCCGACCCGCATCTCAACTCCGGTGGCTCCATCACCCATGAGTCCAGTCCACGTCTCTCTCCTTACTCCTGCACCGACCGGAATGCGCCTGATCCCAGCGCCCACATGTGACGCTCCACATTGGCAGGGTCCTGAAACCGATTGCTGCTCGCGTCCAATTACGCAGCCGCTGCAGATTCTACAATCTTTACGGCATTTTCGACATGAATCACGATGCTTACTTTTATGAGCCAACTCGAGCCCAATTCCCTGGGAGCGCGCTTGCTTGTCGTCCGAGTTACGGATACGGAGTACGGTAACTAGTAATTACTTGGCCATGTGGAATGTAACGCCAAAGCTTCAAACCCCGGCGCAAAAATCGCCAAAGTCTTTCGGAGGTTTGTAATGAACTGTGCGGGCATAAGTCAGCAAACCTACGAGAGCCGCTAGTTTAGCGGTGCATGACAAAGCTCCATGCGAGTCAGTCCCTTGGCCGGGGAAAGCGTCTGAGCCGTTGGGAATGACACCTCAATGGTACCTGTGTATTCCAGGTGTGTTGAGCGCAGTGCGAGAGGGTGGTATGAGACAACTTTTCATGTTCACCACGCAACCACACCTAGGAGCAATTGGGTTGCGCCACAAGGGAGACGGTGCGCTTGTTGCCGCCCGCCCTTAAGCCGATTTTGGCTTGTGACAGTCACTCGTTCTTTGCCTGCCTGCCGACCGGGTCTTCGAGCAGGTGGGGTTCGGCATATGTATAGGGGTAATTAATTACTTCAGACTCCTCAGTTCATAATCAGCATGTCGTGAAGCTCTTAGGGAAGGTAGACACTCGTGGTCTAGAAGCTGGAAAATCTTCCTCGCTCTAGTGCAAAGTTTGCGAGGCGCACCCGGAGCTTCCTCAGTTATGTCTGGTGTCCGACATTCGATTTTCCCAAAGCTACGGAGTTACTCCGTACACGATACTACGATAGTAACCTTTGCCGGGGTTTAGCGGCTACTTGTGAGCTTGCTTTTCCTCAGGGGTCTTTCATCAAATTTCGGAGGCGCGGAATCTTTATTAGTGCACCCGCTTGGAGCTGCCAAGTTGCTTTGACGTTTGATAATCACTCAATGTTGTTGACTGCCGGCCGGCAACTCTCACATGTGCATGTCAAGTAATTACGGATACATGAAAGTTACAACTGCGCGGTATTTCACGCGGAAAGGACGCCGCATGTCGTGAGCACGACCGGCGTGTCTTGCATCCGATCAACAGTTCAACTAGTATTACTAGGTACAGTAGCCGGGCCCATACTCATTACAAATGCTGTTGCTGCGAAATGAGATGGCAAGGGTGAGGTTGACAAGTCATCTCGACCCCCTGGGCTCACCAAGTACGCGTAAAGCGACTCCCGGGTGACGACCAATTAATGCACCTACCCTGAATCACACCAGATGAGTCTCTGGCCCAGCGGGACGGAAGCGCAAGTATATCGTGAGGGTGTCGTCAGCGCAACCCCCTTTTCCATCTAAACTCTTATTCAAAAGGCATAAACTTTCGATTGTCTTTCCAGCGCGCTACAAGCTCGATCGCCATGGTTCACTGGAAATCTTTCTTTCGAGTCTGCCGCAAGTGTGTGTGACATGCTTTGGTCCGTCTTCCTTCATGATTGAGCTACCCTACACCTTCTGCTCTGGCGTGCGGGCGTGGTAGCACAGAGGACCACCATGACTTTCAGCTTCCTCGAGGTGAAAGATAATTTGACTGCTAGTTTGTAGCTCAGGTGCTTTCGTGTTTTGGTCCTTTGGTACAAAGGATAGAAACGGAAAGATTCTCCCCCTGACAACGGGCATGGTGTATATAGCGTGTGACTTGCCAAGGAAAAGGGATAGTCATGGAATGATATTACTACCAAACATTGGTTACAAGCAGTCGTAAGGTGTCTAATCTATCAGAGCACTGATCCAAACGCCAACAGAAACAAGAGAACGCCCGATTTCATCATTGTGCTTGAAAGCATGATTGCGGCAACTCAGACATCACCGATCCTCGGAGGGATTGCCCTCACAGGGTAACCCAAACGCCGCCCTTCATCGTTGTCAGGTTCAGCCTGTAGCGGCCCGAGACCATGCTATGTCTATGTCAGTACAGATCGCGTAGGAACAAGGGAGAAACCGACCTCCAGTTCAGGTTCGCCGTGCAGGCATATTGGCAGCCCTCAATGAACTTGCCGAGGTCCGCCTGCGTCTTCTCGTCATGTGCGTAGCGAGCCAGCAGCCTCTCGGATGCGGCGTCGAGACGCTCCACCGACTCCTCCACAATCTGTGATGAGCGGTCGATGGAGGCTTGTGGCGAGCCAAGGCGGTCGGCGAGCAGAGGGATGAGTGTGTCGACCTGATCTTGAGCCTATGGCGTGTCAGTCTTCGCCAGGGGATGGGGTGTTGATCTCGCCAGGAGACTCACGACTTCTTTCTTGATGGAGAGGATATCGTTGGTTCTGGGCCCGTCAGTCTGGAATCACGTCAGAGGAGCAGTTGCACAACGTACGTCGAGATGATGATGTTGGTCTCGTTCCAGATCTTCTCCATATCCTCGTCATTCATGACCTGGTCAGGCAGCGTAATGCCAAAGGCATATTCCGTGATGGCAAGACAAACGCGCACGGCACTCGACCCCATGCGGCGGTTGCTGTACTCCTCCACGGTGGGTAAGTTCGGTGTCATTTGGTACATCTGTTCCTCCTCGCTCATCGTGATGAAGAATCGAAGCTCGTCAAGGAACGTCTTAACTTGTCCTGAGAAGTGTCAGCGCCAAGTGAGATAGGCATGATGCATGTGTCTCGCGTCAGCTTACTGTCGTTGCAGTGAGTAGCAATAGCCTCGCCAACAGGCCTGAAGTTTGTGACGACGGAGTTCGTTGAGATGCTGGACAGGTCGACTGTGCGGTTCTTCTGCATGCTCGCCTCAATGTACGCCATGGTCTCCCTTCGGAAAGCACACGACCTCTCAAAGTCGTTGATGAGGTCGGAGAACTCGACCGAGTCGGACTCGTCGTCCCACACAAAAAGCCAGATGGAGAGGAGCGTGGCGATGAGGAGGGCTTCATACGGCGCATACGCCCACCAGGACGCACCGAAGAGAGCAACGCCGGACCTGTTCATCTTCTTGAGACGACCTGAGTCCTCGGGGCGGTGTAGGATCCTGAGAGGAGAACACGACTTAGCTCTGCGGCCTCGCGCATCCACAACTCTGGTACTCACTCTGCCAATGCCTTTTGGGAATCAAGCTCCAGACGCGCAATCTCGGGGTTCACTCCTTGAGCCCAGTGGCTCATCGTGGCCTGGAGGTCTGGGATCCGAACACGCGCGCCACGCATGAGACGTACCAAGCGATCACGTTCCTTCTGTGCATGCCGGGCTTCGTTGACAGCTTCATCCTTGTGGTTCACCAGATGGAGTAGGCTGTCGAAGTGGGCGGCGGTAGCTGCGTTGCCCGCGAGCTGGACGCTTGTGGCCGACATTGTGAATAACGTTTTGGCGTATTGTATAATTATGCACACAGTGGGGTTGCGTTGCCTTGCTTGACGATATGTGAATGCACGGAGGGTAGCAATATCTAGAGATGAGACAGAGGATCCGTGGGATTGGAAGCTAAAAGCTGTCGGTTCCAGAGGTTCGGGACAGCTGGCGCACCATCCATGCGGAGCAGCGGTGAACCTTCTTTTAAACAAATTGTAGGCCTCTGAACGGTCTTCCGCTGGGGCCTCGATGAATGGCAAGGTGGGTAGCGGAGATAGCCATATGTACTATCACTAAGAACCCCAATGGTGTGCGCCCCAATCCGACCAGTGGAACCCACGTCATGCCCGAGGACTGGACTGGTTGCGAACGGAGCTCTGGGAAGCATATGGGGATCTGATTAGCCGAAAGAGGCCGGAGAGCGACTCGTCACCTACTATCATGGTAGGCTGGAATACGTACTCGCTCGGAAAAGCAGCACTCCATCGCGGGAGTGTTTTGCCCAACGACGTGCCAGCCCGGATGAGCTCGGAGGCACATGGAGAGGGATCAACCTTGATAGCAGACCTCTGGCCAAGCCTGGCTCTCTGAGCCATGGCCTGTACATCAGCCTACATGCGGTTGACGTCCTACTCGATCATGAATAGGTTCCGATGCAACACCATCCGTCCTGAGCGGTCTCCTGCTCGCCGAGGTGGTGGTGGTGGCGGTGGTGGTGGTGATGAACTAGGCCGTTGTGAAGTGAAAAGACCCATGCCGATTTTGTGCATTAAGGCCGAGACTAGCCCCATTGCGATGGAAGCAAGCCAGGTCCTCGCATTGCATGTACGTACTCATGTAGGCGTGCGGCAGGCGACTGTCAGTTGCGAACATGCTGCACATTGGGTTCTGTGTCAATGTGTCATCGCGGCAGACGTGATAGTTGGGACCCTGTACTGTGAACCCCTTGTGAGAAATCCGAGCCAGTCTAGGCTAGATAGACGCTGTTGGTTGTTGTCATGCAGAAACATGGCGCCCCCCCAAGGTGCCATCCCGAGGGAAGGGAACCAGATCAGTGCCTTGCGGCCCCAAGAACGATTGACAGCCTGACAGGTGCGCGACCCTGGCCCTGCTCGCTCGATGGATCACCTGGAGATGCGGGGCCTGGCAACGACAAGACGCCGGGAAAGCCATTTGTCGAAACGTCGGTGAACGCTGGCGGGCTCGGCGCATACTGCGCGAATTCGTCCACATCTCTGTCGCTGGCTGGTCCAAGTGGTGAAGTTCCTCGCGGCCAGAATGGGGTAAGAGTGGCAGACTCGGAGCCTGGGGGGTGGGCCTATTCAATGTTGTCCGCGGCACGTGACTTCGGTGGTCTATCTGACCTTCTATTGGACCATGGCGATGTTAGCGTTAGAGTGGGTTGATGCAGTGGGCGCTAACCCTGACTATGGCCAATCAACAGCCTATAGCCCGCCACGGACCGCGCCGCCGCCGTTCGTGTAGTACAGCCACTGCCCGCCCAGGCCCCAGACAACTCTTGGCCTTCTTGATCTATTGAAAGTATGTTTGACCGCTTGAATAGGAGAGTCGACAGACTCGACACCATCTGATCAGTAGCATGATGTCTGAGCTGGCCATCTTGTTGCTGAGGCAATTCCAACTTTTACTGTTTCACGACTTTTGAGTGCGACAATCTGCTGGTTGCTCCCAAAGTATGGTAGCAGTGGCAGTGCCCATCGCAACGTCATGATACACGTGAGCATGTGCCCCGACTGGACTCTGAGAGTCCAGTCGGAGGCCCTGAGCCCACTCCAACCACACACCGCCAAACTCACATTCGTGTTCATCCACCGGCACCTACGTATTATCCGGCAATGTGAGTCGGAAAGATAGTACCTGCGCGCCCTCCCGGAGCCTAGAATCGCATCTTTGTTCATTACCACCAAGTGAGATTTCGTCACAGATGGCACGTCCCCCACCCACCCTGGTGCCAGTGGCAAGCCAGGCAGGCTTATGCCGTCCCCAATCCTGCCATGCAACCCGTGCTGCATCACAGTCCGCCTGCTGAAGGATCGATCTTCACACCATGACCGCATCTGCCGCTCTTTCATCGACATTGTAGAGAAAATGGTATAGTTTTACCGCGCTGCCAGGCGCGATTCCCCTGAACTGTTAACAAATTCCTTCCTAGCGCGGACAACGGTGAGATTGACAAAGACAAGTCACCCGTGATCAGCAGCACACCACCATCGGACGTCAGCCTGGTGATGATGAACTCTAGTCAGGGCGACGCGATTATGCTTGTCTCAGCTCTTTCGCCTGCACGGTACAGAACCTGAACCTTCGCCGGTGTTCTCGAGGTACACTGACGGTTTGTCGTGGATGTGGCAGGACACCCTCAGATGCCAGTGATCCTCCAAAGACAAGTTTCCTGAGCTGCTTCGTATATCCAAAGCAAAACATCTCAGGCACAAGGAAGAGAGCAACAGATTGATGAACGGCGGCCGCCTTTTCTCGTAAATTTCAATGTGGTTCGTCGCGCCGTTTGCGTCTACGTAGCGTATCATCCTGACCCTTCGACCAGGGCTGGGAAATGCTACGCTGCCTTCTTACCTTGCGTATGCATGCGTTTAGATTGTCGTCCATTCCTTCCCACGTCGGCACCTGCCCCTCACAGCCAGTCAGAGGTTCTGCTTCACGCGTGTAAGTGCTCTGCTGTGTTGGCTGATTAAGTTGGGGGCTGGACGGGGCGTATTACTTATTGATCGCCCGTTTGATGGGCATCTTGCACATAAGGTACTTAGCCTCGATACCCCCACACTTGGACTGGTCTGTATTTGACTCTTATTGACTCTGAAGGCTTAGCGGTACCTGAACTATACTCATTCCATGTTCAAACAGCCTGCCCTTGGTCTTCTTCACTTTTAGTTTCTCAGTGACTATACCTCGCAGCTAATTGCCAGGATGACAGGCGTCTCAAAAGATGGCGAGAATGCCATTATCAGTAAGTGATGTGAGAGAAGATGACAAAGAGGGCGGTAGCTGACAATTGTAGTTGTCTACGTGCTCACAACCGTCGCCACGATATGCGCTGCCATGCGATTCAAGATTCGGTGGCACGGCCAGCTTGGCGCTGACGACTATCTTCTCGCATTCTCACTCGTTTTGATATGGCTACAAGCAGTCGGGAACACACTTTGTAAGTGACAGGACAGACCTCAGAATGATAGGCGCACACTCTGACCGGAATCAGTGGCTGTCAAAGGTGGCATGGGCAGGCCGATGGCGACACTGAGCGAGGGCGAAATAGAGTGGCTTTTCAAGATGTTCTATGCCCCAGAGATTGGGTACACGCTGCTCACGGGTGTGCTCAAGCTCTCGATTCTCCTCTCGTACAAGCGCATCTTTGGCCACATGCGCAAGATCCTCGTCTACATCCACGTGCTCATGGGGCTTGCGGCTGGCTGGCTAGTGTCGTGCCTGTTTGTCATCATCTTCCAGTGCTGGCCCATCCACAAGGTCTGGAAGCCCCTGACGCCTGGCGGCTGCATCGACTTGCTGGCCTTTCTGTGGGCGACGAGTGTCTCGAACTTTATCATCGACTGGCTCATTCTGAGCGTGCCCCTGATTCCCATCTGGAAGTTACAAATGACTCCCATCAAGAAGGTCTTTGTGGCGGGTTCCTTTGCGCTGGGATCAATGTGAGTATTCCGGAAACGAGTGAGAGAGAGCTATGCTAAGAGACGCAGTGCTTGCATCACGAGTACCGTCCGCGCGGCCGTCACTGGTACGATAGATGTGACGGACATGTCGAGTGAGTGTTATCCCAGGCCTGGACAATCCGCATGTGTCGCTAACCATGGAAAGAATCCGTGTTCATGGCATCCATCTGGACTTACATCGAACCCACTGTCGCCATCGTCTCCGCCTGCCTTCCCTTCTTCAGCAAGTTCTTCACGGAGAAGGTCAGGAATATTGGCACCAAGGGACGCAGCATGGGCAACAAGTACTCCAAGAACGGTTCCGATTTTGAGAAGGGGGAGGGCCACATCACAAAGAAGACAACCACGACGGTGTCCGGAGAGTCGCGCGGCGTGCGCAACCAACACGAGCTGGTGAACTACTCTGTCCGCGTGGGAGCCACACCCGATGGCCACCTGCGGCTTCACAGCGACTCCAGTACGTCGCTCGTATAGTCTGCTTTGTCTGTTTGGATTTTGGCGTTTGGTGTGATGTAAAGGGTCCCGTTACATATGGGAATTATCAATGGAGATTCGAACGATCTCATGTACCTACCGAGTTACATACGTACGGTTACTGTACCAAACATACATTCTAGGTTTTCTTTCTATCAGCATTAACTCACACAGCGACCATGGGTTTGCGGCGAGCCATCCTGACCAGACTCGAGATGCACAGCACAGCCCTCTCAAGTCAAGTCTCGGCGATCCCCGCGTAGGCTCTTCGCCGGCCTCAAGACACGGCACAATCTGACTGGCCAACCCTCAAAGAGTCCATGTCCATGACACCATTGGGCCCGACATAGCAGGTAGAAATCCCGCTCCTGCACGGATTCGCCTAATGCACACGCCATAGGGTCCCTCATGCGACCCGCAGCCCACCCCCCCACGGCCCACGAGAACCCTGGTCGAGTGTCTCGACTCTCGAGTCGTATTATCGAAGTCTGTCCGTCTTGAGGAGGGTCCCGTCCTCCCACTAGCAACGTCACTGTCCGGGTCCATGTCCCCATCTGGCCTGGCATCACTATTAGATAGATGCACGAGGATAAACGCTTCTTTGACTAGCAAGCCACTCATTGACAGTCCCAGGTGCCGACTGGAGACTTTGGCGTCTGTTGCGTGGTTAGTGTGCGTTCGCGGGGTCCTCGTGACGGGGTCATATCAATAATAAATGCTGTGCGGACTGTCGGACCATGCTATCCCACAATCGCGTCCAGTGAGGGGTCTGTTCGCAGATAACGGCTCATCTGTTCATCCTCAAAGCTGTGAGAAGGCTGGAAGTTGAAGGAACCAGGACCATCATGGCGCTCTTCATCTACAGCTGCCTAGCCGGCGCCTTTGTGGTGTACTACATCGGCCTGCTCGTCCAGCGAGTGTACTTTCATCCTCTGTCCAAGTTCCCGGGTCCCAAGCTGGCGGCAGCAACGGGGTGGTACGAGGCATACTTTGACCTTTTTGTGCGTCCTGGCGGCCAGTTCATGGTGGAACTCCAGCACCTGCACCAAGTCTACGGTACGCCATCACATCTGATGAACATCATCACTTGAGGAAAACAGACAAAAAAACTTTGTGGAGGAGAGGTTCGCTGACGGCCACTTCTTTCTCTGCTAGGCCCCATTGTGCGAATCAACCCGCATGAGATTCATGTCGACGATACGGCCTGGTTGGACACACTATACACCGGTCCGGCAAATGTATGCTGATAAATATGCCCTTTAAGGCTGAGATTGGGTGTGTTTGCTGATCATATCGTCTCCAGGGCATCAGGGACAAGTATCCTCCTGCGGCCTATCTGACTGGAACACCACGAGGAAGTACGTACTCTCCGATTGAGCATCAATTGCCCCCCAGGAAAAGAAAAGGAATATATTGACCTGCGCACAGTTTTTGGAACCATTGCCTTTGACCTCCATCGCAAGCGTCGCGGGGCGATCAGCGCTCTTTTCTCCAAGGCGCAGGCCACGCAGGAGGAGCCCATCATCTACGACAAGTTGGATCTTCTCATCGAACGCGTCAATACGCAAATCGCCCGCGATGGCTTCGCTGAGATGCGCGCCAAGTGAGTGACCGGAACCCCTGCGGCCGCTCGACTGCCAGTGTGTAGTATGATAGATCAAGTGCTGACATGTCACATCAGCTACCTGGCCTTCACAACCGACACCGTGGCAGATTACTGCCTCGAAAAGTGCCTCAACCTTCTCCACGACGAGCAAAAGGCACTGGAATGGCAAGAGACCATCAGTGCCCTGGCCAACACGGCGCCCATTGCCCGCCAGTGGAGCTGGGTGACGCCGCTGTCGTTGAGCATGCCCATCTGGCTGCTGAACATTGGCGACCCCAAGCTCGCCCGTATTGTTGGTCTGCACCGGGTACGTATCAGAGTTACACGCGCTCCGATGAAGGGATGGGAGCCATTACATGTTCGTGAAAGGCTAATGCCGGCAAACAGACTATGGAGTTCCAGGCCAAGGAGGCCATCAAGGCGCACGAGAGTGGTGAGAAGAACGATCCCAAAGCGAAGCGCAACATTTTCAGGGCTATTCTCGCCAACCCTTCCTTGCCGGACTTCGAAAAGGTCTACGACCGAATCTCCCAAGAAGGTGTCGTGGCTATTGCCGCTGGAGGCGAAACCACCGGCCGCGCCCTCGCTACTGCTACTTTTTTCCTGCTCGAGAACCGGACGACACTCCTCCCCCGGCTCCAGGAGGAGATTAAGAGCGTCATGCCCAAGGTCGACGACCGTCCTGCCGTCAAGGACCTCGAGAAGCTGCCCCTGCTCACAGCCATCATCAAGGAAACCCTGCGTCTCAACGGCCTCCTCACGTCAAGGTTCCCGCTCATCTCGCCACAGCAGCCGCTCCAGTACAAGGACTGGGTCATCCCCGCCGGCACACCCGTCAGCATGACATTGCGCGATGTCCTCAACGATCCCGAGGCGTTTGCGAACCCGAGGACCTTTGACCCGGACAGGTGGCTGAATGCAGACAAGGAGAAGCTGGAGCAGATGAACAGGAATTTCGTGCCGTTTGGGCGGGGAAGCCGCATGTGCCTGGGTACCCAGTACGTCCCCTTCTAGTCTTTGCTCGTCTGGCTTGCTTGCTAACGGACCACTTCCTACAGTCTTGCGTGGGCGGAGATGTACATTGCTCTTGCATCTATCTTCCGGAGGACAAACTGGGATCTTTATGATACCACGCGCGAGAAAGACATTGATATCATTCGCGATTGCTTTATTGGCGAGGTAGACAAGACCAGCAAGGGCGTTCGGGTTACGGCAGCACAGGGGTAGATGCTCCAAGTCATATGTACGGAGTATGACATGGAGATTAATGCACGCCTGCTTCAAGTAAGGCATGTGTATCTAAAGTTTAGCCTTCTCTGGTATCTCCGTCTTCGAGAAGCAAGCTAATCAATCCATCGCTTCATGGCCTAAGGCGGGAATCTGGTGTGTACATGTATCCATCCGCATCGAGGGCCCTGGTCAGCTACAGATGTATTATATATCCACACCAGTGCAATGATCAGGCACTTGACATGTAAATAGCACGCCCGCACGCACGTGTGCCGTCCATCTATGCGCTGAGACTCGAACGAGAATCTCGAGCTCCGTGACAAATCCGACTATTGCCTCTACTCGCCCTGAGCTTCACCACTTGTGCGCACCTGACGTGCTGTGATTAGTCGCTTTCCGAGCCACTTGTGCATGGCATCTACCACAACCGACAGGTGGCTGCGATCCTTGCGCAAGCGTTGATGGCAATCTTGCTGCAGAGATATACATGCTCATGCATGGGATGTGCAGGGGGTCATCGGTATATGGGGTGGTGTCGTGCTGACCCCTGCATACATGTACAGATATGAAGTAGACGTTCCTTCAGCGAAACACTACCTACAAGCGGGAAAGAGGTCCGTCTAGGAGTGTGTAAACAAGGTCTTAATCAATCCTGAACAAGGGGAATAGATGGTTGCCGGGGCCAGCAGAAGGATCATGCGGACGGCCTTGGCGAGATCGGCGTCGATGCTTGTTCATGTCGACACTATCTCTCGACGATTTGGCAACTTTTACGACGTTGCATTGCAGCCATTCCTCCGTTCAACTGCTTTTGTGAAATCCGCCGTTAGCACCGACATACCCAGGGGTGCCCATGCTGAGAAACGCGCGGAGCATGTAATCCAAAGCCACCTTGAGTTGCAAGTCAATCATTATAGTATGATTATGTGCTGACATGCTAGTCGATGCCCTGGGATACCATTATGTACAGCAAGTCTGCCATGGTCCATTACCTGCGTCGGGTTCTAGAGCCGCATGCCCCTGACACCCATTAGTGGCGCCCTCTTGGGCTTGTTGGGAGACGAACCTCGCAGGATCGCATCGGCGATCTTTTCGGCCAGTGCATCTGCAGCAGAGGGTGGTCAGCACGATACGACTCTGTGGATTTCCTCGGATAGATTATGAAAGAGCAGAAAAGGGGATAACTTACAGACTGTTGCAGTGGGGTGGCCGGGGCTAAGCACGGGAAAGGCCGAAGCGTCCACCACGCGCAGGCCGTTGACACCGTATACGCGAGCCTGGGAGTCCAGCACGGCCATTGGGTCCTTCTTCCTGCCCATGGCGCACGTGCACGAGGCGTGGAAGCTCGCCTGGGCACTCTTCTGGATGTGCTCGAGGACCTCGTCGTAGGAAGACACGTTCAGGCCGGGGAAGACCTCCTCGCCAATGACAATGTCACGGGTGCCCTCGTTGTCGCCAAAGACGGCGCGCGCGCGCTGAAAGGCCGCGACGGCAATCTCCTGATCACGAGGGTCGCCCAGCCAGTTGGGATCGACGATGGGGTAGTCGTTGGTGTCGTTGCTGGAGATGGTGACGGTGCCGCGCGAGAAGGGGTTGGTGAGGGCTGTGCTGCTGGACACATACTGGCGGCCGTCGGTAGGCCCGTCGGTGATGTCGTTTGCGTAGCCAAAGTAGCCGTCGAGGAAGAGATGCTCGTAGTCGGGCCAGTCGGCGGAGAACTTGTCCAGCTCCTTGCGCAGCTTCGTGGAGATGGCACCCTTGGGGAAACGCGCGAAGCCCAGGACGTCGCCGCCGCAGTTGGTGAGCTGGCCGGTCCGCTGCGTCTGGTAGTTTGTCAACTGCTCCACGGCAAAGTCGGGTCGTGACATGGCGCTGTGGGTGAGTAGGTTGACTACGTACGAGGGGCTGAAGGCGATGTGATCCCACATGTTTTGGCCGACACCCTTGAGATTGGAAATGACCTTGATGCCGACCTTCTTGAGCGTCTTCTCGGGGCCGATGCCGGACACCATGAGCAGCTGAGGCGAGCGGAAGGCTCCAGCAGAGACGATGACTTCGCGGCTGGCGCTGAGCTGGTACTCGACGCCGCCGGACTCGACGACGGCACCAATGGCATTCTTGTCGTCGTCAAAGAGGATCTTTTTGGCCATGGTGTTCTTGTAGACGTTGAGGTTGGTGTCGTCGCGGAGTCCAGCGCGGAGGAAAGACGATGAAGACGAGCTCCTCGTCTGCGTCTCCGAGTCCAGTGAGAATGCGGTATAAGCGTAGCCGTCCAGATTTCCGTCAGCGAAACCAGGCAGATTCTCCAGTCCAAGATACTCCAGTCCGCGGGCAATCCAGGACGAGATTGGGTTGGCCCAGTTAGGATAGCCGACCTGGAGAGGGCCACCGTCGGAACTCCAGTAATCTTCGTCGTACAGCGTAGTGGCATTGTCAAGACGGTACTCCTCGTGCGGTGGTGTGAACTCGGCGCTCTTCTTGTAATACGGCAGCATGTTCTCGAAAGAGTAAGACTCATCACCAGTGAGCTCGGCCCATTTGTCCAGCGCAGCCTTGGAGGCACGGTGGTACCACATAAAGTTGCGCACGGAGCCACCTCCAAGGACTTTGCCAGACATGTAGACGACGCTGCGTCCGCCGAGGCCAACTTGTTTGGTCGTCCATTGGTACCAATCAAGGTAAGGGCTACTCTTGTCAGTACTTATTGCTGAGATACGTGATCAAGTGGGCTCACTTCTTGGTCTTGGGGTCGGAGCCGATGAAGGAAGCCGCAAGAGCCCTGTGAAATTGTCAGACGTTGCCTGCTTAGACTGAGGCATACTTGAACGTACGGAATTTGGCTGTTGTTGCCGTTGGCAAACTCGGCAAAGTCGCCAGCCTCGACGACGGCCACAGTATATCTCTTGTCTTCGGCCAGCCTCTTGGCCATGGTCAGTCCCGCGGTGCCTCCTCCCAATATCACATAGTCGTATGCTCCAGGGATGCCAGGCACACCAAAGTGTGACCCAATGAGCCCGGCAAACTCTAGGGTCTCAACATACTGGGCGGCAGCACCTGAGAGCGCCGCCAGACTGACGAGAGATGCTGACAGCTTCATCGTGAGGGATTGAGATCTGTTGGGAGGGATTTCAGCGTCCGAAGCTGGAGGAGTGGCACATGGAAGATCAAGAAGGTGCGTGGATGAAACAGTGACACGTGGGAACGTGTCTTATAACACGCATATCCAGTCACATCAGCCAGCTCGAAGTGAACTTACTCACCGTGCCGTATTCAGGCCATGCTCTCATGCGGCATGCTTGAGAGATGTCGCCATCGGCATAGACAACCCGCTCTCTTGCTTTTATTGACCGGTGGGCAATCCTCGGCCGCCGATGCTGCTTACCTAGCTGCATCCTGAGCCAGTTTCCAAGCTTCTGACACCACTAGGCATCACTTAGACCGCAGAACGCCTGGGGGTCACGGTAGACGGGGCTATTCGTCTAATGCTGGGGTCGTGGGCCGTGTGCTGAGGATTGCCGGGTGTGGGATGGACCTGCAGCCGGCGTAAGCCTGCAGCTGCGGGATGGCGCGAGTCTGATACTTTTGGGTCTTGACTCTTCCATTCATCAAACAACCAGGATGATGCGGAAATTGGGTCTTGTCCAGGCCAGCTATCGGTAATTATCGACCTTGATGACCTGCTCTTGGGGGGAGTAAGTCGGAATTGACTACTTGAGTCGACCGAAGAAAGACGCACGTGGCGGCCATACCGCTTCCACATGCGCCGTGATGCTCACAGTTGCCACCTAATGCACACATGAGAAGGTTGGTAGACGTGCTTGGAACAAATAACATGTGCTTCGCATTTCCGTGGCTGGAAGGGGTTGGACTCTGGGGAGCGCAGCTCATTGACTAGACTAGTAAGTATCGCCATTGCCTGCCAACACACAAAAGCGCGGGGTGGATACCGAATCCGGATGCCGGAATACATGATAGTATTTTGATTGTGCTACGCGATCTGTGCTTATGTCTTCTTCCAGGTCATATCTGCATCTGAAGCTCCCCATTAGCTTCCCGTCATCACTCGCAAAGCAGGGCCTGTCGACCACTCACCTGGATGCACCTTTGGTTCCTCAATGTGCTTCCTAGCCTCGGCCTTGTCCTTGTAGTCCGACCCAAATCGTTTGTCTCTTTCGCCGACGTGCTTTTCAAAATCAAACTGGCCGTCTGCGGTGAAGCTTGTCATCAGCTGTGGCTCGCCGAGCGGGAGGCGATGGCCTTTGTCGGTTTGCCACAGGTGGTAGACCTTGCCGTACAGCTTGACGACCTGCTCCATCTCGTCGTTCTCGGCAATTCGCCAGACACCTTCTGGAACAACGCGATTCGGCATGATGAGCATGCCTGACTTGACCTCGTACACGTGAGAATGCCAAAGACGACGTTCCTCGGGCGGCAACGTCTCATACAGAGCTTCCGTAACCATGTATTCGATCCCAATCAGACGTGCCTTGGGCCCATCCGAGTCGTAGAGGAGGCACTGTCGAACCTCATCGTTCAGATGAGCACAGTAGTGGTTCGCCTCGACGAACCGACTCGGTTCGTTGGCGTAAGCGTGAAATGCGTTGAGATGAGCGCACACATTTTTCAGAGGCGCAAAGTCCTAGTAAGGTCAGTTAGCCTATGCCCACTCTAGTCGATACGAGCAGTAGCCTTCACTCACCTGGGTCGCAGCCGCACCGGTCGTAAGCACTTTGTTATGCGTAGACATGGGCTGCCCGGCCGCATCATTCGTGACGGGCATCGATTCCATTCCAGCTTGATGGCCATTCATCTTTCGGTTTGTATTTGATGAGGATCAGAATAAAGCTGGTGAACGCAGAGCTCTGTGCGTTTTCAACACAGCTTCAGCTGGTGAAGCCACGATGGCCGAATATCGACGTCATTGCGGACGCGTTGGTCCGGCAAGCAACAGCTGATCACCTCAATTCTCTTGTTGAAGAAACAACCAGAGGTCCAATTCGTGGGACAGCGGTCATTCGAATTCTCTGACCTTTGCAAACGCAGGACGCGGCGCGGTCAAGTCGCGACTCACTTGGACTTCATATGAGGAAGCATGCTCGATGTCCTCTGAATGGGTACCTGTAGGTGTCCACGGACAGCGCTATATTTGACGGCGTGAGCTACTGCCATAATTTCATTGCTGACGACAACGCCCAGCCCAGTCGCGACATTCAATCGGGCACAGTCAGTCAATGTTGGGTTGCTACCTTACCTTGTTTGGTAGCCTCGTAGATGCCTGAATCGCGGCATGGACGACGACGACTAATTAATTAGCTCGAGCTTGGGCGCTGGAGAAAATTCTTTCGGGCCATCCCGCAGCTTCGTGCCAGTCCAGCCTATGCGATGCGCTTGCGCGCTCTGACAAGGAAGGCGGTGGATTCCGCGACAGTTCACCATCCTCGAAGCTTGTCAAACTTTCTTCCCCTCTCCTCCTCTTCCTACATCCACGCATCAATCTGGCCTCAGTTTCGACCAAGGTTCTTCTTCACCACTCGCACTACAATGGCTAACGAAATCACCCACGAGACCATCAAGGGTATGTAACTTACCTGCGCTTCTTCCTTACCGAAGAAAAAAAATACCCCGCCATCATCACCATCTGCCCCTCCAACAAGGAAAAAAAAAGATGCAAATTGGTTTCGCAACGACCGCGACTAACAATGAATCCCAGATGGCTGGTTCCGCGAGATCTCGCACATGTGGCCTGGCCAGGCCATGACCCTCAAGGTCGAAAAGGTCCTCCACCACGAGAAGAGCAAGTACCAGGACGTGCTCATCTTCAAGTCGACCGACTACGGCACCGTCCTCGTGCTCGACAACGTCATCCAATGCACCGAGCGCGATGAGTTCTCCTACCAGGAGATGATCGCCCACCTCGCCCTCAACAGCCACCCCGAGCCCAAGCGCGTCCTCGTCATTGGCGGCGGCGACGGCGGTGTCCTCCGCGAGGTTGTCAAGCACGACTGCGTCGAGGAGGCCATCCTCTGCGACATTGACGAGGCCGTCGTCCGCCTCTCCAAGGAGTACCTGCCACACATGGCCCAGGGCCTGTCCCACCCTAAGTCCACCGTCCACATTGGCGACGGCTTCAAGTTCCTCGACGAGTACAAGAACCACTTCGACGTCATCATCACCGACTCCTCCGACCCCGACGGTCCCGCCGAGTCCCTCTTCCAAAAGTCCTACTTTGAGCTCCTCAACAACGCCCTCCGCGAGGGCGGCGTCATCTCTACCCAAGGTTGTACGTCTCAATTTTTTCTAGAGCTCCCGGAAAGTTCGAGGGGTCCCTAGGAAATGGCGGTCTTGTTTCTCCTCCGTGGGAATGGGCCCTTCTCAACCCTGCCTAGGGGCTGCCCGAAAAGCAAGTGCTCCTTTCCGGGGCTACGCTGCCCGGTAGTTCCGTGTAGCTGCGAGAGTGGCCGCCGCTGTCCACTCGCGCGAACCGCGCGCCGCGAGGTGCTCCGCGCTTCCCTGTGGACCTCTCTTTCTTTGCCACTGTCTTGACCAGTATGCTCCGTTGCCGGGTCTGCTAACAAGTCGCGCAGCCGAGAACCAATGGCTCCACCTGCCTCTCATCACCCGCCTCAAGAAGGACTGCAAGGAGGTCTTCCCCGTGGCCGAGTACGCCTACACCACGATCCCGACCTACCCCTCGGGCCAGATCGGCTTCATGATCTGCTGCAAGGACGCTAGCCGCGACGTCAAGGTGCCCCTGCGCCAATGGACTGCCGAGGAGGAGGCTGAGAAGTGCCGCTACTACAACGCCGAGATGCACAAGGCCAGCTTCATCCTGCCCACCTTTGCCAAGAAGGCCCTGCAATAGGCGCCCAATGCTGTGCGGAAGGAAAGACTGTGTTGAAGCCCCGGATAATCTAAAACGAAGCCCCAGTGGTATCAATTTCACGTTTTTTTGAATACCCAGCGTTGTCTGCTGTCTCTCTGTGAACAGGTCAAAGCTCTATGTGTATATTACAACCTACTCCTTAGGTTTTGGTAGGTCCGGGTCGTCGAATTGGACCTTGCCCTTGCTTACATCAGGATACACATCCCAGCGCCTCTGTGTGTTGAGTGGGATGTTCCGCCTCGTCTCCTCCAGCTTGTCCGAGCTCAGCTCGCTTGTAATAATCTCCTCGCCTTCGGCTGCCTCGCTGACGACCTTGGCCATGGGGTCCACCACCAGACTGTGCCCGTATGCGTGATAGCTCGCGCTCATGTCCCTCGCGGGGCTGCACATGGCCACGTAGATCTGGTTGTCCACCGCCCTCGCCTGCGCCAGCAGTTGCCAATGCAACGGGCCCGTCGTCAAGTTGAAGGCGCCGGGGTATATCAGGGCAAAGGCACCCTTCCTGGCCGCAATGGTCGCCAGCTCAGGGAAGCGCACGTCGTAGCAGATTGCGACCGCGATCTTGCCGTACTCGGGCAGATCAACCAGTGTCAACTGGTTCCCTGCCGTCAGGACATCTGACTCCCTAAAGGTGATCTTCCCAGGAATGTCAATGTCGAAAAGGTGGACTTTTCTGTGTGTGGCGAGTAAACGGCCCTCGGGCGAGAAGACGAGGGATGTGTTGTGGTATTTCTTCGTCCCGGGGTTGTATTCGGGAATCGATCCGCCTACGAGGTAGACCTGGTTGTCGCGCGCCATGGCGCTGAGAGCATCGTACGAAGGCGCAGAAGCTTCACCATCACCGGAGGGCAGAAGCGTCTCAGCATACTCGGGAAAGTAGTTGGTGCCTGTGTCCTGGTCAGCACCCTACCGGTGGTGTTGATGGCAGAACAGACGTACCATATGGTGAATTGAAACATTCGGGGAGAACAACGAGCTTTGCGCCTGTGCCAGCTGCTTCCTTGACCTTCCCCGCGGCGTGCGCCAAGTTCTTCGACTTGTCTGACCCCGACGCCAGCTGGATCAGGGCCATAGTCAAGGGCTTCTTGAGCACAGGGCTCGGGACTTGTGATGTTGACGACATTTTGCGGAACGTTGCGAGGAATGAAGGTCCAAAGGAGCGACTGATTCGCGACGGAAACCAAGTAGGTGATCTTGTGCAGAGAACAGATTGCAGAATACAGCGGCGCATGGTACTTTTGGACCATATGGTGCCGGCGGGTTGATGCGATAATCGGAGGGGAGCGGTTTGTCGAGGCCCGGGGGCATGACGAAGGTGGGGGGAGCGCCACATGAAGTTGGAGCTGTCTCTTCGGGCTCGGAGTCCGCAAGCCGATACTTGGCCTCTCGCCTGTTTCTACTTTCTGGTATGTACTAATTAGCATTATGACTGGCGATACATGTACCATGTGCCATGTGCCATAAATAAGATTATGTATTTGTGGATGCCAGACAGATGAGTATCGTGACCGGTTGCTCATGTTGGCTGGCGCGATGCCTGATGAGAATGAGCTTACCCTGTGGCATCTGCCAAGGACAAGGACGAGCATCTTCACAGCGCAAGTCTCTGGTGAGACTCCGATCCAGCGTCTTCGCCTTTTTGCTTCGAGATTGAGCTAATCAGATTTACGGAACCAAAGTGTTTTTGTCGTTGACGGTTGCATGTTGATCGTGTGAACAACAGGGCATCACGGATATATTGTATATATGTAAGGTACAGTATAACATAATCTTACATATTGACTTTGAACAGAGCACCTTGCCAAAATTTCGCATCAGTCCCCTTCGACGCATGGATTTCTTCCAAGTTAAAAACTCATCACCTGCCTCAGCTGGTAGACATGCTGCTCGAGATGCCCATCGTTGTGACGCTGTTATACGTAGAAGACGGCTTATCGAAGCTGGCTCAGGTGACGGCCCACTTGTGCCCCTCCAACTCCGACACTAACGTGCCCCCACGGGACTAGCGGCCTTTTTGGACACTGAAGTCTGGCCAGCCGCCTGCCTTTCAGCCACATCTTCACCCGCCTCCAGTCTTCCTCGCCGTCTGGGCTGCTGCCATCGTCAACAACCTCATCTCCGTCAGCCTGCGTCCTGCTATCTCCAAAGTATTGTACGACTACAAGCCGACATCCAAGATGACACGACTCCTAGTGTACTCAGCTGCCCTTGTGGGCTTTCTCGCCTGTACGTCTCTCTCGATCAGCGGTCCTCTCCAGCCTCGTTCACGATGACGTCGTCGCGACTTCATGACAGCCAAAGTTCTTCTCAACTAACACAGATCTCCAGCAACGTCCATGATCATTGCGTCCATAATTCTACCGCAATGGGTCTCATACACGATTACTACCAGCGCTGGCGAGACCCTCACCAAAACGATCGGTCTGCACAAGTCGTGCTCGTCCCTCGCCGATCCGCCATGTCGGCCATTCCCCTACCATGACCTCTGCCAATCCGGCGAGCGATACTTCTGCTCAATGTGGCGATCGGTCGGGTTCATGGCCACACTTTCGGCCATCCTCTGCTTGGCCTGCCTCGTGGCTTTCACGGTCGTTATGAGTGGGGGAAAGTACAAGCGCGAGACTGGCTGGCCGTTTGTCACGGTCATGCTGTCGCTCGTTGCGATTGTTCAGTTCGTGGTCATTGCTATCGTGGTTAGTATCGCCCGAGTAATGGGTATGAGTGCATTGATTTACTAACGGGCACCAGGCGTATCTGTACGACCACGACGATCAATTCACGGTTCCTGGATGGCATTTGGATATTTCGTGGATTTTGAGCACCGTGAGCGCGACCATCTGTGCTCTTGCTGCGGTAGGACTGGCTGCTTCCGCGTACATGCTGCCTCAAGAAGATGGCTATGATTTCCTCGAAGATCCTCTGGATTCGTGATGTTATATGGTACCAGAGGCTGGAACTGGGCTATGATGAGCTACGTATGTTTAGTATAGATAGTTGTGGCGTTGAGACTATCACCAAATTTGTATCGTGCCTATTTTTCAAGTCATAAACGGAACAAGGCGAGCTGTGCGAATCGTCTCCGGGCCCAATGCTTGTAAGGAAGTATTGTCAGGCAGAAGGACTCGCTTCATTCTGCGTCTTAACTACATACTTATTGGCCGTTTTGTGGTCGTACAAATTGATCCAGCCGTCTGTCGGCGGTTGATCTGAACAGGGCTCGTGCCTCGCTAGGACTACCCCGTATCTTGTCAGACCAACAACGCCCCTCATCCACCCCGTCGTGCTGCTTGGAGGCAAGAATCGCCATCTCACCAACCACACCCGAATTTACTTCTTGAAGAAGCCCAAGTAAACATTCTCATCTCAGCTCGCAGCTAGCATGGCCACAACGACCACAGGCCTGAGCCCCTCACAGCTCGCAGCTTTCCAACGGGATGGCTACCTCATCGTCCCCCAGGCCCTGGGACCAGAGACGGTCTCTGCTTTGCTACAGGAGACCCAGAACCTTCTTACCGGCTTTGACCTCAAGTCGCATCCCATGACGCGCTTCAGCACAGGCACGACATCTGAGCACGTGGGCGATGACTACTTCCTCACATCCGGCGACAAGATCCGCTTCTTCTTCGAGGAGGACGCCTTCAACGAGAACGGGGAGCTGGTCAAGCCGAAAGAGCGGGCCATCAACAAGATTGGACATTACCTGCATGCGTTGAGCGAGCCATTTCGCCGGCTGCTCAGTGAAGATGGCCAAGTCAAGCCTGCTGATGTGGCGAGGGCGCTTGGGTTCAAGGACCCGCGATGTCTGCAGAGCATGGTGATATGCAAGCAGCCCGAGATTGGAGGAGCCGTGCCTCCTCATCAGGTAATGCGTTCCCACCTCTCGGGGTCATGGTAACAGCGTCTCAGGAGGCTAACTAGAAGCAGGACTCGACGTTCTTGTATACAAATCCGCCATCAGCCGTGGGGTTCTGGTACGCATTAGAGGACGCCACGCTGGAGAACGGCTGTCTTTCCTTCTTGCCGGGATCGCACAAGTGGTCTCCTATCACGCATCGGCTGGTCCGAAAGGCTGGTAACGCGGGCACCGAAATGGTCGAGAACAGCGGTCCGCAATTCCCGCCTGGCGAAGAGTATGGGGTCGAGAAGCCGACCGATGCTGATGACATGACCTATGTCCCGGGTGAAGTCAAAGCTGGAGACTGTATGTGCTCCTGCGTCCACTGATCATGAAGCCGGACTAACACGAGTAGTGGTCCTCATCCACGGAAACTTGTTACATAAGAGTGAGAAGAAGTAAGTCGTCCTCCTGCCATCTGCCAACATCCCGCCTGACTAGTCGACAGTACCAGCCAGAAGGGGAGGATCATCTACACATATCACATCATTGAGAATCAGGACCGACAATATGATGAGAGAAACTGGCTGCAGCCGTCGCAAGAGGGCTTCACCAAACTGTATTGAGAGGACAAAGCAGTAGTGCATATCCGACATTCCCTGGGGTATCTATGTCTAAAATCCAACCCATGTGGCCATTTGTACTATGGTACAATGTAAATGCTCTCTGAAAACCCAAAACCATGACCCGTAAATTGAACCGTGCACCGTCATCAGAGCTCCTCATCGCTATCATCTGAATCCGAGTCCGCCCCCTCGCCCTCCGATGAGGAGGACGAGGAAGACGAGCTGCTCGAAGTTTCCCCGTTGTCGCCGGGACGAGCATCCTCATCGTCGCTATCAGAGTCATCCGAGGAGCTATCGCTGCTGCTGCCATCCGATTCCTCCTCTGATGAGGAGTCGCTGCTGCTGCTGTCGTCCTGCATGGTCCGCAGCTTCCTTCGTCGTCGACTTGTTGTCTCTGCGAGCTTCTTAGGAGCTTCTTGCTGCTCCTTCTCACTGCTCGTTGTGACGGTAGCGTTTGTGTCGCTGTTGGTGACGGTCTTGGACGACGAGGCAGTCGTCGAAGTCGAGTCGGTTGCCTCGCCGTCATCCGACAGCTCGTCGATGATCATCTCGGCCCGCATGCGCTTCACCAGCCGGCGCATGATGACCTCTCCATCCTGATTCTCACTGACGAATTGTGCCTCGTTGTAGTATTTTCGTTTCCCGCTCTGCTCGCGCTTCCTTCGGAAAATGTCGGCGAGGATGGCGTCATATGTCTCTTGTTTGTCGTCCACGTCCATAACGTCTTCACCAAAGCCGGCCGACCCATCGGCCACGTCCTGCATTTGGACTTCCATGGCGGTCTCCCTCAGGCGAGTACGAACGAAGCCCTTGAGGTCCGAGAGATATTCGACGAGGGTATCAATGTCAGAGATAGGAATGACGTTGGGTTCGAAGATGTGTTTGATGAGGGTCGACTGGTGGTTCTTGTTGAATTTCCAGCTCTCCCTTGATGTCTTCCACTGTCTCAGGTATTCCAGCGCAGGCTTGACGTCGGTGGTCGGCGGGGTCTTGCTCTTCTTCGCGGGGCCTTTGCTCTTCTTGGGCGTGTCGGGCTTGCTCTTCTTGGAGGGTGTTTGTTGTTTGTCGGTGGCGTCGTTCTTGGATGGTGTATCACCAAACTTGACGGACTTCTTTGGTTTATTGGTGGAGGACGGAGTAGCAGCATTCTGAATTATGGATGATGTTGACTTCTCGTCCCTTCGAGCCTTTTTAAGAGGGCTGCTACCGTCGCCGTGCGATGACGGCGGGGCTTCGCCTTTCCTTTTGTGCCCAGTCGAGCCACCTGGATGCCCAACGAGCGCCGAACTGCCATATGCAGGTTCAGATGCAGGGGCACCAGTGGGAGAGGAATTGCCAGACTGCTTCAATGCAAGACCCAGCCTCTTCCAGGCAGGAACACGCTGCGCACTGTCTGCAAATGCCATCTTGGTTGGTGTATTGCGTACTTGCGTTCTGCTGGTGACCTTGTGCGCGTGTGCGTGCTTCAGACGGGCATGCACGATGGTGACAGTGGGTGTGTTCGCTGGCGAGTCTGGACCCACGTGCTGCGAGCCAAAAGCGTTGCCCTAGGACGAGGAAGAATAGTATGCCAACTGGCAGGTTCTAGGCGCTGTGGGAATGCAAGTGACGACGATCCAAGGGCATTGGGTAGAAATGTGCACTCGCGGTCAATGGTTGGGTTTGGTTGGGCATTGCAGCAGCAGCAGTTATTTTTTTTCGTACCCGCTCGGACTGCATCCAAAGGCGGCCGGGATTCGGTCACTTCTGCCCCGCCATGCCTGGAACTGAGGTGGAGTTTAGCCGTCGTTGATCCGGCTCGATCCAACGACGCAAGGTGGGCTGAAGCTCTAGGCAAGCTCGCAAACGCGTACATTGGTGCCATCATCACCAGCTCCGACATCTACGTCTTGACACCCTCACTTCGCACCATCCTCCCCTGCAGCGAGTCTTCTCACTGCTATTCAACACAAAGAGGAGAATTTGGGGAGTCTGATATTTGCCCACAATGTCTGGTTCGTTATGCTCCATGCAACCTGCATGCGCTGCGTCGCTAACCGTAGTACCCCAACAGCTACCGACCGACACATCACCATCTTTGCCGACAATGGTCGCCTTTACCAAGTCGGTACGTATCCCACCGACGTCTCCGAATAACATTTGCCATTTCTCGCAGATTCGACCACCCCTTTGCCCGTAGCGAGCGTGGACTGACGGAACTCCAGAGTATGCTTTCAAGGCCATCACAGCTGCCAACATCATGTCGGTAGGCCTCCGCGGCAAAGACTGTGCTGTGGTGCTGTCTCAGAAGAAGGTTCCCGTACGTACAGGCATGTTTTACGGGTGGGATCGTGCTAATGTGTCCCCAGGACAAGCTCATGGACCCCTCTTCCGTCACCCACATCTTCCAGATCTCCCAGACCGTCGGCTGTGTGATTACAGGATCGATTGCTGATGCCCGAGCATTCGCAACGAGGGCACAGTCAGAAGCCTCAGAGTTCAAGTACAAGTTCGGCTACGAGATGCCCGCGGATGCAGTGGCGAAGCGATTGGCCAACATCAGCCAGGTGTACACGCAAAGAGTGAGTCTACGTTTGTGTCTGTAAAGTCTTGCCATCTCTAACAGCCACTAAGGCATACATGCGCCCGTATGGTGTCGCGACGACCATCATCTCGGTCGACCCCGAGCTCGGTCCCCAACTATTCAAGTGCGACCCCGCCGGCTACTACATTGGGTACAAGGGCACCGCTGCAGGACCCAAGCAACAAGAGGCTCTCAACCACCTCGAGAAGAAGATGCGCAACAAGGACTATGCCGAGGGCGACTGGGAAGAGGTCGTCGAGCAGGCTATCACGACGTTGAGCACCGTATTGAGCATGGACTTCAAGAAGAACGAGATCGAGATTGGCATCGTGGGTGGCCCACGGACAGATGGCAAGGAGGGCACCAGTCCAGCTTTCCGAAAGCTCACTGAGGACGAGATTGAGGAGCGGTTACAAGCGATTGCCGAGAAGGACTAGACTAAAGCCTACCGCACCTTACGACGAATGGACTTGATGAACGTATGACACACTGAGCTCGGTGGATACAAGTCGAATGCACGAGACGACTAAAGAGAGGGACGCCATGGAACTGTCGCTCGGCCCGTGACACGCGGCCAAGGTGTGTAGGTTCGCCAATGTTACGTTTAATTCGGACAAGTACCTAGCGCGCCCAAGGCTTCGGCATTCGCTTTCGTGGCAGGCCAATAGTTTCACTGAAGCGCAGTCAGAGTGACCGCCCTAGAGAAGCTTGAGCGTGCAAAGGCCGCCAATTATACCGAAGACATCTGCTTCTCAGAAGAGAGTCTGAATAGATCCCATTTGCTACATTTCCAGGCTGAGGTCCGGCTTCTCCTGGATGTATTGCTTTTCGTGCGCAGGCTGAGCATCGCTCAGGTCCAATGGTGAGAACTGTCGGCTCACACCGAGACACATTTCGCCTTGAAGCGGTAATTGAAAGTCTACAGTCCGACCTGAACCAGCTCTCTGGAATTTATGGAAAAGCAGAATGGGACCAGGATCAGGGAGTCGGCACCGTCACTCACACGCGGGCGTAATGCAAGACGTGCATCGTCGATATGGCGGATCGCATGTCCAAGTGGATTGCGGATATTGCTCTCCTCGAAGCCTGGGGCCAATCCGTGTCGTCAGCCACCATGTTCAAGCATCTGCCTCAAGCCGATCCCGCGCTTGACACCGGTCCAATCCAGGGGCCAAAATGACTCTTCAGCTCTCGGCGAGTCGACACAGCGTTGCGGGCGTGCCATTGGCCAGCCCAACAGGACGGTAATGCGGCGCGCAGGACGCCGGTGCATGCCCTACAGCCCAACAAGGCAACGGTGGGACGACGAGGCAACCGATTCGGAGCTGAACCACGAGGGAATGGCTCTCTCACCTTCACCGTTGGCGAACAATGAATGGATAGCTAGCTAGCCAGCTAGCTTGCTTCTTGTCTCCCTCCCTCAATGGCGCACGTACATGCGTAACATGCCACCGGGCACGTTTTTCCTGGCGTCCGTGTTGGTTGATGCCAGTGCGCCTTGCAGGGCTGCTTATTGAGACAGGTCTGCCCCAGTGGCGTATGGTTGGACGGGGGACCTAACCAAGTCGGAGCTGGACCCTATCTCACGAAGATCCTCCAGACCATCACCACTATTCGCCGAACCACACATTTCTTTCCTCGTCCCTTTCTAGAGCCGAGAGGAGAGCGGGTACCATGTGGAGTTCACCACGGGAGTGGCTCTCACTGGCGCTGCTAGATGCCTGTTCGCAGCTGAACGTCCTGGCCTTCTCGCCGTATAAGATTTCGCAGACGACCTTTCGTCGCAAGGCTTGGTGTTTGAGACGGAGATGATGCAGTAGTATGCGATAATTCTGTTGAGGAGCTCATGGATTATTGTACAAAAGGTAAAGATGGAGTCCATCCACGACTCCATTGTCATTGTCGAGATGAGACTCGCAACATGGACATTGCTTTTTGATTCTTCATTTTCGTTAAAGACATCTTTATATATCATCCCAATGTATGATTTGAACGAAGCATACTACGATCCATTTACACACACAACGACTTCAGCCACCTGAACATGGACGGCCGTAAGTCCTCAGGCACAGCAACAAGGGGGGCCAAATCGCTGACGAGCATCAAGTCAATGAATACCGCACAGCTCGCGTTGCACAACTATTAGAGGACTTTCGCACACTCCAGTACTACATCGCCGCCGCGCCCACCGAGCCACCCAACGCAGATGACTATTACACAGAGGGCTGGGCTGCTCTCCGGCAATGTGCCATTGACGGCCAGCACATCCTCGAGTGCGCAGCTGATACCAGAGTACCCACCACAAGCGGCGGCGAGGAGGAACAGTCCAAAGCCGAGCTGAGGCAGTATGTTGTCCTTTGACATGTGGCTGTATGTTGTCTGACAAGACCAAGGGTTCATCTTGATGCGCTTGCGAGGCGCCACGAGGCTCAGAAGATCTTTCTTCGACAACAAGCCGCGCAACGGTGGATAGAATGGCGAGACCAGGTCCTTCAAGGGGGACGGCCAAGTTCCAAGACCCGTGCCGCATTGCATGCCTGCGATTTGCAACTCCGCACCGTGAGCTGCCCAGCCCTGTTTGGTGAATCAGGAGACTGACTCTGCGTAAAGGAACTCGCTGCCATCACGGATGAAGACATATACAACGACCTGTTGACTTCCGACATGGCATTCGGACGCTGGACAGCCGAGGATCCAAGTCCCAGGGCCGTTGTGCGCTGGCTTCGCGCTCGGCGGTAATAGCTCCCGCGTCCCCTGAAGCCGTCAGCAAGACTCGAGCGTGGCGTAGGCGCTCATCAAGTTTTATTCTGCGGGCGCGACAAGGGGCGCCATGGCTGGCACATGGTTCCCAGCGCGACAGCAGTTACAAAAGGATCCGAACATCTGCAATCTGTAAAATGGTCATAATAGGTATACACAAGGATAGACGGGGCGTTTTTGTCAGACATCATGGCCTTGTCTTGGGTTGTTTTCTCATAGCGATGGAGCCAGTTTCTAGCGCAACGACCAGATAAAATAATAATCTGTCTGCCCGGGCAGGTGTTTCTTCCCACGAAGATGACCGATCTTGGATAGTGATATGCTCACGCTTGTTGTCAGTGATCGAGGCACAAGTTTGATATCGCGAATCTGTTAGTCAGTGCTATGGAGCTGGCCATTACTGTTTGCTTGACACACAGAGACCAATCCCGACCAGCGAGAACATCATACCGACTGCCGTATCTAGAGTGCGTCAGCTTTGAGTCCCCTTTGGATTGGGAGAGATCTGGCTTACCCCTGCTGATCACCTTCTTTTCCACATACCACTCGCCAAGAACCGTGAACAAGAATGCCATGGTGTTCACAATAGGAACGGTCAAGCTGAGTTCTGTGTTACGTCAGTCTTTTTCGTCTTTTGGACGTTGCAGTACACGGGATCTCGAGGCAACACGTCGACGCCATGCATCTCGGAGAAGACGCGTCACTCACCAGCTTGTCCAATTAATAAGAAGAACCAGATGCTGCCGGTGAGATTCAGCAGCAGCGGTACGGCGTATCGCGGGTTCTTCAGCAAGTCAACCACGCCAAAGAACGCGCCGTACAGCTTGCTCTTGACCCAGCTATCTTTGATGGATGGGTGGTCCAGCGTAGGATGCGCCGGAGGCGTGTGCGTGCGCGCAGCCCTTCTGATGAAGGGTGTGGTGAACCCCCATGCCAGGCCAACCAGGATAAAACTGAGAATATAGTTGAAGACGGGTGGGTTATCTTCAGCCATGGTGATGGTTGACCGATTCTACTAATAATACGTAGATGAACCTTCAGTGACGATGGCGGATGGTTCGTTGCGCGGCACAGCCCCCTTTAGCCACAGCCGTTAATGGCGGGTCGCACCGCCAGGTGTGGCAGTTCTTGTCAGCCCCACTGAATCATGTGGCGCATTAGCATATAGGTGAAAGGTGTGGCTGACGTTGCGGCTGTTGTGGCTTCCCCAAAAGGGGACGATGCTCCGGGGTTTTGAACCTTTGCGGCCATGTCAAACATTGGGGTCCCATTCACCGTCATAGACAGCACCGTCAATCTCCCTGTGCTTTGCTTTTGGCACAACCGAAAGCTTGGACCGATCGGTAACACTGTGACGAGGCCAACTGCGTCAATGGCACCGCGATCACGGGCATTGGAATATGGGGCCGTGGCCTGCGGCCTGCCTGTGGCCCGCCAAGAAGGCACATCAAGGCGATCGCTCACACGACACATGTGTATCAGATCAGATCTGCCCCGAAGCTTAGCTTCGATGCCCCCAGACCCTTTAATCGAAGCAAGCCCCCACAACAGGTGCACGGGACCTCGCGTCCCCTTTGCGTTGTTCAACCTCTTTCCACGGCACGCATCGCGGTTTCAAGCAGTCGATGAATCATCATCGAACCCTTCCCCTGGTTGAAACCTACCTAGCTCGCGGCTGCATAGTGGGTTTCCTGTTCATTGGGTTGTTCAATCTGAGGCTACCGGAGGGTTTGGTCCTGAATGTCTTTGACGTTCGACTGCGTACCTCAGCCAGCTGCATAGCAGACTACGTACCAAGTCTAGGCTGGCTTGCTTGCATACGATGATCAACGCACCCCAGAAGCGAAGCTCGGGAAGCGGCCGTGCCTGGGTACATCTTTCAAGATGTGCCTGCCAAGTTGTCTACATGGAATTGTTGCCAAATGCTGTGCTCCTCGAAGTATCACCAACCAGATGCTAACACTTGAACCGCAATTGAGCACGCAGCGAGTGCTACTGTCATAGCTTCTTCGCTTATCATCCATGCCTAGTTTCGATTCCACCAGGGCTCTTCATACTGACTATAACAGACCGCCTCGATCGAAAGCTTGACGGGTGCTCAAGGGGTTCCATCTTAGCCCCGGTCCCTGGGGCGATTCAGCCCCCTCCGATCATCCTCGTTCTCTCACGATTCTGCGATAGGCCGCTTCGTGGTGTCTCATCCAGAGAGCATTCACCCCAGTAAACGACGTCAATGATCGTGGCCTTTCTTTTATTGACATATCTCAACGATGACGCTCTCTGAGAGCTGAGGGCAGGCAGCCAACAGGCGGATTGCGTCAATGGTGATCTTAATGGCTGCTACTTGAACATGGCATCGGTCGATGGCAGTAGGTATCAATGTCTATAAGAAGCTGGTCATCTTCCGCGTTGGATACAGTTCTCCTCATCATTCTCACCAGCACCATCATACCAGCTCTCCAACACAACTCTACACAAACACTTAACCACAACCCCCTACCAACAACCACTCATCAATCATGTCTGAAGCTCAGGTTGCCGGCGGCCACAAGGCTAACCTCAACAACCCCAACACCTCTGAGGAGGCCAAGGAGCACTCTCGCCAGGTCCTCAACGAGGAGTTCAACGGCGGTGACGGTTCGTTTACCTCGTCTTCCGGTCACTTGACAACCTAGTTAACACGGTACAGTCCCCAAGGCCACCGACAGCGGTGACAAGAACCCCAACAATGTTGCCGGCGGTCTTAAGGCGTAAGTTTCACGTTTTCTGTGCCCGACAAAATAGATACTGAGCATCAACAGCACCCTGAACAACCCCAAGGTCAGCGATGAGGCCAAGGAGTCTGCCAAGGAGCGTCTTGGACAGATGGATAACTAAACATCCACTACTTGCATGCAGATGACATTCTGAAGAATGGGCGTTTCGCGGGGGATACGAGCGCAGGAGTTTCTTATGGTTCAGCAGCTAGCACAGTGACAATTAATATGCCTTGAACATCTACCATAATCATCTCGATCCGTGAGAGAACGCGAAGCAACCAATGAAGCACATAGTTGCGTGTGATAAATACGCTCGTTCCTGCAATTTCTTTGCTCTCTCTAAAGCATGGTCACGTTGAGAGAACTGAGCAGTTGTCGTTGCTTTGTCGAGGCATGCTCTTCGGGTGGTCAAAATAGGAATCAAATTCAAGTACCCATATCACAGCTAGTTAGACACTAGACGACACGACATTTCCGCCAAATCAGGTGTAGAAGCTGAGTGCCACTTGTCCTCATGTGAGATCCCTGCGGGACTTGAGCGTGACGCTACTGCAATCCTCGCTATCATATACGGTGAGCTTCTGGAGTACGTGAGACTGATAGCATGAATTGGTGTCCCTAATGTGGACTATGCTCGAGATGTGAATGATGTGGTCGTAAACAACTTCACTCACTTACTTAAATGCTGTACAAAGGGTAGATCATGCCACCGCTGACAAGGGGAGCATGGGCGAATCCTCTGGTGCGTGTACTTTAGATCTCAAAGAACAAGACCCTGATCCGCCTCGCAACTTCAGTACCGAAGTCTTCTGTTCCAATTGCTTCGGAAAGATGATAGCTCAGTACCAGGACCTGGTCAATAGTTGGGTAGCGAAATGCCATCTAGGCTAGTCCCGGCATTCCAGGGGCTGGCTTTTCAAGCGGCAACGTTTGGGTTCCAATCGGAATGAACGTAACCACTGGCCAATAATGCTTATCACAGCGCACATGGTGGACAATGGAGCAGTTTATAATTCGCGTGCTGCCACAGACGCGACACCATGATATATCGAACCCACTTCATTGCTTGTGCCACTCAGAGGTGAGGGTGACTTGGAAAGGTCGCAACCAAATTCGCGAGAATGACCACCCCGCGGCCAGCCATACCCTCGCGCCTTGCGTGCCTTATGCTGGTGGGGTCCGGCGGAGGCCTGACTCGCAGGGCATCGTGAAGCGAAGGTGGCAACGACAGGCTCAATTGACTTTCCCGCCAGTCTTTGCGGGCTGCAGGATAGACTTGCGGTTTCTTGGGGGGACCAATCACCAAGAATGGCTTGCTTCATACCACCCAATCACTGCTGCACGGCATGAATGCCATGAGGCGATGTAGTCGAAGGATGTTTTCGACCAGCGTTTGACGAGGTCACGAGAGTGCGAGCTGCCATTGATGTGGATGGTGAGAATCAGGAGGTCATGGGGGAAGATGTATTAGGATGCCTACCCTACAGCCCCAGGAGAGACTAGTCCTTCGATCAAGCGTTCACGTCGGTCAGAACTCCTGGTCCACGCCGCGAATGTCCTCCTAGGATTGCCTTTCACCTTAGGACGTGTGAAACGCTAGCTGTCAACCAGGCGTTGGAAAATGTTCTTGCATCTCACTGACAACGGCACCACCTGACCATCAGGAGCGGCCGTTAGACCCCGCCACGGCGTCCGTCACCCACTATGTCCGTCTCCAGTCACGACTCACCACCCACTTTCAATGCAGCCAGACGAGCGGGACCCCTCCCTCAAGCTGGAGCTCGACAATGCCTGAAAGTATAACCCAACCAAAAGCAGCCAGGCACTTTCATCTCCAACCAAATCTTTGCCATTCCCTGGTGCTGCTTGCAACCCTTACTTCAATCCATCATCATTCGACCCGAGACAGCGACGAGCAACCCTCATCATTGGCGACCGCAGATCAACGTTTCACCAGCCAGCGTGCCTCGTCTCCCTGGCGGCAGTGCGTTGACGACATAGTCGCCATCTCGGCACTTGCATCGCCTTGCCTTGCCTCGCCTTGCCTCACCAACCTCGCAAAGTTTCCAACGACCGAAACGACCGACATCCCAACGTCGCCAACATGAACCCACACCAGAAGAACAAGGTCGACGTCAAGGTGAATTTGGAAACAGAACATTCTGTCCGACGTCCCATGCTCTAACACGATTGCGCAGAACCTCTCCCCCGAGGAGCAACGTCTCTTCCGCCTCTACGGCAAGCTGCCCTCGCGCTCCGACCACTTCGCCAAGCACCTCAAGGACCGCAAATACTTTGACTCGGGCGACTACGCCATGTCCAAGGCCGGCAAGGGCGACGGCCTCAACGACGGCGCTGTCGGCTCCGAGCACCCTGTGCCCGAGAACATCCCCCACCTCTCGTCGCCCATCAACAATGTCACCAGCACCAGCCCGACCAACAACGCCGGACAGCCCGCGAGCGGGAGCTTGCCAAAGCATGCCCACCACGGCAGCGTGCCCGGGATCCAGGCCGGCAGCCCGATCAAGGAGGGAAGCTTCCTGCAGCGCGAGACCAGCATTGACGACGTCGACAAGGAGCAGAAGACCGGGGCGGAGACATCGGAGTCACTCGCTGCGAGCGATCCGATCCCCATTCGAAGGTGAGGCGTTCGTTGCACGCGCCTCGCGAAAGAGACGGGGAGAGGGAAGGGAAAATCATTTTACTATGTCACAAGGCAGTGTTAATCCGGCGTTGATGAGGAACCGCAATCTTTCGCATCCTACTGAGGTGATCGCCGTGCGTCACCAGAAAGTCTCGCTGAATGGAGTCATGCCATGAGCACGAGAGTGCGTAGGAAGACTGGCTGGGACTGAAGGCGTGTGGGGAGGTTGTCTTTTCCATGATGTATCTAGTCGACTATGCCTACTAGCCTTATGCAGCTGCATCTCAGCTGTTGTCTGAACGACCTTTTCATTTTTTTGTTCAACCATGTCCAACCCTTTTCCCCCTCCAGATGGGGCTTTGCGCATCGCTTGTTGAGATACCTAACCCTGAAGAGCCTTCTCGGCCATCGCCTTGGCGCCCTCAAAGGTCTTGTTGCCTCCGATGAAACCAGCCGCATGAACGAAGACGCATCCCTCGATGCCGGCAATGCCATCCAGCTCCGCATCCCGGAAACCCCTCCACGCCTCGGGCAGGGGCTTGCGGCTCACAAACGAGTCCTTGCTCTCAGGCACGCACTGAATCCTCCACTTGGCATCGGGGGCCGGGCTCTCGGGGTACAATACGTAGAGAGTCGAGGGCTTGCCGTCCTCAAGAGAGTAGAGATGGTCCTTCCAGGGCACGCTCTGGCCGTCGAAGACCAGGACCCGACCCTGCGCGTCAAACTCTGACTTGCGGTCGAATGCTTTTTGCACCACGGCGCGCGCGGGGAGCCAGACGTTGGCGTAGTAGTCGAGATCCCGCTCAAACTCCTCGCCGATGCGCTGGCTGGCCACTAGGAACTTGTCGTCCTCGGCCGCCTGCGCCTCGCTGGGGTCCTGGGGCTTGGGGTCGTTCCAGTTGGGGTTGAGACGGCCGACCATGGCGCCGAGCCCAAAGCCTCCGTCCGAGAACCTCTTCTCCAGCCCGGCGGCGGCGATGGCGGCGGGGTCGTACACGGAGATGCCATTGTCGTGGGCGTCCAGCGCCTCGACAAAGTTCTCGTACAGCTTGCCGTACAGCAGGTCGACGTCCTTGATCGCCTCGCCCGCCGGGAGCCCGAGCTTCTGCGCGATGATGGCCTTGCCAAAGTGCATAAAGACCAGGCCGGCACTGCTCAGCTTCGTGGGGCGGCCGGGGAACGTGGTGCCGAAGCCCCTCTGGTGGTGATCGTAGCGGTTCTTCTGGGCGTCGTATTCGCCGCCGACGTCGACTACCGTGTGGCACGTCTCGAGGACTTTCGGGTCACGCGTGCGGACGAGCGGCGAGGTAGAGTATGTGGGCAGCAGGCGAAGCATGTGAACTGCCAGCGCCTCATCGGCGTGAAAGTGCCCATTGTGAGTGCCAATGAGCGGCGACGAGGGGTTGGTCTTGATGCGCTTGGCGGCTGATTCGGTCGACATTTTGAGAATGTGTCTGAGCATAGAGTATGGATAAGTTTCGTGGATTGGGTCTGGATGCTTCTGATGCACCAAAAGTCGAATAGCTTTTGCTGGTTCAGCACGTTAAGGGTCTCCCGAGAACGTAGCCAATGGGGATCAAAGAATTATGCGGCCAACTCCACAGCTGAGCCGCCACGACCCTCTGTCACTCAAATTTGCACAATTGAAGGTATTGAACGTCACTCGTTGATTTAAGCCAAGTTAGAATAGCAATTGTGTCCGACCGGACCGAATCTTTCAAGTTCACTTGTCCAGGATCTATAGGCACAAGCTCGTATTGGGATCACAATGCCATGCAACGGCCAGTCACATCACTATGCATCTTCTGGAATGGAAAAGTAAAGCGTGCAATGAAATGCTCACAGAGCAGTTGGTATTCATGTAGACTCAATCCCCAAATAACTCCCGAAGCACCCTTCCGCTTCGTAATGCATGGTTCCGTTCATCCAACCGGGGAATATGCTCATAATCATACACAGCAGCCTGCTTATTTGGCGGCCGCATCCTTGGGCAGCTCGCCCTCGACGGCTTGGCGGCCGACGTTGCTCAGGTCCTGGGCCTCCTTGCTGGCGGGCTCACGGAGACCGGCCTTGGAGGCATCATTGGTGCCAATGTTGGCCTCGGCCTCGGAGCGGCCAGAGCCCACGTTGACGGTGCTGGCATCGGCGGACTGCCAGTCGGAGGTGGCGGGAGGCTGCTCGGGGAGAGGGAGGTTGGCCTTGCGCTCCTCAATGGTCTGGTCCTTTGACTGGGTCATGTCTGGTGCAAAAGCTATCAGTCGCGTGCTCCATCTCCGCAAAGACGCTGATGAGAACTCACTGGCTGTTGTGTGTTGTGTCTGGGTGGTGAGAGAAGGTGGATTGTGTGTTGGAATTCTGGCTTATGGTGGTGAAGCAGGAGATGTGATGATATGAGAGGAAAGGAAAAAAGCTTGTCATGTAGCGCAAAGCATCTTAAATGGCAATCCCATCGTCCTTTCAGTCTCTTCAACTTGCGTGTTGCGTCGTGTGAAGAGCCTGGACGAGCGCCTGACGTCACTGACGTCAATTGAGGGGCAGAAGCTCCGGCCTCTTACGCCAAGAACCCCCACTATCGCGGGCGGAACTGCGATTACACGCTCGATGTTTGCGACCCCGCTGGGATTGGCGTTTGACACCTAAAAGTATAGCACGTACGTAGTGCTGGAATGATGAGAGCAATGCACTGTTGCGGCTCCCTAGGCACCAGCCTTGAGGGAATTCATGTGCACTGCGTTCTCTCATGTTCCATCACTTTCCCATGCGGGAGCCTGAGGCGTCATCTCTTCTTCAATGTTCAGCTACCGTCAGGTAATACTCAAGCCATATGGCAGCTTGGCCTGCGAGTGAGCGCGAGTCGGGGGAACCTGAAGACCCAAGCGTGTCGAACGATACCTGTCTTGGTCCCTGGAGTACTGAGAAAAAGCAGTCGTGACATTCATTATCTAAGTTGGTGACCGAAGATTTCAAGCCCCAACCCGTCTATCACCTTCCGCCGACGTAGGTTGCGCCTGTCCACCGTCTGGGTTTAAATAATCCGCACTCTCGGCAGCCTCGTACTCCCCAATCAGATCTGTGACCACGGCTCTCGCCTCGTCGAATTCGTGAAAGTCCTCGGCAAACGGTGCGGTGCGCTTGTACGTCTCGATAAAGGCATTGCGCTTCCGCATGCCGTCGTACTGCTTCACGATGCGCTTGAATAGCTGGGCTATTGTCAGTATCGATTGTGCTGAACTTGAACCCCTGCGTTAGTCAGGGGAAGGAGGAGATGTATGCTTACCGTCGCAATGCTTGTGTGATTTGCCAACATGAGTCCGCTGACACGGTGGCTCATTGGGATATACGGGCTCCTCTTGGTCAGGGCCACCTGGATGCTTGCGGGCCCCCAGGGGATAAACGTAGCCAGCCGTCGCTCCCTGATTCTGAGGAGACTCTTGTGCACATCCGTCGGGTCGACCTCTCCCTGAATCACATTCAAGATGGAGATGTAGCAGCTCTTCTTACCGGGCACGGTGGACACCATGCGGTTCTTTGGCTGGAGGAGGCGCCGCATCACTTCGAGGACGGTCGTCTTGCGAACAGTCTTGGCGGACTCGACCTGGTCGCCCGTGAAGGGGGTGTAGGCGGTCATGAGAAAGTGGCATCGCGGTGTCGGAATGAGCGAGGCGAGGATGCTGACAAGGTCATTGTGCATGTAGCCGGGGTATCGTAGCGTGGTTGTGCTGGCAGACATGACCGTCGCCACGAGCTGGTTTGTCTGCTGGAACGAGGGTTCCTGGACGTGCAGTCTGTCAGCTGCAATGTGCGACAACGCTCCATTGTCCAGGACCACCACAGAATCCGCATTCTGCGTCAACCGCCGCAGTGACAGGAGACTGTTGTAGGGATGTACCACTACGTCGCCCGAGTTTGTCGGATCCGGGAAGACGGAGTAAGTCTGGATGATCTTCTTCGGGAACCGGTCGTTGAGCCTCTCGAGCATGAACGAGCCCAGTCCAGATCCCGTGCCACCAGCAATGGAGTGCAGCATCATGAAGCCCTGGCACGTCAGTCAGTAAGCCCTGGGTCTCTTGAGGTATGACATATGCACCTCTAGCGAGTCACTGCCATCCGCCTCGCGATCAATCATCTCGAGTATGTCCTCATAGAGAGTCTCGCCGTGCTCGTACCCATCTCCCCAGTTATTCGCCGCGCCTCGTCCGTCTTTGCTGATGAAGAAGTTCTCCGGGTTGTAGATATTCTTGTACGGCCCATTCTGGATCCCGTTTATCACGCGCGGCTCAAGGTCGATCATGATCGCACGTGGAATGTAGCGCGTGTCGTCAGACTGGTAGTAGAAGACATCTTTGCGATCGCCTCCCTCGGTCGCAAAGTCTTCGAGGTTGCCGTCGCGTGAGATACCATGCTCCTGGCAGAGCTGCTGCCAGAACTGACTGCCGACTGTTTCCCGCGCTTAGCTCAGTGGTCCAGGAGGCTCAAAGGATCGCATGGTCTACTAACTGCTGTTGCCGCATTGCCCAGCCTGGATGGTGATGATTTCTCTGCAAATGATCAGACAATGCGATACGCAGACGATCGAGGGTAATCTACCGAGGCATCTTACTGTCCGGGCCTCGACGAGGCGCAGTGGCTGTATCGTACCTAGCGAGAAGTGGTGGAGAGGTGGGAAAATGGCGGTCGACGCGACGCGTTTGGCGATGCCCGTTTCAATCGTCAAGTCACTTGCTGCACTAAGACCCCGACCCGCCCCCACGACGGCATCATGGCGCTACGTATTACAAACTTCATGTTTCTTCTATCAAGCCATCTCGAGAAGACTCCATTTCACTGTTAGAACACAAACGAGATCGGGACCTGAGCAATTTAAATTGAGTATGTGTACATCGCATCGGCCCAAACTGCTGCTGTTGTGCGATCAGTCTGCAAAGTAGACCCAGTCCGCGCGAATTCCATGCCATGAGACGCCGGCAATGCTCAACACAAAAGCCAAATAACTACCTACCTTTCTATATACAATATTGTTCGTCTGCCTCGTGCGAAACCTGGCCTTATACTTTACTCGACCACATTATTTTTTGTTCGCTCCCTTGTGCTCCTCCACCTTGTCCGCCAAGGCCTTCGCCAGATCTTTCGTCTTGACCTGTATCATCCAGGTCTCCAGACCGTCGCCGGTCGCGTTGCCTGTCGTAATTTTCACGTACTTCTCCTCAGCCTTGTAATCAAAGTCGGGCATGACGCTTCTGTTCAGCGCCACGTGGCCCCTGGGCTCTGCGCGAAGAAGCAGGCGCACATTTCCAGACTCCGTGTTCTTCAGGAGTCGGAGGTTTCCGACACCTTGCGTTGACCAAGGGCTTTTCGACTTCGTCTCTGCGGCCTCTTCCGGGCTCACAAACTTCAGAACCTTGGCGCGTACCTCGTGCAACGTCTCCTCGCCCTCCTCTGCAGCATCCGCGAGGTTGACCTGCTCGTGCTTCTCTGCGTCTTCGTCTCCGTCCTTGGTGTCGGCACCAGCAGCACCCGCACCGCCACTGGCTGCCGACGGCTCAGGTGTCCCGCGGGCAGGTGTCGTCGCCAGACTGGAACCGCCACCGAGGTTGGATGGTGTGTCTATTTCCGTCGTTTCAGCGGGGCAATCTTCCTCGATCCGGGAGCAAGTAACTTACTGGTCCCTGAGGATGGCGGAGCGAGGAAAGAAGGTGGTGCAGCGGTTTGGGTGTTTGGCTGCGTGGAGCCGTTGGCCCCAAAGCTGAACATGGCGCCCGATGATCCTGCCCCAAAGGACGGCGTGCTGGCGCTGTTGTTGCCGAACGAGGTATTGTTGCCAAAGGAGCTTGCGTTGCCAGCGGTGCTAGCACCAAATTGGAAACTTCCTCCAGCATTCGACGAGGCAGACTGGTCTTGGCCACCAAAAGTGAAAGACGAAGGAGCTGACTTGGATCCCGCATTGTTGTCGCCGTTGGATGCGAAGGGGTTGCTGAAGGATGTCCCAGACTGCGCGCCCGCGTTACCGCCACCATTCGTGCCGGAACCACCAAAGGAGAAGTTGAAGCTGCCTCCAGCGGGGGTGCCGCTAGGACTTTTGCCATTGCTGTTCCCCCCAAACAAGTTACCACCGCTGCCATTGGGCACATTGTTCGAAGTCTGACTACCGAATAGGTTGCTAGTGGGTGCGGTACTTTGCGTGCTGCTGGCGCCGAAGGAGAACGAAGGCGCCGGCGTAGACGCTGCATTGCTGTTCAGACCACCGAAAATGGGCTTGGCCGGAGACTTGTCGTCTTGCTTCATGGGACTACCATCAAACATGTTGCCTGTTCCGGCTGACGCAGGTGGTGACTTGGGCGCCGCAAACAGGGGTTTCGACGCAGGTGCTGAGGATTCCGCCGGCTTGTTGGCGTTTGCTCCGAAGCTGAAAGTTGGAGCGGCAGAGGGTTTCGTGGCGTCAGAACCAGCATTGCTGCCAAACAGATTGGTGGTCTGTGGAGCGGTGGTAGTCGCACCACTGCCAAAGAGGTTGCTGCTGGTAGTCGTTGCGGGCTTCGCTCCAAACAACGACGGGGACGCGGCAGCTGCATCTTTCTTCTCATCAGGTTTCGCACCGAACAGTGAAGGCGAAGTACCCGTCTTCTCTGGAGCCGCAGATGAGCCAAACAGAGGTTTCTGCGCACCAAACAGGGGGGCGGATGTGGTAGACACTCCATCCTTCTGCTCCGTGGCGGGCTTCGCAGCGCCGAACAGTGACGTGGATGGGCCAGACAGACTGCTAGGCTTCTCCGACTCGGCAGGCTTGGCACCAAACAGAGTAGATGACTGCATCACGGCAGATGTCGTAGAGCTAGCAGACTCTGCAGGCTTGCTGGCACTGCCAAACAGGTTGGAGGGAGGCTTGATAGGGGGAGCACCGAACAAGCCTGTTGGCGCGGCCTCGGGCTTCTCGGCCGCTGGTTCCTTAGGCTTCTCAGAGAATATCGATCCAACAGCAGGCTGCTGGGGCTTCGGCTCGGGCAAAGCCTTCTGGGCATCTTGAGAGCCATTCTCCTTGTCTGACTCGCTGCCATCCTTCGACGTGTTGGCAGCCTGCGTGTCCTGTTTGGGGGCGCCAAACAAGTTCGATGCTGGTGCTGCCGAAGTGGACTTGAAGATGGATGCAGACGCATCTTTGGGGCCGCCAAACGCCGAGCTAGGCTGCGCTGAAGGCGCAAATTTAATGGGAGTGCTGCCAGGGTTCCAAGTCTGGTCTTTGGCCGGGAACGAAGCTCGTGCAGTCTCTCCGACAGGAGTAGCAGCCCGCATCGGCTCCCCGTTGCTGTCCTTGGTGACACGGTCGAACAAGCCACGAGCCGGTGTGCTCTCGCGTGTCCCTGCTGCGCTTTCCCCAGTGCTGGCTTCGAAGGCAGGTCGCTTCGCACTAGGCTCTTCGATTTCCTCGGGCTCAGAGTCCGTCTCGCTCTCCGCATCAGCATCGGCATCCTGCCCACTGTTCTTTGCAGATCCGGAGTCCGAAAGGTGCCCAAAGATGTTTCCACCCGTACTAGCCGGCTTCTGGACGGCATCGGATTTTGCATTATTCTTGAGGACAGACTGCATGAGCGAGTTGCCTGTGGGCTTAGGTGCAAAAGCGCTGGGTTTCGCAGGCGTGGCAGCGGGCGTTGTGGACCCTTTGTTGGCAGCTCTCTCGAAAGCAGACCGGGCGCCTGATGTTGGCTTCTGCAGCTTGCTAGGCTGGCTCTCGACCTCCTCTTCGTCGGTATAGGCCTTGCGTTTGTTGGGGGACGCTGCAGGGGCTTGGGCAGGAGCCGCAAGGACAGGCGTGGCTGAAGCAAAGGCGGGCTCGGCATCATCAGTCCTGTTGTCGCTAGCACGGCGCTTGCTGCTCTTTGTGACCGGCTCGCGGATGTCTTCGTCGGAGCCCTCATCAAAGGTCTTCCGCTTCTTGATGGCAGAAGCTGACACGGATGCTTTGGTGGGTGTAGCTACTGACTCGTCGTTCTCCAGAGGCGTCATGCCATGCTCTCTACGCCATCGCTTGATAGTCTCCGGATCCGCTTTTACGTTTTTGAATTCGTACAGGTCGTAATGCAACATGACCAGTGTTCGACTCTTCTCGTACTCCTTGGCAAAGCTGACGATATTGAGCCGCCAGCCTTTGCGAATGAATATCTCGTCGGCGGTATGCTTGAGTCGTCGCATGTCGAGGATACAAAACCACTGTCGTCGCTGCTCGTCGTCGAACTCTTGGGGGCAAAGATCGGCAAGATATTGATCAGCGTAGATGGGATTCTTCGGATCCCAGCCCTTCGGCACCTTGTTCTCGAGGGCCTCGCCCGTGAGCTCTCGTGCCGGCTCTTCAATCCTCATTGGGAAGGTTGGCACATCAGACATCTTTTTCGCAATCCCCCTAGCGGATGGGTACGCAATCTTCTCCCTCTGTACGCGTGCCGAAGCGGGAGTGCTGCCCGCTGGTGGATCGAAGAGCTTCTGCTTGGGTGTCTGTGAAAAGCTTGGTGAGAAGGGCGCGGGTTTGGGGCTTTCTGAGACGGTGGATGATCGGAAAATGTTGGTTGACCCAACGAAGCTACGTCCCAAGCTACTTGCGGGCGCATCGTCGTGCGTCGTCAGGATCTTGCGAACAGACCCAGGAGTGCCTCGTCGCGGAGACGCGGCATAGGGCGACGCGGTCGACGACGCGAAGGCGCGCTTCGCAAACGGGAGCGGAGGCCGTGATCGCGGCGTCGCAGACTGCGGTGCGTCGTCCATTGAAAAGGTCACCATGGTGGATGGTCGGTTCTGTCGCGGATCGACACCGAGTTCGGGGGTGGCAATCGAACACGGAAGTCCGCGGTGTACCTGTACGGAGGTGGAAGAAGCCTTCAGACAAAGGCGCACCGAGATGTTTGTGTGGGACGGAAGAGCTGTGCAAGCGGTATGGGGCGTCGAGGTCGAGGAGCGCGACTAGATGTCCCTATCCGCGTGTACGGTTGATGGTGGAAAAGATGAGTCGTCGCCCCAGCGACGATGACAAAGGTGCGCGCGACGAGAAACAGAATCAAGAAGGTGCGAAAATAGAAACTCGCACCGGAGGGTCCGTGCAAGAAAGCGGGCGTGAAAAACCTCGCAAATGGAGATGAAAGACGCGGATTGTTGCGAGTTATTGACACGACCACGCCCGGGCGGTGTTTGTGGTGGAAAATTGCAAAGGGACTGGAAGCGAGCGGTTGGCTACGCTGCTCTTGTTAGCCTTATTAGTGAACGAACGGCTCTAGCGCCTTCTTCCAGTGCTTCAGTGCAGGGAAGGGGCCGTCTGGCGAGTGGCTTCCAGGATTCCGAACTTTCGCGGGTCATTGTTAATCCGTCACAATCACTTAGAGCACATCAAGCCTGCTCCTTAGACTAACAGCACTAAACCGCATTGAGAAACCGACCGTGCAGTTCACTTGCAGCTGTTATTCACCTGCGTCATACTCCGTACTAGCTGGTCGTCACAGTGAACCACATAATCACTTCTTTCACCACATTCTAGTCCTTAAGTTGTGAAAGGCAAATTGAGCATAGTGTGATACTAACAGAGGAGAGCTTCAACAAGGAGTGTCCTAATCGTATCCTATCCGTGGTAGTAAAAAAAGAGTCGCGCAGTAGGCTAAATCACAATCTCGTAGCCCTGACAAAAAGCGCCCAGAAATACAAAACTTCCGTGTCCTAGCTTCCTCACTTGGAGGGAGCGAACAGCTCCTCATCCGAGGCGTCAAGAACATCATACTCCTCGTCGGTCAAGAAGTCATCCGACGCATCCCAGTCTACACTCTGACCGCAGTCGTCGAACTCTTCAGCAAGGGATGACTTGCGACGCTCGGTGGATGCCTGGCTCTTGACTTCCTCGTGGACACTAGCTACAGGAGACTCCTTCTCCAGTTTGGGGAAGATCATCTGGCTAGACTTGGTATCCTCTGCTGTCTCAGCCTCGGCCTCGACTTCGGGGGTCTTTTCAGCGAGCGCGTCAGACTGCGTAGCGGCAATGTCCTTGTGCTTTAGACCGTCCCGAAGCAAGCGATGGCGTTGGCAAGGCATGATGTCGCGGACGTTGACCTCACACCAAAGGCGATGGCCGAAACGGAAGCCATCCGAAGTGCTTACACGCCAGTACGAAACGACCTTGCCAGGATGGGCAGGTGTGCGAAGCTTGACGGTGAAAGAGAACTCTTCTCCTGGGAGGATGGGGCTAGGGCAGGCATTGGAAAACGAGGCGACGTATAGCTGCGCGGTGCTGATAGGGCGGGTCGAGTCGACGTCGCCCATGTAGTCACCGGCAACATGCTTCACACAAGTCCCAGCAGGCCAAGCGACCTTGCCGCTGTTGCGGAGGGTCCAAGTCTGTTCAAAAACGTGCTTTGGTGGCCTGATGGAGCCGTCAACAACCGTGTCGCGAACAAACTCGGCACACAGATCGTCCGGCACCACATGCTCCTTCTCTTGCTTCTGGCTGGGCTCGTCGACCGCCTTCTCAACAACAGCCTCATTTGACACCTGGGTATCGTTATCAACCATAGGCTGAGACGCCGCGGGGGCAGTTGTCGGCTGCTCAACAGGGATTCTGTCGCCCAGGATAGTTTCCTGGCCGTTGCGCTCATCGTGCGTGGTGACGCTCACGTTGCGTATAGGCGTCGAGAACTTGATAAGCGGATGGGATTTGTTGTGCTGCAAGAATGGACTGGCCTCGCAACTAGCGCAGAAGTCGACGTCGTGGCAGACAGCACACTTGTAACGGATTCCACGAATGTAGGCCGGATAGCCCTTGCCTGTGGAGCAGAAGGGCCCATCACAGCAGATGCCCTCGTGAACCGATTGGGTTGACGCGCAGCTCGTGAGGTGGTTGGCTTTCAAAGGCTCGTACACTGGGATGAAGCGATGGCGAGGGTGAATGAGGTCTGCGTTGGGAGCACAATCGTTGCAAAAGTCCCAGTCAGGACAATCGAGGCATTTGTGGCGGATGCCGACGATGAACTTGTCGCAGCCATCACAAATAGCCTGATGCGCCTGGTTGCGGCCAGGAGACATCTTTGCGCGAACCAAGTCAGGGATGTACGTGCCAGCCACCGCAGGCGAAAAGCGGTGCGTCGGGTGATGCCCATCAATGTCATTGGGGAAGCAGTCTAGGCACAGATCAAAGTCAGGGCAGACTTGGCAGTGCATGAACTTTGCCTCTGGTAGCTCTAAACAAAATGTCAGTGGAAAGACCACGGTATTAGACAGAAGGAATCTCCGTACCTCGAATGCAGCTGTTGCAGGTGCGGATACCGGCAGCGAAGTAGTTCGACAAGCTGGCGCCAACATTCAGGCTGGCAAACTTCTCTTCCAACTGAGCCCAATTGGCACCCTCGTCCACTGTGGACGGTTCGGCAAGCTGAAGCGGCAAGTTGAGGGTTTCGAGCTGTGAAGTCATGTCATCATGCGGGTTTACGCTTTGACTCGACCACATGCGCACTCCCGGGCACATCCCAATCGGTTCGCTAGCCTCGGGCTTGGGCTTGGGCTTGGGCTTAGGAGCAAGCTTCTCGGTTGTGCTGCTCACAATGTTGCCCTCGACCATGGTGCGCTTGATAAGCCAATGTTCCGTGCTGTAGCAAGTGACGCCCGAGTCAACGCAGCCCATGCAGAGGTCAAAGTCGCCGTCTTCACAAGTAGAGCAGTGATAGTGGGCGTGAGAGGTCTGCTGATGACAGCTGTTGCAGCAGATAGCAAAACGCGGACTGGAAGAGAAGGGAGTAGCGGTTTCAAGCTGCTCCCGCTCCTCCGCCACGGGCTCAGTAGCATCTTCAGGCGTGGTCTGAGTGTACTTCAACTCCGGCTCGCTTGGGACGGCCATGGCAGACATGGTTCTAGAGATCTGCTCTCGGAGGCGACGGGCCTCCCGCTGGTGCTCGGCGAAAGCCTGGGAATCGGGAATCTTCGGGAGGCTTGATGTCTGCTCAGACGGTGTAGGGTTCAGAGGCGCGATAATGCCCTCGGGCACATCTTCGATCGATACGGGCTGCGGGCCAGACGTCTTCTCTTCGTCGAGGTTCTTCTTGATAGATACACGAAGCTTGAGCTTTGACTTTGCCTTGGCAGCACGGTAAAGCTGCTTGTGGACAGCCTGGTTGTTTGGGTCGAGCCAAACATAGGCAGCAGCGGAATCGGAGTAACGCTCGATGATGATGTCGGTCTCGTTGGGAATCCGGAGGAAAGCCCGGATCTAGTGACGGTGAGCGGTCGCTCGCATTGCACAACGCTGGCAGGTGTAGGAGGCACGAACCTGTGTCTGGAGAACCGTGGGAGCGGTGTCCCGCAAAGGCATCTTAGCCCTTCGGGTGCTCCCTTCAAAGTGCACCTTGACGGTGATGCTCGCGTCGAGCGGCGACGCCGGCTGGGTGCTAGTGCTCTCCATGATTCAATGAACCCTACAATCACATCACCTGTCAGTAAGCTTGCCGTGCGTGGCGGGGGTGGGAAAGTGAGAAACAAAGGACTTCGTGTTCCGGTTGAGCAACGGGTTTGGTGGACAGCGTCGACTTACGGGAGTTGCACTTCTAGGAGCTCTCGAAGCGAAACCGGCGCTGATAAGAGAGAGGGTGAAGCGGTGCGACTGCGTGACCGCCTCTTCTGAGGTGCAGTTACCAAATAGGACTTGGACTTGGCCCCTGGTAATGTAGGGCTATACGACTAATTTGATGGCCAAATGATGAGAGTAGCCAAAAGACCATGAAAGTTGATGAGATGTGTAAAGCGGAGGAGGAGAGAGGCAGTGGTCGATGATGGGATAGACGTAAGTTCCAGGTGGTGGAGCTCTGGGCCGCTGGCCGTGACTGCATTAAGTTGTCGAGTGCACGGGCCCACGGGCAACGACTGGCTAGACGCCACTTGGCTGGTCACGGGCCACATTCACCATCCACCGAGCCTCACCCCCAGATTTGCTAGCATCGGGGAAACGTACGACCTGCATGAGTCTGCGAGGCTGCTCCGTCATCCCCCTTTCTCCTCTTACGCATCCGTAGATGGCAGTGTCATTACTATTCCGTTGCATTACCAAGTTCCAGGTCCAGTGGGCCGACTTCACTCAGCATTCACTAGCCAAAGACTAGCTGAGCTTTAGCTGAGAATCCGCGATGATCCAAAGCGTCGGGTGTGACGCCAGGCGAGCAAACTCAATACGTAGTGAGTCGCGTCGCCGCGACCGCTGGGCTTATCTGACAGTGGGCACTGTTGAATCCGACCATTCCCCGCATCCACTCCAAGGCAGCGGTGGGGGACGTAACCCGGTCCAGTCGCCAGCTTGCCTGCCTGCTTACATTTGGGGGCAAAGGTGCGTAAGAATACTCATAGGCAGGCAATGATGCTTGCTCAGCTTCGATTTCAGCTGGAGCATGCCTTTCTCAGATCCGGCGTCCCGCCCGACGATCAAAGACCAGGCTTGGGCCAAACCTTGAATCGCGCCAGCCGCTCCACGGGTGCTGCAAACGAATGCACAGTGGGGTTGGAAATCTGGCTTCATCCTAATCAAAGTGCTGGAACGTTCATTGCCAGGTTTATCGCTGTCGTCTTCTACCTGGTTAGTATTGGATCGTGTACTAGTCCAGATCTGAACATCCACTGGTAGTGAGATCTTGCCACTACGGATACGCGCAACTCACAATACTCGACTTGACACGCACTTACTCAGCCCCAGCATGTGATAAACGTAAGTAGTTCTTGGGCAGTACTACCGTAGTAGCTTGGTTACTAGAAGATATCGTTGCAACGCTTCGCACAAATGGCCATCATTTGATTCCGCAAAGCCCCAGGGCCAAGCATAGCATTCGCCTACGTACATGTAGAATGACTCCTCTGCCAAACACCTAAAACGCCGCTGCTACCGACAGCAACTCAACACTACGCATTCCCTCGACTGGGGAAAAGGGCAACGAGACAGAGACGACCACAAGAGTTACCAACACAACGTCTCGTTCAGCTTCCGCCAAGTGAGCTACCGATGAGCTCCTTCCAGCTTATTTCCAACCTCGCTGCGCAGTGTAGCGAGCATTTTTCCAATTAGAGATGATCGGGCCAGACTTGTGGCTATTGGGGATAATACACCATGTTCTGCCCTCCTTGGGGATAGTAGTATCCATCTGGACTAGGGGTGACCATGCCACCCATCCCCATCCCGCCGGGCTGATATGGCTGCGCCGTCGGGTATTGCTGATAGGGATTCATTGACCCAGGCTGTGGGGTATTGTAGTAGTAAACCATGCCGTTGGCCTCCTGGGCAACTAGTTGACCATTCGCTGTTTGAGCAGGGTCGTTTGCTTGCATTGCTGCAGGATCGGTTGCCGGGGGCGCATAGCCACTGGGAGCGCCGTGATGTGAGGGGGGCCCGTAGCCAGGAACAACAGGAGCGGCCATGGTGGGTGCGTTGTAAGCGCTGCCGCCGTAGTAAGGTGAATAAGCAGGTGGCACTGGACCCTGGAACTCCTGCTGGCCGTAGTAGGGCTGCTGTGGCATAACCTGTCCGTAAGGGTTCGGCTGGAAGGGCGCAGCGTGGATGGCCCGTTCGGGTATTTGAGACAAGGGCGTCCCCGAGGAACGCTGCGACAAGTACGAGTGTTGTCGGGCGTGATTTTCCTTTGGATGGCCATTCCCCATCTGCATGGGCATCTGCTGGTGGAAGGCTTGCTGGAATGCCGGGCCCTGGTTGAACGAAGGGGACTCGATGTCGGCCACAGAGATATTCTTCTTTGGGCGAGGCTGGTGTATGGGCACGCCGTCCGCCGTGCGGTTTTCCTGAAATTGTGGTGGTGGTCCGTTGATAGGCAGGGTAGGAGCGTGGCCGTTGTGCATGGCGGGCACAGCTTCGGATCGTGTGGATGGCGGAAGGCGAACGACAGGCCTGGCGTTTTCCGCAGGTGGCCCTGCGCGAGAAGCCACTGACGCTGCCGGCGAGAACATGGCATCGCGATCCTGAGCAAAACTCGACCTCCTGCTCATCGCCACGCTGGGGGAATACATGCTGCCATAGTAACTCCCACCAAAGACACTTGTCCTCCTCGAGAAGCCGCCAGCAGAGCCCATGGCACCCGACCGCCCTTTGCCCCTACCCCGCTGCTGGTTGGGTCGCATGGCCCTGGGGATGAAAATGAATGATCGATCGACGGCTGGATAAATGTAGCGCGGCGGGCGGTCTGGGAGGGAGATGCGGACTGGTTTGTCTCGTCGCAGAGGCGGGCGGTGATCAGGCAACTTGGTGTACTGCTTGACAGCAAGTCCAGGCTTAACCAAAGCCTTCGCCATCCCAGGCAAGGAGACTCTGACCTGGACATTTCCAATGTGCTTCTCGGTCGACAACATGCGGTTGATGGGAGTGGGGTTCGGCTCTCGTGTTGGGATGAACCCGTTGCCATTTGGAGGGCCTTCAGGCTCTGGCAGCTGCCGCGGTTGACGACTTGGGCCGGGGCCGCGCGCGGCGACTGTCTCGTGCATGTCGTGAGCCCAGGGCAACGTAGTGGTGGGATCACCAGGGCGGTGCATTTGGCTGTTCAAGTCAGTCAGAGTCATATGCCCCATGGAATTTGAAACCCACTTCATCGGCGAGAATGGTCCTCCTATGCCCCCTCGTCCACCTCGACCACCCCGGCCTCTCCCAAAGGGTCGAAACCCGTTCGCAGCTGGTCCAGCATGTCGATGATCATGCATGAAGAAGGCACCCCGGTTCGGCACAAAAGCCGGATCCTCGTCTCTCTTCTTCCGATAGTCGTCATGTTCATGGCGCCGTCTACCATCTGCGTGCTCCGAAGACGGTCTTGTGGCTGCTGTCGAGCTCACAACGACAGGCGCACCAGGCGATTTCGATGGAGCCGGAGGGTCCGCATTCTGTCCGTCTTGCCGCTCCTCACGTTGCGCCTCGTCGGTCTGAGTTTCATCAAAGTGTAATTCCTGCGCTGTGGATCCATCGTCCAGCGCCATGCCGTGCATCATTGCAGTGGTGTCTGACATGGTTTTGCCCGGTACGACAGGAAGTTTTTGTGATGATCTGTCGACTTTGCTCGCGACTTTGTCGGTAGTTTCGGTCGGTTTTGTGGCAGTGGGCGATGTCGGCACGACTTCGTCGACGTTACTTGTGTCGCTGTCGTTGTCGGCATCGTGGTCATCAGTCGCAATCGAAGCGTCCGAGAGCGAATCATCATCTAGATCCAGGTGATCCGGGCCACCCTCCTCTTCGCCCTCATCCTCAACGCGGCGACGGTGCCCGATCTTTCTGCGGCGGGCGGCAGCCATGTTTCGGTCTGTCATCGAAGGGTCAAATTCGAGCGAAGTCGGACGAAGTGCAAGGTGTGAGGCGTCGCTGTCGACTCAAGAAAAGCCCAAGCAGAGGCGCTGGTGAAAAGGTAGAAATGGTGAAATGTTCGCTGTCCCAGAACCCAACAAGAAAAAAAAAGATCCCCAAGAAGCAGGTTGGAACCCAAAGCAAGTAGGAGAAACGCACACAGCAGAACCCCGGAAACGCAAGTAAAATGAGTTTTAAAAAAAATTGCCGACAGTTGATTTCGCTGAATACAGCTGAATGCAGAGCTGCGCAGGGCAGGAGAATAGAAGACGTAGGGAGGAGGTGAGGTTGGCGGTGCAGACGTCGTCGAAGCCGACGGGGTGAGTGGTGGACAGAGGTCGAAGGTGGTGGATGATGGATCCAGAGGACTGGATGCAGTGATAGACTGGCGAACCAGCGGTCGAGTGCCAGGCCTCAGGGCGCCCTCCGCCGCCAAAAGCTTGGGTGGGTCATTTTAATACCGTGACAGCACGCGACTGGACTGGAGTGTCTCTGTCCGACCTACGGAGGACTGTTAGTGCAGTGCTTAACATGTGCAGCATCGTTCAGCCAGAACTCAGGTCGCACTAACAAATCATCTATAGTACTTGCACAAGCTGCATTCTAACTCGATCGCGCCAACCTACATAGCTTCATTCCAACTTGCAATAATTGGCAGACGCACTAAACGTACTCACAACGCAACGAGACACGCGAATGTGATGCACTGCTTCATTCCCAACGTGGACGGCATGAATGCATCAATGCTCGGCGCAGTTGAACGCGACCAGAGGTTGCAGTGATACATTCAAATGTGCAATCGTTGTGCGTCCTCAGCTGGTTGTGCACTTGTTGTGGCGCAGACGCGCCGCTTGACATGACAACCCCTTGTTATCACAGCAAGGACACCGAGCAAGGGGAGCTTGACTAACGCCCCTAACAGTCTGGGACGACTGATGCTCGGAAAGGCGGTCTGTGGTCCGTGAACCAGGACCGCGCCTAAGTTCCACGGCTTCTCCTACTCACTCTAGAATCATTGGAGAGTACGATTGAACAACATGGCTTTCGAAGCGCGATGGCCTGAACTGTGACATGTCTGGAAGGCATTTAGAAACTTGTGATCGCCTACGGGAGTTCACTACAGTACACATCCGTACGTAGCAGATATTATAACTCCCCCTGCTTGACCTCGAGCCGACCTTCGTCCTGCAAGGCACAGTCGTCATATATACCGGCGTGAGAATGCCAACTGACGTTGACCTTGATCATCGACCCCACGTTTCTGGTCAGGCCATTTACACTCCACATCCCGGCAGGTGACAGACAGCCTCCAAGTTTCAACACACCACGGCAGACCACGGCAGGGGTGAACCCTCCTGCCAGCTCTTAGTGATTCACAGCGTGTTTGGAGTGCTCTTTAGCCAGCAAGAGACAACAGTGAAATTGGGCTGCGGAAATTAGCTAAGGTAGGCAGGGTCTGGTGGTCATTCGCCAAGCGGGCAGCAAATAAGGATATCTCACACAAAATTAGAAGACATCTAAAAAAAAATAAAAGATCAACGTAGGCCTGTCGATCAGTGCTGCTGATCGACACGGAATAATCCCCGTCACCGTACAACAACTGGATCGTCCCGTATGGTTCTCCACTGCAGTTCGATCTCCAAATCGCTCTCCGGACGGTCACTGCCTTTGCGATGACACTGTCAACTCTCTGCATGTCCGTCAATGTGAAGCATCGTCAGCAGTGACATAACGCACCTCATGGGCGGCAATCACCTGAGTGCGCCAAGCTGAGCACCCCTAACCGGAGCCTGAATGTCGTCATGCGGGGTGAGCTCTCAGCCCTCCAATTCGACGACGACCGACTAGACGCCATTCATGACAGGCCATTTGCATGCATCCATCTGCGGGGGGAGCATTGGCGAACGACTGGACGGGCGCGATAAGATTGGAGAGCATTGGAGTTCACGAGGAGGGGGTTCTTTTACTTATCTACGGGGTACCCGGGCGGTAACTAACCCTTTCTCCTCTTTGACTTTTGTTCCGTCGACCTCAATGCCTGTTTGTTCTCGATACTAGAAAGACCATCACCCCTACGAGACGCCCTCTACTTCAAGTCAGGCATCAAGGGCGCAACAGATCGCGCGACTCGAACACTACAGGCTGGGACCACGTTTCTCGGGCGAGAGCACCACACAACCGTCCGTCCGAGCCGCAATCATAAAGCGCACGCGAGACCCGCGGGCGCATCTTCAACATTGACCCGATTGGGCTTCACCATCACAGACACCGCCATGGCCGACCTCTCCAACAAGCATCCCGACCTCCAATTCTCCCTCGCCCCCCTCATGCCTCCGCAAACACCGCTTATCAAATCACCATCATCCTCCTGTCTTCTGACACACCTATCGACCAAAGCCTTGCCGAGTCAAGCGACCATCGCCAGGGCCAAATGGGGCAGCGTGCAACGGATCATGTTGGAGTACCCAGACAAGGGTCCAATCGTGGTGCAAAGCTTTATGGAGCCGGCTGCGCAAAACCACACTACAAGTACAAAAGCTCAGACTGAAGAGGATCAGGCCCCGCAACTGGTCGGCGTTGTCGCAGGGCACCATGATCAAGTGAAAGAAGTCCGTCGGGCAGCCGTGCGCCTGGAGAGGGTTGGGCGAGACATTCAGAGAGAATGGTCCGTACCAGAACCCGAGACGCCGTGATGAGAGAGGACATGCAGGAGAGACACGGGGAGCACCATCAAAGGCATAGGCAGGCGTTTGCATAACATCATCAGTCAATTTTTCACGTGATATCTATTACTGAACCCGAAAACATAACCCTTTCCATGTGTCTCCGAGTGTCTTAGATGATCTGCTGGAAAGCACGGTTGAGAGGGGAGCGAACGTTGGGAACGTCCTTCCAGAAGTCGATTGTCGCCACGGCGCGCTTGGAGATGCCCTCGGGGGTGAACTCGAACTTCTATTATGGGGGTTAGCTCTGCACGTGTGTTGCTGCTCGCCATGACTCACGTTGTACACATCCTTGTAGGCACCGGAGGCACCGAAGCGGTTGAGACCGAACTGCTCGTGAGTGTAGCGCTCCCAGCCCATGGTGCTCATGACCTCAACGGACAGCGAGGGGATGCCGTCAGGCAGGACAGACAGGCGGTACTCCTTGCTCTGGGTGTCGAACACCTCGAAGCAAGGCATCGACACAATACGGGCGTTGACGTTGTGCTTCTCCTTCAGGTACTTGGCGGCATCAACGCAGATGCACACCTCGGAACCAGTGGAAACGAGGGTGACATCGGCCTTCTCGACCTCGTGCAGGACGTAGCCACCCTTGATGGCCTTCTCGATGGTCGAGCCCTCAAGCTGAGGAAGGTTCTGGCGAGAGAGGGCAAGGACCGAGGGAGTGTGCTTGGAGGTCATGGCAACGTAGTAGGCCGCAGAGGTCTCGTTGCCGTCGGCAGGGCGCCAGACCATGTTGTTGGGAAGGGCGCGCAGGTGGGCGAGAGTCTCGATAGGCTGGTGAGTGGGACCGTCCTCACCAAGACCGATGGAGTCGTGGGTCGCAACCCAGATGCAGCGGATCTGAGAAAGAGACGACAGACGGACGGCACCGGCGGCGTATGAGACGAAGTTCAAGAAGGTACCGCCGTAGGGGATGACAGTGCCGTAGGCAGCGAGACCGTTCATGATGGCGCCCATGGCGTGCTCGCGGACACCATAGCGGATGTAGCGGCCAGAGTAGTCACCGAGGCCAGTGGACTTGGGCTGGAAGTCGACAGCCTGCTTCCAGCGGGTCAGGTTGGAACCCGTCAGATCGGCGGAACCACCCATGAGCTCGGGGACGGCATCAATGATCTTGCTGAGCACAGTCTCGGACAGCTTGCGCGAGGCAACAGCGGGGTCAGCGGGAGTGTAGACGGGGAGGGCCTTCTCCCAGCCCTCAGGCAGGTCGCCCTTCAGGCGGCGGCTGAGGTCGGCGTGCTCCTTGGGGAACTTCTCGGCGTACGAGGCGAAGAGCTTGTTCCACTCCTCTTCGGCGGCAGCGCCCTCGGAAGCGTGCTTGCCGTACAGCTCGCTGACTTCCTTGGGGACAACGAAGCTCTCCTCAGGGTTGAAGCCGAACTTCTCCTTCAGCTGCTTGATGTCGTCCTTCTTGAGAGGCGAACCGTGGACACCGTGGGTGCCCTGCTGGAGGGAACCGTATCCAATGGTGGTCTTCAGGTTAATGATGGTGGGCTTGTTCTTCTCCGCCTTGGCCTCCTCGAAAGCCTTCTGCATAGCGGCGAGGTCGGTGTCACCCTTCTCGACGGTCAGGACCTGCCAGCCGTATGCCTCGTAGCGCTTTGAGACATCCTCAGTGAAGGCGCAGTTAGTGTCACCATCAATGGTGATGTTGTTGTCGTCGTAGACGCAGATCAGGTTGCCAAGCTGAAGGTGACCAGCCAGGGATGAGGCCTCGCTTGAGACACCCTCCATCAGGCAGCCATCACCCAGGAAGCAGTAAGTGTAGTTGTCGACAAGGGTGAAGTCGGGCTTGTTAAAGGTAGCCGCGGTGTGAGCCTGGGCAATGGCCAAGCCAACAGCGTTGGAGACACCCTGGCCGAGAGGGCCGGTGGTGACTTCGATGCCTGGGGTGTCATGGGCCTCGGGGTGACCGGGAGTCTTGGAGTCAACGGACTGACTTGTTAGCTTGCTTGCATGAGTTGTTTTGCAGGAAAACTTACGCGGAAGGCCTTGAGGTCGTCCAGCGACAGATCATAGCCGAAAAGGTGAAGCAGAGCGTACTGAAGCATGCAGCCGTGGCCGTTGCTAGAAATGGGGTCAGCTCCAAGGTCTCATTGAGGTACAATGTCCGCCTTACGAGAGAACAAAACGATCACGGTTCAACCACTTGGGGTTCTTGGGGTTGAACTTCATGAAGTTGTTCCAGAGAACGTGGGCAACAGGCGCCATGCCCCTAGTATCTGTCAGTATCCGGCCGTTGACAAGCTTGTGAAGCTGTGTGAGAGCTTACATGGGAGCACCGGGGTGTCCCGAGTTGCTGGTGAAGGTCGCATCAACCTAAGCATGCGTCAGTAACGAGCATTCAATCCAGTGCCAGACATGTCTGAGTGAGGTCGCTGTGATGCCCAGCCATCGACCTTGACGGTCCTTCTTGATGGCGGGGTCGACCGTTCGCGAGGCGACCGATGGAGGGGTAGTCGCGAGGGAAGCTGGCAGGCAGCAGGTAACTTACCGCGAGAAGGCGGATGGTGTTGATGGCCTTCTGATCAATTTCGCCGAAACCCATGATGACGGTTGTTTTCAGTGAGTCTGGAGAATAAGGTGCAGGTAGATGATGGTTGTTGAAAGGGAAGAGAAGAAAAAAAAGAGATGGGTGGCAGACGCGAAGAGGAGGAAGTAAGGCAAGACGAGGTATGTGCAATGACGGCCGATCGTCTGGCTGTACATGTACGTACCGCTACTACCGCGTCCCGCTGGCGCCGCTCCGGTCGCTGCAGTGGAGGATGAACCGGAGCCTGGAGGGGCTGTTGCAGGTGGTGGTGGGTCCGCCCTCGATTGGCTTACCCGGCGCAACAACGCCAGTTTCAACCACCCCCACGAATCAGCCGCGCGCGGGCGTCACAGACTCCGGCTCGCCGCTACGCTGCGCACTCGATTCTCCCCGAGAACAGCGCAGCAGTCGGCAGCATGTCTAGGAAGATGAAACGCTTGAGAAATGTCTACCAAATCAGCCAGCCCTCGCCTCACAATGCCACTGAACGGTGCATGACTTGCCAACGTTATCTGCTTGGATTAGTAGGCATGGCAACAGTGGGTCTGACACCTTATCCCTGTCGTATCACCCGGCGAGGTCCCCTTTTTTTCTGCCCCTCCTTGTGGGCCACCACGACAGTCTGTAGCGACCCAAGCCTCCTCGAGCTCCAATCTCTAGGCTCAGCAGCAAAATTTCTTCACCTTGAGCTTGACTTCTGACGCAATGACGCTCCCGCTATCCACAATGTCATTGTATGTATCCACGACACCGAGACGCCATGGGAATGACGTTGATCGAGGGGAGGGTGTTCGATCATCGCAAATCGAATTTGATCCCTCACTTCATGGAGGGGTAAAATTCACATTTCCAGAGAGCCACTACGTAGTCTGGTAGTTCTTGGGTCAGCCATTGCGGCTTTTACTGATGGCCTCCTCAATCTGCTCGTGTCTCGTCGACTGGGATTTACCCGCTGCTTCCTTGGACCTAATTTTGCCGGCATTACTACTCAACAAAACGACATCCGTAGTCTCTACGACACGAGAGGGATTCCCATCGCTTACAGCAGAATCACTCAGCGTTAAAGCGCCTGCCTCTTGCCGCTACGTACGTACTACGTACTAACCACGGCGGCAAATGTATTGCCATTATATCGGTGCGTATAACCGCGCCTACAAGCGGTGCTACGCGGGATTGCCATTTCAATATTGAGCCACTCCATAGGCTGGTTGGCTGATGTTGAACGCTTCGCACGTGGTTCCGATGCCGGACTCATATCAGCTCATTCTCTTTCATCTGCCTTAGCCTTGCATTCAAATTTTAAATGTTAATTAACGCAGTGAAGATGAAGTCATGGAGCCTCGAGCTCAACGTATGTACTGGCTCGTCCCGCGTCACACTCGTCAACGGTCCCCGTCTCGCGACAGGCTAGTCTAAGTGAGTTACCCTACACTAAACCCTTGGCAATGCCTCCCAATCTCAGTCCTCGCTGAGAACTATTCCATGTCTGTACAGCAGGAATCCTTGACAATCGCATTTTATTATGTTGGTCACATCCTGCAATACCTCGAAGAGTGTATCCAGAGGTAGGAATGTTTGACCAAAATGAAGTGGATAGCTGAGGCGCGTAGACCTGAAAGGCACAAAGTCTTGAACCCAAATTGAGTTTTTATCACGTTTATTCTGCACCGTCCATCATCACGATTTTGTGACTAGGAGTCACAACACCACAAGTACTCGGAACTGCACCCGATCATCACCAAGATGGCAAAGAAACATCACCCTGGAAAAAATGTCGCAAAGCCCAAAGCTAAGCCACAAGCGAAACCTAAGCCTACATCAACCTCAGCTTCAACTGTTGCCCTACCACCACAGGATGTGAAGCATCAGCAAACGCTACTTACGCTCTTCTCCTCAACGTTCGATGAGATCCTGAAGTCGGATGATATCGCAGCCACCATACAAAATATCAAGGCGGCTCTGTATGATCGAGACTTCGCGAAAGCCTTTGGCACGGAAACCTATCTCGAGGCCTACGCTGCGCGATGGAGTCCTACACGAGCACTTGGATATGCTAATGTTTTGGAGGGACTCCATGCGACATGGCTTGAGCCTCTTCTGACTGATCAAATTGGAGATGTCAGCCAGGAAGAGGGTGATCGAAGTGAAGGCATGGACAGAAAGATCTCTGAGGAAGCCGAGACAGACTCGATACCAAAGACGCTAAAGAGCAAGATGAACGTCCTGTCCATTGGAGGTTGCGCGGCCGAGCACGTTGCATTTGCGTCCTACCTCTCTCAACACTCCCTGTCGTGCTCTCTTACACTCCTCGACTCAGCGCCGTGGGGTAGTATAACGGACCGGCTCCAAAACGCCATCGTCACACAGCCTGTGTTGCCAAAGTATACCTCTGCTTCCATCGTTGCGGCCGCCGAGCCATTACTTCTGCCGGAGCAGCTGGATGTCAAGTTCCTACAAAAAGACGCACTTTCTCTTCCCGAGGATGAGTTCAAGGGCATTCTCGGGCAGCAACCCCTTCTTGTGACCATTTTCTTCACTCTGAATGAGCTTTACACCAGCGCCGGCATTGGGAAGACAACCAAATTCGTCGCGCATCTGGGCCAGCTTCTGCCGTCAGGGAGCATTCTACTCGTTCTTGACAGCCCTGGCTCCTATTCGGAAGCGTCCGTCGGGAAGGAGAAAAAGAAGTACCCTATGCAGTGGCTGTTGGATCATACACTGCTAGAAACAAAGCTCGAAGGCTGCAAATGGAGCAAGTTGCATTGCGAGGAGTCTATCTGGTTCAGATTACCATCGGAAGGACTAGACTACCCCCTTCAGCTGGAGAACATGCGATATCAGATGCATATGTATCAGGTAGAGAAAGTCTAAATATAATTACGCTAAGGTGTGAAAGACTATAGGTGTTCTTGCCAGTGGGGACTGATTCTATGCCCAGACCAATCTCTTGATAGAATGGCCTAGCTGCTCCAACAGGCCCGTGTTCTTCTTCGCCTCCTCTAGGGAAATGATGTCTTCTTTCTGGATCAGTTCTTGATGCTCTTCGCCTCGCTTGTACAGACGGCTCTCCTGTGTCAAACGCCCAATCTCATTCGCAATGGTTGTGATCTGCTGCAGCTCCGTCTCGTGCTTTGTGTTCACAGTCGTGGAGGAATCAACGTAGGGTGCCTTGAAAGCCAGCTTCTTCTCTGCTGGAGGCTGGGTCTTGTATGTGAAGAAGTCGACAAAGCTCAGAGGACGATTCTTCTCATTTCCAGGCTCAGGATCCTTGCTAGGTGCGATCTCGCCACGGGTGGACGAAGTGCGCGTGTTAGTCCTCACAACATCAGCCTTGCCCGGCTGGTAAGTGACAACGAAGCCAACATTCTTTGAGGCATCCATATGAGACGGCGAGACTGTAGAAGTGATGTAAGTACCGAGCTTGATGCCCGTGACGTTTCTCAAGTCGACTCGTTCGAAAGAGGATACCTTGTCCATGTTCCAGTCAAACCGACAGACATAGAGGGCTGCATCGGTAAGAAGAAGCACGACCTCCTCCATGGGCAGAGACTTGACGGTATCCGAGACATGTGGACTGATCAACGCCCATGCGCCGTGAATTTCCTCGCTCTCATCGGCGACCACGCGTTTCTGGCACAGCTCAATGGCCTGCTCACGCAACTTGGTAACGGAGATGGCAGGGTCCTTGGTCATCATGTCCGCCTCAAACTCCTCGAATACCCTCTCGTTCACATTGCCCAGGAGGAAGTCGATTGCTGTTTGACTAAAGTAATCATTCACCATGCTATAATCTGTCAGCAAGCCTTCACTGTCTACGGGAGATCTGCTTACCCGCTGTAGAACCGCGCAAGGGACAAGCTCAAGTCGTTCAACGCTCCGCGATAGTCTCTCTTCTTTGTCCTTGTATAATCTCCTTTCATTGCCGCTGTCGATGCATATTGTTTCGAGACTGCGTCGCCATTGTCGGCCCAGAGTGTGTTGAACCAAGTCGTCTGCTGATCAACCTGCGCGTCCATGTCGAAACCTTCGGCTTTCAGCTGCATGTCGAGCATATGCCTCGCAAAAGAACTTTGGCAGACGTTGGTCCGGTCCAGGCAGTCCATGCAATTCGTTCGAACGACCCCCTTTTGCTTCTCGACAACTTGGCCATGCTGCACGGTAGTGCTGCCGAATTCCTCCAGTTTCCCCCTCAGTGTAGACAGAAGCAAGCTCACGTTCTCGAATTTCATACCTCGACAAGCCTGATGAAAGTCAAACCACTCAAAAGCGAGGGGCTTCTCGTCAGGCTTTTTCGTGTCTTCCTCAGACTGCCGATTCAGATACTCAATTGTCTTTTCATACCGAGTCCCGATGCTCGACTCCACGCCGTGCTTTTCCACCAGATTGACGATTTGGATAGCTCCGTAGTTCCTCGCCAGTGACTCGAAGTGCTTGCGGCAAGCTTCCCTATTTGTTTGCTCGGAATACTGCAAGACGGGTACAGGCTTGATTGCGTATGGTGATTGAGTGAAGAAAAGGGGAATGCTGCCCCTGATCTGTAAAAAGGAGTGCACTGTCGAATCTTCAGTCCAGTCTGCGGGCATGAGCAGCTGTTCGGTTTCCACCATGTTGGCAACATTCCCTTCCTGATTGATACCCCGGCGTAGATATCTGAGCCCAGCCCTCTTGACAGACCGGCGGGATATAACACTGATGGTGTACTCCTTCTCCGAGCTACATTTCTCTGGTTGATTTGGCGTGATAGCAGGTTGCACCTTCTGTGGTTGCGCCTGAGTTTCAGGCTGTGCCATACTGTTCATCTCCATAGACTCCCGACCAGGTTGATCGACTTGTGGCGGGTTACTATCCACAGTGAAGGTCCTCTGTCCAACGAAACCTTGCATGACCGGGAGCACCACTGAAGCATCGCCTACTGAGAGGAAGGGCTGCAACAGAGAACGATTCCAGAAGAACTTGTTGTCCACCTTCTCATACAATGGTGCATCCCTGTCGGGGCTCGCAGTACCCTTTTGCATGTTGCGCGTAATGTCGAGATCGTATGAGAAGTAGAAGCTCCTCGATGAACCAAAGAGAATTCGGACCGTGCGCAACAACTTGGGCAGCAAGGTCGAGGTCTCAGCCTGAGATGCCGCTTGATCCTTGGGAATCGTGTCTTGCGCTGTCACTGCGTCCTGCTTTTTTTCTCCAGGAGGTTCCGTAGCGGACAGTGTAGGCGAGTTGCTGATCCCCATTGCCTTTTGCTGATCCTGTGTCCATCCACTCCGACTGAACCAACTGGACGCAAATCTCCCATAGCTGCCTCTCCTATGGATGACATCTTCTGCGATACTGCTCCTTGGTGAGGCGGTCTTGGCAGCCTCTCCGGCCACAACGACATCATCTACCTCATCTGCAAAACTGTTTCGGGACTCGAGCTCATCATCGCTCGTATTCCCGTCGTTGCTGGCTGAATTTGGTGCTGTACATTGTTCAAGATGGCGATTTGTTTTCCGAATGGCTTCCTGGGCTGCTGCTTTTGACGAGCAAGGCGTAATAGCAACCTCGGTGACCACATAGATTGGTGTGCCAAACAGCTGGGCCACTTGCTGGCGACGTGTGATGCTGATGAGGTAGCTCAACTTTGAGACGGTAATCAAACCTAGAGTAACATTGAGTATACCCTCAAGTCAATGAATAGGTAAGTGTTTACTCACCTATGATCCCAAAGGCTTCAAAGGTTGATTCGTCATGGTCTGTGTCCTCCACCGTTTGCTCTCGCGACGCAGGCGATACGCTACCATCGCCGTATGTTATCGTCAGAGGCTGAAATGGCTTTTGCCCCTTTGCAGACAGTGGCTGGATTAAAAGCCCGTCAATCGCAGCACATATCAGCACTTTGCGCGCGAGGCCTGGCATGATGCTTGAATCTAATTCAGATCGTGACGTCGCATCAGGCAACGTTTATATTCTCAAAACCTTTCCCCGCTGAACAGGACGCAATAGGATATATCAGATACGCAGGAAAGAGGGCAGGGTACCGCAGACCCGTAGGAAATCTAGGAACAAGGTAATGATGAGGTCCATGTTTCTGGAGGTGCTTGGTTATTTACTCTAGCGTGGTGATCTGTTGGAGTAACGTCATCGGGCGCTTATTGGGGTGTCCAGATATTCTACCACGCAGCATCGATTTCTCCAGGCAGGGCAGGACAGAATTGCGGTACCGACACATTGAATTGGCATCGTCGACAGATCCAAGAAAAAGAGCCCCATTCGATAATCACAGCACCACAATGATGATTCAACATGCGCACGCAGTTCTTCAAAATTTCTCGATTCGTAGTGCTAGAGTGCGCAACAGTATTCCAACCGTTGCTCACACTAAACAATAAGCCGGGTTTCATCCAAGTCCTATGTAACACCACAGTACGCCCTTCCGCATCTTGGTCGCAGAGGCGCCCATCATAGCGGCAACTGCAAATCCTCTAGATGGCGAGGCGCTCGACCTTGTCGCGCATGGCACGGATCTGGCCGGCCAGCTCACTGGCGTCGTTGCTGGTGATACTGGCGGCGATGACAGGGCGGCTGACACCGCAGGCGCGGCCGAGCTGGGTCTTGTGCTTGACGTAGACGTAGGGCACGTTCTTGTCCTCAGCGAGAAGAGGAATGTCTGCGGACAGTCAGTATGCTTGAATGCTGGGGCTTGAAGGGGGGAACTGACGCAAAAGAATGGCCAAAGGCGAAGTGTCCTATCGCAAAATCTCCGTTAGTTTAATTCAGCCATGCAAGGTGGACTCGGAACATACAGCAGCGAGCACGACGAGTTCGGAGACACCACGGTTTAGGGTCTTGGTGGCCTCGTTGGCGCCCTTCTTCAGTTGACGAGCGTGGGTCGCAGACTGGACAAGATCCAGGAGCTCCTGCTCGAGCTTCTTGTCGGCCATGGGCCAAGCTGCAAAGTCGTCAGTAAGAGTACTGTACACAAGCCGGGTCGCGATGCGAATTCCTGCGTGCCCATGGAGATTTCGACGTACCAGCAGATTCAGCCATTGCGGTGGTTGGTAGTATTTCAATCGGGAAGAAATCGAAGTCGGTGATGATAGCCTCAAGGTTCCTTGCGTTGGCTCGCCTCGAGTGGTGAAGAGCAGGATGTGAAGTTGGAGGGACAGAGTTTCGTGGACGCTGGCAAGAGACCAATATCCAGAAGAAATTCGTATCCGAACTTTTTTGAAATGTGGGGGGATTTCTGACTGACCGACCCGAGCCAAACCTTGTTCGGCAATGTCTCGGCTGGACGTTGGTCCGCCCTCCGGCCCCAGGTAACGTGCGCCCCTTCCTCCCTCCAGCCACACTACCAGCAAAACCTTCCGCCAACCAGAGCGCCAACCTGCGACCGTGACCTGAACAAGCAAACCTCGCTAGACTACGGGCATCGAACAGCTCTCATCACCACAGCTACTCTTCCACCGCGCCCTCGCGATCAGCAATTCTCAAAGTTTCATACTTTCACCAACATCTTACCGGCTTTTATTACCCTGTTCGACGATTCCAATACCGCCGCGATGCCTTCCGAGTACTGGTACGTCAGCGCGCCGCCTCCTTACTACCAGCGTCATCGAGCTAGGGGCAACGCATCCATCAGCCAGGACTGCATCATCTTCGAAGCTTGCCTCTAGCTGCGCAGAACTCTTTAGGATCTCTCATGACGACCAGGTCGGCTAACGCGATTGTGTCTGCAGCCCCGTCTACGCCGTGAGTTTCACTCCGCCCCGAGCCGCCTGCCGACGTCACCTGCTCCCAGGAGATCTGACACGACGACAATGAGCAACCGCGCCAGCATCGAACAACATTGCTAACATACCATAGCCCTTCTTTGGTGCCATGGGCTGCACCTGTGCCATTGTCTTCACCTGCCTGGGTGCCTCGTACGGCACTGCCAAGTCGGGTGTCGGTATTGCCGCAATGGGTGTCCTCCGCCCTGACCTTATCGTGAAGAGTGCGTCTTTGCCGTCCGCATGCCATTGCTATACTGATGCTTTGTAGACATTGTTCCCGTCATTATGGCTGGTATTATTGGTATCTACGGTCTCGTCGTCTCTGTCCTGATCTCCGATGGTCTGAAGCAGGATCTCCCCCTGTACACCGGTTTCATCCAGTTTGGCGCCGGTCTGTCTGTCGGTCTTGCCGGTCTGGCTGCTGGCTTCGCCATTGGTATTGTCGGTGACGCTGGTGTGCGAGGAACCGCCCAGCAGCCCCGTCTCTTTGTTGGCATGATTCTGATTCTCATTTTCGCTGAAGTCCTGGGTAAGTTGAGACTCGACTACTTTGCTCCGGGTATCTCGCTGATATTTTAGGTCTCTACGGCCTCATTGTGGCTCTTCTGATGAACTCGAAGGCATCGGCAGATGTCTTATGCTAAATGGGCGACCGACCCCACGATTACCGGGACACGACCAATGTCGAGTAGTTTCGCCATCGGTCGCTCAGTCTACGCGCAAATACGTCGGTCCCGGCATGCGAGCATTGACAAGCAGTCGACAGAACCACGTTCGACGAAAGCAGGGGAGTGAGGGAGCGAGTGATGGGTTGTGGCCTACGACCGTGCACGTCCAAGTGCCCATCGTGCAGATCACGTACTAGCATGGAATGATCGAAATGTATACTAGTCAACGCGCATTTTGTAACCTCGAGAAAGTGGAAGTGGCATTTCATCATAGACCGGAATGAGGAGGAGGATTGTAGTTCACCGGCTTTATACTACCACGTTTGTGTTTGCCAAGTAGTATACAGCCCCTCTCTCACCGTACGTTCGCCTTTGGTGTAGTGCCTAGGTTTCGGCTGTTCAGTGCTGGTATCGCAAGCGCATATGATCTCTGTGTAATATGTATTATTTGAACAGAAAGTGCAATCGTATCCATACATGAGCCGTCTCTCCTTTTGATTCATCTCGCCGTCCCACCCATTACAACCATAGTCTATAGGGAGACCAAAAGCTCCCGTGAAGTATATACACTTGGACATGCCAGAATGAAAGTCGATATTACATGTTTGATTTTTAAATCACGTACTGGGAAGGTCAGTCAGCGGGCGATCATGGCGAGGTCGGAAGCGCAACTCACAGGGATGAATAGGTAGGGCACCCGCCTCTCGTATTCCAACCAGGCATCACCATACTTGGTCCTGCAACGATGAATGTCACGCGCGGCGCGGTGAGCAATCATGCAGCAGAAGAAGACGGGGTAGAACCATGGGAAGGGGCTATTGAAACCCGTAATGAGACCCCAGGACATGGAGAACCAGATGTCGGCAGTGTAGTGGATCTTGCGCGCAAGACCATACCAGCCATCCACAAGGATGGTACCCTGGGGTGTCTCAATGGTCTTGGGGTTCTTAACGGTCTGCCAGGGGACCTGAGGGAAGGTCCTGCGCCAGACGACCTTGCCACGCTCCATGGCACGGAAGCGGTTCTTCTGGCTGTTGCACGAGTCCCAGACCCAGTACCAGAAAAGGTAGGCAGCATAGAAGGCAATCAGTGCATAGCGGTTCCAGCGATACTCGGCGGGATCGTGGTTGGCAAGGTAGATTGTGCAGTGGCAGTAGGAAAGAGGAACACCGGCCAGGTTCCAGAAGATGAGCATGAATCCCCACTTCTCGTAGTACATATCCCAGGTGGTGATGATGAGCTCCTCGCCTTTGGCGCAGGCGTTGGCGTACAAGAAGTGCGCCATGACGACAAACCAGACTTCGCCAGAGACGTAGCCGTACTGATCGTACTGGCGAGCAGCGGCACCGAGGGAGAGGATGAGGAGGATGTACCAGGGCATGCGAACCTCAAAGAACATCTTGAAGTCGAGGATGCCGAACATGCGAGGGTTGAGCTCGGCGCCCATGAAGAAGTCATAGATGGGGTAGCCGGTCATACGGTGCTGCTTGCCACGCCATAGGGCGGATAAGTAGGCGACAAAGCTGACAATGAAGCCGCTGATGATAGCCACCGACAGGAGAGGGCCAAAGTGGTCAATGGCGTTGTACAGAGGCCACGCGCCGGAGAAGTGCAGACCAGCAAGGATGACCAAGGTGGTGTACAAGCTGGCGTAGGCGTTGCAGAAGTAAGGCAGCTGCTTGCCGCCCTCGTGAGGTAGTGGCTTTCCATAGCCAGTCACGCCAGGGAGGAGGCAGTAGCAGGCTCCCTCGAAGATGAGGTAGCTCCAGTACCAGATCCAGGCCTTGGCGTGGGGAAAGGCCCCCTCGTAACAGAGTGCGACGAGCTCAGCGCCAAATTCGAGCCAAGTCTGGCCCTCTGAGCGAGAAGGGAACTTGCCGTCGTAGTATGTGGCACCCACCCACATGTACCACATGAGGATGGGGAAGAAGACCATCATGGCCAATGTACCAAACGAGCCACCGAATTCAAACTCGCCAGAGTAGTCGACCTTGGGGTCCTGGCCGGGTCTCCAGCCGTCCACAATGTGCACGTCGGTTGGGACACCCTTGGTAGTAGTTGTGGGCTGGGTGGTCGCGGCACCGTTGCCATTGGCGTGGCCGTTGGTTTTGCCATTGGCGTGACCATTTGAGTTGTCATTGGTGCGAGCGGCGGCGGTGGGCTTGACGGTGGTGGCCTCGTTGTCTGACTCCATGTTCTCGGTGAACTTGGCCGTTCGTCGGCGGGTGTTGCGCGCAGGCTTCTCTTGTGCAGCGTTGCTCTCGGCCTCTTCTGACTGGCCACGAGGTACAGATGACTGTCGGCGCGTAGATCGTCGGGTTGCTGTGGGTGTCTCTACCATGCCATCAAACTGCTCCTTCTTCCTACCAAGTCTGTATCAGCAATACGCAGAGGAGATGTCTTCGTGTTCATGGCCTGTTACTCACTTGGGCGTTTGTCTGAGAGAGTAGCGTCCCGTCATGATGGGAATGGTACAGGCGAGGTTGTCGCCTTCTTAATATACCTGATCCAGGCGTGTCCAAAGATGGGAAAGGGGGCGAAGGAAGTGATGCTGTGCCGCCAGATGAGGGAAGGGCTTCGGCAGCTAGACGCTACACGAAAGGTGCGTTGCAACTTGTGGAGTCCCGCCGCTCGATCTAGATCGGCAATGGGTAATTAATTGATTATTGCAGAGTCGCAGACAACCAGCACAAGCAACGGTAGAAAGCCTGGGGCAGATTCGCCGCCCAACTCGAGAGCTAGCGTTGGAATGTGGCCAGTGATAGGGTAAGGTATCACCAAGCATCACCGACGCGATGGTCGGCGCGTCTTCGGGGTAGGGCAACTTTTTTTGATCGCGACGCGGGATTGGACCGCTGCGGCCCCTTTCCTCGATGTTCATGCCCGGCTTTTAATTGCACCTCTCAAATTGGCGCCTTGGCATCAGCTGCAGGTCTCGTTTAGCAGACGCCGCTGGGTGGTGGAGACCGTGGAATGCGGGTGCTGCGTTTCTCTAATTATGATTCATGGATTCATGGACGGTTGGTTGAGGTATCAATGACCATTTTTTTCATGCTCTGACGCTCAACCTAGCTGACTGAATGGAGCGTCGGCTCAGGATCGTATTCGTTCCTCGAGTCAGCGTGCCCAAACTTGCTGTATCACTGCTGATACTGACGCTGTGTTGTTTCTCAAGTCCGGCTTCTTTGGCCAGTGACTGGAGTGCTATCTTTGTTTTTACGTGTTCTACACTTGGGTTCATGTATTGCTTAGTACTCCTAATCCGCACTTACTATTGAAGTACTGGTGTAGAATTATCTTCCATGGGTGCGATGTGGCAGCTCGTTTGTTGGTCTATGGCTTTGCCTGTGTCATGTCGAACACATTAGCCCCCGTACTTGATGGATCCCGATGTCATGTAAGTCGACAGAAAACTAGATTAAGCTCTGATGATAATATGCCCACGCCAGCTGCTGTGCTGTGGCAGGTTTTCAATGGCATATTTTGACCTAGCCCCCTGAACCAGAGGAAGGATTAGGGTAGGTAAACGAGTAGGTGCAAAATCCGCACATTAACTTTTAAGGTACGTACCGGCGCCTGCAGGCACCACTAACACGACGCCGCGGCTGCGCAGGATCCCTGATTTTGGTGATCAACCTCACGTGTCAAGCTGCAGCACCTCGGATTCGACGCTCAACATCTGACGTCTGTGATGTTGACTTGGAAGTCAAATCACCAGCCAACCCCTCACTTTGCTCCCGTGGTTCTGGCAACAAGAAACGCCATCGACTTTGTATAACAGCGAATTCTCCAAATCGCATCTGCGTTGCGCATCGTTCGACGTCATTTAGATTGCCAGGGGTTCCCGATATTGTCTCCCTTGTCTGCGGGTCCGTCTCCTAAGTTAGAACCGCAGCTCAGCTCGCCTTTTCTTCCGCAGCAATCAGTTCGAACCGAACAGTACACATTCATTGGCACTGTCTCACGAATCCGTTACCCATCGTACAAGGTGTTGAATGTTGCACTGGTTCTGTAGATCGCCATTACAGCATGTTGTGTTGCGAGGATCACGACGCCCAGTTGCTACCTCTGCGCGTTTCGTTCACCTCCTAAACCAGTACCACGAAACAATTTACCGACACAATGCCAAACGAAAGGAGGAACGGTGCCCTCTCTTCGATGAAGCCGGCACCACGGCCGTCTGACACGCCAAATCTCGAATCAAGATCTATGCACACCAACCCGGGAGGCATCGACACTCTACTGCCACCAGCACCGATCGTCCAGACACCATCCTCGAGGTCGAACTTGGATGCGTCCACAACAGAAACAAGAGACTATTGGAATGGAGGGAATCCTCATAACAAGGTGCAATTGCCGCCCGGCGACCTCCCCCGGTTCGACAGCCTCCTAGCGCCACCCCCGATGCCAGCGAACGAGCGGAGAGAAAGCGACACATCGACCCGAGCCACCAGCGAGAATCTTGCCGGGGAGACAGCGTCGAGGCGCAGTGTGCAGTTTGCGAGACCGGAGATTCCGGAAGTCACACAACACTCTCAGCGTAACTCCTTTGAGGAATTCGACAGCCCTGGGAAAGGCAGAGGTGGCTCCTTTATGTCCAAGATCAAGGCAATGACGGGCGGATCGACTAGCATGCAGACGCCGAAATCGCCTACTGCCATTCCACATGATTTTGGCGGTCACTCTCTCGCCAATTCACCGGTAGCGACTAGGACCCAAAGAGGCCCAGACTCGCTTGCCGAAGGGACATACGACGCAGATGCTGATGCCGAGCTGACAGCGGATGAGCTCAACATACCCGACGCGGGTCCATCCAAGAGGAAGAAAAAGCGACGTATGCGACGAAGAAAGGAGGACAAAAATGAGCCCTCGACACCCAACCAGCCTAATCACGATGCCGACATCTTCCAAGCGTCCAAACGTCTCTTGAGACGGAGAGCGAGCATGCCTGATACCGCAGCAGTGGCTAATCGTGGCATGTCTGATGATGAAATGGCGCGGCATCGCGCCCGTCCCTCCATGTGGCGCTCCCAACGCTCGGCGTGGACAGATCAGGCGACCCGTCCCGCAAGTGACGACAACGAAGAGCTCGACTCATCCCTTGCCGTGATGCGCCGAAGAGGCCATTCGCGAAGGGCGACTGCGTTAGGCGGTGGTGGCGTTTCAGACGGGGACGCCGTTGCCGGGAGGCGACCTCTCTTTGGTTCAGAAAGGGCTTCCACCTTTGGTGCACACAAGTGGAAGCAAGTGAAGAACACGCTGAAATTGCTTCGTCAGAAGAAGGAGGATCGGTTTGACTACTACAAGTCTGCCGAGCTCATGGCCGAGCTTCGTGCTGGCGCCCCCGCAGCTCTCATGCTTGCCAGTATGATCCAACGTGACGAGCACGGCAACAAACGTATTCCCGTGCTGCTTGAGCAGTTGAAACTTCGTGTTGTCGACAGCTACCCCGACGAGACCGAAGATAGGAGCGACAGGCATTGGCACTTCAAATTCGAGTTGGAGTACGGCAGCGGCCCCAGTCGCATGAACTGGACCATCACCAGGTCGCTGACAGACCTCTACAACCTCCATTTCCGCTACAAATGGAAGTTGAGGAATGAAAAGTATAAACCAGGTCGCATTGAGACAGGAGCCCGTCTCAAGCAGCCCAAATTCCCGTGGGCTGCTTTCCCGTACATGCGTTCGGCCCGGGGAAAGAAGGACATGGATGAGAGCAGTTTGGATGAAGGTCAGCCTGGTGAAGCAACCGACACGGCTCCAGGCCATCCTGTCGCTGCCACTCCTATTCCTGAAGAAGGGTCCCAACTGGGGGTCAGTGACGCCGAAGTACCAATGCCAGCTAATGCTCGAAGACCATCAAGGCTAAATATGCTGGGCATGCGGAGGCGATCGACAGGCATCACGGACCCAGGAGAGATGTCGAACGCCGAGGGCCGAGAGGGTTTGCCGCCAGCTGTTGTTCGCCAGCGCTATGTCGAGAAGCAGAGGCGGATTTTGGAGGAGTATTTGTCTAATTTGATCCGCTGGCTCATGTTCCGTGCGGACAGCAACCGTCTCTGCCGCTTCCTGGAACTCTCCGCCTTGGGCGTCCGCCTGGCCGCCGAAGGCAGTTATCACGGCAAGGAGGGTTACCTACACATTCAGTCCTCGAAAGGACTTGATTTCCGCCGCGTGCTTACACCAGCCAAGATGATCAACCGACACAGCAGCAAATGGTTCTTGGTCCGGCAGAGCTACATTGTTTGCGTCGAGTCACCCGAAAACATGAACATCTACGACGTGTATCTTGTCGACAACAAGTTTGGTATCATGTCGAAGCGGAATGCGCTCAAGTCTATAGGTGGGACGAAGCCCAAGGTGATGGACTTGACCAGGGAGGCACCACCAGACACACATCATACGTTGACTCTGAAGACTTCGGAACGCCAGGTGCGCCTGTGGGCAAGCAACCCAGGTATGATGCGAGATTTCGAGCTGTCCATCAACGAGATGCTACGTCAGACCATCTGGTACCAAAACAAGCGTTTTAACAGCTTCGCGCCGGTACGGCAGAATGTTCATGCACAATGGCTGGTTGATGGCCGCGATTACATGTGGAATGTGTCGAGGGCCATCAACATGGCTCGCGATGTCATCTACATCCACGACTGGTGGCTTAGCCCAGAACTGTACATGCGTCGGCCAGCGTGCATCAGTCAAAAATGGCGACTAGATCGGCTGCTTCAAAAGAAGGCCCGCGAAGGCGTCAAAATCTTCATCATCATCTACCGAAACGTCGAGGCCGCAATCCCCATTGACTCCGAGTACACAAAGTTCTCGTTGCTCAACCTGCATCCGAACATCTTCGTGCAGAGATCGCCAAATCAATTCAAGAAGAACCAGTTCTTCTTCGCTCATCACGAGAAGATCTGCATCGTCGACCACGACGTTGCTTTCGTGGGTGGCATTGACCTGTGTTTCGGTCGTTGGGACAGCCCTCAGCATCCCATTACAGACGATAAGCCCACAGGATTCGAGGCAACCGATCAGCCAAGAGACGCGGACAATTGCCAGCTGTACCCCGGCAAGGACTACTCGAATCCTCGTGTGCAGGACTTTTACAGGCTCAACGAGCCTTATGAGGAAATGTACGATCGCCACGTTGTTCCAAGAATGCCTTGGCACGATATCTCAATGCAGGTAGTCGGCCAGCCTGCGCGTGACCTGACGCGCCACTTTGTCCAGCGATGGGATTATCTGAGACGTGGACGCAAACCTACCAGGCCGCTTCCTTTCCTGTTGCCCCCGCCTGAAGCCAAGATGGAGGAGCTCGAGGAGCTGGGCCTCACTGGCACGTGCGAAGTTCAGATCCTGCGCTCAGCCACGACCTGGTCGCTCGGCATTGAAGAGACGGAGCACAGTATCCAGACGGCGTATATCAAGATGATCGAGGACTCCGAGCACTTCGTCTATATGGAGAACCAGTTCTTTATTACCAGCACCGAGATCTACAACACACGGATCACGAACCGCATCGGCGATGCCTTGGTCGACCGAATCATCCGGGCGCACGAGAATGACGAGGACTGGCGATGCGTCATCATCATCCCGTTGATGCCTGGCTTCCAGAACACAGTCGACGAGCAGGAAGGCACTAGTGTGAGATTGATTCTCATGTGCCAGTATCGCAGTATTTGCCGCGGTGAGCATTCCATATTCGAGCGCCTCCGCGCCAAGGGCATCGACCCCGAGGAATACATCAACTTCTACTCGCTCCGTCAGTGGGGGATCATGTCGAGTGGCAACATGGTCACGGAGCAGCTGTATATCCACGCCAAGACTATCATTGTCGATGATCGTGTGGCCTTGATTGGTTCAGCCAATATCAATGAGCGGTCAATGCTGGGTAGCCGTGATTCAGAATGTGCCGCTATCGTCAGGGATACCGACATGATGTGGTCGACCATGGGTGGTCAGCCTTACCAAGTTGGACGGTTCGCTCACACCCTGCGCTTACGTTTGATGAGGGAACACCTTGGACTGGACGTCGACGAGATTCTTGCGCAGGAACGCCAGCACGAGATGGACAAGGAGACCTTCGAGAACGAGATGAACGAGATTTATGCTGAAGACACTGCCGAGCCCCAACCCAGGCAGCGTCCTCATGCACCGCAGCGCCCGCCAAGCTTCAACCATGAGCTTGACATGGAGCAGGCCGAAGCAATGCATGAGTCGGATTCGTCTTCTGAAAGGAACCGGGAGGTTGACCCACGTGTCGAAAACCTGACTCACCAAATGGATGTGCAGGGTCATGGACCAGACCACTGGCGGGCGGCCGAGCAGACCGGTGCAGATCAGGGACGGGATACTGTGATCATTAACGGGCGGGAGGTGCTCGTTCACAACGTCGGCACCGAGGGCAAGGGCTCCCTACAGCAGCCCAACCAGGCGCACCAGACTCTGCCGATGCCCGACAACAGGTATCTTGATCCAGCAGAGGCTGGTAGCGAGGCGCTGCCACCAATGCCCCCATTCAACCGGCGCACAACTGAACAGTTGGGTTTGCCCCGACCCGCACTACTACCTTCGCTGCCTGTTGTTGACGACACCGATATTGGCGGCCCGCCTGTACACACGGATCCTGTGACTGGACGCCCGATGAGCGGTGTTCTCCATCCCATGGCGGCTGACATTAAGCCAGCGCACATTGACAAGGACTGTATGCGTGACCCCCTGGATACCGACTTCATGGAGGAAATCTGGCACCGCGTGGCTGTGAACAACACTACGCTGTACCGCCGTGTCTTTCGCTGCATGCCGGACTCTGAGGTCAGCAATTGGGCCGAGTATACAGAGTACAACAATTATGGCAAGAACTTCCGCGCCATGATGGAGGGACGCAGACCAAAGAGCAAGGGTGCCGAAGTCAACAGTGAAGGACACGCCGCGCATCAGCCGTCGACATCGGGGGCAGCAGGCGTCGCGGCACCTGGGCCCGAGGCGATCATTCAGGCTGCGGAGAACGAAATCCACAAGATCCCCGAGAAGATCGGAGAGAAGATCCCTGGCGTCAATTCTGAGCATCAGCAATCTCACGGCCACATGCCTCACATCATTACGCCCAGCGCCCCTGAAACAGCCGAACTGAATGAGAAGCCGCCGGTTGAGGACGAGAAGGCCGGGCTGACTCTCGATACAGGCGTTGCGAATGAGAAGCAACGTGCACCCGAGGCATCCTCACCAGTCTACTCGCAGGGAGATGTTCCTTTCCCGGCCATGGAGAACGGACAGACCAGGTTTCTGGAGCCACAGATTAGCAACAAGGCGCGTGAGCGTCGGACGACCTTTTCCACTCTCGAGAAGCCCGCGTCGCGGGAGTCTGGTCCTAATTCAAACATCCTAGGCCGCGTCGGCTCTGTGAGGAACAGGCGACGAGCCAACACTAAGAATAGCCGACGTGGCTTCACCTTGGACGACATGCCCACACGCCAGGAAGCTGAAGTGTTGATGAACATGACGCAGGGCCACCTGGTGCAGTTTCCGTACAACTGGTTGGCGACGGAGGAGACCAACGGCAACTGGGGCTATCAGGTCGATGGTGTCGCTCCTTTGGCTATCTAGTGAGTCTTGTCATCGTGCCGAGAGATGAGATGTGTACTAATGTGCCACAGTGATTAAGCTTGGTCTTATCCTTTCTGGCAAGGCGTTTCAAAAAAGGCATGGCACGGAGTTGCTTGAGGTAATATACGGCATTGTTCGCACACAGCATGCATTTGCAGGGGCACACTCGACATTTCCTTTCTACTTTTCAGTTCTTGTACAAGTATAATATGGTACTACAAAAGGGTTGGTACATCTATATATACATAAACACGTGCGAAACATGGCCCCGATTAGATCAAACCCGCTCGCTCGCCCAGATGGCTCCTCTGCAACCAGCCCGTATCACGTTGGTCAGCAGCCAATGCGGCTCAGCCTTCTTGGCGTCGTGCTCGACCGCATGGTCCAGATGCTCTAGCTCCTCGTCCCGTATCCTCCTCAGCGTCTGGACCAACTCTTCCACCTCGCTACCCACGTCGTACCCCTCCTGCTTCCACGTCGTGATCATCTCCAGCAGCTCTCGGATCTGGGCGTTGTAATGGCCCCCAATCTCCGTCTCCACGGCTTCCGTGCACGCCATGGCCGCCTCGCGCCCCATGACGGCTGTGCCCCATCCCAGGCCCGTGGCCATGACGCTCCACAGGGGATACAGCGCCGTGGGTCGTACTCGGTGTTTGTGGATGAGGCCGTTGAAGGTCCGTAGATGCGCGGCTTCCTGCTCGTACATGTGGGACATTAAAGGGCGAAGATGCGGATGTCTGTTCGTTATGGGAGGCGTCTGCGCGGTGTAGATGAGGGTGGCCGCCAGTTCTCCTGCTTGGTTGACACGGAGCTGTTAACTGTTAGTATATTGTCGGGCAGAGTAGGCATTTCCGATCGAGCCAATGGAATAGCTCTGGGGAGAGTGGTGGGCAGACGTACAGCTGACGACAGATATTCTCGTTGCTCCTTTGTCAAGGTTTTGAGCTTCTTGGAACCCTGCTCGGAGGGAGATGTGCTACCGGTCGATAGGCAGCGTACAATGGCGGGACAGCGCGTCTTCGCGCATGAGAGTCTCATGGACTTCGCAATACAGAGTGTGGGTGACATGACGTATGGCAATTCTGGAAAGTGTGCGAGTGCCTTGACACTTGAAGTTGTAGTCGTAATTACATGGGCCGATATTCTCGACTTGGAGGTGACATGACGATGCCATGTTCGGATTTCACTCGGCCGAAAGTATGCGCCGGATGGGAGATTATCCGAATGCCGGATATGCGCCGGGTCGCGCCTACCTCGACTGGCTCCTTACTTCCTGAGAGCCGTGGTTTTAAAGTCTTGCACAATATTTCCTCCTGTCTAGATTTTCTCCTTGTCCTCCTCATCGATCGAACTGCAACGCTTCTTGCCGCTTTTGAAGCGTCAGCGTGCACATCGCGTCCATTCCCTCCAGACTTTCGAATTCGACGCCATCTCTTTGTCCCTTTACAAATCACGTCAGGTCACAGCAGAATGTCCGACATCGATAATGACCTTCTCGACCTCGCTGGTGGCGACTCTGGAGACGAGGGTTCCATCAGCGAGGGTCGTGACCGATCTGAGTCTCCCCGGCGCGATTCGAAAACGACCTCGTCAAAGAAGACTTCACGCAGGTCACGGCAAGATGCTTCCGAGGATGAAGGCGAAGCGTAAGTCACCACCCGGCGATCGAGGGCCCACTGTCTATTGTGACCAAGCGGCTCAACTCTGTATAGCTTTTCTGAGCCTGGCTCGCCCAATTCTCTGGCCTCGGCTGCCATGGACGAATCCGATTCAGATGAGGAGCCTCCTGCACGATCGCGCGCACCACCCGCCGCAGCTGCCGGCGAGGGTGAGAAATATCCTGTCGACGGCAAATACGTCAGCCACTCGGAGAAGGCGCGGATAGAAGCGTTGCCTGAACTCGAGCGCGAACAAATCCTCGCCGATCGAATGATGGAGATTGATCGACAACGCCAGAACCGATTGCTTCGTCAGATGGTTGAGAACGAGGAGCGGAAACAGTCGCAGAAGCACAAGAAGAGAAGCGCCGACACTGCGGAGCTCGAGGACGAGGATGACCGGAAGACAACGACCAGGCAACGGGTCGCCAAAGGGGAGACTGCGATGGATACGCTGCGCCGGGCACGGCTGGAGAAGCAAAAGCGCAAGGAGAATCAAGAGCGAAGACGGGACTCATACTCGCCGAGGAGAGGATCGCGATCACCAGATCGAGACGCGAGCGACGACGATTTCGCGAGGGGGAGTCGGTCGCCCGAACCAGAAGCTACGCGTGACGTGCCGCCCCCTGAGCTGCGGGACTTTGAACGCGTGCGACTCGGCAGAAATGAGTTCTCACAAGTGTGCCACACGCCTGGCTTCGAGGACGCTATTACTGGATGTTACATCCGCCTGTCGGTAGGACCGCATCCAGAAACGGGGATTGAGCAGTACCGCATGGCCCTGATCAAGGGGTTCACGACGAGCCGGCCGTACGCTCTCAATGGACCTGGCGGATCCTTCATCACGGACCAGTACGTCCGCGCAGCGCATGGCAAATCCATCAAGGAATTCCCATTCATCGCCGCGTCAAGCGGCAAGTTCTCGGACGCCGAGCTGCACCGGTACACAGTCACATGCCAGAACGAAGGCGTGACATTGCCGACCAAGTTGTTCCTGTCCGACAAGGTGGACGAGATTAACAATCTCATCAACCACAAGTGGACAAACGAGGAGATCAAGCAGCGTCTGAACCGTAGAGCGGAGATGAAACGCCGCTTCGACCCTGCCGAGCGCCAGCGTGTGGCGCAGAAGCTGGAGGAAGCGCGGGAGAAGGGCGACGACGAGAAGGCGGACGCGCTACAGGAGCAGCTCGACAACATGGGTGCCCAGCGACTGGCCTTTAGGACGAGCCTGGCGCCCACCAAGTCGACCACCACGCAGCAGCACACGGAGCAGGATCGTCTCGCCGAGCGCAACAGGGAGAACCGCCGACTCAACGCCGAGGCGGTGCGCAAGGCGCAGCTGAAAGAGAAGGCGCGGATCCGCGAGATCGAGGCGGCGATTGAGCGCGGCGAGACCGTGGAGGACGACTCGTCGCGTCGGGTACGGACAAAGGCCAAGTTCATCCACGACGTCAACGAGAAGGCTGAGCAGAAAGCCGGCAGCAACGGGGCGACACCCACAAACGGCAGCACGCCCAGCAAGAATGGCACCAAGTCGATGCCCGCCCACCTGGCGAAGCTCCAGTTGGAGCAGCAGACGGAGGCCAAGGGGGTGCCGACCATTCACAAGCCGCTCATGGATGATGATGTGATTGGGTCGCTGGATTTGGACATTGATATTGATATCTGAGGCGTCATGCAGGTTCCGGCGTTTGGGGCCTCATGGGCGGGCTACTACTATACAGCAGGGTGTCTCTCCTTCTCGTCTCTACTACTGCGCCCAGGCTAGACTAATCAAAAGTCGACCGCGACGATCCTCCCGCCCCGCGTCTCGTTTCCAAATGTCGCCGAGTTGGTTGTGACGTAGAGGGTGTCCTGGTCATACTCACCCTTTCCGAACTCCAACGCCGTGCAGCCAGCGAGGTCCCATTCTCCGATCCCACCGGCAACAACCTTCATCTCCCCCGTCTGCGCGTCACTGTAGACGATGGTGCCGTCAAAGTGAGTGGCGGCATAAATGTTGCCATAAATGTCAAAATTGAAGTCATCCACGGCAGAGGCAATGCTCGAGGCGTTGAAGACGAGTTCCGGCCTGACGTCGCATCCCTCCTTCTTGTTGTCGTCCAGGGCGATGCGGTAGATGCTCGAGAGGGCGGTGTTGGACCAGTACAGATGGTTATCCCGGATCTGCACGCCATTAATGCCAAACATGGCGGCGCCCTCGGGCGCGGTCATCTCTGGATACTCGTAGGCGGATTCGGTGAAGCTGTTGTCCGTCACGTTGTAGAAGGAGACCCGGCTGCGAAGCGAGTCGGCGATCAGGACGCCACCGGGCACGGCGACAAGACCGTTCACCAGGCCGGTGTCCGCCGAGAGGGCGCTGAGATGCGCGACCTCGACGTCCTCGTCATTGTCCAGGTGGGGGAACGTGACAGTGTAAAGGGCGGCGGAGCCAACGACCATGTCAAAGGGGCTTCCGGTGGGGGTCTTGCCGCCGACGACGACGTAGACACGCTCCTCGCCCGCGCAGGCCTCCTCGTCGGGGATGAGCTGGTCGATGCCGAGGAGGACGTCCAAGTCGGGCACGGTGGCGAGGAGAGAGAAGTCGGGCGTGGAGGACGCCGGGTCCTTGACAATGTACACCTCTGGGCCGCCGGTGAGTCGCGTGGCGAGGAGGGAGGACGTGGAGGGGCGGATGGCTATGTTCTCAAAGAAGCCCGGTGCCGGGAGAGAGCCTAGTTCCCTGAAGACGGGGGCCTTTGGCGCTTGGATGGCGGCGGACGAGATGTCAAAGGGCCACAGGAGAGCGGTGGTGACGAGAGTTGTGAGAGCCATGGCTGTTGGTGTATCAAGGGGAGATCTGGTGGTGTAGAGGCTTGCAGGAGTAGGAGCTGCTATTGGATTGAGCGTGATGGTCCATTGCTGTAACGGCGCGATGCGATTTCTGTTATACACAAATATTTCGTCTTACTTCCACGGCTTTGCGCTTTCGTAATGAAGGCAGCGCAGGATTATGCGAACAGCATCGTCGTCGTTGTCTTACCAATGTGGATCGCCGGTGCAAGTCCACGGAGTTCAGGCCCATTATATCCCTGCAATGAGTAGGAAGCAAGTTGTAATGCACAAGATTGCATGGCTACCCTGATGCTTCTAGAAATCAATGGCTAGGTAGATTCAATGGTCTCGTGTCTCGAATTACTCCTGATGATCCTCCAAATAGCCAAACCAGTCAAACTTGCCCTGCCAGACTCTGACGAAGAAGAAAGTCATTGCCAACAACTTGATGACCATGACCTGCCGTGCCATTTCAATATGGCTCCTGGTACGAGCCCATCCTTGCAGCTTCGTCGGGCCCGTCTTCTCGCAGCGATCGCATACGTGGCTGAAGAGCAAGGGGTCGTCCGTGATGACACCATCAATCATCCTCCCGTTTACCGTCAACGTCTCTGACGACATGAATGTCTCGTTCTGCGCAATACACCACTCCATCCAGCGCTCCTCATTCACCGTCCAGGCCAAGACGGGTCGATCTTTCTCCTGCGCTTCCTGCATGAATCGTCTGCCTCCCTTGCCTACCAGCACCTTTTGGAAGACGTTGAACCCAAGATTGGGTATCGCCAGAAAATGGCGCGAGTAAGGCAGGTAGAACGAGATGTGCACCATGGGGTACTCGGGCAGATGTCGCCTGGCCGCTTTGAGAAAGGCGGTATTCCACAAGCCCAGGACGACGCGATGGTGCCAGGGTGGATGTTGGGTCGGGGTCACTTCGCGCAACGTCCTCTCTACTGCGCTGAGCAAGTCATCCGCGTCGTCATCGATCTGCTTCTCCTTAGCGATGTGTTTCATGCATCTGTCTTCGCGCCAGAGAGAGAGAGAGAGACGCCGCGCGCCTGCTTACCTTGACATCCAGGAGGATCCAGAGGTGCTCCATGCCGGGGCGATTCATCATGTCCAGCAGGTCGCGCAACCGTGGCATGCCCTCGTTCTTGTCCCGGACGGTGCGCAACGTGGAGAGGGTGTCCCAGTTGCACTCGCTGATCTTCGTGTCTATCCCAAAGCATCGCTTCAGCGTCGCATCCTAGAGCGAACGGTTAGTTTTCCTCGCCAATGCGCACGTTCGTCGTCGTCTCACATGTGAAAGCACCACCACGCCGTCTTTGCTCAGATGAAGATCCGTCTCAATCGCATGAGCGCCAACGTCGACAGCACCGCGGAACGCGCCCATGGTATTCTCCGGGAAGGACGCTTTGTACCCTCTGTGGGCAATGTTCTGGGGCAACGAGACCCTCGCCCCTTTGCTGGGCGCAGGGGCCTTCAGCCAGGGCGCTTTGGTTGTGCCGTCAGCCACTTGATGTCTGCTGCCAACGGGTGTAAGTGAAGTACCTTTGGGGATGGGCTGCGGCGCCCTCTGAAGGAGCTGCTTGTATTCGGCCGCCATGGTCATCTATACGATCTAGAAAGGACGCGCACCACGAGTGACTATGCCGCTTCGAGCGATGGAAAGAGAAGCATTCGGATAGAGAGAAATTGCACCAGTTCTACGTGCAGTCTATGAATGACTCCCATGGTGCGTTTAAGAGTCCGGTGTCCGGACATAAGAGCGGTTGTTCTCATGACTGACGCGACGATGCGGAGTTGGCTGACCTGCTCGGGTCTCGGATTTTGTCGCGTCAGCAGGCACACGTTTCTCCAACTTGTGGTGTCAATGGCCAAGACAATTACAGGCAGCTTTCAAGTTTCCAAAGAATGCATTCTTCCTTTGAACCGTCTTACGTACTTCCACCTCGAGTGACAGTGGGCGGACCGCACGAGGAGACGGGCTTGAACGCCTGGTCACGACAACAAGCCCTGCACGTACGTAACATTCACCACTGTGTTTCATTCTACTTGTATATCTTGCGCGGGAACGATTGCCGAGATGAGTCCCACGTATACTCCGCATTACTCGTACTAAATACTTGTACATAGGCTGCCTCCTTATTAGTCACCTGACGTCCTGACCTCTGCCGCCCCCTGCGGACTGGACACAGCCCCTACATATCCGTACTAACTTATTAGTACTTGACGCTACGCCGCCTCGCAATACCTACATGCATGGGGTTGGTAGCTGCTGGGGGTCGCGAGACGTCGTCGTCAAGTGTCAGGTAATAATGCCCGACGCCACCAGCTGTTGTACCGGCAGACTACCATGACTCGACTGCAGATCAACAGACGATTGGAGCCCTATGAGTGATGCCAGTGACAGCTTCTTGCGGCTGACCATGGAACTAAAAACCGACTCAGCCCTTTCCACATCAGAAACGTATCTTGTCGGTAGATGAGATTCATTTCTGGAGATCAGCCCCAAGCCAACCCTGTTCTAGCGTCTAGCAACCGCAGGGAACCCATGAGTCTACACCTCAGGCAGTCGCGATAATATATGCTCGACCAACCTTACACGACAAAGCCCAGACACTGCCAACTGGCACATTGATTTGGCCTCTGGTGTGAGGTTCTTCGGGAGACGGTCCAGGTCCACATCCTCCTGTCCCCAAAAAAGGCGACAGCCCTCGAGTCTCGACGCCTCGTCGTGATGGGGGCCGGGCGACTGCCGACTGGACTGACCCAACAACTGTCAACAGGGGAAAAGCCTATCCTCCCCGGTCGGCATGTCACTGACTGACTCGAGTGCGCGCCCGGGCTGACCCGCGCCAACTGCAACAGGAAAACCCATCGCCTAATAACAAAGAGGGATCTACAAGTGAGGCCCGGCTTGTGGCTTCATGTCTGTCACCACTTCCGAGTCTTCAACGGTTCGACCAGGGCCCAGGGCCCCAGGGGTCTGTTCCGATCAGCCGCTAAATGCAAATGCGGACTCCATTTCATGCTCCCCCCGTGCTTCTCCAGATGAGTTGACGGCTCGCACGTACAGATCTTTAGTCTCGTCCAGGAGTCAGGACCCAGGAGAAGATCGGAGCCGGGTTCCTGGGTTCAGTATAGATACGCCAGACCGCTCCCTGCCTGCCATGTCCCATGGCCTGCTGCTCTTCTCCATGATTCTCTCTCTCCTCTATCGATCGCTGCTGGTCGCAAAATAGGTTGATCGCGCTCGTTGAAGAAGCACGCACACAAGAGGCGTACATTGCCAGTACTATGCCTATCCTCCTCCACGTCTGCCAAGGCCCAAACTACCCGCCATGCGTCGATCCATGGACGTCGACGCGAACGTATGCGTCGCCGTGACCCTGGCCGTGGCGACAATGTTCACCGTGGCCCGGTTCTGGGCGAGGTACATGACCAAGGTCAAGCTCTGGCTGGATGACTGGTTCGCCCTGGCGGCCTATGTGAGTATCCACGTTCATGGTCACGACCACGTACCTCTCGTGCTGACTTGACCCAACCCAGATCACGGCTATAGGATATTCAGTCCTCATCATCGCATGTGAGTACCTGTCTCTTGCGAGCGTCTGGACAGATGCGTCTAACTCTTCTCTTCAGGGACCATCCTCGGAGGCCTGGGCCAGGAGATGGCGACACTCAGCATATCGCCCGCCGAGGCCGTCATGCGGTCGTCCATCTTCGTCCTGCTCGTCGAGCTCTTCTACGCCTTCTCCCTCTTCTGCTCCAAGATCGCCATCCTCGGTATGTACTGGCGCCTCTTCAGCACGTCGCCCATCCGCCTGCCCATCCAGGTCCTCGCCGCCATGTCCCTCGTCTGGGTCATCATCCGCACCTTTATGACCATCTTTCACTGCGTGCCCCCGCAGGCCTTCTGGGACCCGCCCGTCAAGAATGCGCGGTGCGACATTGACAACTCAAAGTTCTTCTTTGGCACCACCCTCACCCATCTGCTCATTGACGTCGCCATCCTCATGCTGCCCGCCATACAAGTGAGGCAGCTGAAGCTGCGGACGGGCCAGAAGCTGGGCGTGATTGGGCTGTTTATGTTTGGCGCTGTGTACGTGATCTCCTTCACACCCTGTTTGCAGGATATTGTCGTCACCTTTTCTGTTAGATACGTCTGGACCCCCTGCTGACCGACACGTCAGTGTCTGCGTGGCAGCCATCGTCCTCCTCATCTCGGCGGCGTCCTTGGACAGCCATTCCCCTGAGATGCCCTATGACATGATCAACATCATGATCCCAGCGACCGTAGAAGTCAACTTTGCCGTTGTCTCGGGTATGGCCAAACCCCCCCACCCCCCCCCCAATGGCCTGCTCAGCATCCCATCGTACTAACACCTAGTAGCCTGCCTCCCCACGATACGCCCCGTCATCCAACGCCTCCTGCCCAACTCGGGCCTCACCTCGGGCGGCCAGAGCAGCACCAACGGCGGCGGCGGCGTACGGACGGGCACGGGCGTCAAGCTCCGCACGCTAGCGACCGCCATTGAGCTCGAGGACGACAGTTCCACCAAGAACTTTGCCGACCGCAACTACAGCTCCGGCCTGCGGTATGCCGACGCGGAGACGGGCAGTTCCGGATCCAACGAAGACGCGCCGCGGCCGGGTCCGAGGACGGTCATTGAGGCGGGCGCGGATGATGGGCAGAGTCGCAGCGGACAGCCCGAGGATGGCGGCATACGGGTCAAGAACGAGATGAGCATCTCGTACGAGGCGAGGTGATGTGGATGGACGTGCGCCGACAAGATGGCAAGACATTGTAGAGATAGTCAATCTGAAGGGTAGCGATGGGGTGAAGAGGATAGTGTTCAAACTGTATTGAGTCTCTGATAATCCCACGCACTCTGTATACACAGACCTAAACAGATAGATATCGCGCACCTTGGTATCAAGTAAATGTTCCCCCGTCGCAAAGCCAATGCGCTATCATCACGCCCGTCCGTTCGCTCGCCAGTGACAGCTAGAAGCTCGTTGTGAGCGGAAACCCAAAGAGGTAACCATCAAGCGCATCAAACGCAAACTCATCCTTGCCCGTCGCCGCGGGAAGCATATTCCCACCACACACATCCACAGGGCCACCGCCGCCACCGCCACTGCTCAGACCCAGCTCCGACGGCGCAATGCCCTCGCTCGAACTCAGGCTGTCGCCGCTCAGACTCTGTGGCGGCGCGGCAAAGTCCCCCCCGATGCTGAACGTGCTCAGGTCCCAGGCATCCGGCGACCAGTCCGTCACCGTCGTCGCCGTCGCGGCGGCCGAGTGTTGCGGTACAGCGTCGGCGGCGGGGAAGCCCCGTCCCCCGTAGATGGCGTCGTACACGTTGTTCAGGCCGCCGTCGAGGCTGCCAAGCAGAACCTCCCAGTCTGCCGCGTTGACGGGTGTCGCGGCTTTGAGACCGACGCCGGATAGATGGTGATGTGATTTCGAGTGGGACGACGGCGGAGGCGGTAGCATTGTCTGCCTTGGGGGCGAGGGTTGACGAGACTGGCTCGGTGTGTTGCTCAGAGACAGGTAGTCGAGGTTGGTATGCGAGCGCGAGGTGGCTCGCTTGAGTGCCGGCGGGTACGATGAATCACGCAGGGATGTGTTGGGGGTGACGCTATCGAATGACTGGCGTGACGGGCTCCGACGGAACTTGGGCCGCGACTCTTCCAGTGGAGGCATCGTCATGCGGCGCATCCGTTGCTGTTGCTGGAGCAGGTCGGTTTCCGTGGCCGAGGCAGCAGCAGGAGGAGCAGCAGCGTCTGTGCTCTGCGTGGCGGGTGGTTGTGAAGAGGATGACGTGCGGCGACCCTGCGTCAGGGCTGGTGATGTCTTTCTCGAACTTGTGGTGGTGGCTGGCGACCCTCGCGATGGAGGCGGCATGGGTGTGTCGGATGGCTCGACGTTGACGAGTCGGCTCGCGATGCGCCGCAGATCCCAGGATCCCGGTGCCTTCTCCTTGTCCACAATCTTGAGCACGCCATTGACGAGCCTCTCGTTGTCGCGGATAAGCTTGCTCTCTCGCTTCAGGTCGATTGCCTGGTACAGCAGCGTCATGCCGCACACGAGCAGAAGATCGTGTTTGTTGAGGCAGAATGAGAAGATCATGTTGCGCTCCTCTAGAAGTTGCACAATCTGCACAATGTGCTTGCTCGCATTGCTGATGGCGAGCAACGCCGGCGCCGCCTTGTGGCCGAGCGTCGAACCCACCGCAGGGCGATAGATCAGGATGCGAATAAAGTAGTACGCCAACGCCAGCAGAGGAGACCGACTCCCCGTCACGTCTGTCGACGGCTTGTCTTGCACGAAATTGAGCCGCAGGTGGCTGGGCAGCTCATCGTACCAGGCGTCCAGGTCAACGTCCATGGCTTCCATCTGCTGCAAGGAGAGCTCGTGTGACGGCGCGGCTGGGTAATTCTTCTCCAGCACGCGAGCGAGAATGCGAGCTGCTCGGAACAGAGCAAGCGCACTGGAGATACGGGTAGACTCGCCGGGGAGGCTTGGTTGGAAGCCCTTCTCGGTCACGTACTCGTCGTCAGCGTCGGTGGGATACTCAGCTTGGATGTCGTCGTCCCTGAGAAGCTTGGGCAGTCCAAGCGTAGCGGCGGTGAAGCTGGCCACTGATTAGCAAACATGCGCGCGAGAAATGGGTCACAAGGCCAAACATACCAGTCGAGAGTATACAACGTCCAGAACACCTTCTTGCGCGTTTCGATGGTCAACGCACCGAAAGAGTACCGCTTCTGACTCTGATGCAGACCGAGTCTATGTGAAAGACTGACCGCGATACCCTTGTAGTGTTGTATTTTCTTGTAGTCGGCCCGCATAATGCAGTAGAGAAGCGCCAGGATCAGACATTGCAGTGCGTTCATGGTGTTCTCCATCGAGAGCAATTCCAACGCCTGTGTCCACTCCCTCTCGCAGGCTGCTACCTGGGCGAGGTCGGGCATTGAGTCAGAGAGTCCTGCGATGCTAAAAACGAGATAGAGCTGTGCGGTCTTGTAATCATTCTTGATCTTGGTCGGGTCCGCGACGAACTCCTCATAGAGGCGTAGAAACGTCGGCTTGTGCAGGATCGGGAAGAGAGGCGCCCATTCTTGGAAGAAGACATTGACAGACCGATCTGAGAAGAGCCGTGGGGGCGCCCCTGATGGAGACTCTTCCGTATCGACGAGCAAAGGCTGTGTACCTTGGATATGCAAGAATGCCTCCGGATTGAAGTCAGAGCAGGTCTTGCCCGTCTTTGCGACTTTACGTTTAAACAGCTCTGTAAAGAGGTCAGCATGATGAGCCCAACTTTGTGAAATCTGTGCCTCGTCATACCGATGAATGCTCTGCCACTTGAGTGACCCATCAAGTACGAGTCCGAATTTTCCACGCCCAGCAGTAAAGGCGAGGCCTGCACCCTAAATGTGTCCTCCTTCAGTGGCAGGGGTAAGGCGCGATCTGGCGTCAGCCCTGGGGCTGATGAATGTGATGTGTTCGAGAGTCGCCGCCTGTTGCCATGCATTTTGCTCAGCATGTCAATCTTTTCGTCCTTCTCGTCCAGCAGATCCTTGAGCTCCCTGACCTCGGTCTCGAGCGCGCGCACGCGCTCCTCCAGCGACTCTGTGTACCCTCGTGGAAAGGCCCGCCGGCTCAACTTGTCGCTCGTGCGGCACTCGAAGCCGACGCTGGCGCATTGTGTGCAGGTTGGCCGCACGCCGTCGCAGCGGATCTTTTTGGAGCGACATCGGTCGCATGCCTGTGCGATACGGCTTTGTGCGCTCTGCCCCACCTTGATGACCTTCATAGGCAGAATGCCTGGCATGATGGGCAAACTGGCTCGACGCAGACTATTTACTTTCGTCCAGAAATCAGATCTCTCGAGGGTGTTGGTGTTGTTCTTGTCGTCGTTGTCGTCGCGTGGCGTATCGCTGCTGACTGCGGGGGCGCTTGCCACTTGGGGCCCGGAGTTTGGTGTGATGCTGAGCAATTTGTGTGCAGCCGAGAGTTCCGAACAATCATTTCACGAAAGGAAGAATGTACTCAATCGCGCAGTATGGTGAGGCGCGTACTGATCAGGATGAAGGAGAAAAGTTGCAGAGGATGATTGTCGAAGGCGAACGGGGGCGATGTTGGATGCAAGGACTGGAGGGCAGGCGTCACAGCAGCAGTACAAGTAAAAGTACGTACTTGTGCACGCTGATGAAATGAACCAACGCGGAAACTCGACGGGGCTGCGGTGAAGATTCCAGACCCGCGCCCCCATTTGATCCCCGGACGGGGTTCTATGGGTCGAGTGTGGGAGAAACCTGGGGCTGCGGAGACTCTTGGACAGCACTCCAGTTACCAGTACCGGTCAATCCCGGATGCCTATCATCGTACGATGCTCGTTGACAAGCTTTCAGCCTGCACGCGCCTGAATCGTGGGGTAGTGGACTTTGGCAGTTGACGGTTGACCGACTGATCCCGATCCTCTCACTCGACGTGATGCCGAGCACGTACTGTACGTACTTTGGCAGCCCTACTTCAGGAACCGTGCTTCCGAGGAACGGCACGCCAGCACGGCACGCTTCAACGAGAGCGACAAGGGTATACAGCAAAACATGGTGCCATTCTGTAATTGGGTATCTGACTCTCCTTGCGCATATCAGCGCACGGACTGCATCTGATCGACGCAGCTCTTCTGCGCTACCGCAAATTCCCTTTCGCGAGGCTAGTCATGATGTGGGTTCAAAGTCAACTTGAGCCCGCCACCGAGAAGTGAGTTGTGCGCTTCCTCAAAGTACGTATACATATAGAGTTGTTGGAGTGTTAACGCCGGGCCCGTTTCGCAGCGCTAATGAATGCGGAGTGGCAGCGAACGCCCCCTTCCTTTCCTGTGTCTGGGGTAATTATTAATAAGTCTGTCAGCGCCGTCAATAGCCCCTTGGAGCATGGCTGGATGGACTTGCTCGAGCTGAGTTCCACAAAGCTAGAGGCAGTCCGATGAGAAGGGCATTTGTTTTTTGATCAAGTATGGCGTTTCTGACCAGCAGCAGTCAGCTTGCCAATTAAAAAGAGTTTAATAGAATGGTGGACCCTCGTGGATGGCCGGAGGAGCGGGACTGGAGGTCATTCACCACCATCGTGGAGGTGGTGTTGGCGCGCGCAGAACACCGGGTCCGTGGCTGCGTGACGATGAAATAACGGGTAGCCTTCAGCTAAAATCAACATCCTCATTGGCTGCATTGCTGGGCGCTGTCTCCATTGGGTCATCTTCCATTGATCCGAGGTATGCCTTGACGCGCTCGTCAGCCAAGAGGTCTTGCTGCTGTGTTAGTGGACAATTGATTAGTATGCGACTTCATCTTTGCTGCATTGAAAGAAAGGGCTGGAAGCACTTACCTCCTTTTCTAGCGCAGCAACCGTGGCCTCGAGTAATGAACCCTCGATTTCTTTCAACGTAGCGGCCGCTTGCACGCACACTGGCCGCAGGTCCGAGGCAGCGACATGTATGGGATCGCCATCTTCGTCTTCGGGGGGCCTCTTCAGTCGGTGCAGTTGATCCACCATTTGTTGCAACAAGATTGACACAGCTCGAAGTCGAAACACTGGACATAACGCGTGCTCCTGAGTGAGCGCCTCAAAGTCTGCAGCGCGTTCAGTCACGTCCTCGTCCTGCCAGAACATCCGCAGCTGCCGCCCGCCCTCGTTGTCTTGCAGGATGCGAAAGTCGAGCCCGTCCTCTTCGTTCAGGCACATGAGGTGCAGGAACGGACTGTGCCAGTTCAGCACCCCGTCCGTCCGACGGAGCTGCACCGTCGGCATGCCTCCAAAGATGTGCTCCTTGGCTCTAGAAAGTGGATCATCTTCGAACGAGCGGACCATAAGAGTCATTTCATCCGTGCTGTACGCCCTGTCAATGAATCCGTAGCTGAAGAGCATCTCGGATGCCCGCTTCAGCTTGCCGTAGGAGATGGTGACCTCTTTGCCTGGGTCGACACTGTAGCCTGGCCGAAGCAGGATCTCAATGTCTCCGTCGCTGTCTTCGTCGTAGTAGGCTTCCGGATCGTACGAGTGATTGGCCATGTCAATGGACGGCACCATGGCGTCGCCAGAGGAAGGCAGCTCCAGGCACCGAGACCGATACCAGGCATCCACCAGCGCCCAATCCTCGAATGATATCTTGCGCTGCTCCCAGAATAACTCATTCCAGAAGTCGAGTTGCTTTGTTTTCTCACAGAGTTCATCGAATTCCTGGCTCAGAGAGTTTCGTTTCGCTGCCACGGCTTGCTACAACTGAATGAGCACGATGCCGGAGAGTTCCGCAGTAGACAACTCACCTCCAACGAGGTACCCTGGAGCAGGTTCCTTTCCTGCTCCGACCACATCGATGGTAACAAGCCGTCGCGCTCAAGGTACTTGATATAATCCGTCCACGGACTAGCAGCCACCCTGTAGGAATCGGACGGGGTCTGCCTCGAGCGGACGAGATGAACCAGTAGATAGAGCATTATCTTGCCTCTCGCTGTCTATGTCTGATTGTGAGCTGCAACTCTACGCAGACGTACGCGGCATAGAAGCGCACTGACCTCGTGGCCGGTGGCATGGAGTAGCTCGCGAAAACGATTGTCGACATTGGCGTACTCTCTGACCGCTTCCGCTGACAATGCGAGTCCTCGCGGGACTGTCAACAGCGGTCTGTCATTCTTGAAACCCTCCTCGTCGGCGACAAGACTCAGCTGTTCCGTGGCGACAAGGCCGATCCCCTTGTCTTTGATGAGCTGAAGCTCACATTTGTGAAATTGGACACCATGAAGACGCTGCCACACAGGCAGACCCTCAATAGGCCCGGGGTTGGCGGGCATAATAGTGCAGTGCAAAACCAAAGCTCCAGCTCAGATGAGGAAAATAGCTGGAATAAAGGCGATTCAATGCAAGGAGAAGGTGGAAGTTTGCTTGGTTGTGGAAATCGACATGAGGATGTTCTTTCCCAGTGAAAGTGGGCAGATTGCGATCAAGTCCCTTCTCCCTAGTTGACTTTATCGTGGGGGCATTTACCCGCGGGCTTCATGTACCTTGGGCGCTTGAATACATGACGGACCTGCCCCTCCGCCAAGGCCGAGTTTTCGTGACGTCCATCGCCAGACTCGAAATTCCCCTCCATCGCAACTTCTGCACTCCAGTCGACGCCCCCCCAGCAAAGAAAGCCAACTTTTTCTGTTCTCGGTGCCCCAGATTGGCCTCACATAGTCGCAGATCCTGATGCGCTTGACCAACAACCCTTAGCCATGCCTCGCGATCCGCTCATCGGCCTCGTTGGCAAGCCGTCAGCCGGCAAAAGCACCACGCTCAACAGCTTGACAGATGCCTCCTCTAAAGTCGGTCGGTCACCCAAGCCTCACCCGTCGGACATGGCCACTGATATCTGAGACCCGCAGGCAACTTTCCGTACGTATCTTCATGGGCTCCATGTGTCGCGTTTGCGCTGACCGTCTCCAAGCTTCACAACCATCGACCCTCAACGCGCGATCGGCTACCTCCAGATCGACTGCGCATGCGCTCGACACAATGTCTCTGAAAAGTGCCGGCCCAACTACGGGGCTTGCGTCGACGGCCGGAGATCAGTGCCCATTGAACTTCTGGATGTGGCAGGACTCGTGCCGGGCGCCCACCAGGGCCGTGGCTTGGGGAACAAATTCTTGGACGATCTGCGCCATGCAGATGCATTGATACACGTCGTGGATGCCTCGGGCACGGTGGATGCCGAAGGCAAGGAAACCAGAGGATACGACCCCTCAGTCGACATTGCGTGGCTACGGAGCGAGATTGTGGCCTGGATCCTGGGGAACCTGACGCAGAAATGGGGTTCCATCCGGAGGAGACACATTGCCGTCAAGGCCACGGCGGTCGAGACGCTGCAAGGCCAATTCTCTGGTTACGGTGCGACATCTACTGTCATCAACCGGACGCTCGATCGAGCGGGCATCAAGGAAAACCTGGAGGACTGGAGCGACGAGACGGTGAAGCACATGGTCCACGCCTTTGTGGATGAAAAGTTCCCCACCGTCATTGCGCTAAACAAGATCGACCACCCGGACGCTGACAAGAACATTTCGAAAATAGCTAAGATGCAAGATCCCCAGACGATTGTGCTCTGTTCGGCCATTTCAGAGATCTTCCTGCGGAAAATGGCCAAGCAAGGGTACATCAAGTACGTGGAGGGCAGCGAATTCATCGACACCAAGGAGGACCTGATCGAGCAGGGCGATCCCACAGGCGGCGGTCTCAAAGACCTGGACGAGAAGAACCGGACCCGCATCGAGAACCTCAAGGACATGGTGCTCTACCGGTTCGGATCGACAGGTGTCGTGCAAGTGCTGTCGAGGGCGGCGGCGCTGCTCGGCCTTGTGCCCGTCTTTCCCGTGCGGAACACGTCAACCTTTCAGTCAGGCGCCGCCGATTCCAGATTTGTGTTCCGCGACTGCGTGTTGGTGAAAAAGGGCCTGACGGTGGGCGATGTCGCGCGCAAGGTCATGGGCGACGCCCCGATAGCGTACATTGAGGGAGTCGGCAACATGAGGGTAGCAGAGGATGACCCAGTGGCGGTGGGGAAAAACGATGTAAGTTCCCTTATTATTACATGTTGGGCGGCTCGAGCATTGACTAACAATCGTCCCAGATATTGTCATTCAAGGTTGGGCGAAATTAAGCGGCGGAGATATGGAATGGGACCTTGGGGCGTTCTGGATATATCATATAGACGTGCTCAATGCCGGAACGCTTTCATTTTCGTGGTATGAATGACGCTATTATTGTTGCGTACATAGTACGCTTGGCCATATTCAGAGCACAGTGGAATTCCCTTTTGGCCTGTTTGATAATTATTAATTCACGATATCCGGTGTATCAATGCCATTGCTTCGTTAATAGCGCCGCTAGTAACAATAGCCCATTAAACGTAAGTATAGCTCTTGTAGTAACCGTGTTACGAATACATGCAAGTAACAAGTAGTTTCTCAAGCTCTATTGAAGAAACTGCATGATGGCGTGCCCGACTTCTGCAATCGTATTGCGTGTCGCTGGCGATAATCCACGTAGAACCCATAGTCCGCAGAAGAATGGTCGCCAATCATTCACTTTGGCAGCAAATTCGGCAGCAACATTGAGAAGAAAGGCTTCCATCTCTTCTGGGGAGTAGTCACCAATCTTCTTGGGGAGCGGACGATGTGGTGTCGCCATATACCGTACTCACTCGACGAGTCGACATAGTCGCTAGCGCTGGTGTGTCTTGGTGGGGCAATATCCCTGTCAGGAATGGTGCCAATGTCGAGCAAGACTCAAGAGTTGCAGTCTGTGAGCGTTATGATGCCCAAGGGCCACAATCGTAATGAATTGTATGGATTGTTGGTTGTTGTGGATGGTAGTGTAGGCAGTTGTTGTTAAGGTAGGTTGGTTCGAAGCTGGAGTGGAAGTGGCCAGAGCCAAGGCTTTGTACCTAGTAAATAAAGTTAAGAACCTACCAGGTAAGGTAAGAACCTTAAGGTTGGGGATCGTCTACTATTTTGGTCCCAAGGTTAAGTTTGTTTTGTTTTGTTAGCCTGAAAATGAACGAGGCTCTCTCTTTTAGAATGCTAGACTGCGTGAGGTACGTAGATGCAATCATATTGGGCGTTGCATCTATGCACCCTGGCTGCAGGCGGGCACTCTCAACGACAACTGTCATGCGCCAAGTTGTTGCTAGAACACGCGCATTTGCTGTGGCCTGAGCCTCTGTTTTTTGTTTTCACTTGAAAGTGCATTTTGTCAAGGCAATTAATTCGAAGCCTGCTCGCTGGAGCCAGACACCAGTCTCGTGGTTATGTCAGCACTCAGCAGCGCGTCTCCCCTTCCGTAGCCGCACACCGCGTCTTGACCTCACCAGCATTCGACGAATAACAACGTCCCACAAAACATGAACATTGAGCGTGATCCCACGGTCGAGGCTTTGATTCGTGATGGCCGCCAGGCGTACGCGGCGAAGCGCTTCAAGCAGGCGCTCGAATGCTTCACACGCGTAAGTTGGTGATCCCCTTTCGCCTGCAGTTTCAGCACTAACAGAGACGGTCCAGGCTATGAAACGCTGCCCCTGCAGCAAAGGCAAGAAACGCGAGAGATGTACTTGTAAGCAGTTTGATAAAATCGCTGCGGAGAACCGCAGCGTTTTTCACGAGGCCATTAGTGCCTGTCAATGCTCCGTAGGAAAGGAGTTTGGGGCCTGTGACAACAGCCTGCACATCCAAGCACTCGACTACCGCGCCGCCAGCTTTGAGGCTCTCAAGGAGCTCGGCCGTGCAAAGAAGGATGCGGAATGGATCCTGGAACTTGCTCCCCGTGCGCTCGATGTAAGTTTCACACGTCCTCTGTTGGCTCATTTCGGCTGATCAGCAAAGGGCTACCTACGCTTGGGAAAGGTTGCCGGCCTACAGAAGAATTACGAGTTTGCCTGGAAAGTGTACAACTCTGGACTCGAAGCAGCCGCGTCCACAGATACCCCGGCCAGCCATCCAAAGCTTCAGAAGCTGCATGCGCTGCGCAGGCCGTACCACCACAAGTTCTTCAAGCAGGACCCTTTGCAGCTTCCTCTCGACATTGTGCACATCATATTGTCCTTTATCAGCTACCGAGATCTCATGTGAGTGGACTCGTTGTCTTGTGTTAGAAACATATAAGACTAATGGATCTCAGCATGTGTACATGCGTCTGCTGGCCATGGAGAAAGTCTCTGACGAGCCCAGGGAATCATCAACTCTGGCGTAATATGGAATTGGCCGGCAAGATAGCCAAAGGATGGCGCAGCCCAACGCAACAAGCCATCCTCAAGTATCTTGCCAATTCAGGTCACGATATACGGCGGCTGACGCTAGCCAACATGAAGAAGTACTACATCAACAACGCCAAGCTACAAACCATTTTCCGTGCCGCCCCGAACCTCGAGTATCTCGACATGCGGGAGCAGATGGAGACGATCAAGCTCCCATCACGAGCATGGCCCAAGAGAATCGCTCACCTCCGCCTGAGCCATATCGACGTCGAGCCCGAGTTCATCGACGCTATTGCAGGCAGCGTGGTCAGCCTCGATTTGCACTCGGAAGTCCTCCGCCCATTTTGGCTGTTTCGCCCGAAACCGCAGACACTGGAATGGAGCAATCTGCGGTACCTACGGATGTCCGGTGGCTACATATTAAGTCCCTTGGTAGGGGCGCCTCCGTTGATGCCCAACTTGGAGCAATTATGGGTCAAGGACCTGGGTGGTCGAGAGCGTCGCTTGGTCGAATCCAACTTAGACTCGCAGGAAGGCCCAGACATAACAGCCAGATGGGCTGGCAAACTGAAGGTCTTTGTGTACGTCGAATCAGAGCTACGCGACATCCATCTGGAGGCTCTCGTCGATACCTTGAGCGTGAACCATGGAGACACGCTGCAACACGTCGACATCACAGCCGAGTGGTATGACCCTCCTGGCTTGAGCTTCATGGGCGAAGCCTTCAGTGATCAGGAGATCTTTGACTTGTACGAGGACCGACCCGTCATGCCCAGGCCCAGAGATCTCAACACATACGCCAATCTCCGCAGCTTACGACTGCAGCGCATGCGACTTGACGGCGAGGGTGCCCGGCGAATGCTACAGAAGCCCCTGGACGGTGGGAAGCTGAGCCACTTTGACATTGTCTTCCCTACGCTTGGCTATACAGAGGCCGAAGGACCATCGAGCGTTCAACGTCTCCGTGAGTTTGCATGGCTGCAGGGCGCAGAGTCCATCCGCAGCCTGGGAGTGTTTGAATTCCGCTTCAGGCGACATCCGCGTAATGACGAAGACCTGCCCCTGAAAGGGTTCCTGGCCACCTTTCCGCATCTCGAGGAGCTAGAGGCTTCCTCGGAGTACTACGATGAGCAAGAGTTCTGCATGCTTTTGGGAGACATTATACTAGCGACCAAGTTGAAGAGGATCTACCAGAGTGTGGTCAAGGGGGCATGGTTGGACAAGTTACGAGTCGCGGCGGCTCAGAACGGGGTCGAGATTATGTTTGGTCCACGGCCGAGGGAATGGCCGGTGCAGGTGCTCTAGGAAGCGGTCTCGACGAAACATCCTTATCTTTTAGAACCTGACATTAATACGACATTTTTACCCTCATGCTTATGAATAATCGGGCTGTACATAAGCCAAAGAGGCACGCACCGCTGCCATCCTCCCCCCACCGCCCCTCGCGCTGTTCAGACATGTGAGAGAGGTGTTAGTATATATACATGTACAACAAGAAATGGGAAACAAATAACAGCTGCCACGACTCCGGAATCATGACAGAAGACACCGATGTATGCGGCCACCCGCATGTCCTCGTCCCTTACTACAGTTACACGCACGCACCCACTGAAATTGTGCCTCTATCCGCTCTCGTCGTAGGTAAGCCACTGACGCGCCGGCATTTGCTCTCATTTTCTTATTGAGGAGGCATGCGCAGGCCAGCGGGGCCACCGGGTCCGGCTGCGAGCTTGGCAGCAAGCTTGGGATACTTCTCGGTGACCTGCACCTGTGTGCGGGTAGCTTCCGCGTACGAGAGAGCGTTCACAATCTCGCCCTCGGTGCGGGCCAGCTCGGCAGCACGCTCAAAGTACTTGAGCGCGCCGGGCACGTTGTTCTGCTGGAGTAGAAGCTGAGCCATGGTGGCGACAGCGATATCGCACTCGGGGTCGACTACACATGGTTAGCATGTCGCTTTTGCGCGTCGCTCTGGTGGGGAACTCACTGATCAAAGCCTTCTGGCACAGCGTCTCGGCCTCCTTGAAGTCCTGCTTCCACTGGAAGAGGGCAAGTGCCTTGTTGATAAGAGGCAGAACGTTCATGGCCATGGGCTTGGTCTGCTTCTCCATCTCCATCGCCGTGTCGAACTTCTCAATGGCCTCCTGGAAGTTGCTTTGGTCGAGGAGCAGCTCACCATAGTAGTTGTAGACATCAGGAACCTTGGGGAAGTTCTTGATGCAGCGGCGGAAGGTGGCCATGGAAGAGGCAATGGAGCCCATCTTGTACTGCGTCACACCGAGCTGAATGTGCGAGAAGATGAAGTCCTTGTCGAGATCAATGGACTTTTGGTAGTCCTTCTGCGCTTCGGCGAGGTTGCCCTTGATGAAGTGTGCCTGGGCACGGTGATAGTATACGTCAGGGTCGTTGTTGTCCTGCTCCAGGGCACGCTCAAACTCGGCGTCGGCGGCCGCCGGATCACCAAGCTCCAGACTGATGCTAGCACGTTTGATGTAGTTCTGCGTAAACTTGGGATCCAGCTCGATGCTCTTGTCGAAATCCTTGGTAGCCTCTGCGTGCTTTCCAAGCAGCGTGCGGATCGTGCCACGGCAGTTGTAGGCAAGGGCCTCGTTTTCGCCCAAGTCGCCGAGCTCAATGGCTTTCTCGAAGGCAACGCGAGCCTCCTCGTATCCGTCTCCGGTCTTCTTCTCGAGGCCCTGGAGACCACGCTGCAGCTGGCCCTTTCCGGTGTCGGCAGACAGCTCGACCGAGTCCTCGAGACCCGCTGGGCGAGGCTTCTGACGGAAGCTCTGGAGGTAGTTGCCGACAAAGATGGGGCTGGGCATCTTGGCGGGACGAGCAGCAATCATCTCCTTGGCCTTCTCCTCCGCAAAGGTCTTGAGGAGCCTTTCCACGGCCTGCGCAGTCGAGTCGCTCTTAAAGTTGTCGATGATGCACGAGGCAGTGAAGTCGAGGAGAGCCTCGGAGTACTTCTTCTGGTTCTCGTAGGCGGCAGCGCGTCGGTTGATGGCCTTGACATACTCAGGGTCCATGCTGATCGCAGCGGTCGTATCCTCAACCACATTGTCCCACTGGCTCAAGGCGCTGTAGCAAGCGGCGCGGTTCGAGTAGAAGACGGGGTCAGGCTTGCAGAGGATCGCCTTGGTGTATAGGTCAATGGCTTTGTTGTAGGCCTTGTCACCATAGGCCTTGTTGCCAGCAGCCTTGAGTTTCGCTGCATACTCCTCGCGCTGCTGCTGGGTCAGCTTTGTGACCGAATCCTCATCCACGTCCGGAAGCTCCGAGTCACTGGCCACGGAAGCAACCTCGGGCTGCTTGGGGGCAGGTGTGGACTCCGTGGGCTCGGTGGCTTTGCGGTCGGCTTCTTTTCGCTTGCGGCGCTCCTTCTTGCTGAGTTTGGGTTCCGAGTCTGACTTGGCTTTCTGCTTCCGCGTTAGTCCAGGGGGTTCTGTCTGCGTCGCCAGGGGTGGGAAGCGTACCGAGTCCGAGCTGAGGTAGTAGACTGCGCCTGCACCTGTGACGACAACTGCGACACCTGCAATTGTGTAGACTACAGCTTTGTTTTCCGACACCCAGGTCGATATGCGGTCGAGGAGCCCAGGCGATGGCTCGACAGCGGCGACCGGTTGGCCAGGAGGCATCGATGGGAGTGGGTTCGACATGATGCAAAGGTTTGATTACGAGAAGAAGAATACAAGGAGGGTGGTGAAATCAGCGGTAGCAAATTCGAATTCCAATTACCGTCAGATGCAATTAGTAAATGACGGGGAGCCGAATGGTCGTCGTGCGTTGGGACTGGGCGAGCTGATCACGACCGCGCCAGGAATTAGAAGGGTGTAGAAAAAGATGATGGCAACCACTGATGACCGAGAGAGAGATTGGCGGTTTGTTGCCGTTCGGATTGCAGAGCTCGACTCGTCGCGTAGGAGTGCTCCACTTTAGATTTCGCAGGCTCCACCTGCCGTTGCATCAGCATTTTATTCTTCTTGGGACTTGGACCTTGTTCATGCCCTGACGTATTGGCCCCAGCCAGATGCCTCAGGCACCATGGACATATGCACCGTTCACGACCAGCACTTGCTGAAGAACAAGATAATTAAAGACATCAACGAGGTTGATTGCGTGTCATTTTGTAGCCATAGAGAAATTGGTCGGTTCCAGATATTGATAGATATCTGCGCTGTCTGCAGTTACGTCCACAAATCATACCAACAGATCGATGCTAGACCAAACTCTTACACCCAACTATGCCTCTGGTCTAAGTACTTTGCTAGACCACACTGATCGGCCATGGATCCAGAGAACCTCCAGTTCTTCTCGACAGCTCGCTATGACCCTGAGCTGAGAAATGTGCCCAGCCTCGGACTTGATCACGCTGCCTGGAACTTTCGCAATAGCTCGCCCTTCTACCTCCTCGACTATCATCGGGATCGCATCCTCGATGCAGCCAGGCATTGGAACTGGGAACGAGCTATAGCGCAGCTCGAGGGCCAGCAGGGACTCGACAGGCTGTCGCAGGGTCTCGCGGAACTCGTCGGGTCCGAGACACATCCATTGCGCCTGCGCATAGTCATTGATCGTGAGGGCCTCTTGGGGCTGGAGAAGTTTGAGTTCCCAGCAGTACCCATCACAGGACTTTTCCCTCGCCGGCTACCGAGACCCGACAGCACCCCTCTGGCAGACGAACCCCCAAAGTCGTCGCCGTATACGCTCGTGCTGGATACGGAGGACACATCGAGTTCACAGTACACCCATTTCAAGACCACGAACAGGGCAATGTACAATGTGGCCCGTGACAGGGCTGGCATATCGCCCAAGGACCGCAAGGAAGTCCTCACGGTCGAGGATGGCTTCGTAGTCGAGGGTAGCATCACGACTCCCTACTTCTGGAGAGGCAACAGGTGGGTCACGCCGCCTGTCGCGAGTGTTCGTGGCGGGCAGGATGGCGTGAGTCGGCGGTGGGCTTTGGAAAAGTAAGTAAAGAAAGCTTCAACCCCTGACAGATGACTGATTTGACACAGCAACTTGGCTGTCGAGGAAAAGGTGCCCATCAACACACTGGTGGATGGAGAGGAGTGCTGGATCAGCAATGGCGCCAGAGGGTTCATGTTCGCGCTTCTCCGCCTTGACAGCCCGTGACCAGGGGCCCAGTCCTCAAGCCTTCGGAGGGATCAAAGATAGTTCAAGACGACGTGCTAGCATTACTCCCCATTGTCCGTACTTCTGTGTTATAAACAAGCCTTACCAGCTGCTTCCCCAACCATATGTACCAACTGCGCCGATGCGCTTCTTCCGTGCACCTTCTCTGCGGGAAGTCCACCTTCGAAGCGATCCAAGTTGTCGCAAAGGGAAAACCTGGGTATCAATTCTACAAGCGATCCCAGGCTTGCCGTAGAAAATCCGAGCGAGCACAATTATCAAACGTATAGCATCCGCTTCCAATCATCGAGGGCGCGTCGCCAGCCGGAGTGCCTGCGCGGTATTGTCATCCGAGGCATCATCTTGGATCACCTATTTTTTCGAGGTAGCAAAGTGAATGCCCAGACCGACACCCAGGCCAATGGCCAGTAGGATAAGGAACACCACCAACGCGCACCACCACTTGAGCTTGCGGCGGTTACGCGCGTGTTTGTTCGCTTGCGCAACCTGCTCATTGCCCTTTTCAATGTTTTGTACGGTATCTTCGGCGTTGTACTCTGCGGCCTGAATAACGGGGTCTTGCTGCTCGACGACGGTGGCGAGATCCTGGTAGAGCTGGGCGAGCTCATAGAGCGTCTGCTCAATGCGCTGGAGTTCGCTGTGACGAGCGCGGACGTTGCCGAGCACGGAGCTGGCATGGCCTGTGCGGTTGGTGCGGAGCTGTGATGGTCAGGACATGCAGAGACCGACTCAGGCAAGGTGACTTACCGCAGTTTGGAAGACACCCTCATTACCCCAATCCATCTCTGTCGCTTGCTGCACCTCGTCTTCCGATGCATCCGGGTTCACGATACGGTATTGGCGAGCGATTTGATCACGGTACTTATGCTGGTAATCTCGCTCGATGCTCCTGTATAAGTCCAGTTCCGAACGGAAGAATGTCTTGAGCGATTCGAGCTGCGTGTTCTTGGTGTTGCGAGACGCATCGTGGGTGCGCGCCAGGTCCTTCTCCAGAGACTTGATGCCGTCCTTGATTGCTGTGTTGCGGATCTGCGTCTGCGCGACGGCTTGCTCTAGCTGATCGCGCGCCTGGCCATCCGTGCTGCTGAGGGTGCGCTGGTGAAGCTGGCCGATCTCGTCCACATGCCCTGTGAGGCTCTTGATCTCATCGCGAAGTGACTGAACATGGTTCAGAAAGTCTTGCTGGCTCATGGCGGCGCTAGTAGTGCTGGCGGCTGGATTTGGCTGCTGTGAGTTGCCGTAGCTGTTGTAGTTTTGCATTTCATAGTTGTTCTGTCCATATTGCTGGTCGTTCCCGTAAGGCGTATCCTGAGCATACGGGTTGGGCTGTTTGGTCTGCTGTTAGCTGGGTGCGCAACGGGCGATTGTTTCGTGCGACACTTGCATGCCCACACATGAACGGGAATGTACCTGTCCATAACCTTGCGCAGCCTCCTGCTCAGGTCCTTGATGGTATGGATTTTGATTATACTGTCCGTGCGACATGCTGGGCAGTCAGTGCACCGCGTAGCAGCGTCCTTGTGAGGTCTGATGGTCGGCGCAAAACGGTGACAGAGCTGGGATACCAGGGTTGGTGGGAGGGCGCGGAAACACTGAAGAGTCGCAGACGAGACGATGGAAAAGATCAATGCGCCGCCTCAACGAAACAGCTTGCGACGTCAGGTGCGACCACGAAAGCAATTGGACTTGGAGGCAGGAAGGTTGGACGGGTCGTCAGCGACAACGTAAGAAAGAGTCTGGACTCAATTGAACCGGTCGGCTGGTGGGGTGAGACGGGAAGTTCGACGCCGCTGTGCTGAAGATGCCTGTACACGTACGTACCCGGTAATAATAATCGCTCGTCGAAATAGGCGGCGGGAGCGTGGTTCGCCTTTCCGACTCAGACGTCACCAACTACTACTGTACTAGGCCAGGTATCTGGGGTATCTTCCAGTTCAAGTTGTTGAAAGACTGGAGCTGTCATTGACACACCTGCCGGCTTTAACCTCTTGCAAGGTTCGAGCAGCGATGAACGCAATCGCAATCGGTTCCCGTTACGCAGCGCTTATTATTGGGGAGAGTCATCATTACAGCTCAATGCATCTTCTTCATTACCTACTTGCGTGCTTCGCCTCACGGACCGGTCGGCACTATGGAAGAGCTGTTGACTGCACGGATCCACAAAACCCTACTAACTCCTTGCAGCGCTCATGAATGAATCTTGTTCCAGTCCGTTTCCGTTTAACTCCAGAAACACCCCGTATACGTGCTCAAAGTAATCAATCATCTTTCCTTCTTTGGCTGTGCGTCTTTTCTGCAACAGCCTGCCCCCACTATGGGGACCTCAGGCTAGCTAGGCTGAGACCCTCGTCTTGGCTCCGCGTGTTCGCCAATGTGTAGGCCTGCACCCAGGCTGAGGGCGCACTGACGCGTTCTCGGATTTGGGTTGCAGCTCGCAAGTGGTCGTAACGCCTGTGCATTGAATGGGCATCACAAAATCATGAATACCGCCCCGTCAGCCAGGCAACTTATGGGAAAATGCTGCCATGATCCACCATCTCCAATCGCTGCCTACGCCTAGCAAGCGATGCCGAAATCCTCCACTCTGTCCCCTGTGTACGGGCGTGTAACGAGCCAGGGCTACACGTTGGCCAGGCTCGGAGGCGGTGATAATTGCCAGCGGGGGGATTCTCCAGTCAACCGTGCGCATTGTCGCGCTGCCAGTTGGGGACGCATCTGTGCATTTGACCTCTCACCACCATGTGCGGGCTCAAAGGTAGTTCTTCTTCTTGGCAGTCCTCGTGTACTGCGTCAAGTGCCACTCAACATCTCCGTCCTTGTTTTCTAGTGTACCGCCGCGTATCTCAAACATACGCATGGTCATCCTCGGCCCAACCTCGGACAGCTCGACACTGTCATAGCCAGTCCGGACAAAGACATGGTGCCTGACCTCGATGCTGTCGTCAATGTTCTTGAACGTGACTACACGACTGCCGACTTTGTTCTTGTTCGTGATGGCTTCCCGCGGCGGGAAGATGTGCTTGAGAACCTTGACAACTCTTTCTCCTAACCGGGTTGTGAAACCGTCGAAGATGAGATGCGGGTAAGATTCGCTGACTGTCCCTCGAACGCTCCCCGGTATGTCATGTCGCAGGACAACGTTGTGCAACGAGAAGGAGACGGTGGGACCATGTGGGAAATGCGACAGTGTCAACGCAGTCGGGGTGCCGCGATGCTCGTGCAAGAGAACAACATCGGACAACCCAGCCGCCTGGGCAGACCTGACCAGATCGGGCAAAATGAGGTTGCCACGGTTCAAGCGCACGGCGGTCGGAAGCAACAGTCGGATTTCTTTGGCAAAGGCGGACAATCGTGACGAAGGCTCGCGGGACGTCGTCACCAGGACCCGGGGATCGACCACGCCGGACAGCTGCGCGTACTCGTCGTCGAGGTCGAGCTGCTCATTTGTTGTCTTGTCGGCGCTTTCGTCGTACTGAAAGTCTTTCCTTAATGCCTTGTCGTTGGCGATTTCTGGATCGAGCGGCTTTCCAGAAGCTAGAGCCGCCCTCAGTTTCGCTCTTTTTTCGCTGATCTCAGCATCGCGGAGAAGAAGCGCTCTACGATAGAGGTAATCGCGTCGCTGGCGTGCTTGTTTGCGCTGTCGCTGCGTTAGTCCAAGCCCAGACGGTAGTCAATGAAGAATCTTACAATCATGCTGGCGGTTATGGTGATGTGCTGTATTAATCGAGATGGGCGAGCAAGGCTGCGTTCTTCTGGGAATTTTTTTGACTAGCCCACCTCCGACTCGGCTTATCTGCCACCGGCCAGCTTATCGATAAGCGCCGATCTCTTATCACGTGGCTGCAAAAATGTCCCACCATCCGTCTGGGTGAGGGCCAACTTGAGTCCAGCATCGACAAGCTGAAGTCCGTCCCTTTGCGAATCTGGCTGTGACACAAGCCAAGTCTCGTACAACCCACCAGAGTTTTGATTCACAGCTGTCGATCGATAATCGCTCCGTGCCGAGCAACAATACCGAAGCCTGACTACGCTTTGTAGCATCTGGGTCGATTCCCGTGCGACAATCACTCCTCCCTGGCGCATTCTCTGCCGCGATGATGTGAACCGGACCATTCCAAGCAGCCTCCGATTTTAACACAAAACCACGCCCACCGGGTCGCTCTACCGGAAATCTTCCAAAATTACAGCTGGAGGTGCGCATTCTTCGTCTGGGGGCTTCCTCGCACGTTCGAGAGCAGTTTCTCGCCCCCCTCCATCCCACTTCAATGCTAACAGCCGATGTTGCAGAAACAGCCCAGCTCATCCGCAACCAACCCTCTCTCACCATGGAGGGCGCCTTCAATCATGTAGGCAACCACCTTGTCTCCGACTCAGCCGCTGCGATCAACGCTGGCGCCGATGACCTTTCAGGCCTGGGACCCAGCGATGGTCTTTTCTACAGCAAGGCTCCTGGCGGCAGCACCAGCCGCCGTCTGAATGATGACGAAAACCGACTCGAACCATACGACGACGACGACAAGGACAGCGTCAGCACCCCTGTCGATCCTATCACCGGTCTCAAGATGAACGGGCACGAGGAAGAGAAGGAGCTGCCGGAGCATGCTTGCGCGTGGGTCCCACGTCCCCCTTCCTAAGAAGTAGATTTGTGACTGACGTTTCTCAGATACTGTGGAATCCATGCCCCCAGCAGTGTCGTCAAGTGCCTTGCCTGCAAGAAATGGTTCTGCAGCGCCAAGGGCAACTCTACCTCGACCCATATCGTGAACCACCTCGTTCGCGCCCGCCACCGAGAAGTCCAGCTTCACCCCGAATCGGCCCTCGGCGACACGACGCTTGAATGCTACAGCTGCGGCACAAAGAATGTCTTCCTTCTGGGCTTCATCCCCGCCAAGTCAGACACGGTTGTGGTTCTGCTCTGCCGACAGCCGTGCGCCGCAAACTCCTCGAACAAGGATATGAACTGGGATCTCTCACGCTGGATGCCACTCATCAGCGAGCGCGCTTTTCTGCCATGGCTTGTGACACCCCCCACGGACGAGGAGCAGCTGCGCGCTCGCCACGTTACCCCTAGTATCTGCGCCAAGCTCGAGGATGTGTGGAAATCCAACCCGGGATTGTCCATCAACACACCATCCTTCGACATGTCGGAATTGACCATCGAGGAGGAGGAAGATCCTCTCCCTGTTGTTGCCACGTACGATGACGCTTTCCACTACCAAAACATCTTTGGCCCGCTCGTCAAGATGGAGTCTGACTACGATAAACAACTCAAGGAGGCGCAGGCAGAAGACAATCTGCAAGTGCAATGGGACCTTGGTCTAAACAACAAGCACATTGTGAGCTTCAACCTGCAGAAGATCGAATCAGGCGATGTGAAGCTGGCTGTTGGCGATGAGATGCGTCTCCGATACAAGGGCGAGCTGCGCCAACCTTGGGAGGGCGTGGGATATGTTATCAAGATCCCGAACAACCAGTCGGACAAGGTTACCCTCGAACTCCGCAAGGCCGGCAACGAGAAGAACGTACCTACTGATCTGTCGCACAACTTCTCTGCCGATTACGTGTGGAAGGCCACGTCGTACGATCGCATGCAATTGGCCATGAAGACGTTTGCCATTGACGAGATGAGTGTGTCTGGCTACTTGTTCCACTCTCTCCTCGGCAAGGACGTACCCCTCCAGCCCATGAAGCTCAGCCTGCCCAAGAAGTGGTCTGCACCAGGCTTGCCGGATCTCAACAACAGTCAGGTCAACGCCATCAAGAGCTGCTTGCAGCAGCCATTGACGCTGATCCAAGGTCCTCCTGGTACCGGAAAGACGGTCACGTCCGCGACAGTCATCTACCACCTGGCTAAGTCAACCGGCAACCAGGTCCTGGTGTGCGCACCCTCGAACGTTGCCGTGGATCAGCTTTGCGAGCGAATCCACAGGACTGGCCTCAAGGTCGTGCGTCTCACTGCCAAGTCGCGCGAAGACGTCGAATCTTCTGTCAGCTTCCTTGCTCTGCATGGGCAAGTACGCATGTCTGAGCACAACACTGAGCTTGTCAAGCTCTCTCAGCTGAAGACGGATGTGGGCGAACTGTCGAGCCAAGACGAGAAGAAATTCAAACAACTTACCAAGGCGGCCGAGCGCGAGATCCTGACAAACGCAGACGTCGTCTGCTGCACTTGCGTTGGTGCCGGCGATCCTCGCCTGTCCAAGATGAAGTTTCGCAACGTCCTTATCGACGAGTCCACGCAGTCCGCCGAGCCTGAATGCATGATCCCCTTGGTCCTCGGCTGCAAGCAACTGGTCTTGGTCGGTGACCACAAGCAGCTTGGCCCCGTTATTATGAACAAGAAGGCCGCCAAGGCTGGTCTCAACCAGTCGCTGTTTGAGCGTCTCGTGAACCTACCAGCCCACCCAAGGAAGCCGTCCATGCTCAACACGCAATACCGCATGCATCCTTGTCTTTCCGAGTTTCCCTCGAACATGTTCTACGACGGCCGGCTTCAGAATGGTGTCACGGCAGAGTCCAGACTGCGCAAAGATGTGGACTTTCCCTGGTCGCGCCCCGGGATGCCCATGATGTTCTGGACAAACTTGGGCCAGGAAGAGATCTCGGCTTCGGGCACATCGTACCTCAACCGCACCGAGGCCAGCAATGTTGAAAAGGTTATCACTCGCTTCTTCAAGGCAGGCGTAAAGGCGGCCGACATTGGTGTCATCACGCCATACGAGGGCCAGCGCAGTTTCGTTGTCACCACCATGCAGAACACCGGATCTTACAACAAGGAGATGTACAAGGAGGTGGAAGTGGCGTCGGTCGATGCGTTCCAGGGCCGTGAGAAGGACTTTATCGTCCTCTCTTGTGTGCGATCCAACGACAACCAGGGCATTGGCTTCTTGTCTGACCCGCGCCGACTGAACGTTGCCTTGACCCGTGCCAAGTACGGTCTCGTCATCCTCGGCAACCCCAAGGTTCTTTCCAAGCATGAGCTGTGGCACCACTTGCTAGTGCACTTCAAGGAGCGCAAGTGTTTCGTCGAGGGACCACTCGCTAACCTTCAAGCCTGCTTGATTCAATTTGCCAAACCCAAGGTCAGCTATCGCCCCAAGAAGAACCACCAGCAGCATGCTGGGCCAACAGGACAGATGAACGGCCGCTATTTCCAGAACTCACTGCGCGAGATGGAATCCAACTACATGTTCCCCAACATTCCCGACGATGTGTCCTCGGTTCAGGGGTCGGCCTTTGGTGGCGCCACACTGGGCGGTGCTTTCCCTAGCATGTTCTCGAACTTCACTGCCGAGCATTGGCCTGGCTTGCCCGGTGCCGGAGGCGTCGGTCACGGACGCAATGGCAAGACGCGGGGCCGCGCCCCCGAGAGTGTTGCAGGCGAGAGCGTCGCCAACTCGGAGTTCACCGATGCTACTAGCAGCATTCTTGGTGGCAAGGGCGTTGGTCAGGGCGGCGTTTCGCTCGGCGCTGACCTCCGTGATGCTGTCACTGGTATGAGGCCATTCTCGTACAGCCAGAGCGATCGCTTGCAGCACGACTCCCAGCTGAGGCATTACGTGGAGAACAATGGCAGGGCAGGACCGAGCGGTGGCTACGGACGCCGATACGACGATGACGAGAAGAGTGTCAGCACTGCCTTTCATAGTACGGTAGGACGCGGCTTTGACTGATTTCGAGTGGCGATGGATTAGACGTCTGATCATGGACCCGTCACGCCATCGTACCTGTACGAGCGCGTGTTTTCGGCCTCCGACCACTGCCTTGGGCATGTCAAGGGCCGGCAAAGGTTCAGAACGAGGTCCTCACGCCCAGAGCAGTACGTAACAGCCTTATGAGAAGGCTCGCAACACGCAGTCGGTGATTGCTGGCAAAGCGACAAGTCTGCTGGAGCGTCTGGGCACCTTTGAGTCCTTCCCAGCGCTCGCTCATCAGTCGAGTCTGGAGGGAAACCCTGGCCCAAACAGCGCCTCCTGGACAGCCAGCCATCCGTCTTCGTGCCGATGGAAAGCGTTCGGTGGCATGTTGCTTCGCCACAGGCTGTATGCTTTGTGGCCATGTGCACGCGACAGCTTTGAACGACCTGTCGCTCACCAACCGGCCAGTTGACATCTCAAAGCCTGCCTGAAACACCACGGAACATGCGGCTTTCCCCCTTCATTTCAGTTAGTATAGCTTCGGCTGCACTAAGCATATCTATAGTTGAGAGGTGTTGCGAGGATGAATAAAAGAAAACCACAGTCATTACCTAGTAATACTTCCAAAATGACCCCTGCCTGTGATCTATAACTGATGGGAAGCCTATTTGCACATCCGGGTCCCGCTTCGAGTCGTGGATATGCGACCTGACGGTGCTCAAGCTTTTATTAAAGTCATTGCTTTTGATGATAGACTGCATTGAATATCTGGCTGGATGGCAGGCCTTTTACTAAACTTTTTCAAGGCGTCCAGGGTACACCATCCATGCCTTGCGGCATGCCATCGGAACTTTTGTGCAGCGCCCCCTGAGAATGTTTTCACGTACATCGAAGCCCACCTAATTGTGTGGTTCTTTTCTAACAGTAGACCTCCTGAAAGGCGAATGACGATAGACCACGCAGCGTCTGAAACTTTCAAATTGTTTGTTCAGTGTATAATGAATGCTCTGTACAATGCTAGCTGCTTCTGCAACCCTCGCTTAGTCCTGGATAAGGCTTCGTGCGTATATGTGAACATGCGCACGAGAGCAGGGTCTGATAGCCAGCTAGCTAGCTACACTACCACACGGAGGATCTCCAAGGGGTTCAGAGATGGAATAATTTCGATGTCTGCCGGTCAATCCGGGCAGGCTGTCGAGATGCAAGGGACAGAATACTCCAGTACTAAGCACTGTATTGCACTGCCAGATCGAATCACAAATAAAAAGAGTCTGCGCGGCTCCATCTGTCGGCCAGCGCTTCGTATGCGAAATGAGATGGGCCAAGTGGGTGGGTGTACTCTGTACGTTGGATCGCAGTCATCCTATCGAACGGCCATTCAATGGGGGCGACGGCCAAGCATCGTTCTTGGGAGTAGATCAATGCATGCCCAGCATTTCTGGGCTTACACCTTCTTGCTGTCCGTGCTTGGCTTTGCTCTTCCATCGTTTTCCTTCTTCTCATCATTATCATCATCATCATCATTCATTGCTAAACGGCGCTTTCATTCTCTCGGGTTCGTTTGACGCAGTTTGAACAGCAGCGCGAGCCAGCGCAACCACCAGCAAATCCAACACGGCGGTCGCATCGAGACATGCGCCTGTCGAGCCAGTAGCCACAGGCATGTTAACACAACTTCAAGGACGCCCCGGTCGTCGCTACCTCGCCATCGTTCTCTTCCTCGTCGTTGTCGTCTTCCTATGGCCCAATTTTAGCTCCGGTCCAGTGGAATCCGATTCGTTCGACAGCACATCCCCCGAGTCGGATGACGATGGAGCAGCGCTGATTGCTCCCGGTGCCAAAACGCTCGACAGCTTCAAGTACATACCGAGCACGTACGACTGGAGCAAAGCCGAGCAGTTCCATCCCGTGGACCAGCAGTTCAAGCTACCGACCGGCCATGCGATCAAGTTTCCCCGCATACAAGCTCGGTCGACGAGCAAGATCCTCAAGGACAATATCTCGGCGTCGAGGAAGCAGACAATCAAATCCAAGTTTATCAAGAGCTGGGAGGCCTACAAGAAGCATGCGTGGACGGAAGACGAGCTGATGCCGCTGTCGGGCAAAGGCAAGACCTCATTTTCAGGATGGTCGGCTCAGCTGGTCGATGCGCTCGACACGCTCTGGATTATGGATCTGCAGGATGAATTTCGACGTGCCGTCAAGGAGGTTGCGGTCATTGACTGGGCCAAGCCCAGCGATCCCAAGATCAACCTCTTCGAGGTGACCATCAGGTACTTGGGAGGCATCCTAGCAGCGTACGACCTCTCTGGCGAGGCCGCACTGCTAGCCAAGGCTGTCGAGTTGGGCGATGCCTTGTACAGTACATTCGACACACCCAACCGCCTGCCCTCGCATTGGCTTTATTACGAGACAGCACGTCAAGGTCAGCAGCAAGCCGACACGAGCATGTCCGGCGCGGCGGGCGGCTCGCTGTGCGTGGAGTTTACACGCCTGAGCCAGCTCACAGGCAATGACAAGTACTACGATGCGACAGAGCGCATCAAGCAGTTCTTCTACCGCTCCCAGAACAAGACGGCCCTTCCAGGGCTGTGGCCCCACGACATGAACTACCGCGAGGAGATTGTCGATGACACGAGGTTCAACCTGGGCGCAGGCATGGACTCGCTATACGAGTACCTCCCCAAGATGCACCAGCTTCTCGGTGGCCAGGATCCCGAGTATCAGGAAATGGTGGTGACGGCTCTTGATGCCGCAAAGGCCAATGTCCTCTTCCGTCCCATGACGCCCACCGATGCCAACATCCTCATGGCCGGCAACGTCGTGGTGAGGAACGGCCAGGCCAAGTTGACAGCCGAGATGGAGCATCTCACATGCTTCATCGGGGGCACGTACGCACTCGCTGGCCGACTCTTTGCGCGTGAGGACTACATTGACCTTGCCTCGCGCCTGACGAATGGTTGCATCTGGGCATACGACAACTTTGAGACCAACATTATGCCTGAGTCGTCCGAGCTCGTGGCGTGCCCGACCCTAGATGGCCCTTGCGAGTACGACAGCAGCCGGTTCCCCGCCACGCGCAGCTCACACCTGCCCGACGGCTTCGTGAGGGTGAAGGACTCTCGGTACATGCTCCGACCCGAGGCCATCGAGAGCGTCTTCTACATGTGGCGCGTCACGGGCGACCACGCCTGGCGCGAGGCCGCATGGCGGATGTGGGAGGGCATTGTGAAGGAGACGGAGACGGAGCTGGCCTTTTCATCGATTGCCGATGTCAAAGTCCACGCGAGCACAAAGTCTGACTCCATGGAGGTATGTGTCAATTTCCTACCAAATGTTCCCTAACAAAGACTGACCATGGCAGACATTCTGGATGGGCGAGACGCTCAAGTATTTCTACTTGATCTTCGATGACGAGAGCACAATCAGCCTCGACGAGTGGGTTCTCAACACAGAGGCGCATCCCTTGCGACGGCCAACTTAGAGTGCAGTGTAGTATGTAAAAGGCGTAACTGGGGGCAATTGATGGTCTGTTGATATACAGAGGATTTGATCGCAACACATGGGGCACCTCTAATTGAGAGGTGTCTGTATATATAGACGAGCCCGACGCAATTACAACCTACAGCTCATCTACTACTTATTTACTTCCATTGGCGTACTTATTGCTATCGTTCCATGAAAATGTATTGTTCTACGTTTTAGAACACACGAGCGAACGCTCGCGACCTCGGATACATGCATAACGCCACTAACGGCACAGTGACCACTGAATGCCAACCAACATCACGTCACGACTCCAAATCCACTTCCCGACCCATCACCAAGAGCCTCACGCAACCACCGGGGGCCACAGCGCAATGAGGCATGCCACTCCGTCCTCCAGTCCCTCTCTTCTACGCGAAAGCATGCTTGGTCCGTCCCCGTTTACGATTCTTCACGACAACCCCAGCGCGGCGCAGCGATGACGTCGCGCAGCAGCTGGCGAAGAAGAACCACTATGAGCGATTGAGGATCAAGCCGACGGCTAGCAAAGGCGAGATCAAAAAGTATATCCCTCCACTACCAGCGCCTAGCCCGTATGATCCAAGCCCGGACCGCTGACGAGTATAACACAGAGCCTTCTACTCACTGTCGAAAACGCACCATCCGGACGCGAACCCATCTGCCCCGGCTACTGCCGCGCAGAGCTTCTCCCTGCTCTCCGAGTCCTACTCCATTCTCTCCAACGACACATCGCGCGCCACGTACGATCGGACCCTCGCCCCGGCGTCCGCCTCGGGTGTACACCACCCAAGGGGGTCATACCATTCGGCCGGAGGACGACCGGCAAGCGGACTGAGCCGGCGAAGAGGCACATACCGCGGGCCCCCGCCGAGCTTCTACAGAAGTGGCGGGTACGGAGAACACACGGAGAAGAGGCAAAAGGCGCACGAGGAGACCACATTCTCAGGGGCTGGTGGTGCTCGTGCGTCTTCCGAAAAGAAGACCTCCCACCACGGCGGCATGGGACCAGGCGACGACCCCTTTGGTCATCACGACGACGTCTTGCACTGGGATCGCAAGAGCCACCACAAGACGCAGAAGAGAGAGGATCACCGACGATGGGCGCGGACGCACAAGAAGGCCTGGAACGATGACGGGACGCAATTCGAACCACAGATGAGTCAAGGCAGTCACTTTTTGGTGGTGTTGGGACTCTTGTCGATCAGTCTCGTGGCGCCGGCTTTGTACATGTCGAAAATGCATACCAAGAAGAACGACAGGCGATAGAACGACGAGTAGTAAGTAGGCTCAGGCCACATGTGCGTATATAACTAGTGCACCGCATATGGAGCAGAAAGAACTCATTGGCAAGAAACAACTTCTGTGCATTATCCACTGTCCTAGTAATCTCTACACCCCAAAATCAATTGCAATGCAAGATTTGAGTACAGTACAAAAGCGGCATCCCAAGTTTAGAGAGTCAACTTTGGGAGTTGCCACGACCACCACCATCTCCTCCTTTTCACATTGTCAGACTTAACCCTCGAAGGTGAAGCTGGCACCGAGCTTGTGGGAGGCCTGGTCGAGCTTCTGGGTATCGAAGGAACCACCGAGACCCAGGGTGACGCCCTGGCGGAGGAGGACGTTGTAGGCAACAGCGGCAATACCACGGTCGTTGACCTTGACCTTGGCGAAGGACACGGGGTCGATGCGGTACTTGCCAGCGAGCTCGAGGCCGACGGTGTTGCCGGTCTTGGAGTTCCAGGTGGCCTTGGCACCGGCCTCGACCTGGCTGTTGACCTTGTGGTAGTACGCAGCAGCGAAGACGGACAGGTTGTCCGAGGCGGTCAGCGAGGCGCTGTAGACGGGGTGGGCGTAGCCGACGGCGGCGGAGTAGGCGGTCAGGGCAGCCTTGTTGACGTCGTAGCCGGCGCTGGCACCGGCGAGGAAGCCCTCGTGGCCGACGACGGCGTCGACGTTGGCGGTGGGGCCCTTGAGGAGGTCAAAGAAGGCACGGCCGTGGAAGCCGGGCTGCTGGAAGTGCAGGTTGAACTTGGCACCCTTGGCGGCGGTGGCAGGGAGGTAGTTCAGGAGACCCTCGAGCTTGAGGCCCTTGGCCAGCGAGTCCTTGACCTCAATCTTGGTGTCGAGAACGTTGGCGGTGTTCCAGGTCTGGGTGAGGGTGACGCCTGCGCGGGAGTAGAACATTAGCAAGTGTGCCCAACGCCAATTATCGTCTGGTATAAAAGAGATCGCGAACTCGAGCGGCCATCCTTGTTTTCGACCGAGAATTCGCGACACAGTGACCGTGCTGAACGGTTTACGCCGTCCGCGGTCAATCGGGGGGGTAGAAGAAGCACGCGAGGGTGACGCTGAGGAAGTGGAAGACGTAGAAGGGGTTGAGGATGGGGATGGGGTAAGGGATGCAGATGTAAGTGGTGATTGCTGGCGCGATGCGCTGCTTGTTGATTCGCAAAAAGGGGTGGTCGTACCGGTGGGCTTGTCGGTGTATTTTCCCTCGAACTGGTTCTTGTCAGCACGGATCCCGAGCGTATGAGGTTACGACGAGAGCTTACGGCAGCAGAGGTGGCCTTCTCGTGGCTGGACTTGCCAATCACCTTGAAGGCAACGCCATTGGGAGCGGTGTCCTTGAACTCAAGGGTGGTGGCGTTGATGTGGTAGAAATCCTTGTTCAGGAGCTATTGCAGACAGGACGCACGCGCCCATCAGTTAGCCATTGTCTCTATACGGAGGGGCAGCGGCGATGCTCGGGGGAAGCTGGGCCGGCCGAAGAAGGGTGATCGGTCGGCAGAGCTTCGAGGAGATCTTTTCCGCGTCAGGAAAATGCAGGCAAAGAGCGCGTACATCGTTGGCCGACTTGGCAATATCGGAGTAGGCGGGGACAGCCATTGTGATAGATGTGGTGAGATGTGTGGGGGAGGGAGAATTGAAGCTGAAGACGAAGTCGTTTCCGGTAGCAATGTGGAAGTTGGAGGGAGGAGAGATTTGTTGAGCGGCACGATAGAGGGAGTTCGGGATGGGCTGGCTGGAGCTCTGGGTCACTCCTTCCTTCGCAAATTCATCTCGGCCGCCAGCGAGCTGCTCCGTGCAAGGGTTGCATTGCCGGCTCCAATCACGGAAGAATGGTTGAAGCGAACGCGAGCAAATCACCGCTGTCAAACACCAGCCGCGACTCCACCCCGAGCCTGACGTCCACTGAGGAGCCACTGACAGCGCCGTCCCTGAGGCTCGTGACGTCCCCAGTGTCGTCGGCTGATGTCGGGCGGATGGTCCACGTGGGGGATTCAAGCAGCGTTGGCCTGTTGGGGTGATGGGAAATTGGCTTCCTCATGGGCATGGCAATGGGCATCATGCGCATTGTTGCGTCTAAGCAGTCTAGAGGCCACAGGCACTGCTTCAGCTGTTTCACACCGAGTCGGGCTTCATGCGCTTGGTTGCGAGTCTCACTGACAGAAAAAGCACGCATTGGTTTAACCCGTAATCCGTTTTTTAGGCTACATATTCATCTCCATGAGGCTATTCAAGCCGAGTACTTTTCCAAGTCCTTTGTCGGTTCAGAGCACCCAAACGCCCCGATTGATTGTGGATATCATGCCAACCGTTCCGTTCAGCAAGCGTTGTCGTACTTCTTGTCGTGGACGGCAATGGCACTGCAAATGTTAGCAACTGTGGAAACTTGTCAAATTGGTAAGCATGGTACGTACCGTCCGCTGGGATCGGTCTGCTTCGACCAGGTGGGCGTCCAGCGCTGGACGGTCGACGCGCAGCGAGGCGGGAAGTGCTCGTCGAACATCAGGCGATACCAGTATGCCTCCTTGGTCTCGGGAATGTCAGTGCCCCACTCGGCCTTGGGGTTCTTCATCATCTCATCGGTGACGTGCAGCTCGGCGTTGTCCTTCAGACCGTCGATCCAGCCGTAGCCGACACCATCGGAGAACTGCTCCTTCTGGCGCCAGAGAATCTCGTCGGGGAGGTATGGCTCCGCTCCGGGCTCGTCGCTCGTGTCGAAAGCCTTGCGGATAATGTATTTTTCGATGCGATCTTTGGTGATCATCTTGTCCTTGGGGTCGAAGCCCATGGCCGTCTCGAGGAACTCCTTGTCCAGGAAAGGAACGCGGGCCTCAAGACCCCAAGCAGAAGTCGACTTGTTGGCACGGAGGCAGTCAGCGTAGTGCAGGTTCTTGACGCGGCGGACCGTCTCTTCGTGGAACGACTCCCTGTCAGGGGCGTTGTGGAAGTAGAGGTACCCGCCAAATGCCTCGTCGCTACCCTCGCCACTGAGAACCATCTTGATGCCCATGGCCTTGATCTTGCGTGACAGCAGGTACATGGGGGTGGAGGCGCGGATCGTGGTCACGTCGTATGACTCCAAGTGGTAGATGACATCGGAGAGGGCGTTGAGACCATCCTCAATGGTAAAGGTCATGACGTGGTGGCGGGTTCCGAGGAACTTGGCGACCTTGAGAGCTGCCTCGTTGTCGGGGGACCCAGGCAGACCGATGGAGAAAGAGTTGAGCTGGGGCATGTAGGTCTGCGTCGACAGGTCGCCATCGTCATCGATACCGACAAGACCCTCGCCACGATCAGCATCCTTGTTCTCGGTGTATGTGGCAGCGTCTTGAGCAGCCTTTTGCAAGCGAAGAGTCTCGCGCTGAGCGATGGCGGCGACCAAGCTGGAGTCGAGACCGCCGGAGAGCAGGACACCATACGGCACCTCGGCCATGAGGCGTTTCCTCACAGACTTCTCCAGGGCATGGCGGAGAACCTTGAGATCGACCGGTTGTGTGGGGACGTTCTTGGGGTCCCACCATGAGGGCTGGAAGTAGCGGGTGGTCTCGCCGGTCTTGGAGTCGTATACATGACCAGGAGGGAAGGCGATGATCTTGTCACAAACAGGGTACAGACACTTGAGCTCGGAGGCAAAGTACACGGCGCCGGGCTCCTTCCACGACCAGCCCTGGTAAAATGTGGTGATGCCGATGGGGTCGCGAGCGGCGATTGTGCGGTCTTGCTTCTTGTCGTACAAGACAAAGGAGAACATGCCATCGAGGTGCTGGGGAGCGTTGAGGTCGTGCTCCTGGTACAGAGGGATGATGACCTCGCAGTCCGAGTGCGTCTTGAAGTGGTACGTGTTCTTGAGGTGCTTGCGAATCATGCGGTGGTTGTAGATCTCGCCGTTGACGGCCAGGATGATGGAGTCGTCGGCGTTGGTCAAGGGCTGGGCGCCAGACTCTGGTCCTTGTTAGCTCGTGAAGGGCGCGCGGCCAGGGTCTCACATACCGACGCCGACAATGCTGAGACGCTCATGGCAAAGAACTGTAAGATCTGTTAGGTCTGATCACCCGACAATGAGCCAATTGACCTACTCGTCTGGTTGCAGGTGATGTTGCCGCCTGGTCATGTTAGCTGAGGCCTGTCGTCCCCGGCAGCCGTCACTCACTCCAATCAGGACCGCGGTGTCGCACTCTGGAAAACGGTCAGCTATTTTTTTGTTGTTCCCCGGCCTTGCTTCATCCACATACTGCTTCGCAAGCTTGAGCGCCGTCGGCTTGAACTTTTGGACGTCGGGGTGTCTGTGTCGCTCTCGTTAGTCGCTGCCACTTTTTAAAGCCATGGCGGGGCACAAATCTGCCCCTCCATGAGCATTTCAATCGCGGATATGGCACGCACCCGTGGCAGGCGAAGATTCCGCACATGTTTGTGGTCGAGGCAGGACAATGGGATAGAGATTGGCGAGAAATGTGTCCACGGCTGTGCGTCCCACTGCGCTTTATTGTCTTGGAAGAAAAGAGTCAGAGAAGTAGGTGGCGCCGAAAATCGCGAACCCATCCATCCCGCTACTAGTGCTATGAAAACGGCTTGGCCGACTTCGGCCGCCCGAGCTTAAATCAGTCATGCTCTAATTGGTGATTGAGCTATGAAGCCGAGATTCTAATCGGCTTATCAGTCATATGCTTTGATAAGGACCATGTTTGTCTCAATTAAAGCGGCGACAACTGCATTCGAGCTGCATGTGTGGACATGTACATTACAGTGTTCACGGTCGCATAGTTTCGACGTCTGGCGATCGACTGCCTTATTCTGCGACGAGAACCGCACTCATTATCTCGATTCAGAAGGCGATCTAATGCCACTACTCTATACGTAGTCGCCCATATGCACACCTTGCGCCCAGCTCTGAACCGTGACTACAAAGTGTGAACTGATGCCCGAAAATCATCCTGTCCTTAAACGCCAGGTCGCCATCCTTCATTTAATCCCAAACTATTCATTCTCCAGATCCTTTTGTCAACTCGTGAACGACCTCAAGGGGCCGGGTTGTCCTTGACCACTCTTTTGACTCTCTTCTCGTACTCGACGCGATCCTTCTTGAATAGATTGTACGCATCCGCCTGCGCAGGTGACTCGGGGTTCGGATCGTTGAGGAGGTCTTGAATGCCGAGCAGGATCTGCTTCACGGTGATCGCAGGCTTCCAAGCCTCTTCCTCGTTGAGGATCGAGAGACAGACGGTGCCGGATGGATAGACGTTTGGGTGGAACAGCGGCGGAACAAATTTGCACTTTGGCGGCTTCGTGGGGTATTCTGCTCCAGAGTCAGCCTCCCTTCGCTCGCGGGTCTCTGAATGGGACTTCTTACCATCTGGGAAGGCGATGTTCAGCTTGAAAAGACCATTCTCCCAAATGGTCTTCTCTTTGCCGGGGATGCCACATTCCCAGTTCTTCAGGTCGAGCACGCCCTCGCTTGTGCGCGCAGGTCTGGCGTAGAAGCCAAAAGGATGGTCGCGCCGCCACTGTTTCCTACATGGCTCCCGTCAGCATGGCATAATGCAACATGTGCTTCGCGTGCAGGCTTACCTCTCCTCTTGGAGACGGTTTTGGCAGAGCGCCATGATGCAATAGCTGTCGCGTTGGGCTTTCCCTTGGTCGAGTGGGCTTGGCGTTACTTCGCGCTGAGCAGGGTGGTTTAGCGATCGCGTGCACAGGGTGCGGAAAGGCAGGAGAATGTAGATGACGGAAGACGAAAGTGGGATGACAAGGTGAAGCCCAGCAAGATCCAAAGCGAACACAAGAAACCGATGCTACGTACTGCTTGCTTTTATGCCATGGTTATGCAAGGGTCTCGTTTGTGCAGGCCGCTCACTCAGCTGCGAAGGCGGCGGGACCACATGCGGGGCGACGAAGCGTGGGGCAGATTTCTTGAACCACGGGACAGGCATTCGGAGAGCTTCCTCGGTTCAGCGTGGAGTGAAGACTGAGACACACAAACTTTCCTTTATCCTCCATCTAGGTTTCCATTTTGTCTGGTTTGCCCAATCTGGAGCGCCTCCAAACATATTGTTATCGCAAACCATCCAGCATCCATTAACACAAGGCCATTTGTGGTCGCCGCCACGCCTCAGTCAGTATCACAAGTCCACCCTCCACACACCACTGCGACAGCTCGTCAACGATCGCAGTCGCTTTGTCAAGGGTCGCGTTTGCACCCGTCCGGACTGTCTGGGTACACATTTGCTATTCTCCAGCATTGTGACTTGGTCTCAACACAATGAGTCCAGAGGATCCGGCCAAGGACGATGGAGTGGAGGCTCAAACACAGCATGTGAAGCCGACCGAGGGTGTCTCATCTGCGCCGATACCGTCGGTAGACGAGGTTGGCGATGTGCCAGACCCTGACGAGGACGATTTGGATGACCTCGATGGTATGAGAGAACCCAACGGCCGTTTTTTAAGAAGCGCGCGACGCTCACAATGTGCACAGACATGCTCAATGACTTTAACCTCGGCTCAAAACCTGCCGCGGCACCTTCAGCCACAACGGGCACTCAACCTTCGGAATCGACACCTCGACCAGAGGCAAAGGCAGACCCGTCAAAACCTACAGCAAACCTGGAAAATGACTTCTCAGAGGAGGACTTTGCGAAACAGCTACAAGCCGGGATGGCTGATCTGCTAGGCGAGTTGGAGAAATCTGTGGGCTTCCCTGTCTCCGCGCATAACATACAGCTCTAACAAAGACAGCCCGATATGCAGGCTCAGTTTGAAGACGTGTTCAAGCAGATGAGCGCAGCGACAGGCGAGTCAGCCACAGCGCCTGCAGAGACTGCGGCAGCCGACAAGTCTAGCAAGCCCGAGGACCCGACAGCAGCAGACGCTTCCTTCCAGGAGACAATCCGTCGCACCATGGAACGCATGCAAAACTCGGGGGAGCAGGCCACTGCTGCTGCCGCCTCTGGGTCTGAGGATGACTTCATGGCTGAGATGCTGAAACAGCTCTCGTCGGGTGCCGCGGGAGGCGAGGGCGGCGAGGAAGACTTCTCCAAGATGCTTATGGGCATGATGGAGCAACTCACGAACAAGGAGATTTTATACGAGCCGATGAAGGAGCTGCACGACAAATTTCCAGAGTGGTTGGACAAGAACCGAGCAACAACCTCCAAGGAGGACCTGGACCGTTATGAGCTTCAGCAGGGGATAGTGGCGGAGATAGTGACCAAGTTCGAGGACAAGTCGTACAAGGACTCCAACCCGGCGGATCGAGAATACATTGTGGAGCGGATGCAGAAGGTGAGTATCAGCGGTCTCGTCAAGTTCAATACTAACACGAGTAGATGCAAGCAGCAGGATCGCCGCCTCCCGATCTGGTTGGGGACATGTCATCTGCACAAGATGCCTTCAACATGCCAGACGATCAGTGTAACCCACAATAGAAGTCCCAACCTGTGGACAGTTGTTCATTATATGCCGTTCGCCAGAAAATGGTGCACAGGTATGTGCGATGACCCCGGTTTGTCATCAAAGAACCCAACCGAACGCCAGTCTTTGCCCTTGTTCCCCAACGCCGTGCCAAAAATTCCAGTGATGAGCTAGTACGACATGATGTTATCTTCGTCCATGTAATCGCCCTGTTCCACATTGGTCTGGTCGTGATGTGACCGCTGCTCCTGTGCTATGAGCTCGGCAAAGATATCGTCGTAGTCTGCATCGGATGATGCAGGCGAGGTAGGTTGTTGCGCTGGCTGCTGCTGCTGCTCTTCATAGGACGCGAGCATTGCCTCATAGTCGACATCTTCCTCTGGTGGCTCGTCCATCATGATGGCGTCGTCGCTTTGCGGTGGGCGGGAGAATGACATAGCATCCTGGATATCTGCCTCTGATAGCTCAGGCGCGTCCTGGGCCAATTGGCCTAAACCTTCGTAGTAGCTCTTCTTGAGAAACTGTCATGGTCAAAAAGCTAATCACAAATCAGAGGCTTGGTCTTTTACCTGGCCCTCAATATTCCTCCGCTCCCACTTTGAATCATCGCTCTTCCTCTTGACGCTCTCCAAGAAGTTCCGTCTCCGCACCTCTTGGACATCCTCACGCTTGCTGAGGACGCGAGGATTCGGTCTTGTGGGACGCGTTGCGAATCTGAACTTTGGCGCCGGAATTGGCGATGATTGGGTCTGGCGCTGGAACGAGGTGCTGAATTTCTCAGGCGAGATTGGGGAACTGGGCGCGCGCGTTGGTGAGGACGACAGTGGCGAAGACATTGAGGGACGATGCGAGTCCCATTTGAAGATAGGCGCAGGCGCAAACGAAAGCATGGCGTCTTTCTTGGATTTATCGACAGAGATGTTCTCTTTGTTGGATTGGTGTTCGCTGCTCATCACTTGGCATGAAAGCAGTGCAGATGTGGAAAAGGTGTGTCGTTGTAAGAATGCTCATATGCTATACACGCAGACACGCGCGAGCAGGCACTCTACGCGACTTTCGCGTCGTCACGTGCAGGGATCAGCGCCACTGGTCATGACGCTGCTGTCAACAAGAACAGCCCGAACTGGAAAGCACTGGAGTGGCGCGTGGGTCCCTGTCTGTGGCGCGATCCCGATCTCAACCGAGGGTTCATGCAGGTCGGCCAACAAAAAAAGTTGTCGAGCGACTGTGATCGTGCCATAATAAGTCGCCAGACTTTCGGGGCCGGCCTCTAAATCACCCAATGAGTCTGTTGGATTCTACCATGATCGATCCGTTATAAAACATTATACATCTCCTTGAGAAGACAGAGCATCGGGCGCACTGATGAATGTCTTCTCCCTATCTGGCCCTGGCGTCCGCGCAGGGGGCCGTCTGTGGAACTGTACAGTTTGTCGCAACCAGACAGCAGCAGGCGTCGCGAGAATAGGGCAACGATACAACACAAGGCCCTTCACGTCGAGGACATACCAATCCAATGGAGGCAAGAAGGGGCAAAGAGAAGGGCCTCGCAAAGCGCTGCTCTGGGCTTCGACCGGGACGGGCACGATTGGTGCGACTTTCCTGGCATTCAGCGACGACATCAAGACCGGCATCGACGCGACGGAGCGGACGACGAGGGTGGCCACGGCGTTGGCAGTATGCATCAACGACTACCGGACGACTTTGAACACCCGCGAAACTACGAGCGACGAGAAAGAGAAGGATGAGCTGCTCAAAGCATGTCACCAACGTTGTGCGGACCGCACCCTCAAGGTCTTGGAGAAGAATGGCGGCATATACATCAAGCTCGGCCAACACTTGGTAAGTTTTCCAGTCTGCGTCTTGTGAGCTGCCCTAACCAAGTAACAGAGTGCGATGAACTACCTGCTACCGAGCGAATGGACGACCACATTCCTACCGTTGCAAGATAAATGCCCCGTCTCCTCCTTCGAGTCCATCCAAGACATGTTCAAGAAGGACACTGGCGAGGACCTCTGGTTCTACTTCTCCGAGTTCGCAGACCAGCCAATTGGCGCCGCATCTCTCGCGCAGGTTCACATCGCAACAATGAAAGATACCGGGCGCAAAGTGGCTGTCAAAGTCCAGCACCCAGAACTCGAGGCGTGGGCGCCGCTCGACCTCGCCACCACGCGATTTACATTCTCGACCCTCAAGCGCTTCTTTCCCGAGTACGATCTCGAGTGGCTCTCCTCCGAGATGGATGTCTCCCTGCCCAAAGAACTCAACTTTGTGGAAGAGGCCGATAATGCGCGAAGGATGAAGGAGCATTTCGCAAAGCTGCCTGAGCTTCCCCTGATCATCCCAGAGGTGCTCTGGGCCAAGAAGCGCATCTTGGTGATGGCCTGCGAACCTGGCAAACGACCCGACGACCTCGAGTATCTGGATGCCAATGGCATTGATCGCGACGAGGTGTCGTCGACCTTTGGCCGCATCTTCAACGAGATGATCTTTGGTGACGGTGCGCCGCTCCACTGCGATCCCCACGGTGGAAACATTGCGATCCGAAAGAACGACTCTCGGCGAAGATTTGGCCGGGGCCCGAACTTTGACATTATTCTGTACGACCATGGACTCTACCGGGACATTCCCCTGCCGCTACGACGATCCTACGCAAAGATGTGGCTGGCCGTCATTGACGGCGACGTGCCCCGTATGAAGAAGTATGCCTACGAGGTTGCGGGCATTGAGGAGAAGGACTTTCCTCTGTTCGCCTCCGCCATCACAGGCCGTGATTACAGCATCGTCAGCAAGCAAGGTTCGATTCTGCAGACACGCACCTCGGACGAGCAGCAGAACATGAGTGGCGCGTTGCAAGAAGGACTCATTGTGGATCTCGTCCAGCTTCTAAGCCGCGTTCCTCGCATCATCCTGCTCATTTTGAAGACCAACGACTTGACCCGAAGTCTGGACGAGAACCTGCAGACCAGGCAGGGTCCGATACGAAATTTCATGATTCTCGCCCGATATTGCGCCAGGACAGTCTTCTATGAGAAGTTGGAGGAGATCAGGGCGACAGGATCGTTGATCTGGCCAGCAAATGCTCTGAGGATGTTTGCCGCGTGGCTCAGCTTTGCACGGGTCGAACTCAAGCTAGAAGCCTTTGAACTATACCTTGGTGTCAAGCGGATGCTTGGAATGCAGAGCACGGAGTTTGGGAGCAGTCCTCTGCAAACATAGAAGGAAACCCGCATAGAATGTACTAATTTAACTGTATATACGACACGTTGCCATGATCCAGCTGTTCTCGACTTATAAAAATGCTTCTTAATCCAGCCTGACATTCTAGGGAGAGTACCAACTTTCTCAGAGACAAGAAGAAGCAAAAGGTTACGCTCGATGTGTCGTTCGAAGACGAATCTTCTCAACTGCCATATAGAATGGTGCTTCAACGGGGATGGCACAAAAAGAAAAAGGACTCAAAAAGATGATTTCGCCCGGGCTTGAACCGGGGACCTTCTCGGTGTTAACGAGATGCCATAAACCAACTAGACTACGAAACCAACTTCGTGACAGTGATGCAGATTTTATTAACTATATACTGCAAAAAGCTCACAAACAAATTACCTACACTTCCAGTCAGCAATCCTTTCGCCCACTGGCATGAAGCATTGTGACATTGGACAAACAGAAGTATGGTTAGATCTGCCCTACGCTATAGACCGATAAACTCTAGCGACTATTTTCATTATTAATCCTCACACTTTTATCCAATTATCCTACCCGCTACCTGCCTTCAAGTTGGAACTTAGCGTATCCGAATCTCACGAGCTACGACAGGCTACCTACCCTACCTACTACTAGCCACTTCGGCAGAGTGAGTTTGTATTCAATAAATGACATAGAGCAGAGATATAATAAATATTAATTCATTCCGGCTCTCGCGTTACGCTTTGTCTTGTTCTCCTGCCTCTACCCCCCAAATAGGTTGTGTAGAATAAGAAGCATTCTTTTACCTTAGGTTTCTTCTGATAGCCCGTTTTGTTACATTCAATTTACCTTAACACAAATAGTACATCACAACATCTCTCTGAGGTTTACGAAGTACATGCACGGACTTCTCAAGCACGAAAAAAAAAGAACCCGCCTTCCATTCCAACGATGTATGGATACAAATTGATGATCATGGACTTGACAGTTACCCATGCAAAAGATTGATTTCGCCCGGGCTTGAACCGGGGACCTTCTCGGTGTTAACGAGATGCCATAAGACCAACTAGACTACGAAACCAATGCTTGATTTGATGGAGTGCGACCCGTAAAGTTACCCACATGAGCGTGAAGCTATGCGCACAGAATTTTGAGGCCCCGTAATGTCGGCCGGAGTGGGGCCGTGAATGACCGCCGTGGGCAACTTGAGGACGCTTAAATCACCCGATTCACTTCCCGAGAAGAGGCACTCTGGTGCACTAGTATTCTGCAGCCTCCGAAGGATGGAATCCAGTCGCCTCATTCGCATATCAGTGGTATGTATATATACGTAATCCGTACAGTGCGATTCAAGGCCGTTGAAACTACGTCGGTATAGGCGAATGGATGGCATGTTCGTCATTCTCGTAATTCATAGGTAATGGCGTTGAGCTAAACCCCCAAGATGTTAGCCTCTTGGATCGTCAACAAGCGCATATCCGAAACACACTTAGACGGTCAAGCTCATCTTACGTACATGCGAAGTAATCTTGGCGCGGAGGAATCCTCCGTCGTGTGCCCCTGGACTCTGGAGAAGATGGGGGCGGTGATCGGCGTTAGCAAGGGCCTTTCTGTACGATATGCTGTTCGGTGAGTAATAATAATTTGAATCGTCGGAATGTTGTCAGCACTGATACCGGAAGTAACCTCAGTAAACACTCATCGATGGCTTGAACATAAGTGTTCCTTAGTGCGACGCACAATGGCAGTTGATGGCGAAGTGACATTCACGACTCTCAATGACAAAATGATACGTAAATAGAACATAATTACCCCGACACTGATTCAGTGATTATGGTAGATGATTGAACAGGCCGAGCTATCGACGCCAGCACTAGTTCATAGACGCGCTTGAATCGCGCCCCGTCAGGGCGACGAAATTAGGTTGCTGTTCGCCAGCCACCATATTGCATTCTGCACGGCAGACGCTACAGATTGGACAGCAGAAAGCTTCTAGACAACCTTCAAATCCCCCATCGAGCGCGTGATGAGTGTATAAGCTGAAGCTCGAAGTCGTCTGGCTAGATCACGACGTTGCATGATTGCATCTTCAAGTTCCTAGACTAGCAGGGCGCTTTGGGCGCTTGATGCCCTTCCTCAAAGCGCGGGACTCCTGCATCTGGCCAAGTGTCGACGATCAGACCCTTCACGGCACGGGGTTCGCCATATAAGCTTCGTGTTCATGCTGGAGCCTGGAGATAAGACAAGGGCATCAAATTGATATTAACATGCTGTGGAGAATAAGAAAGAGAACATGCCCCTAAAGTTGAGGTCAACATGTCAAGGGGCGAGGCATCGGGGACTGGTGGTCAACCACGATTCACGAATCGGGTGGACTGGGTGTGTTGTGCAGTAGCACAAAGCGCGGGTCAAGCGCGATGGACTCCAGTCTCGAGCGAGGATCGCAATGCCTATCGCAATATTTCTCTTGCATTGGCCATACACGCTCAAGGAGTGACCCTCCTCGATCCAGCCCGGCAGTGAGTGGTAATTATGTACTGACACCGGCACTCTAAGGGCGATATTAGTAGAAATGGACACAGGATTTGAGGGGGAAGCGCCGTGCGAAATGACGTCCCCTCCACGGGAACTTGGGCGGCGGAGCAGCCAGAGGCTCAGGGCAGGCAGGTGACGCTCAAGAAGCCCCGAGGAAGGTGTGAAGGAAGCTCCTGAGTGCCTGACTGGTTCGACGGGGCGGGACGGAGCAGGAGGTAATTGAACCTTTCAGGCCTGAGGCAGATTGGCGCTTGACTAAAAAGGGACATCGCGAACCGTCCTCGGACTCCACTCCACCTTATCCGTCATCTTCACTTCTGCAAGGTACCCGAATTCCAGCCTTTCTGGGCCACAACTGATTGTTACATCGGTACAGTTGTTGCCGGCTCCATGTCAGCTTCGCTCAGGTCGGGCTGTCATTTGCGCTTTATCATGGCCGTGACAGAGTACCATTACCGAGCCTCGACGACCGCACATCTCTCACTCAAAGTGCCATCAGGCCGGGTTCTCAAGGGAGGAGACCTACCTACCTGCACTTATTTGTCTGACTTGTAATGGCAATTTTCGCTGGACGAGGGAGCCGTGACCTGTCACCTGAGTCCAGTCTGCTCTGCAGGGGAGTCTGGGTTTGCCCGGTGGTCTTTTCAAGGGCCGAGAGCCCGCAGCCTCGTATCCTCGCCGCCTTCACCGCCCAACTCGATAATTAGCCCACTAATTATCGACAGCACGCATACAGCGAAAGCCGTGTTATTGAACGCCTCTGATTGAAAGAAGCTGCCAAGCACACGAGGGCACATGATCCTCATGGACGTCCACTCAGTGGTCGAGCATGAATTATTATTTCCCCGCCCAATATCACTTTCGCCAAAGACAAAGAGACCAAGACAAACAAGCATCCTGCCCCCTGGCAGTCGCCCCTTGAGCCCCAAGCCTCCAGACAAGGGCTCACGATGAGCATCCGTCCAGGAAGGGCATGGCCGCCCCGGAGTGACCCCTGTCTAGTGCCAGCTACATCTGACAAGGGTGGGCGAGGTGGACACAGGGGTCCTTCTCCTTGGCAACGCGATGAGTCTCATCAGAGACACAAACGCCGCCGCCCTCCACCTTTGAGACATCTTATGCACCATCGTCTCCCATTCTCCTGGTCGTGACACATCAGAGCTTGTCGATACTTCTGCAACAGTTGACTGTGACGTGCATTCGTCATCAGGGCGCTTGCTGTAGCTGCAATTGTATCAAACGCCATTGCAGCCCTTTGGCAGTAGTCTCTGATCGTGCCCTCCGAGCCCATCCAACACGACCTTGGCATTGGGGCCAGGCCAATACGCCAAACGACAAACGATACACCATTTCGCGCCATTGGCAAGACAAGTGCCCCGACGTCACACAGCCGAAGCGCTCGTGGCGTGTACCACAAGACAAGTCTAGGGCCGCAGGGGGATATACTGGATGGTATCCCATCACCGCGGCTACCTGCATCGCTGTCGCTTGTCAACAGCATTGTGATTAAAGCTGCACGATCTCGACCAATGTGTTTGCTATAGCTCGACCACACACAAATCATCACCATGTCGACGAGGGAATTGGGGTTTCTGCCGACAATCAAATGTTCGCAATGCGGTTCGCAAGTGGAGATTTCGATGATGGGGGAGCACACCTGTAGTGGCGACAGCGAGACGTCGCAATGTAAGTCAAGATGTGAGCAGCACACAGCGAGTCGCTGACCACGTCCCAGTATCACCACCGCTGGAAGCAGACGAGTCCTTCGAAAAGCAACCGACCTCCCAGCCCAGGCTTCCGCGTAAGCCTGTGGCAGTGGACACGGGCGCTGCGAGTAAGTCGATGGTCGAGCCCTGCCCGAACGTGAGCTAATCACCAATCCGTAGATCGTCCTTTCATGCGCCATGACCCTTTAACACCCATCAGCCATCACAGTGATTCTCCGCGAACACCCTATAGCGGCTTGCCGTCGAGCAGGTCCACGGAATACTTCGCCAATGCCACCGGCGCATCTCCCGAAAGCACCCGCCGGCCCAGTGGTCATGGTGGCCTGGGCGATGGTTCAAGCTATACAACAGACCCCATGCCGAGTCCTGGTGCCAGTGTACTCCAGAGGATGGAGAACCTCGTGCCAGGGCCGTTTGATCATCGTGCAACTGAGGTCGTCTCACCATTGCGCAAAGGCTCACTTACACCGAGTGCGACGTTCCCAGGCGACCGACCTGGCACCGCGAATTCTCACCTCTCCGCCGCCAGTGGCGAGAATCTCGCTGCGCCTAACGTTAGGCCTCACAAAGCCACATACGATGGGTTTGGGCCTCCATCTAGGGCAGAGCCAGGGCCCGAGCAGGACACACCCGCTCTGGGCTATCTCAATCGCTCAGAAACGTTCCCACGGCCTTCTTACGTAGCAGGGCCACCGGCGCGAACGCCTTCAGCCCCCGGGGCGCGGAGAGAGAGCTCGAGGCAATCGGCAATGGACAGCACACGCATACCATCCATGGGTCCCGATACATCGCGGCGACCTCCTCCGCGCAAGAGTCTCATTCCTTCTGCACACAAAAACGCCGGATCCGTGGATTTGGCGAAAGAGTTTGGTGTCAGCAACCCATATCATACTCCGTCGGATTCGGCCTCTTCAGGCTACTCTGGCTTTAGCCAGCCGAGCCATCCCAGTTCACAAACAAGCCCTGCAAGGTCGCCGTCCCGAAGGCAGCCATCTCACGACTCGCGCATCGAGAAGGAGGTAGAGACTGGCATGGAGAGCTTACGACTCAACGACGCACACGCCAATCCCCATTCGATGCCACGAACACCATCGCCTCTAGCTGCGTCACCTGCGGCCGTGTCGCCGGCTACCTCCCCCAGGGGCTATGGCGCTCGGCGCTCAGCGATTGAGACGGCCTCCCCGACGCGTGGTGACTCTCTTCCTCGTCCTAGCCTGACACCTCAGGCTCCTCAAGTTGTGCGCAGAGGCACGGGCGACATATCTTCCCGTGGCGACTGCAAAGGATGCAGTCAACCGATTGTTGGCAAGAGCATCTCTTCCGCCGATGGTCGCCTCACAGGCAGATATCACAAGGCTTGTTTCGTCTGCTCGACGTGTGCAGAGCCATTTTCTTCTGCCGAGTTCTATGTCTTGAACGACAAGCCCTACTGCGAGCAGCACTATCACAAGCTCAACGGCAGCCTGTGCGGTGGATGTGGCCGGGGCATTGAGGGCAAATTCGTGGCAGACGAGGCCAGCGTCAAGTACCACCTCCGCTGCTTCTGCTGCGCTGACTGCGGGCACGGTCTTACCGACGGCTATTTTGAAGTAGACGGCCGTGCGTACTGTGAGCAGGACGCCTGGAACAGGGTGAACAGCGTCCCTGCGCCGACCCCGTGGAACGGACCCGGCAACTACCGTCCTTACCAGCCGGACCCGTACGCATATCGCCAGGGCCCTCCTCAACCTCAGCAGCAACAGCAGCAGCAAATGAGGGGCCCTCCGCAAGGCCGTGGACAAATGCCTCCTCGACCGCCTCAAGGGATGGGTCTCCCCGGACGTCCAGGTCCCGGACAAGGTGGTCCCCGCCCTCGAGGCTCCGGGCCCGGGCTGGGAGCAGCAATGCCCCGTCCTGGATACGGGCCTCCAGGAGGAAGGCGGCCGAGCCAGAATCCAGTGCCAGGGCTGCCTCATCCCAAGGCAGGTGGTTTGGCACCACCGAGGCCACTGATGAACAAGCGCAGTACGCGCCTGGGCATGATGTGAGCACAGATAATATGCGATTATGCTGTGCGACGCTATGCACGCGACTCACTCGTTGGTTGTTTTTCTCATTTCTGATGGAGCCATGTTCTTTTTATTATACCCGTGCCCGGCTGCTGGCCTTTGCCAGCCTGGTGCATATCCGCATTTTTTTAGGTTTCGAATTTGAAGCAGGCGTTGGGCGAGATACTTCTCGGGGTGCTAGGCTAGAGTACCGGCAGGCCTAATCAATGTAATCGAGTTACCTCGACCATGAACACAGCGGCTATGCTATGTGAGACATGTCTTCACTGTATCACCAAGTGTCGAGTCTTGGCATGTTTGCTCCGTTTCCCTTGTTAGTGTTCAAGGTGAAGTCTGTCTACTTGAGTCAAGGCGACGAGCATACTCGTTTGTGTGCCACGCAAACACGGTCTCTATTACGAAGAGGGCGAATGTGCTTCGTCAAGTTGGATGTGCGCAGGCTTCTCAATGGCCGCCTGTACAATTCTGGAATAGGAGGTCACGAGCGGCATGGCGTTGTCGAATCAAGCATCGATAGGATCGACTTGCATCCATCCTACGGGGCCGATCCCAACTCCTCCTGACGTGATCTTCGAGGAGAATCATAATTAGAATCTTGACAACTGCCCATCGGTCCCAGTGTTTGTGGAAACCAACGGAGACCTGCGACGCAATCACAGTAGATTTAAATCACTGAAGTGGACAGTAGCAGATCCGGATTCATGCAGTACCAAGTTTTTTCAGAACGTTGGTGCGACGTGGCAAAAGGTCAATGTGCCTTTTTTACTTTGCGTCGACGGCGCGCATTTGGCCGGCATAGCCAGAGAAGTCGAAACAGCAGAAACACAAACTATCACCATGATTTTTATTTTTACTCGTTTGTGTTCAGAGCTGGTGCATGTGATGCTGTGAGAGGCTGGAGACCGTGTTGCGATCGACAGCACGCGCGTCGAAGCACGGCGGGTCCAGATTTCAGGAGGTGGTGAAATTGCCGCGGGCTCCAGTGATCGTCGGTGACCTCCTGAGTTCCTGGATGGACTGCCGGTGGGCAGAGACGAAGAAAGCTGCTCACGAGTGCGACGATGAATTCAATGTTGGCGGTGGGAAAGTGTCAACGACACCTTTGCAGCTTTCTGGACAGGCAACTCGGCTCGCATTTGTGAATTCTTGCCGGGGTGGTTACGGTAATTTCTGATCATTCATGGCTCAAATTCCCTTATCTGCATGCCGCCAGGGGCCAGGGCGATGATGTGATGCGTGCTTGTAGGCCGATCACGACAATCAGTCGCGTATGACTACTTGGACAGACGGCAGAGAATCAGGAAGATAACACCAGTCAGCGAGCCGTCGAACTGTAATCACTGCGGGTTTTGTTGCTCTGCTGTCGCTCGCTTGAATACTCGCGATTCATTGATACCACCCATCATTAATATCGCGGTGATTCAATTTCAAGCTTCTCAACTCCACCATCATCGACAGGCCCACGTTGCAGCTGGCCCGCCGGGCCAGGCGGGCCTCCAGGGCCAGTCCACTGTCCAGAAGCTCCAGTCGCCAGTCAGTCGTTGAAATAGCGGCCACGTCTCCACCGGCACAGGCCCAGTCGCTAAGCCCAACTTGGCAGAGGCTACCCCTAATTGCCCCCAAACGCCCCTAAAGAAGCCAAGGCCAAGCACCAGACGCCTCCCATCTCCCGTCAGATAGAGGCCTCGAACTTTTTCTCTTCCAAGGTGCCTTGCCTTAGCCAACCTCCCACTACACCGGGTCCATGTCCCTCAATTTCCCAGGAGCTTCCTTTCGCGTCGCCTCGAAGGTTCTTCTCTTTCCACCTTTCACCCCCCTCTTCCTGAATCTTTTCCCTGTACGACTGACGTCGCGCAACGACTGGATCCAACCGACCAGACTTCTTTGACAGAAGTCGTGCCACTCCTTTGACAGACGCTCAGATATCCCGCCGTTGCATCTGTGAGCACCACCAACAGTGCAACACGACCAGCCTATCTCAGTGTCACATTTGCCGCCATCCTCACCAGCCCTTGTCTTTCGCCTGCGCAGGTACTCACGACCAACGCACAGCACAGGAAAGGCCAAGGTACAACTCGACAGAGGTCCCTGCTTTCCTCGCCATCGCCAACCTTCGCTTCGCCACCATCCGCCACGCCGCGCTCTCCCCTCAACTTTCTTGAGCTGATATCCAGGGACAGCATGCTCCATTGCTAAACACGCTGCTTCCGTCATCTTCTCTCTTTTTTCGCTTGCGACGACTGTCCTACCTCGCGATTCATCCACCGAGATCGCCTGACGAGCGGGACATGGAAAAGATGCTCAACCCACACAGTCGCCGAATGCTCAGCTCTCGGGCCCGGCCACGGACTCTGCTCCTGATCGCCCTCGCTTCCGTCACAACGTACTGGATCCTGTTCAGTGGCTCTGGGCCCCAGTTCCACGTCGTGCCGTTCACCCACGATAGCACCGCGGGTCAACAGTTTACTCCAAGTGGCCAGCAATCCACAAAGGGCGATGCTTCCGATGCCAGCCCCTCAGAAAAGCATGCCTGGGACATTAGCATTGAGGACATCAAGGGCTGGAGAGACCCAGATGACGAGGAGGATCCTAATGATATAGAACCCGGGTACGAACGGGACGGCAAGCACAGAGAGCCTGGTGATATCAGCAAGACACAGCACGAGAAGGACCTGAGGACATTGTGGCGCTACGCCTACAAGACGACCAAAGAGTGAGTCCCGGCCCCCGGTTGGCCAGCTGCGTGCTCTACTAACAAAGACAAGTCTCCCATCCTCTGACCTCATCTACGGCAACACGCTCGAAACGATAGACTACCGCGAAAACCGTACCGAGGAAGCTGCCTCCCGGCTGCGCGAAGATCCGGATGTCGATGTCACCTTTACCGACGAGCACCCCGTGCGCTTCAACCCCTTCCCCGACTACAACAGCGACGCCTGGAAGACTTCCAAGCGGGCACCATACGTGCCATGCTATGGTGCCACCGGCGAGTTGGTTGAGGACCTGCTCGTTTTCAAGGGCACCCCTCAAGACTTCCCGGCGCCCAAGTTGGGTTCGTACGACAAGCTAGGACTCGACGAGAATCTCTGCTGGGAACGCGAGACACGTCTCGGACCTTATGGATTCACCAAACAGATGAAGAAGGTTGGCGGCGAGTTCGTCCCTGTGGACTGGGACAATGTGAACTGGGGCGATCTCCAGCGTCGCTGTGTTCACAAGAACGCCAAGCGATACGACCTGAACAAGAGCCGAAAGAACCCATATCTCAACGCTTACCCCGAGACGGCCAAGTCCGACGACAAAATCGTGGCCAGGGATTCGTCTTCTCCCCAGACGGAGGCCGAGGTTCCCGAGGTCAACGGCCGTGCGCCTGCTGACTTTGATGACGCCGACGACGCGGCTGATGACAATGATGTCGTCCCTGAGAAGCGCACCGCAGTGCTTCTTCGTGCCTACACCGGCAAGGATTACACCGAGAATGACAAGCAGTTCATCCGCGCCATGGTGAACGAGCTGTCGCTCAAGTCGGGTGGCGAGTACGAGGTATTCTTACTGGTTCACGTCAAGGACAAGGAGCTTCGCATCTTCAATGATCCTGAGACATACCAGGCCGTCCTGCACGACAACGTGCCCCCCGAGTTCCACGGCATGACTGTGCTGTGGAACGACGAGGTGGTGTGGAACATTTACACCGAGCTCAAGGACGAGCAGGAGAGGAGCGTCCACACAGCCCAATGGCTGTCCGTCCAGAAGTTCAGCCACGATCACCCGCAGTTCGACTTCATCTGGAACTGGGAGATGGATTTCCGCTTCACGGGACACCACTACGACATCTTGAACAGACTGTCTGACTTCTCCGCCGCGCAGCCTCGCAAGGGACTCTGGGAGCGCAACGAGCGCTGGTACATCCCCGAGTACCACGGTGACTACGACACAACTTTCCGCCAGGACATTGAGGAGCGCTACGGCAACGACACCGTCTGGGGCCCCCTCGACCTGTCTTTTGTCAACCCCGTTGGCCCTAAGCCCCCCGTAAAGTCGCCCAGCGATGACAACTACGAATGGGGTGTCGGAGAGGATGCGGACGTCATCACCCTGGGACCCATCTTCAACCCGATCAACAGCAACTGGATCATTAGCAAACACGTCTGGGGCTACACGGACGCGAACCACCATTCCTGGGACGTCCCCCGCCGCACGACCATTGTCACCCACTCGCGCGTGTCCAAGCGTCTGTTGGACATTATGCACGTCGAGAACATGCGCGGCAACCACGTGGCCTCGGAGATGACGCCGCAGACGGTCGCCCTCCACCACGGCTTCAAGGCCGTCTTTGCGCCTCACCCCATCTTCATGGACCGCGACTGGGACGGCGAGTTCCTGAACAAGTGGTTTAACCCCGGCGAAAAGGGCGAGTCTGGTGGCTACGGCTCGCCGATGGGCTGGGGCCGCGAGCGCCGTTACCAGGGCACGACCTGGTACTACCGCGCCGAGCCGCCAAACCGCCTCTTCAACAACTGGATGGGCTGGGTCGACACCAAGATTGGCGGCAAGCGATGGGAGCAGAAGCACGGGAGGCCCTGCCTGCCATCGATCATGCTGCATCCGGTCAAGGAGTCGGAGCCCACGTCGAATGGGTACGAGACTGGGTTTGAGCTGGCGTATGGTTAATGCCAGCAACCAGACAGACAGACCCCTTGACCCATGCATGCGCGGATCTTTCTATACGCACAGAATTCACCTTACGCTCACGAATCCCTCCCTCTTCGCGACGCCCCTAGTTGGCGTGAGCATGCTTTTGCAAGCATTTTGCATCTCTTCACGAATACCCTTTCTTCCCCCGCCCTTACTACTTCTCAGTCCAGGGGATTGATTGATTGTCCACTTCAACGTCCATGGTCACTTTTTTTTCTGGCAAATTTAATTACACACGACGGCACATTGCACATACTACAGCAGGAGGAGAATCTGCCAAAGAAGGACTTGATGTTCCCCGACGGCAGCAGGTGGGGAGGAGGAATGCACAGCCTGGCGTTATTTGACTCAGTAGACGAAGGAGGAGGACTGGAGTGGAGTGTGTCGGGCCCTCAACTGAGAAGGCCCAAGTCTTCAGTCACCTCTTCTTGTTCATATGTACCACAAATATCATGATAGAGCTACGAGAGCAACGCGTAATTGAATGATTGCACTCGCACGACTGCAAGGGAGATGCTTCGTCCTGGTGGTGGATATATGATGACATGACATGCTCTCTTGGCTCCAAGCTCGTCGACCCGGGCCGCCCCGCCACTGCATTCCTTTCAATTGGAGGTGAGTCGTTGTGAACCTCTCACCTCACATCACCTCAGCCTGCGAAAATCGGTACAACACACAAGTGTCCTACATATTTCGCAATGCCGGCGGCGTTTACCACGGCCATCACGATACTGGATCACAAGCAGTGAGGGCCGCTGACGACGGCGACGTCCCCGCTGCCCAGCGACCAAAATGCGCCTTTCATCATGAGCCCTCCTGGACCAAGTGTACGTGCCTCCCAGTTCTTGGCTTGGCCGTAGGCTTTTGAACTATATGTACTGAACGCGTTTGCCTATAGACACCGACGCCGCGTCGTTTCCTCCTGTCCAAGCGCAATCAGCAACAGAGCACCGCGGGTTTCCAGTCCACGCCTCGATTCCAGGCCCCGTCCTCCTCAGCGCGAGCAGCCCCCGCCACGTCTGTGCAGCGTCCGCCGTCCACGGCCAGTGCAGTTCATGACGCGCGAAACGTGGCGCCTCTGAAGTTGGCGCTCCCCCAGGGTAAACAGCGAGGTGTGGAAGACGTCGACGATGAAGACGAGCGTGTCGAGGTGAGCTCTGTGGAGCAAAGTGAGAGGGATGAGGTTGAGGAGGATGCCATTGAGGCGTCGAGCTCTCCTCGTTCGCATGTCGAGGAGCCTGGTAACGCCCGGATGGAGGATGACGATCTAGATGGGAGCGATCCAGATGATGGCCGCGTCGACGATGTTACACGATCCGACGCTGTCAGCGAGGAGGGGGACGACGACGACAATGACGAAGCATCGTCGAGTTCTCCATCCATGGAACGAGACACCAAGAGGCGAAAGTTATCCATCACACCTCTTCCTGCTTTCAGTCCACCGTCGATACAGCAACAGGATGAAGCAACGAGCACCGACTCAGACCTCAACGAGAACCAGGAACCCTCCTCGGGGGCCGAGTCGTCGTCCTCCGCCGGCTCCCCCTCCAGAAGAGACGCGCAGCAACCGACATTTCGACGTGTCCCGCGCTTCAAGCCCCTTGATCCTGATCTCGCCACGCCGGGTCTCCCAGCCGCCTTCTCCCCTCAGAGGCGCGGCGCACGGTACCTGACGGGTGGACTCGCCGCCGAGGTCCAGTCCATGCTGTCGGCGATCAAGTCCGAGGACCAGGAACTCGCCACTTCCTCCTCTTGCACCACGATCCGGGTGGAGGAGGTACGCGCGGGTCGAAGGATGTACCTCGTCCGCGATGAGCACGGTAGGAGAATCGTGCTCGCGGGCGAGGGGAAGCTGACGGGTCTGGGCAGACGCGCGCCCGTTGCGCAGGGGAGCGTCGTGGACGTGGGACGGTTGGGCTGGAGTGTTGACATGGAGGGGGAGAGGTGGGAGGTGCACTGTGACTGGAGTATGGTGGTCTAGTCTAGTCTGGGTCGATATTTGTTGTCAGTCGTGAGCTCCCCCTGGTCTGGCCGGATCGTGGCGTCTTCTGGCTGCAGCTTCGTCTCGACACGGGTGCTACAGACGTGTCAACGTTGGCATTGCCTCATGGAGCATGCGTCAGGCTGTTGGGGTTAGATATACTTGCCTGATTTAAAAGACACATGGGTCGGCGCTACATCTTTACGAATCCATCGACTTGATCTGTCACGCACTTGTCTGTGGTCTCTGGCTACCCTGTGCCATGGCTGGTTGGTGGTCCATTGCAAACTCTGGCTGGCAGCACTCTGCCTAGAAGATTCACAATGAATACAGAATTTGACTTCTTAATGACCTACCATTTTCTATGTCGTGAATCAGTGTATCACACATTGCTGGTTACCACCTGGGTTGGTTGTTATGCAACTAACCCATATAGAAGATAGCAATAATCCCAATTTAAGGAAGCGCGACAGTTTCACATCTCGCGACTTTCAACACACAAACACCATCAACATGTGACAAAGGCATGCTATCATGATTTTGAAACATATAAGCCGTTCTTTCGCACATTTATCTCGTCAACCATGGTCCATCGCGTCCCATCGACGTGTCCACTACTGCACAACAAGCGGCAAGCTCAGTGACCCCTTGCGGATACTGTTCTGCGGCTCGGACAATGTGAGCGTCGAAGCGCTTCAAGCCGTCCACACGGAGTCCTTGCACAATCCAGAGTTGGTTGAGAGGGTCGAAGTAGGCGTGCTGCCCCCAAAGGCGTCGGGTCGAGGGTTGAAGACAAAGGTGGAGTGTAGGTCGATCCTCGCCCCGACTAAGGAACGATGCTGATGACAGGAGTACCATGCGAGAAAGCGGCGGCGAGTCTGGGGCTGCAGTGCCACCAGATTCCGACATTCACGGGGTGGCATGTGAGTGTTGTGGTTGAATGGGCTTGTGACTGGCAAGCTGACTTTGATACAGATGCCCGATGATATCAATCTCATCATCGCCGTGTCGTTTGGACTGTTCGTCCCGCCACGATTGCTGCGACAGGCGAAATATGGTGGGCTCAACGTTCATCCATCATTTCTACCAGAGTAATTAGGCTCCCATGTATATCTGATCGGCCAGAACGACATGTTGACTGGCTACAGCTTGCGGGGACCGGCGCCGATACATCACGCTGTTCTCCAAGGTGATACTCATACCGGCGTCTCCCTCCAGACGCTTCATGAGAAGACCTTTGATCACGGCACGGTCCTCGCACAGACCCCTGCGCCGGGGATAGCGATTCTTGCGCACCCGACCCTATCCTTGACTACGCGGAAACTGGGCATCGAGTGTGCAGAGATGTTGGTACAAGGGCTGCGAGACGGTCTACACGTCCCCCCTTACGAGAACGCCGGCTGGCGGAACGCAGATGGGCTCCGCCACGCACCCAAGTTATACCCGGGTGACCTGAAGATACAATGGGACATTTGGTCCGCCGAGGACTGGCAGAGACGGCTGGTCATGAAAAGGGCCATCTGGACAAACGCGATGACCAACAAGGGCAAGCGAAAGCGGGTCATCTTTCACGATGCGAGACCTGTCAGCGCGGCAGAGGTGCAAGGCACCAGAGGCATGGTCGCCACCGTGGATGATGGTGATGGCGATCCGGTGCGAAGAGAGGTGGTTGTGGACCGGGACGACGGCAGTGTCTACTTCTTGACAGGGAGGGGGGTATGGGTCAGAGTGCGGCGAGGCAGGCTGGAAGCTGAAGTCGAGAAGGATGCTGCCATGGTGGTGCGCTCACTCCTGGTGAGGGACGCATGATGTCGATGACCTATATATTTGGCTGCCCACTGTATATATTGTATGTACCTATAAGATTGTGCTGACAAGCCAATATCAGACTCAACTGTACACATGCCTGGGTGGCCTCGACTTCGACCTGCAGTGCCAATCAGTCCAAGACCATTTGATGAACCTCACTTGCAGCACGCATTCGCACTCTCACGTCTGAACTCCGCACACAGATAAGCTTTGAGCAAAAACAGTTTCACAGGGCTGAGCCAAGGCGCTGAGCCAAGGCGAGTGGAAACGAACGTCGTAAACAAAACGTGGTCTCCAGAAACTGGATCGTATAGCCTGAAACGTCCAAGACCGGGGATGCCTGCGGAAATCTTTGCCAATCTCAAGGGCGTTGAAGATGCCAAGTCGTAGACTGTATTAATACACCGTAATGTGGATGGGATTGTTATTATTAGTACTACCTATTCACGGCAGACGAGTTTGATGCATGCGGCAACCGAGAAAAGCATAGGTGAGAGTTGACGCCTGATTAGGGAACGTGTGTATGCAGTGGAAATTGGCACGACGCGCGGGCGGGCGGGCGTGTAGAAGTGATACCATTTAGGATTTAGGCCATGTCAGTGTGATTTGCGCGCAAAGACGCGTCTCAATCGCCCTCAGAAGGACCTGGACCTGGACCGGAGGCTTCAATCAACACATATTACGCGCACACCCTGGCACGCTTCGGCCATTTCCCTGTTAGGCGCGGTTGGCTGCACGTTCATCACAAACAGTCCAGGCACAGGGCCAGGGCAAGCTCACTTCTGAACAATGCAGGTACGATCTGCACGCGAGATCCACTCTTGCTGCTTTTGCCTTTGTGCCTGGATTCCTGGAAGCTTCGGTGCCTTTGAGGCCGCGGCCTTTCATGGGTGGATATGCTCCGCTGCAGTCTCCATATTTCCTGCCCTAATCGCGGTGGTAGACAAGATGCAGGCTCGTCACCCGAAAGATCGTCCATTGTTTGACAAATGTGTGGATATGAGTAGTGCCGCTTTTAGACCGAGCCAGGCTGAGCGGCCCTTCCGCAAGAATGAAAGGTCATCCGAGCTGAGGCCGCCTGAACAAAAGCAGCGTTAGCGCTAATCCAGATTCGACGACGGCACAGGTCGCAACTCGCAACGACCACGATCACCACAGCAGGACCTCACGGTCCTTCACCGACTGGACTCGTTTCTCTGGCGCCATCCACCACTCCACACCGCGAGCGAGCGAGCGAGCAAACAGACACTGCCCTACCTTACGCTATGTCGTCGCTATCCACCTCGTGTCGTAGCTTGTCCACAGCGCCTCTCGGATTATCGAACGCCATGCAGCCCGCTGTGCCCGCCTCAGCTCCTGTTCAGCTGGGCGCTACCGGAAGAGATGAGCACGGCTGCAATAGATGCCGGAGAACTCTCCCGTGTCACACAGGGCTTACGGACACCCTCAGCGAGCGTATTAAAGGCACCGTCAGTCGCCGTTGATAAGGCTGGGATTTTACTTGTACAAGCCAGGTGGAGGGCCTGGAGCGGACTGTGCACCACCAAATTACTGCTGACAGGCGCCGTCAGGGGGCTGCTTACAATGCTCGCGACGGGAAATGACAGCTCGGGATCAGGCAAATCCGGCCGCCTGCCTGTTGGCTCTGGGAACCAGGGAACATCAATTATTAAGCTTCAGCGACCTTGTGTGAACCGAGATAGCCGTCGACTGATCGCCACCACGCTCCTCTAGGTATACGAGCCCCGCGATCGATTATTGTGTATCGAGGGTGGGAGCGGCGAGCCAAGATTCATCCAGCAAACTCTGCAATGGTGACATCGATCGACTCTCCCGCGGCGTGTTCACAATCGCAGCCAGCCTTGATCTGAGCTGGTGCTCGGGGCCCGGACGAGTGACTCTTCACTGCGGACACGCGTGGGTAATGACCCATCCTACTTTAACCCAAAGTGGACGGGACGCATGGTTCCTGCATTAGCGGACTTTCTACAGATGTTAGGGAGATACGCCTCAGCTGACCAGGCATACAGCAGCTTCGATGTATCTGCTAACGCGACTGGACGCTGTCCTCCCCTCCTCCCATGCCCCTGGCTCAATCTCTTCAACGACATCCCTGTCGACCAGCCCCTATCTGGGCCTTGGGATGATATCTCAACTGCAAGCGCAGCAAGCCTGCAGGCCAGCAGGAAGCGGCTGATGAGGTGTGTGCCGTGGGTGTCTGCTGGATGTGCGATCCGCCAGACCGTCTCTCAAAAGCGAGCACCACCCACCAGGACGAGGCCTTTTCCCTCTCCTTTCTCCTCACGCGGATTCTCTCGTTACTACAAGTCGTACCTTGTCGCCCGCCGTAATCAGCTGACCTTGTCGTCAAGCATCACACTCTTTTTACAAGTCTCTTATCAGACTACACACATTCTTTCAAGATGGCCATGTACAAGTTCGCCGCGGCCGCCCTGGCCCTCTCCACCGGTGCCACTGCCCACCGCTTCAACTTCGTGAACGGTCTCAACAGCACCACCACCACCACCGAGGCTGGCGCCACAACCACCATCGCCTCGGAGACCAACACGGTGCCTTCGCACACCAGCACCTTCTGGGGCAACACCACCACAACCACAACCAGCGCTCAGGATGGTTCCATGACCATCACCACCTCCTCGGTCCCCATGACAACCTCGACCGTCTTCACCACCACCACCCGCACCATCACGGACTGCCCCGACACCGTAACGGACTGCCCCGCTGGTGGTATCACCGTCACCGAGACCGTGCCCGCCTACACCACCGTCTGCCCCATCACCGAGGAGCCTTCGATGACCACCTCCACGGTCTACACCACCACCACACGCACCGTCACTGACTGCCCTGATGATGTCCCTGACTGCCCCGGAAAGGGCAGCGTTGTCACCGAGACCATCCCCATCTACACCACCGTCTGCCCCATCACTGAGGAGCCTGAGATGACCACCTCCGCCGAGGAGCCGGAGATGACCACCTCCACCGTCTACACCACCACCACCCGCACCATTACCGACTGCCCCGACAATGTCCCTGACTGCCCCGGAAAGGGTGGTGTTGTCACCGAGACTATCCCTCTCTACACCACCGTCTGCCCCGTCACCGACGTTCCTGCTGAGCCTACCGAGGAGCCCCAGCAGCCTGGTGAGGGTGACGACGAGGAGTGCACTGATGTCATCACAACCACCACCGGTACCAAGACCATCACCAAGACACTCACCGTCCCCGCCGACGAGCCCACCAAGACCCCTGAGCAGCCCGTCTGCCCTGGCTCCCCCGACTGCCCCGTCGAGGAGCCCCAGACCACGGAGACTCCCGAGACTCCTGAGCAGCCCGAGCCCACTGAGACTCCTGCCCAGCCCGAGCAGCCTGAGACCCCTGAGCAGCCCGTCTGCCCCGGCCACCCCGACTGCCCTGCCGAGGAGCCCAAGCCCACCACTCTGGTTTCCGTTCTGCCCACCAACAACGGCACCATCCCCGAGCCTACCAAGCCCACCGCTCCCGTTCAGCCCACTGAGAGCGCCCCTGTTTCCGGCGCTGTCAAGATGGGCTCCTCGCTCCTCATGGTCGTCGCTGCCGTCGCTTTCTTCTTGTAAGAAACTGGCACTAGCAACGTGCTGATTCTGCCCAAGGAGCGGCGTGGAGAGGATGTATATCTTGGATATCGGTATTTAGGATCTTATTCCTCTTCTAATGCATATTGTTTATTACCCTTTCACTTCGGCCTGTCCATACTTTCGATCTTGGTGGTTTGGTGTTGTAATTGCTCGCTAGGGTTGGTGGGAACATGGATATGATTGCTTTTTACAATATAGACGGCCTGCCCTGGATCTGAATCTCTCTTTGCATGGAAATTGATTTGCCTTCGTTAATACATGCTGGTCTCCAACAAGTGATGGTATATGTTGTACATGTGGTCCTTTACTCGCGACCCGTGTTTCACATACAATGTCTTGGTCCGCTACTGTCTAAGACACAACTGCCGCGGCATGGATGCAGTTAGCTTTGCTTGCTGCAGAAATCAGTTGTTGTTCAATTGTGTCATTGGTGCTGGCCTGCTTATAACATGTCCTTTGCTTGACTCCCTCATGTGTTCATGACATGATACCCAAACGCCAAACAGCAGACCCCCCTATCCAACGCCCAAACAGAAAACCATGTCCAACAGACAGCATGCCATACTCCGACCAGATGACCTCTCAAGAAAAAGCAGCACACACTGCTCATCCTGCCTTATTCAAATGAACCTCTGCCCAATAGGCCACCAACCATGCCTACTCTCCTTTCTGCGCCCTTTGCCTTGCGCAGCTCCCTTCTACGCTCACTCTCCTCCACCTTGGCCCTGCTTCCACTCTGATCCCGCGCGCTGGCCAGCGAGCTGACGCCGCTCTTCTTGCCGGCCGCCTTTTTGATCTTTGCATCGTCGCCAAAGCCAGACGATGTGGTCGTGGCAGGCGCCGTGCTCCCCGTCGGCTTGAACGAGTTCGTGGTCGCCCGGCGCAGAAGAGCAGGCACCTTGAACGACGACGAAGACGAGGAGGCACCAAACGCCAGTCGAGAGCCTGACGTCGAAGATGCGCTTGACGAATCCCTTTTGAGGCTGATCCTGTCGACGATGCCGCTCGACCGTCGAGGGTTCTGGTTCTCCTTGTTTCCGCGCGACTCGTCGTCACTATCGGAGCCGACATCGGTAGCAGGAACGACAGAGCCCTCGCGGCCATCGTCAATGAGGCTCGACAGCGTTTGGCGGACATCGCCAATGTGGGCCGCTTTTCGGCCGTGCTTCGTCCGCCTCGGGTGCGTAGACGCGCCGTCCTGCTGCGTGGCATGGGCGAGGGAAGCCGGTGGCTGGCTGTCAGGGACAACGACCTTGGCCGCCTCTTGGGATTGACTCTGCGAGTCCTCCTCAGCGGGCTCTTCAACAAAGCCAATCAGATCCATCTCATCGTCACTGTCACGATCCTCAATCGTCTTGAGGAAGGCCTTGTTGCCAGGGTTCTCGGCCATCTTCTTGACACGCTCGTCTGCGAACAAGGCCTTTTGCATCTTGGCAAATTGGCGACGCTTCATCTTGCGACGGGCTTCGCCGCCATCATCCGAGTCCGAGAGATCGTAGTCAGCGCCGCGTTTGCGGCGCAGCATGCCCCGAGTGACGTCCTTGAACAGCTGCTCAACCTGCTGCTCGTCGTTGGCGCGCTCACGATCGCTGCAAAATGTTAGCAAGGGGTCGATCTTGAATTCAAAGAGGAACTCACGCATGGAAGGCGGCGATTTCGCGCTCGCCCGTATTGTTGCCAGCCGCGTCATCCAGCATGTCCTTGACGGAAGCTGTCGACTCATCGTCACTGTCCTCGCCATCGTATCCACCGAGGCCTTGGTATTCGTCCTCAGACTCTTCGGCATTCTCGTCGATCATCTCCTTGGCCTTGCTCTTCTTGCGGTCGAATTCCTCAGCAGCGCGTCTCTTCTTGTCCTGGAGGGCGGCATCTTTCAAGGCTGTAAAGGCGGTCCCTTCAGCAGGTGTGGCGGCTACTGCGGTGGGAACCAGCTCATCTTCCTCGGGGGCAGTCGCGTCCATCTTGCGACGAAGTCGGCCTCTGCGGACCAGGGGAGAGTCTTGCTGCGCCGACTCTTCCCTATCAGGGACGACAGTGTCGACCGTTGAGTGAGGAGCGTCAAAGAAGCGTTGCTTGATGGGTGTGTGGTGTCGCATGCCCACATCCTGTGATGGTTCTATCATCTCTGATAACTGGGTGCCTGGTACGTCCTGCATCGCGCTGTCAAAGCCAGCGAGGTTCAAGGAGATACCCTGCGTATAGGCCTGAGTGTCCTCTCTCTGTGTGGCAGGCTCTACAGTGTTCTCGGCAGTGCAAGCCTCGATGGTAGCCGAGAAGTTGGAGTCGGGGAATGTGTCGAAGTCTGGCATCATAGACTGCGTAGGGCCATCCTGGCTGGGCGGCACCTGGCTGTCATCGTCCATCGTGCCAGCAAACATCTGAGTCAACCCGAGACCAGCTGGTCCCTTGACAGGAAGACCAGGAATGAAGGACTTCTTCGCGGACCGGAGGACAGAATTTGGCGCGTTGGGAGTTGCCGTGCTGGGGATCGTGGGTGTGACCTGGGTCATTGACTTGGGCCGTGGTGTCGTTTGAACGTCGTCCTCATCGTCTGAGAGGATAGTTGTCTGCTTGCGAGCCCGACGGCGAACGTTGCTAGGTGCCTCTGTGACAGCCTCGACGGGCTCGTCCGCATCCAGCTCCTCATCTTCGGATTCGCCTTGCTGAGCCGCACTGTCGATCAGAGCACCCTCTGTCTCTTCTTCCTCGTCTTCCTCTTCCTCTTCCTCGTCCTCGCCATCGGACCCAGACAACTCCATGGCCGATAGCTCGGCATCCGCGTCCTCGGCGTCATCTTCGTAAAGTTCATCATCGCTCTCATCCCATGCAAGCGGATCATGGTTGCCGTCAGCTTTCCTCTCCTTCTTGGCTTCCTCACGCTCCTGTCGCATAATCTGCTCAGCTTCAGCGCGAGCCTTGGCCACAATGTCCTCCACCTCTTGCATCTCGCGCTCACGCTCCTCCGCGGTCTGTATGACAACGCCTTGCGCCTTGAGCATGTCCATACGACGCTCGCGCGCCTTTCGAGCTTGTTCCCTGGCTTTGCCAGCGAGGTAGACCTGGAGCTGACCTGCAGTCATGCCCTTTGGCTGGCCCTTGCGAACGTTTCCTCTTTGGGGGGATTTAGGTCGGCTCAGCGCCTGAATGATCTGGAGGGGCCCTGGAACTTGATTTTTCGGAACCACATTGCTGGCGAGCGTGGCAGTAGTGTCCTTCTCCGGACGCACAATCTCAAGCTCATCGTCCGAGTCGAGCATGACCATGTTCTGCCCCAAGGACATGGGGAGCTTGACGCGGATTTGCTTCTTCTTTGTTGGTTCGGTCACCTCGGAAGTTGCCATAGCTTTGCCTTTGCCCTTGTCTTGCGAGGCAATGACGCTGGCTAGATCTGGGAGGTCTTCATCGTCACTGGGGACCAGAGTCTCAACGGGAGCCTTGTCCTTGGGAGCATCGGCGGGAGGTGGCGAGCTTGGTGGTGTCCCGTCGTTTTCCATGTCTACATCATCACCCTCCGGCGACCCAGGACGACTCGAGCTGGAGACCTTGGGTTCCGGTGCGGCGGTGGGCTTGATGTTGAACCTCTCCAAGAAGCTACTTTTTGAGATCTTCTTTCTGGTCTTGGCCTCCTGTGCAAGCTGCATGCTTCGCTGCATCCGCTGTGTCTCGCGATTGATGTCCTCGATGGCTTTCTTGCTCGCCTTGCGACTCGTTCGGTTCTCCTGCGTGAGTCTGCGGCCGCCCTCGTCGTCGGTGAGACCACCCGAGCCACTTCCATCGTCGGATTCGAGCTGGCTGATCTCCGACGCGAGCTTTTCTTGCATAGCGCGACGCTCGGCCTTCCTTGCCTCGTCAGCGGCCTCTCTCGCACGAGCTTCGGCGCGTTTGCGCTCCACGAGGGCCTTGAATCGGTCGGATTTGGTGGCAGGGAGCTCCTCGTCTGAATCGAGCTGTGCAGATTTCGCTGGAGAGGGTTGAGCTGGTGACGAGACGAAGAGACCGGGACTGTTGGACCGCACATGCCCCTCTGTGGCTGCGGGTTCTGGAGTCGATTCGCGAGGCATCTTGCGGTATAGACGCCGCGGTAGGACCGGGAGATCCTCGTCGCTGTGATTGTCGTCGTCGACCTGGTCAAGGTCTTTTGGTGGAGAGCCTCTTGAGGACGTCTTGGCTTGTGATGGCGAGCCAATTGGGCTCTCTTTTGAGACTTTCACGGCAGCAGCCTGCATCCGGGCAGCAAGGCGCCCTCTTGGTCGGATCTCCTCATCTGAGTTGGCGTCACTGTCTGATTCTGCTGATGACTCTGATGCGGTGGCTGTGGGCTGTTTCGACGGCGACTGAGCTTCATATGTGGCATCCTGATTGTCGCTCTTGCTACCCATGGCAGCAAGGAGATTTCTGATTTTGGTTCTGGGCGTCAATGGGTCAGGCGAGCCCGCGTCCGACGCGGGTGAGGAGGAGGGCGTCGACATTCTGGCGTGACGTGAGGAGGAGAAACGATGCAGGGTATCAAGCTAAAGGAAGATAAAGGCAATGGATATATTGTTAGAAAAGTGCAGTCGGGAAATGCAGAATCCAAGATAATACATCAGTAACAGCATTCGACGAGGGAGGTGGAGGGCGCAGTGGGGAGTTTAAGGTCAGCCACTTTAAGACGCGCGACGCGATGCATCCACGTCAAATGATGGCGTGCGGGTGGACGCGACGTGACAGCCCCACCTCAACCCGCGGCGGCACCAGCCACCACTGATCCAGCGTCTCCACAATTACAACAGCTGAGGGCACCAGCCTCAATGTGGCACGGTAGAGCAATCAGGCTGCATGTCTTCGACGGCATTAATTATCAAAATACGTAGGATCGGGTCATGATTTTGCAGATTGTTTAATTCATATGCCGACGGCCAAGGCCGTCATCAATCTGACTAAAGGGGGTAGTTCAATCTTTTGGTAACGACAGACTTCATTCAACATTCGAATCGAAAGTGTTCCTTCTCCTCCGTCTTCTCCTCCGTCTTCTCCTCATCGAGGACCAACCGAGCTGCTTAGAAGAGCTTGTGCTCCAGCGTCATATCAGACTCGGGCTCGAGGCCAACGCAGGCACGGAAGATGTTGGTCAGGGCAGCACGCTGCTTGGCCAGCGCGTTGACGACGGGGGTGCCGGGGGGCGTCATGGGGGCCTTGAGCATGTAGCTCAGCACGCTGAGGACGGAGTGGAAGTTCTTGTACTCGGTGGTGGCGGCGCCGTCGGTCGAGGCGGCCTTCCACTGGATACGGGTCATCATCTCAGCGAGGACGACGAGATCGATGATGAGGGGCGAGGCCAGGAGGGAGTCCTCGCAAATGTTGAACAAACTGTTGGATACTATTAGCTTCACTTCTCAAAAAATTTCCAAGCGCAAGACTCACGAGATAGTCTGGTGACCACCGAGGAAGATCTCGGCATAGTACTCGTCGAGGGCACGCTTGTTGTCAGCGACGGCGGGCATGTACTTGATGACGACACAGTGGTCGGGGTGCTCGCCCTCCTTGTAGAGGACGTGGTTGGCCTCGACCATGTCGTCGACAACGTTGGACTTTGAGATCTCCTTGGAGCGGAACTGCTTCTGCGAGCTCAGGTTCTTGCCGTCATTGTTGCCCAGGTGGTTGTAGCTGGCGATGGAGGTCAGCTTGATACCGGCGCTGATCAGAAAGTCGACAAGGGCCGACTTCATCTTGGTCTGGCCAGACTTGAAGTCGTCGCCACCGATGAAGGCGTTGTGCTTCTCGGCGAGCTGCAGCACACCAGGGACAAAGGTGTTCTGGGGAGAGCCGTTGATGAAGGGGGCGTTCTCCAGGATACAGGCGACGGCAAAGACGGAGGAGGGGGATACCTCCTCGTGGCCCTGCTCAATCGATTTGAGGATGTTGTCGGCCGTGTCGTTGACGCCCTCGATGATGCTGGCGTAGCGCTCCGTGTTGGCTGTCCACATGACAATGACCTTGTCGAGGCCATTGGCGGCCTTGAAGTCACGAATGTCCTGGCGCAGCTTCTCGACGTGGGCGTTGCAGGCCTTGCTGCCCTCGAGGACGTTGTCGGCGCGGTCCTCCTGGTTGGCGGCGATGAAGTCAGGGTAGTAGACGGAGGGCAGAGGCACCATGGCGCTCATCTCCTTCTTGACCTGGGCCTTGAGGGTGGGCTCGAGGACCTTGGCGCGATCCATGGCGTCGGCCATGTTCATCTTGCTGATGTCCCAGCCGCCGATGACAAGGTCATTGGGGTGGACCATGGGCAGGACCTGGCTGAAGGGGATGTTGACGTCCTTGTGGGTCTTGGCGTCGGTGCCGAGCTTGACGGTCGAGCCCATGACGACGGAGCCGTAGTAGTTGGCCTCCTGGCGGCCCTCCTTGGTGTCCCAGACGAGGCCGCGCTTGTTGGCGATGATGCCGGCCGTGACGGTGGTACCATTGTTACCACCCCAGCCGACGAGCATCATGCCCGTCTTGGGGACCTTGCGCTCGGTCTTGAAGTCATAGGCCGTCTCGAGGGGGGTGGCGACGTACTTGCCGTCGGCGCCGGCCTCGACCTTGGTGGTACGGTACGTGTACTTGGACTTGATGTCGGCGTCGGTGTAGGTGACGTTGGGGGAGTTGACAGTGAATGCATCTTGGGGGGCTGCGGTAGCAGCGGCCGTGGCGTGACCGCTGGTGTAGCCCGCCCCGTTCGTGGAGCCCGTGTGCTCTTCCGCGTGAGGCGCCATTGTGAGATGTGTGGCGCTTGGGGAGTTTGACGTGGTGCGTGAAGAGTGGTTGGTATTTCCTTTTGGCAAGGAAGATGGTACGGGTCTGAGTTAAGGACGACCGTTTACTGGGTATCGATCGAGTCCGCTGCTGCACCGGGCGAGGCTGAGCAACGGGCTCCGGCGAACGGGTGATGCACGGAGTTGAGAAGGTTGGAAAACGTCTTGACGACTGTTGTGATCGAGGGTCAGTTGCCTCGATCCTTGGTAGGTGACGATTTCAGGTAGAGGAGGGGGTGGCGTTGGTGGTGAGATGGGACAAGATTGACCAGAGTCTCGAAGAAGGAGGTTTTGATCAAGTAATGTTGTTCGATTGACTGGAGCTGAGCTGAAGCTGTTTGAAGTGGTTGAAGGAGAAAGGAGAGGAAAGGAAAGGAGGGGGAGGGGCTCTGGAGCGAGGGGACCCCAGATACAAATACTCTTTTAGGTTCATCTTGGGTACCTTATCCATCTTCCACAGCTATCTATCGTGGCCCTGGGAGAACCTTTGTGTTCCGAACGCGTCACACTAGCCCGGCACACGTTAATTACCGCTTCTTTGAGGCAACCGCAAGTTGCGGTGAGACCGGCTCATTTCATTAGCTCGGTCGGTACGATCACAGTGCACCGAGAGACTGATTTAATGGCGCTTCAAGCGTTTCTCACCAACGGGAGCACGCGAGCGACTGTGCCCTGCGGCAGGTGTGGAGTCACGATATGTGCGCTGACCTTTGTCTGGTTGGAGCCGCAGTAAGATGAGCATGTCGACTGGACGAACGCTGGCGACACCCAGCCGGCCTCGTCGGGCTTGGTCGGATGTCACGGAAGGCGGTGCGAGCGACTGGACTGGACAGTGGAGGGCGGGCGAGCACGCGACACGACACTCCGAGGTATCTTTGTCAATGACAGCTTTCCATCCTGGGACTCCTACCTGACACTGAGCCAAGATGATGGGAGCAAATGAACATGGGCTTTGACAAAACGCCATGTTGAACTCACACGACCCTCCACTCTCAGGGTCCAGGCACTGGAAAGTCAAACAACGATCAACGTTAGTAGTACGTATCCGTAGATATTATGGATGCCCCTCACTCGCTGCGAACCCCTCCATGCCCCCATGGGCCCCATCAGGGTATAAGCCTGAGCCAAGAACGAACGTGCAGCTGGAAATAATAAGGTGCTACAATGACAGCTGGCCACGCATGGTCGGCTGTGAGGCCTTTACCCCCCGGTTTTCCCTCTGCAGATATCGTTGATGATCTGACTGCCAAGCATCCGTCAATGACAAAAGTGCCAACCGATCGGCTGTCCTTTGGGCAGCTTGGCATGTTGCCAACAAGCGTTCAATTGATGCCTGTTGCAGTCGAGCGGAGCGGAGCGTTTGACCGAAATACGTGTGTAAAAGCTGGTGCAGTTACTTGGAACGTGATGCTAAGTATATACTTCTATATACATGTATATCATGGAGAGAGAGTCTAAGAGAGAGTTGATTGTAGCGCATTGATGTTTCGTCGATATCCGTGGACACATGCAAGAAAATTTTAAGGATGTGTGTTGGCTGGCAGGGGCAGTGTGTTATTGTCCTGCAAGACATTGCCTGAGGGTGGGTGACAAGTACTACAAAGAAATTGAAACAAAACAATAAGAACTATCGTGTCTTTGAGCAAGCTTACCCGTTGTCGTTGCTCGAACTTGTGTGTGAAGCTGTGTGGGTGGAAGACTTGAGGCTGCCCCAGGCAGCGAGACTGTACTCACTTACACGAACAATTACATGATGTCTACGACCCAACTGCCATCGTATACATACCAAAGTCTGCATACAGATGTAACTGAAGCTCTAATCCTGTGCTGGCAGTTGTCTTGGCATCCAATGATGTGACCAGACCGCGCATGGTCTTTCAGGTCCCCCAGGAGTTACAGATATAGATTCTGATCGAACCGTTGCATTTCAACAGTTCAAAACAGCACGGTTCTGTGGTCTAGTTGGTTATGACATGGTGTCGCTCGATTGAGGCCTGTTGCAGTTGAGCGGGGCAGAGCGTCTGACCGAAATACGCTTGTGAAAACTGCAGGCAGAGTTTGATACGGTACTCATCTCGACAGGAACAAGGACTGGAAGCAGGGGTGTGGTATCCGATTGAAGCCCCTACCTACGGTGCTCAATTACCATGGAATCCCTTATCGTATTTTCCACGATAGATCAAGAGAACCCCAGCGTATTGACTCACAGATCGGTTCGAGTATCTCCTCGAAAACGGGAGAGCAATAGCAGGGGACAGCCCCAATAATTGATCGAAGATTTTGATCAATCCTTTGGAGCTGCTCTCAAAGTTCACCAGGCAGAGAAAAAAGAGCGTCGCCAGATATCAAAGCTCAAAAAAAGCAAAAAGATGATTTCGCCCGGGCTTGAACCGGGGACCTTCTCGGTGTTAACGAGATGCCATAAGACCAACTAGACTACGAAACCATTGCTTATGAAGGTGTTTTTTGAACTACAATATAAATGTTATAGCATTCTATTAAAGACAGTAGAACCAAGTCAGTGTATTCAGAACAAGATAAATTTTGGGTTGATGACTAGTCTAACAATTATGGTGCATGTGTGACTGATTACCTTGGAGCTAAGATATATCTTGAAAGCTTAATAGTAGTGGATTTTGGAGGGCGGCTCTTAATCCTAGGCACGGTGCGCTCCTGTGGCTGTGCGTGTAGTTGACAATGCGAAGTGAGTACGTACGTGTAAGGGATACGTCAATCGTAGGAATACTCACAATCTCACAAGTTCTTGATTTTGAGTCTGTGCTTTTGTGAGTATTATGTGATAAGTAGAGCTCAGTCTTTTGTGGTTGTGTGTTTTGCTTCCGCGTAGACAGTGCTGTCATTGAGCGAACTAACTACTTACTTACCTAGACTAGCTGTATTATGTATGTAAACAACTCGCCATAGCTCATGTCACGCGGATCATAACGATGCTTCGCTAGTGTCTTGACTATAGGACTCTTGTCCTTATATGGCATCACGCAATACATAAATATCGCGCAATAGCCAAAGGCTCCCTTTCGAGTATTGTCGTTGTTGTTGGTAGATCGCACTTGTCCAGTCACCAATAGTACCTCCTGCCGCACGTCCCAGAAACCACCATTAGGGACTTGCATTCCTTACTTACCTATAACTGGACATTACAGGTCCCGTCGTGTAGCCCGGATTATGTCGCCTGGCTTGCCACTAAACGATGTATCACTCATGGTATCATGGTCGAGGCCGAGTGGATTTCGAGGTCGACAGCGGAAACTATCTCACATCCCTTGGATCTATCTACGCGCGCCTCGATCCCCGGTCATGTTTTCAAATTTGCGACTATATTTGTGCCAATGAAAGCAAAGAAATGTTTCAGGCAGGGTGACAACTCGAAGGACAAGCTCGTGGTTATCAGGACAGGAACGCTATCCAACGAGATAACAACGGAACTCCGTTCTGTGCGCGCTACAAAGGGCGGCTCCGCATGTAAACACCGACAAATGGGCCTTTAAGTTATGAAGATAATATAAAGCTCAATTGGATTTCAATGACTTCGAACGTACATGACCTGTGTAGTTTGAGGTCAGTCAGGCGGTGAACCAGCTTCAGGTTCGACCACACACTAAACCGTGGCGAGAGTGAATCGTCGACCCAGAAGCTTAGCTCATAATTAGTTGTTACGTAATGATGTAGCAGAGAATCGCCCGGTGATCATCGCAATCGCCATGTAGGCTAGATATATTAACTTGAGTATTGTGTTGAAGGCGCCCTGTGTTTCGTGAATTGTGGTGGTCCAGATTCCAGACTCCCAAGCATTTTGAACTTCAAGCTCATCCAGGGCCTCCATAAAAAACAAGAATATGCGGCAACCCGAGTCTATGCTCACGCACCAAGCGTCTTGAACGCCCACACATCGTGATCGTCAGCAAGATTCAAAACCTTGAATTTTTAATCAGAGATTCAAAACAGATGCAGTCTGCCAATTGTCCAGGTTTGTCGGTACCCCCACTCCTGCTTATTCAACGCTTCGCGTTCTCTCTTCATAATACCCCTTTGTTGTGAGATAGGTAAGGTAGCTCTCGTGTGTTGTGCTTCGTACTTATGTTAGCCTTGTCGTGTTTCCTTGTCTGAATTGCCGACATCGCCCTTAAATTGTGTTCACGACTATAGTTCAGAGCTTCAGATACCAGTGAGTGATGCCGCACCAAGGGATTTGGTCGCTTGGAAATAAGTAGAGAAGTCGGGCCTGTGCAAGCGAAACGTTTCCTTTTATCGATGAGCCGAGCGGAAACGTTGTGTCTAGTCCCGAGGCATGCTTGTTTCAGGTCAAGGTATAGCTTGCCGTGCGCACCACCCCGTTCTCTCCGTTATCCCCGTTCTTTGTCGCGGTTGTGTTATCTCTCGTGTGTGTTATTCCTCGCGTCTGTCTGGTATATTGTTCAAGGCCATACTGCGTATATTTGCGTATATTCTGTTGTCGTGTGTGCCGTAGTCGTCCTCATATGTCATCGTTGGCGCGTGTTATAGTTGTTATCCGTATTAAAGCCGTCACATGTGTTGCGGTATGTGTTGCGGTATGTGTTGCGGTATGTGTTGCGGTATGTGTTGCGGTATGTGTTGCGGTATGTGTTGCGGTATGTGTTGCGGTATGTGTTGCGGTA